CAGGCGCTCTTGAATCTTTTCACTTGTCGCCACCAAGCCTCCTTAGGGGGGTAAGAGAGAGTGCTGACGAGGACTTTCATCTGACTAAGGTGTTTAATCGTGTTGTTCTTTGTTGGTTTTCCCACGTATTACGATTGAGAGACGCGGACTCTTTGATTACCACTTGACGGGCGGTTGTCTCGATAACGGCGGCGACGTTGTCCTGCTGCAGCTGTAGGATAGGACGACTGGCGACCGTAGAAGAGGAAAAGTCGTTCTCATCGTCGTGATCCCATGCTGTGTGAAAAGTCGTGAACTCGGTCTGAGAGCCTTGAGTCCGTAAGTGGAGACTCTGAACCGGCATCTTTCTTGAAATTCGGCCCCACGTATAGGCGTCCCGGCCGATTTGACCCCCATCTATGAAGAAGGTTGGCAACCGTGGCGAGCGGGGTGAATCCGACTGGAGGAGTGTGGTGCAGTCTGCCCCAAATCACCCCGCATGCCACAACGCTTACTTAGCCTACAAGAGAAGCTTCGCAGCAGCCGATCTATTGGACAAGTGATTACGCTCCGCCACGGTGCTCAGACAGATTGGGATTGCGCGTGGCGGCAGAATCCGTTGTCCCGGCGTGGACGCGCGGCTAGGGTGAACCCTTCAAACCCAAACTCAAGCCTCGACACCAGCTGCAACAGGCGATGGGAAGCCGGCACAACTCGAAACGGAGACCGTCATCTCCCGAATGGAGTGAGCAGTCAAAGACGGGTTGGAGTGGTGTTGGTGACGTATTTGTGGTGGCTCGTACGGAAAACCGTTCATCTTTGTAAGGACAGCCCGGGTAAGTCGTCAGCGATGCTTGTTGAAATGTGCTATGGATAGCATTCAGTTCTCAAGGTTGGCACGTCGCCTGCATCCAAATTATGACAGCCAAGAGTTGAGTTGAACAGCGGGAGCTTCTGAAACGTGTACAGCTCGTCCCAAACATTGCTGTCGAAAAGAGAGGTTTTGGGGGTCCCGGCCATCGTCAACGGCGATGGGATGGTGTGATTATAACCTTGATTTAACCGCATGGACCGGCGCCGTCCACAATGTATACCTTCGTCCCAGTCAAGGCGAGCACAGAGGTCACGTCTTGCAGAGTAAGGCACCGACTTCGAATAAGGTATGCCACGAACATGCCCAAAAATCGGTCACTTTGAGGATGCTGGCAAGGGGCTGGACGGCCGCCGGACCATCGGCGTATTGGGGAAACGCCCCGAGTCCCTTTTAAGGATGTGTATGTGAGGTGCGTCTGGGCTCAACTAGGGAGCTAAGCCCAAACAGTAATAGATATAGATTGAATTGCGCGTTGATGTGTTCCAGACTTTGGGTCGTGGGGATTGAGCGGTTACCTGTGCCGAATGCTGGACGAAACCAGCAGCATATCAAAGAAGTAGCGTCAAACCTGCTCTACTGTGTAGTTGTACGGTTAGCGGAGGCGTGAGACCCTCCCCCACGAGTCAAGGGCGGATTCGGCATCTTTATCCGTAGTGTGGGGGGAAACGAGCAAGAATTGCGCGTCGGTACGGATATCCGCAGCCTTGTACGCGTCAAGCTTTTCTGCATCCACGATCCCCTCATTTTCCCTACGAATAGACTACTCAGGAACGAGCCGGCCAGATGCACGGTCACGATGCTGACGGTCCGCGGAGGCCGCTTGAACCAGCCGTCAGGGGGCTCCCTTGACACCCTCGAAAGAAAAGGATTGGTCTTCACTTCCGCATCTTGTACCAGTTCTGTGAAATAGGTATCCAGGCTTTCGTGTTGTTGTTGTGTTGAACGAAATTGGAACCACGTTACAACAATTCCAAGACGCTCGCTCACCCATGCTCGTATATCTCTCAACTGGTCACGGCAGCAGTGACATGGTCCAGCAACGCATGTTTACTTTGTTGCGCGAGTGGTTCCTGGGTCTAGAAAAACGAGGTGGTTTCATTGTATGCCGTCATGCCTGAACATCAGCTATGCGCATCGCCAAGACGGATGGATGCCCGTGTAAACGCTTCCTTCTGTCTCCAGTAAGGTTGTCTGGCGACCTTTGAGCATATGTTGCATGCTGAGTGGTATCGGGTTTAGGACTTGAGACGAAATACGGTAATGGGTTGCATTGGCGAGATTTGCACCAGGCTGGTCCAGTTTAGGTGTCAGGAGATTGGCTGATGGGACCCTGGCGTGACGACAGAGGCCTGCAGCGAGGGCCCTGAACGGTAAGTGACCTCGTGGGGCTGGTGTGAATGATGGAAACGCTACGACCGTTCTGCCGGCAAGGTGCTGACCATCAGTTCCATGTGGGGATGGTTGCAAGCAGCTTAGCTTACGCCGGGCCTTCAGAGCACCACTGCTTAAGCTTGTCAGTTGACTATGCCGATCCCAGATTGTGGTGGTCGCCGACTCAGGTCCGGCTGAGGAGATGTGGCATGGTCAGATATTCTTCCAAGCTTGAACAGGCCCGGCGACCAGAGTTGAGCGAGAGGAAATTAGCTGTTGATCAGTCGCCGGCCCAGTATTGTACATCGGTGTTCTCCATCAGCCAGCAAGCAAAACCGACTCATCGTCTTGCCTGGCTCGACCGTTGAAAAGGATGCGAATGCGACTTCTGCTGTGCAGTACTTCAAGCATTCAGGTTCAACAGAATTGCAGTTTGGGTTTGAGCCTCTTGGGCAACGGGGATAGGTGTGCGGGATACCCTCAGAAGTTGCATTCCATGATCCGTCTCGTCTTCCATGGCTTGAGCCCTAGACATTCGGGCGTGCCAAGACAACTAGTACGTGAATAGCGTAGCGGGGCTTGACAGTTCCTCTTTGGCTGGCATCGCTCGTTGTCCGACGGACCACCACTTTTTGCCTGCTGATTTTTTATTCCGCCCAACTAGCCGCTGTCGGGATTCGGAGCAAAAAGGTAGCGTAGTTTCTTCTCGCAAGGGTTTCGCGAATTGGTGAAATGTCTGGGTGAGGGTGCCTTTAGTGCAGAGCTCTCTCCAGCCTGGTTGCATTGACTAGTCCTCTCCTGCGACGGGTGCCCGATGATTGGAAGTGATGACGGCAGATGGACGACAAGGTTGTGGCTGGCATCTGGGGCTAGAGCGAGGCAGACGCAAGGCAACTTCTCCCCGAGAGTCTCTTGATCGTCTCTCGAAGAGGACGGTGACACATGACAGCGAGGCAATGCTCAAAGGAAAGATACGTGCATTCCCAAGGCAAGGTATTGTTGTCGTTGGTCCGGGTGAATGGTTAGCTGAGGTCGGGAAAGTTGGAACGGCCGAGGGCATCGAAGGAGCCGGGAACGACCAAGATTGCAAGATTGCACGGGGATGTGGGCCACTACGAATAACGACAAAGGCAGGAAAATCAGACCAAACAAAGTCAGTCAGCCGTTGACGTGCCGACTTGATGATGCGGTGAGTAAGGGGAGGGCACTGCCAGATGGATGAGACAGAGGATCTGAGAATCGGAATGCCGAAAACCTGAGAAGGATGTGATTAATTACCTAAGGTACTCCGTCATCAGCAGGGCAGACGCATCGACGGGAGGCTTGACGAATGATGGCGGTGCAAGGGCAATGCCGCCATGGAAGGAGTGGGCATGGGAGGGGCATTGGAAGGCGCCAAGACGCGTGGCCCCCCAGGGGCAACGGACAGGAAAGAGGAGGCGCGAGTACCTGCTCTGAATCATGGCAAGGCCGGTCGTTCTTTCCTCAGTCTGGCTTGACAATTTCCGAGTGACCCCATCGTCGATAAGGTAGGTAGGTATCTTAGGTAGGTGCCTCAATCAGCAATTGCTTTCGTGGGTCAGTCACGAAGAGAGGAAGGAAGGCAGGTAGGTCCTGACAGAGTTATGCCTTCCTCGAACCTACTGCCTCGAGCCTGGGTTCCCGGAACCTGGGTGCCTGGGAAGGCAGGTTCGAGGGCCCGAGGAACGGTGAGCAGAAACTAAGATTCGCACCTGCCGCGTATCTTTCCCCACATGATAACCTTCCCAAAACAGCAGTGGGTTCCATCATGATGGGGACGGATCGCGGGCACGTATCTCTTCATGTACGGGCTGAGGTGCCTTGGCTGCACGCGAGTCTGAGCCTCTGCAGGAAAGCCAAGAGCCCCCAGGGCCAAGCGAGGCAAGGAGCGACATGAGCAATTGCCTGATTTGCACATGCCGCCGCGTACCACACCAGAGTACTACCTATGGTGAGGTAGGTACGAATACTTTGTCCCATAGTAGGGAGAAGGTGCAGGGATGCAGCGCAAAAGATGAGAAACCCAAAAGTCTTGGCATCGCTCCCGTTGCCGTGTGTTCCCACCTTCTTACGACTTACTGGAGAACTGCGACCAAATCCTGCCCAGACTGCCCAGTTGTGCCCGGGTGCCCTTCCTTTTGCTCTGCTGTTTCGCCCAGCCGCCGACTGAGATTCTCCTGCAAAAAATGGCCCATCCGTTTAAATGAACAGCGGAGCCCGCTTCTTGCACGCCGCCTGCAACTCGCTGTCGCTGCTACACCCCCCCGTCGGCCGCTTCTGTGACTGTCCTGACTCCCCTTTCCTCAAGATCCTCCCTCGAGTGCAGGTTGTTTTTCTCCCCTTTTTTCCTGGAGTTGTCGTCGTCGTCGTCTTCTCCAGTCCTTTCGACCTTCTCAAGTGTCTGTCTACCTTCCGCTGCCTGACGCCCTCCCTACGTGTGCGAAGTAGCCAGTCTGCGTTCCAGTTTCTGCATCATCTCGAGAGACACATGACCGCCAACGAGACCACTTCCCGAGCCAAGTACGGATATCCGACCCTTGCGACGACATCCTCAAGACCCGCCATACGACGTCCTGGTTGCACCTGATAGCTGCCTCGAGCGACTTTCACTTCCGTCTCCGAGAATTACCCGAATTGACCTCTGACGAGATTCCTCTGCCGGGTTCAACAACCGCGAGACTAGTGGACAATATCTCAAGAAAAACGGACGCCGCACTTGGGCACCGCTCTTTGAAACTCGCGCAACACCTACATCATGGCCGACGTGAAGCCCCCAAGTGGCAAGCTGCCGTACGGCACTCCTGAAGGCGGATGGAAGGCGGTGCACACATGGAGAACTCCGGACTGGGTAGAACCAATTGTAAGGAACAAGAACATCTTCGCTGCCAAAGTACGGTAGCGGCAAGGTAGATGAATCGTCGAGGCTAACCAACAGCACTAGCTGATCGTCTCCATCATGCTCATTGGCTTGTACGTCAGCCGGAGAAAGAACTACTCTATCCTCCGCCGTGGCAGCGCAACCTACGAACCTCTGTTTCAAGAGCGAGGGGACTCTCCCCGCGTCTCGGACGATTCCTACGATCCTATCCGTACCGATCCCTTCCCGCCAAAGTATCGAACCATATTTGGCTGCTGGCGCGTCAAGACGCCGAATTCGAGCCGTTTCGCGACACATGTCCACTCAAGAATCCTGCAAAAGTTCCCTTTTCTCATCGAAATGTTCTACTGGGCCATCTCCTTCTTCTTCTACCGCATGACCGCCACTTTGGCCCAGAGCTACTACGGCAGCCGAAAGGCTGTCTGGGATGTCGCACAGGAGCACGGCCTGTTTCTGCTCGAGACCGAGGCCAAGTTCTTCGGCGAGGGAACCAGGACCGGTCCCGAGCGCTGGGTTGAGTGGCGCGTTTCCCATTGGTTCCTTGAGGGTGCTCAAATCGACGACTTTCGTGGCATTTGGTTGACGATCCTGAACCGCGGTTACTCTCTGATCCATATCCCCGGTACCGTAGGCTTCATTGCGTACTACTACGCCATGGCTCCCACGCACGCCCGCTTCTGCACCGTTCGTCGCACAATGACCTTGTTGAATATGTTTGCCTTCATCATCTTCATCTTCTACCCGTGCGCCCCACCGCGTCTAATGCCCTCCGAGTACGGCTTCGTCGATACGGTCAATTTGGAGAACGCCGAGAGTGTCTGGATGAGCGGCAAGTTTGTCAACAAGCTGGCTGCCATGCCTAGTATGCATTTTGGCTACGCCTTTGCCATTGGATGCGTGTTCATCGCCGACTCGGCGATTCTCAACCTACTCTTTGGTCGCCTGCGGAACTACCTGTTGCGCAATGACTTGGACAAGTCGCTGGATATCGATGATGTCGAGCTGAAGGAGATCCAGGAGAACCGCAAGCGCTGGAAGAGCTGGTTCATGTTCTGCTTTGGTATCTTTTACCCGAGTTGGATCCTGCTGACAATTGTCGGAACCGCCAACCATTACCTGATGGACGCCTTTGTGGCTACCTTTTGCGCGTTGATGGCGTTTCTCTGCAATCGAGCCTTACTGGTGTTCCTCCCGACGGAGGACATGCTGCTTTGGGCCTGGAGGCTGGAAAAGCCGGTGCCGACAACGGGCCGCATGAAGAACATCGCTGTCCGGTAGAGGATAGTTTGTGTGGGAGAAGCCCGTCAAAAGACAAGGGGGTCAAGACTATGTTGAATTGTCTATTAAAGCATCGCAGAGGCGTTGGGAAAGGAATAATGGCTTCCTTTTAAATCTTTGCACACTAGGCCCCTGGGCCAATTCCATGTGTGCCGAATTAGCCCTTATAATGAAAATTTATGCTGTTTGTTTGTCAAACTTCCGAGAGCTCCGCCACATCCACAGTGACGAGATGTCCAGTTTTTAAGCTCCCTCGACATGTCGCTTGTTCGTATCCGGTGGATCTGGGGAGGGAGGACCGGCCGCCTGATTCGATTGTCCTCAAGAGATCAACTGTCTGTACAACGTGTACCGCATGTACATCGACAATGAGACGTATGTCAACCGATCATTGCTCACCTACCTAACTTGAACTGACCATACCACCAGAGAATTGATTTTGCGGCCATTCAGGGCATTGTTCACTGACCCTGCAGGACGTTTGGAACTGGCTGACCCCTGGAAAGGCTGTAAACCCGCTGCCCGGCTTCATTTGACAAGCCGAGACATCCGTGCGGCACAGGTCTGTTTGCCTGCAGGAGAGGGGGGGTTAATGGTTGGGCGGTGGCCGACGGGGCCGGAATCCTGTCCTTGAGTGAATGGATTTGGCCTTTTTTTTTTTTAATTGTCGATGAGAGAGCAAACAGAATTTCGAGGGTTGCCTCTTGCCTCTTGGCAGTTACGGATGGTATGCCATCGATCCTTTTAGCTTCTTTGGAAGGACGAGAGCACATATTCGCCAAGAGGGCCGTGAACTCTATATCGTCTGAAAAGCTGGGGTCATTCCATTGCCGGTGACACGTTGCTTTCCCGAGCCATAGGTTTTCAGCCTAGTGAACCGGACAGCCGGTTTCCTGACTTTGGTTTCGGTTTTGAGTTCAACTCACACCCATCCCAACTTCCCGCGACACTCGATGCTCGCGAGTCGTCGGCCCAAGGAGACGGCGCGCGAGGCATTGTCGGCCGACCAAGTCCAGACAAGGCAAGGTAGTCATAGGCAGCCGCATTTTTATAGGCAACAGCATTTGTGGAAGCAAAGTCAGCCTTGGAAAGAGACGTCATTCATCTTTTTGACACTTGTCGTTGCTCTTTGCTTTTGTCTGAATGTGGCCGTGATCTGTGGGGGGTACGCTGCCAAGCGGAGGATGCCTCGAAGTTGCGTCGGGCCGCACGGGTCATTTGCGAATAATCCATATTAGTAAGGCCATTTTGGTTCACTACGCGGAGAAAAGGTAGGCTACTCCATTCGAAGAATTGCTACCTAGATCTGTTTTGAGGGCATGATACCCCGAACCACAGCGCGTGTCCGACGACCTCACGATTCGCCGTCTGTCATTGAAGTGGTTGGCGCGGCGGCCTATCCCATAAACGATATACGCCACGTATATACATACATATTAAAATGCGCAGCTGCATATAGAGATGTGTTTCGAACGCAATGCAGCTTGCCCGTCGAATGATGACACGGGAATTGGCTAGGGAAAGGTCCCAAATTAGATTTGAGAAGCTTCGTGTGGTATGAAATGCCACATATCCATCTCTTCATTGAAATCATGCAACTCAATCCCTTGCAAGCATCCCAGGCCAGGAGGGGAGGACTTTGAAGAAATAAAATAGATGCTACAAGATTATGAATGCGTCGAGACACCAAGCTATTGAAGTGAAAGTTGAGAAGGGTTGCCTCGGTACTGGCCTTGGTTGTCGATGATGCATAGCAAGCTTCAATAGCCATCGTGCCAAGAGGCCTAAATGATGAGGATTTACAATCGCTAACCTTGACCACCTGGTGTAAGATAATTTTGGCAAAGCAGATTACCTAGTAGATCGTGAAAAATGCGGTCCGAGGTAAAAGCTCAAGTCTCTCCAAACTGCTGCTGATTTGGAGCAAGGTTCGACTCATCTCCAATGTCCAAATTGATACGCAGAGCAAATGCCGCGGTGGAGTTGGTGCAATCAATCCAGGATCCGGCCAGGTTGCCCTTGTGAAACGACTTACTTTTACATATGATATTACCAATCTGTTCACAGGTGACGACCACTGACGAGGAGTCGTCTTGGTTTCTAGAGCATGCTACGCAGGGTTCCGATATCATCATTGGTCTGTGTGCAATTTCGATCTCGAATGATTACTCATCCAAAGCGCATTACCAGATTATGAGTTCTTGAAGCCGGCAGGTTTTCCCCGATCATTAATCAAATAATGCCTATTTACGAACAAGAATCAGCATCACACCTGTCGTCTGCGCATACTTTGGCTTCCGGGTAGAGTGTGGCATGGTGGCCATGACACAATAACAACGGGAGCATTATGTCAGTCTCGCCGAATCACCTCGGGTGCCTGTGTCACGAAGTCTGTGAGCTGAAAGGCCAACGGCTTCATTACGCAACCACAACAACTTCATCATGCTACGAATTTGTCTTCAGGCCGACTGCATTGCAAAGTTGGCTTGCTAAGCAGTCTGTCCCCCACCATGTCAGAGGTCATTGGGGCCGGTGAGGGAGAGAAGTGGCGCGCAAGCCATAGGCCACGTCATTCTAGACGAGTGTATATAAGGTGCCATGAGTACCTTGGTCGTTGAATCAACACAGATTGTTAACGGACACGATTATCCACACTGAACCATGGCAGAACTGAAAGAAATTCTCATCATCGGGGGTACTGGTGCCCAAGGAAGACCAGTCGTTAAAGGTAAAGTAACGCCATCATCACCCTCGACCAAGTGGGATATACGATTCCTCTGACGTACCGCGTAGCTCTCGTCGAAACCAACCGGTATCGCGTCAGGGTCCTCACCCGTAATGTTGAGAATTCACGCGCAAAAGAACTCGCCGCCCTCCCGAATGTCACCCTCGTCCAAGGGAAGCAAGACAGCCAGCAGGATCTCCACCGCGCGTTCCAGGGCGTCTACGGCGCTTGGGTCAACACGGACGGCTTCACCCTGGGCCAGAAGAATGAGCTGTTCTATGGTATCCGCGCCTACGAGATCGCCAGGCATGAAGGTGTTCAGCACTACGTCTGGGCCAGCACTGACTATGCGTTGAAGAAGTCGGGGTGTAAGCAAGAAAACCATTACTTCTCGTTATCTTCCACGCTGTCAGGTACTGTTGCTAACAAGGTTGAGCAGGGAACGAGAGCTACCATTGGGGTCACAACGATTCCAAAGGGAGAATCACAGACTTCATCTTGGCGCAAGGCCAGGAGGGCATGAAGAGCTCCGTCCTCACGACCGGTCCCTATATGAACATGCTGATGGATGGGATGTTTCCGCCGAAAGAACAGGCAGATGGTTCCTTCCTTTGGGCAAACCCTGCTAGTGCGTCCCCCACCCAAAGTCGTATCATTGCCACATCTTTGGCACGCTCCTAACCATAGAACAGAAGACGGCAAGATCCCACTCATCGCTTTGGAAGACGTCGGCATCTACAGTCTTTGGCTGTTTGAAAACCTCGCCGAGTCCGCGGGTCTTAACCTGGAAGTGACGACAGACGAAGTCAGCTTCGCTGACATTGCGAGGATCTTCACAGAGGTGACGGGTAACAAGGGCGTACACAAGCACGTGCCGTTCGAGGAATACGCGCCACTCGCAGAGCCGTACCCGGGTGCCTATGTCAACTACAGTGTGGGGCCCGAGGTCGTCCGGGACGAGTCGGACATGACCTGGAGGCAGAACTTTGGGGCGTGGTGGCGGTTTTGGGGTGAGGGGATCGTCAATCGGAGGGATTTGGAGCTGCTGGACCGTATTCATCCCGGCCGGATTCGGAGTCTGGCGGAATGGATACGGAAGACTGGGTACGACGGGAAGCCTAGACCGGTCCTCAAAGGTGTCGAGGACTGGAAGAGTAAGCAGGGATCCAAGTTGGGTTGACGCTCGAAAGAGATCAAGCTTGGACTGAGTGATGTTCGACATCATCGGACAGCTTCACAATGTTTGATTTCGTAGTCGTGCGAACTGTTCCGGATACTATGTTGGTACAAGTCATCTAATTTCTTTGCAAAATTGTTCTTATGTTCTTTGACGGTTTGGAGATCAGACAAGCCGAAAGAAGTCATTATTTGCTGTTACGTTGCCATTTCTTGTTCTGGTCTAAAGTCAATGTTTCTGATAGCACAACGGTATTTTCCTTCAAACATCAAGTTGTGCAAAGCTTTTGAAGGTGGACTTTGAGTTGAATTTAATTCATATACCACCAAGCTGTGGATCATCACCAGAAGCTCCTATAGGAACCCGACACGGTAAAGTCACATCAACTGCAAGAAACGATGACCTCTCCACCCTACTCAGAGCCTCCTAGCTCGTCGGAAACCGGCACCTCCGATGAGGAGACAGCCTTGAACGAGCCACAGGACTACTTGCGCATCCCAGGCCTCATCTTCGACGAAGTCCCAGCCCTTATCCCACCTCAACACTCTGCGGCGCTCTGCTATCTTCAACCCAAAGACTACAACCTCGGTTTGTCATGGGATGAGTACTATAAACTATTGGAACCCTTTGACCATGTAGCCCAAAAGTTGGTCGATATTTTTGATTACTCCATCCAAGAGCTCAACGCAGGCATCGAGCCCACCGTCATGAGATGCACCGCCAACGAGAAGGGTTCATCCTCCGAGTCAGACTCTTCCTTTTGGGACGAGTTCTTTGAGCGAGTGCTCAACAGTCTTGGACAAGACGCTGAAAGATTCGGAATGACTTCTCTAGACGTCATGTGGCTTGTTTACTTATACACCAGTGCTTGGAGAAATACTTGTCGGTCGTGGAGGATCAAGTGGGCGAGGTACTGGCGCAGGGCGAATATTCATCATTTGCATGATCTATTGGCGGAGTGGAGTGAGATGTTGAAGCTCAGACGGTTGACTTGGACGGTCGTATTTGGTAAACTGTTCGGAGTTGGGCAGTAACCGTTGTGTGTCAGCCGACGTGAGAGTGTCTAAATCATTATGCGGCGCGACGAGTATCGTAGAGCACTCATTTGATTACTATCGTGACATTATCCCAAATCAACATGGCCTCTTAATTAATTATCTCTTCTAGATCTCTGTTCGCAAACCTCCTGACAGAAGTCGGCAGGACCGAAGAGACTCTAACAGCATCAAGTGCTCGCCCGTGAACAAGACATCCACAAACCAACCCAAAAGATCTCCATCCTGAGAAAATCCGAGGCTGAGCAGCGTCTTAACCATCAGCTTTTGTGCGCCGAATGAGGATTAAATGGTGGCTTTCAAGATTCATGGTTAGACCCAGTTCAAGGTTCGCTTCCGCGCCCCCGGATATGATGACATGGAGAAGACTGATTGATTTGAATCGCGAATGGTGATTGGGCAAGGTATCAACGGCCTCGGACGAGGTAATTTCTGTTTGGAGTGATGTTATGCGTAGTGCGTGAGGAACGGCTTTCGTTGGAATTAGAGGAGGTGTGGTGTCTGTTGCTATGAGTTGGCTTGAAGGTGAGGAGAGGAGTAGGCCTGAGCTGTTTCGGCCTCGATATGGCCAACGAGTCTGAGTGTACAGAGTATGACACCCAGATGACACACAGCTTTTCAAACAATTGGCACTCCCTCAAGTGTTTTTCCAATTCACAATTTAAGACTACTCTCTGGGATCTTCGTGTCATTCATAACTCCGTACTGAGACCTTGGCACTGAATTCTTAAGCCTAAGTTGCGTATCGCGGCTTTCCTCGTACCACCTCTACCTCAGAATTATGCCTGGGCAAGGATCTCCGCACCGGGAAGAAGTCCGGGTGGCGACGCTTACAACCACTCATGATCTACGGCTCCATACCGGTAAGCTTGTTGATTCCCCGGCAACGAGATTACGGGAGGTCTCGGACTTGTTACCGAAAGAATGAATCTTCGGTCTTTTCGGTCGATGTGAAAGCGGGATCCGATCTTTATAGATTATCCAGCTTCCTCCTTCATTACGGCTTACAATACCGTGCAACAAACGCCCAAAATGCACTTTTACGGAATTGACTGGCTCAGCTAAGTAATGGCAAGTTGAGGGGTAGTCGGTGATACCAACGAAGTGTTCATTACTACTTAGACACAGTGCTGGTGACGTTCTGAGGACTAAACTCGATATTGATCACTCCCTTAGCTAGGGAAGAGATGCAAAGTTGTTCACACCATACTGGGGTTATTGACCCTTTGATACGGCCTTTTCATGCCAGTGATCGCCTCTCCGCGAACTCATAAAGTTCCGCCTCTGCGCCGGTTCCATTCTTGGCGTCCACATCCAGCTCTCCCAGGCGATTTGTTGCCAAGTCATCTCCAAAAAGCTCCGCAATCTCTTCCAAAGACTTCCCGGACTGTAGAAGGTCAGTGAAAAGAAATCGATCCAGTGGAGGATGCTACATACTGTCTCTGGTAGGAAGAACAAGTAGAAGACGGCGGCTGCCAGATTAGTTGCGATGAAGAGCGAATAGTACCTCCAGCTGACGGCTGCAATCGCTAGCGGGGTAACTTGTGAGAGCACGATCGCAGTCACCGACTTTGCAGCAACGGCAAATGCCAGACCCTTGGTTCTCAAGAAGAATGGGAACAGCTCCGAGGGCACCACCCAGATCATGGCGTTGAAGAATACGGCGTAGCACATGGAGTAGATAAAGATGGCGCTGATGGCGGCCCGCGCTCCCGCCGCGTTGTCATTGTCGTTGGTGCCATAGACTGCACTGAGAGCCATGCACAATGCAATCATGGCACTCAAAACCAAAGAACCGCTCCATAGCGTGCGGGTCCGTGGCCAGCGATCTGCGACGACGAAGAGATAGATGACCTGACCGAGAATGCCCATCATGCCGTAGGCGCCGCTGATGAGAAGAGCGGTTCTGCCAGTGAACCCAACGGTGGCGTAAAAGATGTTCTGGAAGTTCTGAATGACAGATGAGCCGCTGAGCTGGCCCATGGTGACGATGAACGCGGCGGTTAGTGTGCGGCGGACGTATTTCCGGGAAAACAGTGCGCGCAGCGCCGTCATCCAGTCCATGTTACCCTGGGACCGCTCCAAAAGAATTTGCTCACGGATCTGAATGAGCTCGCGGCCAACTAGATCGTCATTGTCTGCAGCCCCGTGTAAGCTCGCCAAAACGGTTCGAGCTTCCTCGTAGCGATCGCGGAGTATAAGCCAGCGAGGAGAGAAGGGTACGTAGAAGACCATGACAGAGAGGAGAAGTGGGATGGGGAGCTGCATTGCCAGCGGTATCTGCCATTGACTATCTCCCAAAGCAAAGGCACCCGCGTAGCCAACCTGAAGACAGTCAGTGTATGAACGAGTTTGAAGAACGGGTCATGGAACCACACCCAATTGGCAATGCCAAAACCAATGGCTATCATCATACCCTGAAGGCCGACGAGCAAACCGCGACGCGCTGGAGGTGCCACCTCCGCAAGATAGATAGGAACCACAGAGAGGAGTTGACCACAGCCGATGCCAGCTACAAGGCGGCCCGCGATCATCATGCCAACTTGCACGGCGGCACACTGGAGTGTAGACCCAATTATAGCTAGTAGAAATATCAGACACGCTTGCACTTTGCCATAGGCGGAGGAAACCGACTTAGGACCGAAGCGAGAAGAATTGTGTACTTTCGGCTCACCCTATCGGCAAGGTAGCCTACTGTCATCCCGCCGATGGCCTGGCCGGCATTGTAGACCGAGACGATGGCACCTATGGTCTAAAATCAGTTTCATGTTCGCAACCTATGGGCTCGGCTGGTATTGCATTGGACTTGCCTTGGTAGCTAGTGTTGACCATGGATGGTCCATACATCTTGAGCTTGAAACTGTCATGACCAAAGGTCGTAGCAATGATTCCTGCCTCCTTATTAGGATTACCTGATACAGCTGTTTCGAAGTAGGAAGCAAACCAGAGTCAAATCCATAGATGAAGCCACCCTGAGCTGCGACAAGAGCCACAGCAACGATGAGGAAGTTCATGCTGGAATTACAAAATCGCTGGCAGGAAGTATGTGTGGAGTAGAGACAAATCTGGGGAACTGTGGTCCCATCATGCAAGGCGAAATCTGGGGCATTATTGTCTATGTAAGATTTGCCATCTACCCTGCCAAATATTCGGTACAAAGGTAAGCCGATGAACTCGGCTTTCCGCTACAAAGATGTTGCCAAAACAGGAGACCAGACCGCCGAGGTCATGACGAGCTCACCTGATTACTGTAATTCCCCAGAGTTATTCCCTGAGGTCGCTCAAACGACCAGGGAACTAAGACATGCGGGGGCGCGGAGACTACGCATCAACATCAAAATCCTGCGTCGTAAATGTCTTGTGAGTGGTCAACGGCAGACTTGGCAGCTCCGAAACCGCTGCCGATGCCGATACGTATATTTGGACCCATGGGCTACGGCAGTTGATCGCGCGTCGGCCATCATGATCTCGTGCCAAACTGAACCCGAGTCGGTGCGTCTTTGCACCGGACTCTGTCTCGTATGCCGGAGATCGGGTTACAATAGTTTTATTGGATATAACCCACCTTCTAGAACCCAAACCTCCGAGAAACATGGGTTGACACATGCCGGTGCTAATCATACACGACACATCATGTCTTGCCCAACAATCACGAAGCCAGTCTTTGAACACCATCACAATGGCCTAGGTGTAGCGACCTCTAGCCCAAGAATATCGTGGCGGTTCAAAAGCAATGACAATACCATCGCTGGCTGGGTTCAGACTTCTTACGAAGTCGAGATTATGTTTGCCTCCGACGAAAAGCCCCAGAGCTTCAGGGAGGTCAGCGACCAATCTGTTCTCGTACCATGGCCAGCGAGGAATCTGGCTTCTCGTGAAGCTGCTACGATTCGAGTGCGGGTCTATGGGAGGAGTGTGACCAACGAATCCTATGCCTCAGAAGTGCCAAGCCCGTGGTCTGAGCAAGCAACCGTGGAAGCTGCCTTGTTGAAGAAGGAAGACTTTCGAGCCAACTTCATCACAGCCGCCAAGCAAATAGGCCCTCATGGCCCTTTGCGACCGATTCGATTCCGTAGAGAGTTCGACTTGCCTCAAGGGCTTGATCTCAGCTCATCTTCAGCCCGTTTGTACATCACATCGCTGGGCGTTTTCGAAGCCTGGGTCAACGGGAAGCCGGTAACAGACGAGTGCATGGCTCCGGGCTGGACCAGCTACAAGCACCGCCTAGTCTACAGAATTCTTGACGTGAAGGACCTTTTGATCATAGGGGAAAAGAATACAATATGTGTCGAGGTTGCGGAGGGGTGGTACGCTGGACGGCTCGGCTTCAAAGGCGGAATTCGATTTCGGTACGGCGACACTATCGGACTTTTTGCTCAACTGGAAGTTAGAGGACGAAATGATGCGCCCTGGAGCCTTCTTTCAGATAACTCTTGGTCTTGTGCTCCGAGTGCGCTCACCAAAAGCGAGATATATGACGGCGAGGTGTACGATATGCGGGAAGAGAAGGGAAATTGGAAGTCCACCGAAGCGACTGAGGATACTTCGGAAACGAAGATTCTGCCCTGGCCCAAAGCAACGCTGGTAGCACCGGACGCGCCACCAGTTAGGGTGGTTGAGACGAAAACATGTATCCAAGTCTTCCAGAGCAAGAGTGGGAAAACAATACTCGACTTTGGCCAAAATCTTGTTGGAAAGCTTTCCGTCAAATTTATTCACCTCCAGAAGGGACAAGTAGTCACTTTCCGCCATGCCGAAGTGATGGAGAACGACGAGCTCGGCACCAGGCCCTTGAGAGATGCCAAGTGCTGCGATACTATCATTGGATCCGGGGACCCTCTCCATGATTGGTCTCCCAAGTTCACTTTCCATGGCTTCAGATTTGTGCAAGTCGATGGATGGCCAGGCAGCGGTCCGTCCGCAGACGACATCAAAGCTCTGGTGATGCACACAGATATGAGGCGCAGGGGCTTCTTTGAGTGTTCAAACCCCTATGTCAACCAACTTCACAAGAACGTGGTCTGGTCTATGCGGGGCAACTTTCTCTCCATTCCAACAGACTGCCCTCAACGCGACGAAAGGCTCGGGTGGACCGGAGATTTGCAGGTGTTCTGTCCGACAGCAACGTTCCTATACGACACGTTGGGCATACTGGGAAACTGGCTTGAGGATGTGGCGGCCGAACAACTGGAAGAGGGGAAAGGAGGCATCCCGCCCTTGGTTGTTCCTCTGGCCATCTCACCCAACTGGCCTCACATTGCCCAGGCTGTCTGGGACGACGTGACTGTCCTCGCCCCTGACGCGCTATACCAATATAGCTCTGACAAGGGGCTGCTTAAGAGGCAGTTTGTCAGCATGCAAACGTGGCTTGACAAAGGAGTAGACCGAGCTTCTGATGGTCTTTGGAACCCGGACAAGTGGCAGCTTGCCGACTGGCTTGATCCGAGCGCACCGCCCGATGATCCCGGAAACGGTCGGACTGACAGCATCCTTGTAGCGAATGCTTATTTGGTACACACGACGTTCGTCTTCTCGCGACTCTGTGCGGCGATCGGAAAGCCTGATCTGGCTGCCAAGTACGCTACTGATGGCGAAAGATTGAAACAGTTATTCCAGAGGCGTTACATTACGCCCGAGGGTAACCTCATGTCGACCTCTCAGACTGGGTTGTCCCTTGCCTTTCAGTTTGGTCTGTATCCGGACGACGCATTCCAACGCCAGACTGGCGCAAAGGCTCTCGAAAAGTTGGTACGGACTGCGCGTTTTCGTATCAGTACGGGCTTCGCGGGGACGCCAGTCATATCTCATGCGCTCACCAAAATCGGACGCCCGCAACTGGCATATCGCATGCTTCTCGAGACAACATGCCCTAGTTGGCTGTACCCTGTCGTGTCAAAGGGGGCAACAACGATATGGGAGCGATGGGACAGCATGCTGCCAGACGGACGAATCAACCCAGGGCAGATGACTAGCTTCAACCATTACGCCCTTGGCGCGGTGGCAGATTGGCTTCACGGTTCTGTGGGTGGTATCTCGCCCCAAGAGCCTGGTTGGAGGGTGATTCGCGTAAAACCTGTTCCAGGTGGCAATCTTACAAAAGCCACTGTCACTTTTGACGGTCCTTATGGAAAGGTGGCTTGCGAATGGGTGCTTGAGGGCATAAAATTCAAGATGAGGCTAGCTGTGCCGCCAAACTGCTCCGCAGTAGTGTTTTTACCTTCACGGTTGCCAAGATGCTTTGCCGCAGAGACGGACAAACAAAGTCCTGGAGTTTTGGTGCAGTCAGGGCTTCATGAGTTTGAGGATACCTTTGACCCGGGCGAGTGGCCGCCTCCACCGTTCGTAGCCGCGAACCAACCTCTGCCCCCTGATACGTTTGCGGGTTAGGCTGGATCTTACGGCACCCCGCAGTAGATAGTCATCATGAGGATGTTGCTATGTGTGTGCTTGTTCTTGTTCATTATTATTTGATAAGTCTCATTACTATTTTACTGTTCTCACTAAATCCCGTCGTTCTAAAAGCATTCTGAAGTGGATATCCAAAACAAACAGACATGAAAAGAACCAAACGGTATGCAGGGAGGACTTTTTATTTTGACAAAGTGAAAAATTAGTGATTTGCTATGCATCTAATCCAAAGCGAGGCGTCATTTGGACCTTCATGTAGCCTTCATGACCTTTCTTGGGGTATGTGTTCAAGTACCGAAAGCCATCCACCCTATCCATTCTTTCGTTCCACAATGAGATATTAAAGTTGTAAATTAGGAAAGCGACAGTTTTGCGCAAGACTTTGTGAGCAATACTGGTGAGGCACTCGTGTTAGCCAGAGCCTTTTCTCTAGATGGTAAGGAAAACCCACTGTTGCCCTAAACATGTTCGTGTGCCAGTACCAAACGACACGGAGTGACTCTTGGTTGTCTTCGAGTCTTGGTTGGAATTCAGCCACCTTTCGGGCTTGAACGTATTCGGGTCCGGGAACAGGGTAGCGTCGCGCTCGAGCAGGTATAGGGTAAAGCTCACGCTCGTCTGTGGAAAAGTCAGAAATTGTCAGAGCAAAGGCAATTGAGGTCCTCTCACCATCGGAGGTATGATTGCTCCTTGGTATTCTATCGGAGTATCGCTCTGTCGTGGTTGTCGATGCCAGCTGGGTGAGCTCAAACGGGATGATTCTCGGCATACAGCATCCTGGAAAAGGGTCAGTGCCAAGTTCTGTCTGGTGTGGATCAACATCGAGGGGCCAATTACCAGATATCGCAATTGAGTGGTTTTCGGGTCCCTCCAAATTCGGTGCCCATAGGTACCAATATCCAGAGTATCTAGTTCGGCTCGAATCTTCTTGATGCATTCCGGGTTTTGGATGAGGCGGTGTAGTACAAACGTCAGGTTGCTAAGAAGAGACTCATTACCAATGAAAATCGCCTGAGATGATTCATGCACGGTATGAGTCTCGTTTCCAATCTCGTTGAATACCCGTGCCAAGACACTCTGGTGACTATTCTCATCGTCCCAAGACTTAACCATGGGTCTGACGTGAGAGCTCATCAACTGAAGTGCTATTAGCAAACTCGACGTGGCATCCGGAGAGGGTCGAATTTAAAGCTCACGTTGTCAAGCCATCCTAGAGGCGACAAAGCCCGAAGAGCTGGAACGTAGTCGAACACGATCTTGATTGGTGGCATGCATCTCAGCACCGTGGCGAGGTCAATGGCACTAAAGGCTCGTGTCGCATCGTGAGTGGCTTGCAAGTCGTAGACCTTGAGAAATCCGTAGTTTTCTTCGGTAAGGTACGAGATCATGACGTCGTTGGTGTAAGCCCATAAGTAGTGTGTCAGGTTGACGGATCCCTTGTTCGAAATAGCATCTGCGAGGCGCGAATGAAGAGACTCGAGATGTTTATCCAAGGTCTTGGAGTACTCAGCCAACGTCTGACCAGAGAAGATTGGCCGCATGACTGCCGCCCTCTGCGCATGTTTTGTAGGGCTGGCCAATCCACCGAGGAGCTTGTCAAGAAGACCGTAGTAATTATTGCACTTCAAGAGGTCAGGGCGTCGGTGATGATCGAGGTTGAATTTGTTGTCGACAAAGTGGAGTTCGTTGGGCCCAATTCTGACGACAGGACCTGTCATGACACTCTCAATTTAATATTCAGTGCACAGGGCAGATGATCGGCGCAAAACATACCATATTGATCGTGGAGTGAGACGAGGTTCTCGAGCCAGTCATTCTTTAGCAGGACGTGATAAGCTTCGTAGAGTTTGGTGATACCAGCAACCCTCGGCCCGGGGAAACTGGCAAGGGGAGACAAGAACATCCGGTACGTGTACTTGACCACGAGATAAAAGAATATCAAGCAGAACACCTTCTTGAGAAGGTCGTCAAAGGCGCTAGACATTGTAAGTGCGGTAGACCAAGCCATTGTGAAGTGGATTTCCGGATGAGTTGTTTGCGATGCTGGTACTTGTCGCTTGGAACACAACTGTCCAATGCTCGGTAATACAGCTTTTATATATGTTCTTAGCCACTCTGTCATATTTTTGCTCCAAAGAGGAAGATTCTACCGTTTCCGCTGCCATGCTTACTCTGACAGTAGCAAGGGACAACATTGGGCATTTCTCGATCTGTCTTCGTCGGGCTAGACAGGCAAGTCTGGGCGCTGCCCATTGTTTGGTGGCTGCACCGACAAGTTTGTGCCATCTCACGACGACCGCCCAATTGGTTCCAGCCAGAATTTCGAAATGTGGAAGGCCAATCACCTTGTGCCGGTTCGTGTTCGATCTGGGCCGTGCCCCAGGGAGAACTGTTTCCATCGAGTATCGAGATCCAGCCATAAGCAAACATGTCGAAATATCGTTAGGTGTTTGCTGGAAGGAATTAGCCCCCGCAAACAACACGGATCGGGGAATCATACCACGACAATAGCATATGGCGGCTGCCCCGCGCTCATAGAGCAGCTCGGTTCACGCAAGCGAACGTCAAGTGGCTGCAGACCCGGATCACAGCCCCTTGGAACCACATGCCTGGGCGTCGACTCGGCCCGTGAGCAGGAATAATATGGAGACAACGGTCCGGATAGTGACAATTGCTGCTGGAAGTGGCTCGCAAGGGTCATCGCACCCTGTTCATTGCGGAGTTGACAGGTGGAGATTGTCAGCGAGGAGCTGGACTATTGAAGTTGGCTGACGAAAGACTTGGGTACAGGTTGGCGATGGCGCATGCTGAGCTAACATAAGAATTTTCTATCGCAGAGACGACAAAGCTAGGGCACTGGAAATACAAAGGAAGTAGGCAGCAGTTCCATCATCTTATTAACCGCTCGCCAGCAGCAACTAGAACGCTTCATGATGCGACGAACTAGGACCACCAGGTGAATGTGCATTCCGATCGAGTAAGCCGTTCATAGAACGCCAAGATCACCGTTGCCCGTTTAGGTCGTACCCAATCTCTAAACTAAGCCGCTTATACTTTGTGGATGGTAGCTTATCTTGGGATCTCTTTGCTATCGGTGCTCGCAAGTCGGGAGCTCGGCACGATAATCGAAAGAGCTGGGCTATCCACATGCCCCGTGCAATGCTGGGGCTGATCACTCGGGGTAGACAGCTCCATTTCCGGGTTGCGGTACCTAAGTTGTCTGGAACCTTGTCGCTTGTTGGATGCAATCTGTGAAAGTTGCAGCCAACAGGAACAAGAGGAACTAGACTTTCGGACTTTAAGACAAATTACACTCAAAGGATGTTTCTCGCTTGCTGAAATTTCTCCGGCGAATTTGCGCAGCGGGCCATTTTTAACGTTTTTGTTCCAGTGAACAAATCTACTAAACCTTCTTCCAAACTCTAATAGCATAGCCTTTTGTGCGGCTACACCAACTCATCAGATTAGCCAGTTGGAGACTCTGTCTCCTCTTTCGCGCAAACCCCGAAGTCATCGAACCAAGAACGGGGAAATCTGGACCAGGGTGATCAAAGGGGACATGCCAATCAGCAAGCAAGGACAGCCTTTCAATTCCGGATTTGGTAATGATGACGGACGGTTCCAAAGCACTGGTTGGGTCACAACATCCTGGGGCTCCACGTGCTATTCATGTGCAAGGTTCTTCTTTCCGATAGTAATGATTGCTCGAAACCAACGCAACCGACCAGCTGTGTATTAGTAAGGATGACCAGCTCTTGTATAAGGCAGTTTTGCTCATGTGACAGCAGAATAGATGGCGAGGGTAGACAGTCCTGTTCATTTCCTCATGCAGAGGTGGTCGATGATCAAATGGATGACGAGGAAGGAGATACTGCTCTGTTCTATTGAGTATCTCTCGAAACAGGTTCGTCCTGGAAGACTATTGACATTTTGGTCAAAACATTCCGGCCAGAATGTACATAAATCTCATGACAGCCTCTCCATCTGCCTCGTTTCATGGAACATATTTGCTGACGGACTCGAGAATTTCGCGCCTCAAGATTAAGGGGTCACGCGGCAGCTGGGCGGCGTTGATTCATAATTTTCTCAAATCTCACCATTGATTCTTGATTCTAAGGGTCAGAAACAGACTGGTCTTCGATAACTTCATCTTGAGTGTAATCCCAAGCCCCAGAGAGAAGTCCGTATTTGGGGGTTTCAAAGCTATCCTAATCATGAACTTGCGAGAATAACAAAAGCTTGAGTGGTCAAGATGTCAAGAGGCTTCGTTTGTTATTTTGAAAGTAATCTTCTGGTCATTTTGGGGTTGCCTCAACGTCAGTGATGTTATTACTTCCGTCGTCCAAAGTACAATTCCAAACTGTTCCTCTTCTAACAAGTCAGAAGTCCGGCAGTAGCTCAGAAAATGGACGTCAAGAAGCTTCTCACCCGTTGTTACAACTGACGGTAAAATGGTTCAAACAGCAACCCAGAGAACCCACGCGTGGCCTCCAACTTCTTCTTTGAGGCAACACTAGTGACGGTCATAAATATTTGACAGCACCATCCTTTGGCCTTCTCTTAATTTCGCATACAGTTCCTGTTGACACCCCAAGTTCTCAAGAACCACACGTAGCAATGAACACCATAGCAGTTTTAGACCCGGGAATTCACCTGCATCACGACTAACTAGACCAGCCATTAAATCCTACGGAGAACGAAGCCCGGAATTCCCTTAGCGAGTTTGAAACGCCAACTTCATTTCTTTTGACTAGGATTCCTTCCCTCTTTCACATTGCGTAAGGCGTGACTCAGGTCAACTAATACCGTGGCTTTTTTCTACCCCGCGATGTTGTGCAGTTTCACTCTACTTTTCAAGGTCTAGCGCTACCGCGAGGCTTCGTATGGGCCAAGAGGCGGCTAAGACGGCACTTGAATTGCTTATTTAGTCTTTCTCCGTGAATAGGTCTTGTCACACTTAGGCCAATTTACCTCAGGTTCTGACTCTTGTGTCAGTGATTGGTCCCGGTTTCTCAAGGGTAGTTGGCCTTCCGTCCGAAGAGGCGGGAGCTTGTTGGAGAAGGAAATGGCTCAATGAACTTCGGATGACACTAGGATCAAGTAGGCAAGCTTTGGCAGAAATCCAGACAGATGTGACATTGACATGGATTCTTGGTAGGGCCAACCCGGACAATAGGACTTTCTCATTGGTGGACCCGAAAGAATCGTTCCACTTGAAGCAGGTCGGCTTCAACTACGGACTTCGTCGAGAAGATACCTCCGTAGAGGCGGAGCTGTCTCCGTCGTAGAGAATTTCCACCGTGTATGACTCCAATACACTGAATGGCTTCCAAAGCGGGCGGAAACTACCACTCTCACAATCTATTCCGGATACCTAAAGGGAAAAAAAAAAACGACAAACAGCATCGCTCAATTTTGCAAACCACATGAACACGTGCAAGTTTTCCTCTGAGATGGTTTAGGCCGTTCTATAGTCCACCAACGCTATCATTTACAGTCTTCATCGCAATCTATATCACTCAAAAGAATCTCTCGATTCTCAAATCTTCAAGGCGGCCGTCACAGCAGCAATTATTGGCACTTTGGCCGTACTTGACACTTGGGACTGCTCCGTGTCCCTTGGCCCAGCTTCTACCATTATTCAAATCGTGAAAACCATCATCCCCGGCGCCGCACCTCTCACGCCAAATGGAATCTTGGCCTTTTGGTCGGGTAGAATTAACGGTACCAGTGATCTCGTCCAGACGACCCTCGAATCCTGGCTGGACAACTCTTGGTGTGGCGCCAAGGAGGGCCAGTGGTGCGTCTGCGCCTCACCTTTTAGATCCTTTGAAAAACTCATTGACGACGCTTCTGCTTTCTCGGGCACCCAGAAGGTCAAGATCGAGTACTAACTGCTGTTTGAAAACGACACCTGGCGCCAGACCGTCATTGACGCCGACGCCAGTGCAAAGCTTAGCTCGTTTGAGCACAAGTCTGGCCCCTTTATGAGAGGCTATGGCACTGGAACCAAGTGTAACGTCAACTACAGTCCTACTGTTCCTGCGCATAAGTAAATAGACACGGTCTTCGCCTTCGCTGGTCTCGGTACGGGTTTTGGGAAGAAAACTTTTCACAGCTCAGAAGGCCACGTACTTTGGTCTCTCGAAGAACGCCAAATTTTGGACCAACAAGGAGATTAATGCCCCTGCCATGATTCAATGCAGTCAGCTTTCCTCTGTTGTAAATCTTTCAAGAGGTTCATGGTTCACCGATGCAGTATTACTCATTCTTTCTTGTAAATATTGATGATGGAACCATGGGATGTAAAAGCACTTTTTTGTCAAAGACCCCGAGCCTCCTCGTATGGTAGCATGTTTTCATCTTGCCAGACTGTGGTGTTCATACCTGGAGTAATTAAGAAATAAAATGGCTACAGGATATACTCATTCTCTTGTTTTCTACAGCAGAGTGGTTTCAATAATCTAACGGCCATCTTCCTTTTCCCACGGTCCAAGTACCACTCAATAAGTGCGAAATAATTGAATTCTGGAATTAGAATCGAAATTCGACAACATTCAGGGCTGGCTTGAAATGAAAAGGACGATGGAAACCAGCAGAGCATCTCCTGTAGTCTTATTATGAAAGACATATTCTCAGCCTTCTCCCCCTCCCATCAATGAGCGAGGATGCAGCCAGGCTTGGGACAAGATGTGGTCAATCGAGTCAGGATAGCTACTTCTTTCAGAATAACGGACGGCGAGTCTCGGAGTCCAGATATCTATCCCGTACCCATCAACGGAAAACACCTGACTGAAAAGGCTTTAAGTGACGGCTCGTTAGGGCGGTGTTTGCAGCCTCCGTTGCGTACCAAACGGGTCCCAAACAAACCGAATAAGGGTATCCTTGGGCAACCTCTGCAGTCTACGAAAGGAAACTAATTCGCGCCTGCTTTCGAACAGACTTTCTCTTGATAGACATGTGACGAGCAGGTGCGATGAGTACTCGAAGGGAAACTTTTGAGCGCAGACAACGTTATGCAGACCACTTCACACGCACCAGATTCCATGGACATTGCTGGACGTGAAGACCCCAGTCACAGGTGCTACGCCATGAGAGGTTCAAAACGTCAAAGGAACAATCAATCGCTCGGAAAGATCCGAAAACATGTGAGGAAAAGAAACTTGGGAAAACACTACTACGTAAGCGGGCCCGCCCAGAAGTTTGCGGCGTTGGACGTTTTGAATGTCGATCCCCCTGCCAGATTCGAGGTTTTGCTTTTCCAGCAACATCAACCAATCCCCAGTTGACAACAACCTGTTTGGTTTCCTCCCGCGGAAGTTGGTCAGGCTCGGTATGCGCATCTCGCTAGGGAAGACAAGGCCTAGGTCATCCGACACCGGCAGAGGCCCTTTCCCCCTCTGCATGATCCCGCAGAATCCACAGCTCGGTTTAACCCCACCTGCGTCGGGAGGCGGCAATGATCTAATCTCGATTTGGATGGAAAGATTCTGGGTGACGAGATCCTCTCCGCAGCAATTAAGAGTTACTCTACTGTGATATAGGGGGATCGCAGCCCTCGCACAGATCACTGGAACGGCAGCTTCCCGTCGACCACCAGTGTATCATCTATCCACGCGCAATTTGGAACGTCCCTACCTATGGTTCATTGGAAGTTCGAGACACGATCCCTGGCATTTGCTGCGGCGAGCAAGCACAACCTCGCGGCAGCAGTTCCCGACTCAATGAATGGTTTCAAAAACATGCGGCGGAGGTGTGTTTCTGGGCGGGCCATCACCTACCATAGTATGGTAAGTAGGTAACAGGTTGGATCTACGGTCTACCAGCTGTTCCTGCGAGGAGGGTGCGAACAAGTGTCATGCAGATTTTGGCCCGGTTTCCTCTTTTACCATCGTCTTCCCCACGTGAGATTAGTGCGCCTGGGACGTTCCACAGCAGCATGTCCAAACTCCTCTGTGAGTCGTCCCGTACCAGTGTAAGCAGACTGCAATGTTCCCCACCAAGACATCAAATGGATTGCAGAAATGTGCTGATTGGGCAGTCAGCCCGGCCTGATAGGGAGAACAGCGTTTGAAGAGAGGCAGAAATCCGAGGTTTGAGGAAATGTACGATGGCAAGGGACCAACAGTCCGTCCGTAAGGCATGCAAGTCATGCACGTACATGCAGCCATACTTGCGAGCTCAAGAGCCTGCATGCTTAACAGCTCATATAATCTGCAGAGTGCAGAAACACGACCGGTGAGCTATACATGAACACCTCCATGAATGACGGGGTTCTGTCCAAGTACTCACCGATGGACTCGCGGTTCGTTTCTCAAGGAGTTTAGGACGAATTCCTGATTCGCGCAAATACAAACAAACTCTTTCCAGAACTCCGCCCTCATAGGCCGTCTCGGTGGCAACGGAACCTGATTCTCTTCAGCAAGGCGATCCCGTTATACGGCTTAGGTCCCGAAGCAACACAGCAAACCGCAAGATGAGAGTCATCTCGATTGTTTTCTTGTAGGCGAACTTTCACCTTCATTGGGTGATGTGTCACTTACCCCTCATCCGGGAGATGGATGCTCCTCCCGCGCTTCATACGCTTCAGCCGGGTTGATGGTGGTTTACTTACCTACACACCTACATGAATCCAGAACGACACGCATGTACATTCAACGACAGGCCCATCCAGCACTTCAGCTTCTCCGGGTCGGTCAACATCCGAGTTAGATTCTGCTAAGCCCTAGCCTCTTTACTCTCTCCAGATCCTACGCATCCTGCAACCTCTCCTGCACGCTCCCATTTGGACACATTCGCTCCAAGCTGGATGAAGATTCCTGGTCGACTGGACGTGGTCCGGGACCAGAACCATATTGCCGGTATGCAGCCTGCTGATAAAGGAACCGCTGGCTGCTATGTCAGCCCTGTAATGGCACCGGGGAAGGGAGGGCTGTGAACCGGCGCCTCTGAAGTCTCTGACAAGAGTCGAGCTGGTGATGTCGATTCAGTAATCTCCCACGCGGACATTTTGCTGCGCCGTCCTTTCTTCACATCATTGTCACGTTTTTGGCCGTGCTTCTTCTGACTGCCTAGGTAGCCTCCTTCTGCTTTGGTTTCGCAAGAATCTTGCTGGAAAAAGCATCAATGGTGACATGGCAAGCCAAGTACCCTTCCGTGTCCCCCACTCCACGCAGACAGTTGTCTAGATCTCGGCATGTGCGATTTTTCGAAGCATAATACCTAAGGTAGGAAAATTCATACAACATATGTATCTATGTTGTGCATCTCTTCGTAGCCCAGATCGAACCAGATCCCGCTGTTGACCTACACCTGGACCTCCGGCTGTCGAACATGAACACAGATGTTGAGGAGGGGACGCCAAGAGTCTTCCTGCATGAGCCCGGTTTCCTCCCGGAACAGGGCCCATGGAGGCGGGATCAGGAGCCAGCATCGAATGGCAAAGATCCTGGTCAGCTAGCCGCATATGACAGATGACAGGCCGTTGCAATGGTCAAACGCCTACCGCCGAGCGCCACCTTGGCCGGCACTGGTTGCGGGATCTTCCTCTGGATGCTGAATCCAATGAACCCCCCTTGTCTCAGTAAACACTGGTCGAGATGGATCTGGACAGACCTGGGCTCGTGGCTTTGCACGGCGTCAATCCAACAAGGGGACCAGCCAGGGTTATGGTGTTGGTGCAAAGTTGGCACCCGTCCATTGCAGTCCCAAATCGTTGACAACGAAGTGGGCCTACGGCGTGATGATGCGCGATCCAGCCCTAGAGGTATACTCAAGCTGTCCATCTGCAGATTAGTACACTTGCTGTCCTGATCCCTGAGACCACGCATAAATACAACCGTACAGCCTTCCACGCGTCGAATATGTATCCCGGCTGTAGGCACCGCCCGAGGAGTAGAATGATACCCTGCAGTTTGGTGGGGGACACTTGAAGGAGGCTGGAAACTGACAGACTTGAATAAGGGAGGTATTTTGACCTTCTATACCTATGCAGATACTTCGAATGGTTTGGGTGAATGATGATCAATTTTGACGAAGGCGGCTCAGGAGCCGGCTTCCACAAATAAAGCGGCATCGGCAAAGCACGATACCCAAAAGGTAAAGGGGAGCTCATGTGTGAGGCTCTTCTGGTTGAGTCCCTCGTATACGGACGGGACGATCTGTAGCAGAGACGCACTTTCGACGTCCCGCAGTATCTCAAATGAAACCAACCCCTGGGTCTTGCGGAAGGGATAGCCGAAATTCGACTTCGTACTTGAAGAGGACTTCCTCCCGTCAAATTGACGATGGCATGCGCAAGTATCAATCAGTCTTCTTTCATCATTCTTATCCCGACAATCAGTCCCCGTCATAATAACTGTTTCCGTTTATCGAATACACCGCGCCTTGTGGCCGTTAATGTTTATTGCATCAATTCTTCGTCATCCTTACTCCCCGAGCTCGAGCCTCTTCCTGATAACCGCCACGAGTGACTGGAGAATCTCAGCCCCCAGCTTATTGGCCATCAAATTCGACTTCTCTGACGTCCAAAAACAAGAGAGAACTGGTTCGTCTCGCCACCGCTCCCGCTGGTATCCGTGGATCATCCCCCATACCGCTCTTGTCCCGGAGCGAACGCCATACAGCTCTTGTAGGCATCCGTGGAACACCTCGGGATCCTACGCTGCATTTTGCATCAGCCGCTCTAAATTTTCTTCGCTGACCGCCAAAACCACCTCCTCGCAACCCTTTTCTCCTTCAACGCACAGCCGGAAGACGACATCGTACGTGTGAGTTGAGACCACACAGAAAGCACCGACAGAACATCAGAGGAAGGAGCGGTGAGAAGAAGCAAAGCCGGCTTCCTTCAGCTTCGCCTCTTGATCCCCGGCGGTCTAACGGACGTTCCTTATTCAAGATGTTTAAGCTCGCTGCTGCTCCTTGGGGCTTCCACGGCTCGGATATCTTTGCCTTTGAGCAGGATATGAAAGTCAGGGCTCAGCAACGCTCCCACATCCGACGCGAGAGAAAACTGTTCGCACGCAACAGCCACAAGATTCCTTTCAACATCAGATCCACCCAGCAACCGGGCGACATGTCGAGCGAGGATTGGTCTCTAGCCGTTACTCCAGACGGGGTCCAAGACAGTTTTGAGGTGCGTTGGCTCTGGTTTCCCATCTTTCTCCCTTTCCCCCGTTCGTACAACACTCTCCTTATGAGATGTGATCAAGAGAAATGTGTTGCTGACTTTGAACCCCCTTGCCTCAGGCCCAGCAGCTCCGGAACAGATACCTAGCTGGCACCGCGGGCAGCCCTTACGCTGACCCCGATCACGGCACTTTTTTCCAGAGAATGCAAAGGTTCGATGGTTCTCTGAACGGTAGACGACCAGTCATGGATCACAATCAGACATGGCAGTCCTTTGGGGTGGCCGACACGACCGACGTCCAGTCCATGTTCGCTCCGATGCCGTACCAATACGACATTTCCGCCATTGACGGTCTTCCAATGTCTGCTTCGCACAGCATATGCCACGGCATGTCCACGTCCTCTCCTGTCTTCGCGGCGTCGGATGTAGGCACTAGCTTTGGCAGTTTCTCTTCAGTCGGTGCACCCACATTGCTTGAATCTTGTTCCTTCAGCTCGTCAGACGGCAGCGCCATCATCACCAGCCCTTCAGACAAGTTTGAGTATGCCAATTCACCTTTCACGTCTTCCTCCATGGTAACCGAGGACTTCAACGGCATCAAGACAGCTCCCCCATCACCGCCGCCGTTCTCTGAGCCAACCTCCATCATCTACTTCCCAACGCCGCAGGAGCAGCTTGCCGAGCATCAGCGCCAGATGGAGGGCCAGCAGGTGGCAATGAATGCAGTTGCCATCGAGGGCAGCCATAGCAGCTTCAGAGGAGTCAAAGCCGAGAATTCCAAGCAGCAGATCTTACTGTCGAAGCCTAGAAAGGAGCTTCCTGAGAAGCCACGTTCATCACGAGCCGATTCCAGCAGCTCCTCGCGACGCAGGGCTTCTCCGCCTCGCAAAGCTATTCCATCTACACACAAGACTGAGCTACGACCGAAGCAATCGAAGCCTTCTCCGGCACAGCCTTCTATGGTTGACCTCGCAGAGCGTTCGGCTAAGGACGAATACCTGCTCAAAGCCAAGCAAGAGGGACTGACGTATCGCGAGATCCGGGTCAAGGGCAACTTTAGCGAGGCTGAGTCGACTCTTCGTGGGCGTTACCGCACTCTCACCAAGAGCAAGGAGGCACGGGTTCGTAAGCCTGAGTGGACCGATAAGGACGTGAGTGCCCCTTGCCCTGCTACCCATGACTGTCTTCTTGGCATCCGGCTGACTTTCTACCTCGTAGGTTCACCTGCTCCAGAGAGCCGTCCGCAAGTTCGCCAAAGGCAACGATCCTGCTTCGACCAAGATTCCCTGGAAGCAGGTGGCCGAATACATCCAAAGGAACGGTGGCTCCTATCTCTTTGGCAACGCCACTTGCCGCAAGAAATGGGATGAACTCATGTTAGTTGCCTCGGGGCACCAGGTGGGTGATTTCGGCGCGTTGGAATGATGGGAGTGATGCATTGGGTGTGGATTTAGTCGAGAGGCACGTGACGACAAGATCGGCTTGGTTCTTGGGCAACGATGCGATGGCAGCTGGATAGTAATTTTTGACAAGTGACATGTCGGTTGATGGTGCTCCATCGGTGTTTGTATGCGGATGAAATCTTGGTATCGAGTGGGATGCGAGTTCCTCGTCATGTTTGCCTTAATTAGTTAGAGTCCTGCCGCCAGGCCGATGTTTGCTTGCATCGCATGTACCTTTTAGCTGTCTGCAATGTCTGTTTGCCCCCTCCTCCTTTCTACACGTGCATGATGTCCCCCTACAGCTTTTTAATGTGGCCTATGCCACCATCTTTGGGGACGCCGATTTTCGATAAAACTTCCAGCAATTGGAAACCGTCGCCTCCTGACTTTAGCGCATCCCATTCGGCCTCACTTTTCACCAGTGCTGTTCCCGCCAAAACAGTACCGTTGAGAGCGAGGTTGCCTACGGCCGTACCGTCTCTGAAGATGGCTGCACCCTCGGCAAGTCGCGGCAGTACGGCCAGCCGGTCGCTCGTCATGGCAAGGTTGTAGCTGATGCGCGCGCCGCCATTCCCAGAGTCGCTCACGGCGCCGACATGGGCCTCCACTGAATCGACGGCCGACTTGAAAAGCGACAGATAGATGCCATGAAGCTCTTCGGGCGTCATGCCGCGATGGATCGTCTCCGCGAAGGTCAAAAATGGTAGTCCGGGAATCTGCTGCGGACCAAGCTGCTTCGCCAGCACGTTCCATTGCGTGCCCTCTGGCAGGCCGTCCATCATCCGCGCGACCGGCAGCAGCTGAATGTGTCGATGAGGCTGGCTCGCTCCCGAGTGCGAGCCGCTATTGAAGAAGGCATACAGCTCGCGATTTTCCTCATTCAGTTGTTCACCGTGCTGTCTGTAAGCCTCGATACAAGAGTACGTCGCCGCCAGGTCATCGCGTTCCAGGAGATCCGTCTGTTGCTTGAACTCTTTGGTGGCCAGGATGAAGTGCTCCGGCACGATGGCGAACTTGTTCAGCACCAAGTTGTGGCCCGACGACGATGGTATGTCGGCAATGAACAGCGGGCCCTTTTCGGGACTCTCAAAAGGATCAAAAGGCTTGCGTGACTCATCGGGCTTGGGCTTCTGCACGACCGGCTTGTTTGCCAACGCGGGGGAGAAGCGGAGTTGAAACTGCGCAACAAAGTTAATCGAGGTCGAGTTCGAGTTCAGGTTCATGTAAGGGAGATGTGATGCAACGCAGACTCACCGGGGTTGAGTTGGCGATAAGCACAGTGACCTGGGTTGGATAGTAGGTCAAGTCGCCATTGGAGCGAGCCTTGTTGAAAGCTGTTTTGACAAGCTCTGGGAGGTTGGCCGGGGCCTTGATTGGAGACATTGTGCTGTCTGGTACACGCTGGAGGGTATGGAGTAAGGTAGGCTGCGTCGTCGCTGCAACGTTATAATAGATAAAGATGAGGAAGTTGGAGGGTGAGGTCACCATGGCACGGAACGGGGAGCCACGGGGAGCCACAGGCACCCCAACTCCGGGCCCCACATTATCTTCACCTGAGGTGCTTCACCGAGCTTGTCACCGACCTCGGCCCCTACACCTGGAACATAGGTAGGTAATAACCACAGCGACACCAACACTCGCACAACGCAATTTACTTCACGCAGTCGAATGGACTAGCATGCGAACTGTGGACAACTTCGACGTGAAATTCGAGTGGAATGTATGATTTTCTGCATTATGGAGGCGCTATTGCCTGCTTTACTTCTATAAGGTGCATCAACCTGCCTATATGCCAGGCAAACCAACGACTTGCCGTACGGTGGGGACGAACCGAGGGAGAATGTAGACGCCATACAATGCGGTGAGAGCGGTAATGAGACCGGTGACCTGGGTTTTACGTTAGCGACGTTGCAGGAAAAAGTAAGTAACATTCGATTCTGTACCTTTTCAAACCACGTGTGGAAGTAGATCGCGGTCATAAGAAGCATCCAGGAGCTCAGCGCGATGATGGCAGCGGCAAACTTGCCGCCCAAGCCCAGGGCATCGCCAGGGCCCGGCTCTCCCTTCAAACCCTGTGCCTCAACCGTCGCAGTCTTTGTTGCACCATCCGTCATCACGACGCTGCGCTCCTCTCGTCTTGAGCCTCTCCACCGTATGACCACCCACCCGACCTCGGACACCAGGAATCCAGTACCAAGGACGAGGAGGAACACGTGCCCAGAAATGTCGTGACCGCCACGCCAGCGTCCGCCAGATGCCTTACACGCGACCGCGGTGAAGACTTCCTTGGCATCTCCCTCGCCCATCTCGACCTTCTCTTCAATCATCTCGCACTTCCCACCGGTCCAGCGGAAGCCCCGGTCAATGATGGCCGGGCCGAAGAACCATTGCGTGACAAAGAACCACCAGGCCGTGACCAGAGCCCAACGCAGCGTGCCCTGTACGCGCGCGGTCGCCTGTACAGTGGCTGGGTGTGTGAGAATGAAGCTGAAAAAGGCGGCCGTGACCCAGAACCAGCCTCGCTTGACGAATATGACGTTAAACAGGTTCGACTTGCGCGCAAAGTACGACGGCGCAGTATCTTGCGTGTGTGCCTGGGCTGCGGGGTCGTAGTGCGACGAGCGGACGTCGGGAGAGAGAAGCGAGAAGAGGGTACCGAAGAGTAGGATGACCGGAAAAGCGGCCAGCACAATCGTCTCGATGGGCGTGGGCAGGTAGGGGCTGTTTCGCGTCGTCTTGAGGGAGTTCGAGGGCGGCGACGTCGTTGCACCGTTGAGGTCGTCCAGTGCGCGCCGGGTCTTGGACCGCAGGTTTGCTGCTGCCGGTGGCGTGTCCATCGTAATGAGATTAATCTTTGGAAGAGGGATTTGAAATGTGTGTTATCGCATAAAGGGCAGAATAGGTCAAGAATGAGCGGGCTCGTGAGCGACGGCAATCTTTAAATCGGCGAGAGGAATGGCGCCAGAGCTTGGAAGAAATCGATGTTCAGCGTATGACGTTGCTGCCACATCAAGCGAGGTACGGAAAAGGTACGTACCCAGCATGGGTCGCAGTGGAGTGGCTAAACGCGGACAGTCGGCCATGGGAAATCGCCGACCGGCGAATCATCGCATCTCGTCCTCGGTGAAGGTTGCTCGCCGACACACACCGAGGATGACCAGGTGAGGACACATTGCGGGAGAACTTGAAAGACGCCAACAGAACATGGGAGGCAAGTCACGATGCATAACCCCGACTCTTTCATGACACCTTCATCCTGCCTGGACTCCATTTTGCCTCACCAGTGGCCAATCATCTACCTCGGGCTTCTAGACATCGGGTATGAATCAGAGACATGAGGAGCGCCAATTATAACACATTCACTATTACTGCCACTTTTATAGAAATATTCATGAGTAGAACGAGATTGTACTTGGTAGAACGTTGTATAGTTGATGAATGGTATCAAAATGCCCATAGGGCAAAACAAGAATGTCAATCCCGCCGTTATAAACCTCGTGTTTTCACGATCCACGGCCTAATCCCGTTTTCTAGAAACCCTAAACTCCCTTGATGCAAGTATGCCTCCTGCCAAAATCCATAGCATAAAAAAAAGGGTGTGGTAAAGAACATGCAGCGTAAACCACTAGGGCGGACGACAGCATCTGAAAGAAAGTAAAACGTTCCTACGCGCCGGCCAGCTCGCGAACGTGCTCGTAGATGTCCCAATGGACGTCCTGGCGGATGTGGTGGGGAGCCAGGTGGTGCGAAGGTCCCTTGGAGAAATATCCAGCCGACTCGGATGGATTCATGACGAAGTCCGGAATGCACGAGTACGGGACAACCCCGTACGGCACAGGTCCGTGATTCACAACTCTGTACGTGGGAGCCCTCTTCTAGAGGGGTCTAGGCACCGTCTCCACACCGAACACGTTGAGGTCCTCGGGTTCGGGCCTCTTCTAGAGGGGAGCCTGGAACATCGCAACCGTGGCGCAAAAGTTGTTGCGGTTGTCGCTGTCGAGCGCGGCGCCCTTGCCGTTGACGGTGACCATGTTGATGGACGCCTTGGTGCTGAGACCGAAGAACTTGACATCCGAGTTCTCAAGAGAGACCATGTGATCCTGGCAGTTGTTCTCGCCAACGCAGACCTGGTCGTAGTTGTTGAAGAAGCTGTAGAGGCCGGCACCGTAGATGAGAATGTCCTTGGAGTTGACGGCGCGGACGCCCCAGGTACGCGCGCACTTGTCGCTTTGGCCGGTGCAGGAGGTCTCAAAGTTGGGGTCGGAGATGGCGTTGTTGACGTTGAAGGGCGTCTTGGCGTCGGGGTTGCCCTGGAAGTAGGCAGTCTCGGTCTGGATGTGCGCCATGTAGACGTTAGAAGCGTTGTTGAACTGGTAGTTGTAGAGAACGCTGTGCTCGGAGGCAGTACCCCAGAACCAGGTGCCCTTGGTGGCCTCGCAGAGAACACCACGGCCGTTGTAAATGTTGATCTGGGCCTTGCGGTCGGGGAGATCCAGCTCGTGGTCGGCGACCCACCACCAGGTGTTCTCAAAGTAGCCAGAGGACTCGGCGGTCATGTGGGTGAGCAGGTAGGCGCCGATACATTCGGGGTTGGCGACGGTGGTGACGTTGGGGTTCTTGGCGCACTTGTCAGACTGAAGCTGGGTTCCGGCACTGCCTCCGATGCGGAAGTGGACATCCCAGAGACCGGCCGCACCAGGGGTCGAGCCGGCAATGTTGTACTCCATGAGAATGGCACCAGCCTGGGGGCCCTGGGTCTGGACGATCATGTCGCTCATCTCAAAGGTACCAACGTCGCCAGCCTTACCGATGCGAAGCATGACCTTGGGGTTGGCCTGGTCCTTGAAGGCGGCACCGTTAGCCATGAGCAGAGGCCAGACCTCCCCGGTGATCTTGATGTCCTTGGGAACCTCAATAGTGTCCGAGATGATGTAGGCACCGTGGTCAAAGTAGACAATGTCGTTGGGGCCGGCCTTGTTGAACAGGGCCTGGATAGCAGCGGTATCGTCACTTTTGCCGTCACCCTTGCAGCCGTTGGCCTTGGCGCTGAGGAACGAGCTTGCTGGGACGTTGGCATACTGGGGCTTGGCGCGGGTGACAACCTTGCCATCAGAAGCGAGAAGACCGGCAGGCTTGACGATGGCTTCCTGAGCTCCCTGGACAGCCTTGCCCTGACCGGCAGTGCCAGTGTAGGTCTTGCCCTGGATGAAAGAGCCAATTTTCTGGTTGCCAGGAAGAACGGTAGCCTTGGTGTCGACGATCTGGACGGCGGCGGGGACGTTGGAAGACATGTCGACGTTGTCGAGGATCAAGCTGCCGTTGGTAGATGAGGACGAGGGGTTGTAGGCAGTCAGGATGCCGACGGGGGTGTTGCTGATGACACTATCGAGAAGCAGGACGGAGCCAACAGTCTGCGCGCTAGCACCGCCGTTAGACATATCGATACCAACGCCGCAGTTGTTAATCTTCAAGTCCTGGAAGGTCCAGAGCCAGTTCCAGTTCATGTAAACGGCCGTCTTGCAGTTGTTGAATGTCATGTTGCGGGTAGTGAACTGCTGCGAGCCCATGAAGGCACCGTATTTGCCTCCGTTGAAGGTCAGGTCGGTCATGAAACCTCCGGAGCCGTTGTCGATGAAAATACCCTGCTGGACGTTGGCGTCGCCACCATCGGTACGCATGTTGAAGACGATGTTCTGGAGACTTGTGGCCTGGGCAACCTGCCAGTGAATGCCAGCACCAGAGCTGAAGGGCATGCCAGTCAGGTCAATGTTGAAGTTGCGTACAAGCTTCCAGAAGTCTGGAAGAGAGGTTAGCAGCTGGCGGTGTGAAGAATGAGTGTAGGTGTAGACTTACTGTTTTGGTTGGTGTGGGCGTTGTTGCCTTGGTTGTCGTACGGATCCGCATCAATCACGGCCATACCAGTGAAGCTCGCAGCGGCCTTGATGGTAGGGAGCTGGGTGGCATCTCCAACCATGTGGGTGTAGTACTTCATCACGATGGGCTTGCTGACAACGTAGGTACCGGCAGGGAAGTAGACAAGAGCAGGAGTAGTAGTCTGGGAGTCACAGCCAAAGCCGCAGCGGTTTCCCTCATCCATCGCTATTTTCAAGTCAGTAAATTGTTCTTCTTCGTTCTTCTTCACATACGGAATCACTTACCAGCCTGGATAGCCACAGTGTCGTCGCTGGAGCCATCGCCCTTGGCACCAAAGTCCTTGACGTTACGAAAGATCTTATAGTTCGGGTCTCCGAAAGCAGAGACACCTCGGCGCTCAATCGAGCCGACCCAAAAGCCGGCGGCGGCGTCAGGAGTGGCGGCCTGGGGAACAGGAGCAGGGGCGGGAGCCGCGAGAACGTCCGCCGAGAAGAGGCGCATGGCCAGGACGGCGGCCGTAAAGACCGTGGAGAGACCCATTGCAAGGTACAGCCAGCTGTGACGAGAGGTCCTCTTGTGTTTGAAAGATTGTAATGAAGTTGAAGACTGGGAGGGAAGTTGACGATTAGCTCAGTCTCAACGGTAGTGGTGTTGAAGGCGTCCAAACAAAATGCAACTTCAAGGTGCTGTGGAAAGAACTCGAGACTGCTCGAGGAAAGTATCAGGAAAGGAAAGAATGGCTTTTTGTTCTTTACAAGGCCGGGGACTTGAAAAAAGTGTGATGGGGCCAAAAAGGTAATGACTCTCGACATGGTCTTCACGAACCACCCACACCTTAAGTATGAAGGGCGTGTGAGTGTCGGTGATCAACTGACAGCCGACTCAAACCGGCCCGCGCTCCACGAACATCCTTATTGTCAGTGACTTAAAGGACTGCTGTGCATCACAAGCCTGGATCATGTCCTATTGTTCCCCCTTCAGACGAGACAAGGTCTCTTTCACTCCTCGGCGAGGCCCCTCGAAGCAGACTCCCCCGGACTCAGATGACAGGTCCCACGTCACGGTACTCTTGAAGAAAGATACCATGTAACCAACCCAAGAGACAAGAGCAACAGATAGTAAGAGCCGAGACAATAGGCCGGTGGTCTAGAAGGGTGTAGGGGAAGGAAGAGCAGTCACGGGACCGGAATCGAGAGAGAACGGTGCACAACACTCACCAGAGAAGAGGTCGAAAATTGACGGAAGCGGGTGACGGCCGATCAAGGCTCGCTATGGTGCAAAGAGTGACTTGGAAAGAATCGAAACAGCGAAGGGTGGTATATTATCCCCTCTTGGATACACGCAACGAAAAGAAAGAACGTCGAGGGAAGGACGAGGGTGTGAGGTCGAGACAACGGGAGAAGGGAGGGAGGGACCACAAACGTAGAAGAGGTTGACGGCGACATCACCGTCTTATATCGACCTACCTTTTGGGCAGTCCCCTGCCTCGCCAGGCGATTTATCGCCATGGTGGCGGCAGTCGGACCTCTGTCTCTGTCAGTCTGAGGCAAGCAGGGCCCTGGATCCCGGTTCACAACCCAAGTGCCGTCCGCCTACGGATATTCAACGACTGGATCTCGGCCTTCTGGGCAGCCAAGCAGGGCCAGTAGGGTTGTATGACGGGGAGGAAACCGAGTGATTGAGTGAGAGGGGGAATATTGGACGTCCGTGGCCCGCCCGAGCTCGACAAAACCTAGCCAACAACAGCTAACCTTAGTCCTTTCTTTACCAACACCCCTCGTCCAGCCGACTTGCCGCGCTGGATAGGTAATCCTGGCAGAGCACAAGAATGCGATGAAACAAGGATCCAGAAGGGACGCTATTGGTTGGGAGGGGATATAGCTTCAAACAGAGCTAGGATGCCAGGATGGGGGGGGTGGTACGCAATAAGGTGTTGCCAACAGACAGAGTAAGTCAAGCGACGTGCGCGCGAAAGAGTAAAAGAGAGAGAGAGAGAATGAGACGCAGGAGAGAGAGAGAACACGCAAGTAGTTCGGACGAAAAGGCCCTGTCCGGAGCAGTTCAGGGGGGTTAGTCAATGCGATGCGACAGCCGCCCCTAGTCTAGTAGTCCGGGTTGGACCACTGGGCCCCGATCTTTTGGTCTCCTTCTGGAATATCCACAGCTGGTGGTGTTCTGGTGGTGAGAGGTTGATTAAATCGCATGCAGGAAATGGATAAACGGCCCAAGGTTTGGTTTCCCAAGGGACTGTCATGATCCCTGCATCACCTCCGTTTCCCGCATGAAAATGATCTTCGGCGAGATCTGTCGGTCCTCAAGGTCTCGTCTTGATGATAAGACGCAGGAACCTGGTCATCTGGGCAGTCGATTCAAGAAAAGGAGACTCCACGTGCAGGGAGAGCAAGCGAAGCGGAGGATCAGCCAGCCCGCGCCCAAGGAGAGCAGTCGACGACTCATCTACGAGCCTTGCGGTGGCTGGAGGAAACAGAACAACAAAGGTGGGCACAGGAAAAGAGACAGAAAGGGAGTCAAGTCTACTCCATATCAAGTTACCTGTTGAATACTAAAAGACGAGAAGAAGCAACGTCAAAGACAGCACGGAAAAAGATGCCCTCTATCCGTACTTGCAGAGATCTTTGGTCTCTGAGTGCTGCATGCACTCTGTATGGCTATCTTGTCTAATGTCTCGTGCACAAAGGGGTAAAGCACTGCTGTGTAATACTCCGTACCCCAATATCGAGAAGGGGGAACAAAACAGGATAGCGGCGGCTGTTCACCCTATTTCGAGGAACCCCGTCCCTATTTTTCGCCATTTGTGCCCCTGGCTTGGCCACTTTGTGTTCTCTTTCCCACCAAAGCCGCCCCTTTACGGATGAGCAGCGGCAAGGATCATTTCTCTTCGACGGGCAGACACAACAAGGACAAGGAAGGTTCAAGAGGCAGCGAGGCACCGGAAAAAATTCTGGACAGCCGACTTGGGGATGGGGTAGCTCAGGATCGGGCATAGCGCCGTTTCAAGGCCGTCCACCCTCCACCACCAGCAGACGCTCCGAGCACAGGACGAGAAATGGGGTTCGCGTCACAGAGCTGGGCGCGTTGCGACCCGATCCCGCAGCGGCATTGGCTGCGGTTGTGCGTTGATGGCCGTTGGTTGGATGGCAGCTGTTCCCGCGGGAGATGATGAGGAGGGGAGGCCCAGATGGGCGAGGCGCTTGTGACTGAAGTGTGAGCCTGTCATTCTTTTTGCCCATCCATATCTCCAGTCCTTTTCATGTCCTACAGTGTCATTTTGCCATGGCGACCAGGTCCAGAAACTTGGACAGCCGTTTGTCTGGACCTCTTCCATGACGGCATCGAAGCGCTCAATATCAAAGAGGTCTCCCATGAAGTGGCTGGGTTCTTCCACGGCTGGCCTCCACGGCTGGCCCTGGGCACTGACTCTGTACGACCTGTCAACTGAAGCCACGCCACACAAGTGGCAAGAGGATGGACCTCTCATAACGGTACATGGCGTTCTGTAAGCTTGGGCTACCATCGGGCCCCCTTCGTCGAGGCTTGGAGTCTCCCACCCGTGATGCTTCTCACTGTAACCTCCCCGCTCCCCCGCCTCGGGGCTCGTGACGAGGGACAGTCACCCGGGTCTACCTCCAGGAACCATTTCCTCGCCGGCGACTTGTCTACTACTCTGTCGATATTGGAAGCTACTGCACTACCACCCCGCAAGACTCAAGACTCGGCCCTTTTTCAGAGTCAAGCGCTGTCACATGGGATGTAGAAAACAGTAACCTGCTGTCCGGTGCCTCACTTTTACTTTGAGAAGGGTAACAGTTTGTGGGGAAGAGTCATTGCTTCGAGCCTACCATGTAGTGAGACCCGTGTCGCGCCAAAAAGGGATGATGGGAGAGTCAGGCAAGAGCCCATCTATTGATGGGCTATAGTACCAGAGACGACGACCACTGGCACGCCCATGGGACAGGATATCCCATCCATCAAGCCCGAATGTCTCCAGGTTCTGTCCGACGATGCCAGCGGTTTGCATGCCCCTTGCAGGAGTCATGTCCGCAGCCAACCCGCCAGGACAGGCCCGGTAGAAGCATGCCAGCGAGTCCGTTGACGACGAGGAGGGCCATCAACAACGACCAGACATCAGCTGCGCGCAACACCTCATGTGGACCGCATGCAACCGCGCTGAATCGTCGTATGAACATCCACGCCAACTACAACGTTGAAGCGCATCACGTGCGCCGCGTGCACTACATTGTAGACACTCGATATGCTTACTCTTGTCATGACCTTGCGGGCCTGGTCTGAGTGCGTGGATTGAGTTCTGGGTTTGCAGATTGCAGATACACTTTCCATCACACGTTGCTGAGACGTATCTGCGCCGCGTACGCAACCTACGTCTGTCGAGTGTCGACGCAGGAGTCGACATTGGTTCCAAACAAGCACAGCTTCACAACATCCCATCTTCGCCATTGCCGTCTTGAAACGTCCACATCACCTACACTGCACACCGGCGTCGCTTTGGAATTCGCCCATCCCTGCCTGTTGATGTGTCTCCCAAAACGCCGGGTCCTTCCATGAGTTCCTATCACTGTGTGTATCTGATGAACATTGATACTCAAACTCTTCACCCACAGTTGGTAGAGTCATGTTCTCATCACGTCCCCCCTTTGCCCACACGCCAACGCCTGATCGTCCCGCGCACTCTTTCCGCGCATCGATGATCATATTCCTGGCTGCTTGAAATGCCCTTCGCCAAGCCGTTGCGCCCTTTGCCGTAGCCCCCAAACTTCCCCCGTCCAAAGGAGCGAGCAGAGCAGAAACTGAGAACTCGGAAGAGACCTCCCAAATACAAAAAGACAAGCGAACTTGTCCACTACCCCTTTTGGACTTTTAGCTGCATGTCATTAGAGGCAGGTTTAAGCAAAAACCAGGACCACCATGTGCCGCTTGCCGCTACACCACACCACCCCCCAGTATTTCTGACGGAAATTAACCTTCATGCGTGAAGGCTAAAGGGACGATTCTGGGCCCAGAAACCCATCCCTCTCCTCCCGAAAGACCCCAAACGGTTCGCAACATTCTTCCGGCTAAAGAACTGACTGGCTTGGCTCTGGATTCCTTCATAGCAGAGCTGAGCAGACCTGGACACTCAATGGTCTTGACACGGGGGACACCCCAAAAACATGATCTACGACTTCCATTCCTAACCTCCTTTCTCAGGACCATTGCTCGTTGTCGCGGTCAGGTGGCGTCGCCCAAGTTCCCAATGTCCACATGGCCCTGGGCACCTTGTGATTGTCTGTCGACTACTGTAATCTGTGGGTGAGCTCGCTCGCACATCGAATCGTGGCGTCGTGAGACCTGGGGTGAACCCCAACCTTTTTTTCCCCCTCCTGTCCATCCATCCACCCCATGTCCTCGTGGCAATCTTGCGCGCTCTCTTCTCAGTCGTGCCAGTGACCTTTTTTACCTCGCAGATCATCCGCGACGGTCGGCGGGCAGTAGCGCAGATCATCCCCACGGGACACTCGAACCAGTCTAATTTTCTTTACCCCAATAACTGCGGCTTCATTTAATTTCACATTGCGGTGGAGGGTTTTTTTTTTGGTTAGAAATCCTGGAGGACATGGGGGCCTTGAGGTATTGGAGGAAGAAACCTGGTTTACTTTACATGAAATCACAAGACAGCCGCCCTCCCAGTACTACCGTTGGATCCGGGACGATGAAAATACACCCGGGACGGCACTGCGGCACCCGTGGTAGGCATCGTGAGCCGGAGAAAACAGAGACTAAGCATCAACATGAGACGAACACATGTCAGTGAACCTCCTCACCTCAGGTACTCTGCAACCCATCCGGCCCGACCGACCAGCGTCGCATCCGGCACCATCACGGCGGCTCTTGTGTGTGTGCAATGTCGATATAGTTGTGTCCTCCAGTCACCCCAATCCCAGCCTCAGTCGAACCTGATGGCTGGGGCCGTGGATGCTGAGGGGAACGATCCGGGGAAGGACAGAAATGGAAGGTCGGTTTGTGATACCTCCTCGACTGCGTTCTGGAACAACCCCTGGCCCTCGGCCCTATTTTCAGCTTTCGTCTTGGGACACTTGCCTTGCTATATGGCCCGAAACCACTGCCCAAGACAATTTGCGGAAAATCCAGCTGAAACGATGCTTTTTATGTTCTTTACGCATGTGACTATCTTCACGATATTCAGCGTATACTTGAAGGATGCTGCGGAAGATTGGCCGACGGTTCTTTTGATCTCGGTCTTCGCGAGACAGCTGAGCATGATAGCGACGTCATGCCTTTGAGACTTGCACGAAATGGCCTGATTTGTCCATTCTTCTGATGTCGGTAAAGACTTGATTGAAGCTGGAACGGCCGTGCAGAGTCTCAATTCATAGGATCAAACTGATCTAGATCCAGCAGAGACATGTATAGAGAACTCAATGCCATAAACCATTCTATAGAAATGGGCGATCAACATTCACAAGTCACCCGTGTCTTTGTGGTTCCCTCGCCACCTCACGTCAGTGTAATTGAGATGAACGTCGTCCTCTCGTCATGTGGATGATACGTATTCCAACCCTCGTCCTCCAAGTTCACTTCACTTCCATCATCATCGTTGATCACAAGTCTGAACTCAACCGAATAAGTATCATCAATTTTAGATCCAACAAGCTCAGGCACGTTTCCAGCAGCCGCTCAAGCCCGTCTCTCGCCTCCACGGATATCGGAAGGCACGGTCCGTGATCTGCACATCCGTCAGGCCCTTTGGCCACGAACTTCTCCCTGCGTCGATCGGCGTTGGGCTGATCCCAATCAGCTAGTTTCCGCCAACATGCTCTCGGACGTGAGATGAGATTTGCTTCCAAGGCGCAGCATAGGCTGAAGCATAGACGGTTGAAGCTGTCATCGCCTCCTCACTTTTGGACTGCACAGCTCGCGGAAGCTGGAGACATATCATAGATTGAAGTTGCAGAGAGCCTACCACCTCGAATCGACTCCGGTTCATGTGTGTGCTTGCGGCCGATCAAGTATTGCGAACCGAACACCCTCTGCATCTTCATCTGACTTGCATCTACATCTACGTGCCGCAATCGGAACCCAATCCGCCTCTGCGGCGGACAACACCAGAAGCAACAGCCCGTATCAAAGCATCCAGTGCAATCGGGCGGAACAAGGCAGATGATCAAGGTCTGTATCCTTACAACAATGAACCATCTGCCAAAAGCCCCCTTCTTCATCCCAATCCCAGAAGCCATCAGTGGCACAGACTCATCCGTTCTCACACTCTGACAATCAACTCAAGACGTGCGGTAAGCACCGCAACACACATCTCGAAACAAAAAAGCCCTGCGGAGATGCAGAAAGATCCGGCCATCAGATGATAAACCTTGAGTTGAAACGAAACGGAACGTCCCATCTTGTTGCACCGTTCTGAAACCCGAATGGAAGAGAGGTATATAGCAACACCGGGTGCGCTTTGATGAGCGAGGCGCACCCCCGTACGACCCTGCTATTTTCTCGCCTCGTCGCGTTGGACTTTCCCCAGCTGAAACCCCCGTCTTCTCCACGTTCTGTCCCATGCCGTCGTCTCATAGCATGACAGCGAAGAATGGTAGATCAGCGGCAAAGTGTCACCTCAAACTCTTCACAGCACATCGGAACAAATGGGTTGGCTCTCAGCGAGTGATGGCGAAAGAGAATCTATAATGCTTCTATCCCGTAGCCGTCTATGCAACAAAGCCCAGGATGCCATGCAAAACGAAGAAGAAAGCTCAGTGCAAATGTTTGAACGGAACCAAACCCGAGCGAAAATAAACCAAACCTTGACCAGACACCCGCAAACCCAATGCAAGTGGATGAATATCCTTCATCATCCCATACGCCTCGTGAGAACGATCCTGTGTTTTCCAGAAATCGCCTCATGTGTTTTCCGTATACCATCAACTACTCCTGATCGCTACCGAGCCGTGATGATCGAATAAAAATGAAGAAAAAGTCGTCAGTGAGGGCGGTCCAGCCTTGCCGCTCTCGGTATTAGTGTATTAGGTAGGTTGTACGCATCTTTCGTGCATCTAGATGTATCCGCCCTCTATTTCGCAGGTGCCGCCGCTGCTCTCTAATGCCTCGATGCCAGGAACGTCGGCACCAAAGTCCATGATGAGGATTTTGGGATCCTGTCCTGTACTGACGATTCGTCGGTAGTCGCTCTTCGCGCTCAGCACCCAGCTAGCGTGCCATCGTGGGAAGTCGAGCAACTGGCGACCAGTTTCCATATCGAAGACCTTGATATCAGTATCGTAGCTGCCGCTGACAAGACGGCCGCTGACCGAGTCGATATGCAGGCTACGCACGAGGTTATCGTGGGCCTTCATCTCGCGAAGGCACTCGCCTGTATTGGCATCCCAGATGCGGATGACCTTGTCGTTGCCGGCCGAGGCAACATAGCGGCCATCTTCAGAAAACTGAGAACAGGCCAGACCCTTTGTGTGACCCTCAAACTCCCTTATATTTTTGCCAGTGTCGATGTTCCACAGCTTAACGCGGAAGTCGCCTGAGCAAGACACAATGGTGTTGCCGCGCATCTGGACAGCATTGACCGGCCCAGAATGTCCTCGCAGCTGACGGAGAAGAGTGCCTGTCGCACGGTCCCAAACGCAGATGCTGACGTCCTTGCTACAAGTGATGATGTGCTTGTCATCAAAGGCAAGATCAAGCACGGCGGCTGTGTGATGCTGGAGACGGCGGACTGGTCTGTAGCCTGACCGGACATTGTACACAATGCAGGTCGAGTCGGACGATCCGGTCACGAGCATGCGGCCGTCGTATTGCAAACAAAGAATGGAAGCCTTGTGATGGGTTGGGAAGGAGACCATGGCAGGCATCGAGGGATTCGCGCGCTGGTTATCGGGGAGAGTTGCATAGTGGACCGGCTGGCCATCCTCGTCTAGAAGCAGAGAGACATCATTGACGACTTCGGGCGGACCAATAACCAGCCGGCACTCGAATGTCCGCATATCCCAGACTCGGATGGTCTTGTCACGAGATCCAGTGATGATCTTGGTCCTATGCGATCATTAGTTGGAATTATTCATTCGGTAGGGGTTTGACTACTCACTCGTCAAATTGCAGGCAATAGATACTATCCAGGTGTCCGTTCAGATATACGGGCTTGGCCTTGCCCTCTTTCCATCGCTGGTCGAGCTCTTCCTTGGCCTTGTAGATTTGCTTCCAGTTCACGTCTGGGGTGATAGGCGGAACGCCCTGTCCGGTTCCAGGTTGGACGGGGAGACTAGTGGCGTAGGTCCCGGTCTTCTCACGCAAGAATGACTCTCTCCAGACGTGCTGGTTCTTGACCGTCTGGTGCCATTCCCGCGAAACCATGCTTGCGGCACCGAGAGCCGTAGCGTCTAGATGAGCGAGAACCTGGATCGCGAGCTCGACAGGAAGCTGCGAGATGAAGTTTATTCGACTGATGTTCGCGTCTTCCACCTCCACGTCAACATCTGACTCGACGCCAGTGACGGTGATGCCGATGCCGCTTTCGCGATCAGTGAAGTCATCAGAGGAAGCGCGGAGCCATTTGTTCTGGAACGCCTGGTTCGAAGCCGCAGCGGAGGCCTTGGCAGCAGCGCCGGTGTGAAAAGGGATGACGGGCGGCGCGCTTCCATTTCCGGGTAGTGGTAGGCAGGGGAAACAGTTGTCAGACGCAGAGGCGTCGCTCTGTGCGTCGGGACCATGGGATGTCTTGGAGTGACGGAAACTTGTAGCTTGGCGAAGGCGATGCCAGTGGGAGTGCGCATGAGCAGTGCCAGGGCGGGCGTGATGATGTGGCTCTTCAAGGCCATGGGCACCCCCGATCGAATGCCTTTTGTGATGAACAATGCCCTTCAACGAGATGGATGCCCTACGAATCATGCCCTTGATGCTGCCGTTGCCATTACCCACCGCGGGGGAGCCGTGACCGAGCTTGACGGCGTTTTCGTCGCTAGGGCCGGCGTGGCTTCCAGATCGCTCGAGGGAGAGTTCCTCCAGATGACTTGACAGGTCGGGATCAAGGTGAAAAATGGATGATTTGCGACGCCATGGGAGGGAAAGGCTCATGCTGCGAAGACGATGCTGCTGGAAGGAGGGTCTGGTGTTGGCGTGCCCGTCAAAAGCATCTTGGACGGCGGACGTGGACGAGGGTCCGTCGTAGATGGCCTCCTGGGTCGGAGCCCAATCGGAGAGGTTGTGGGTGCGTGCAGCCATGTTGTAGATGCGTATGACGACGTCGACGGCAGTCGCCTGGGAACTGGAATTGGGGCTCGAGATTGATCTCTTCTAGCTGGCCTTGCAGACGAGACGACAAGGAAGTATCCGGGGCGTGGAAGAGAAAGGGTCGAAACGGATTCGTGGGGGAGCGAATACAGCACGAGCACCTGAAGATCATCACATGGTCAGTGGAAGGCTCGAAGGGTTTAAAGCAAATCAAGAGAGAGAGAGAGATCATTCGAGGAGGGTCTTGTCTCAGTCCCATACCTTTACTCCTAGCTTCTTCTCCCTTTTTTGCTTCTTTTTCCCCTTCCTAGACCTGACTCTGTCTGGCGCGCCCGAAAGTTGCACACTCGCAGGACGGGAATGTCTCGGGCTTCCCACCAAAAGGCTGGGCCACCGCAGGGTGAACAATGGGTGGATAACTGGGTGGCGGCCAGTAAGGAGGAGGTTGGGCGGAAATTTTGGAGATTTTCGGGCGTGGTTCAAAGATATTAAGACAGAGAGAGCGATGGGCTGCAGCAGCTATCGACGGGTTGAGTCGCAGAGGCGGCAGTGGGAACCTGAACCACGGAAGTCGGCCGCTGAGTCCTGGGGGATCCAAAAGGCAGGGCGACAGAGCGAGGCAACGAGGGTCCTGGAGACGGTTTGTTTTGGGGTTGCTGGAGACGACCTATTCAGGCCTAGGGGTGTCGAAATGTCAGGGTCGAAGGGTGTTCGTCCCCCCCGGCTGGCCCTTTTTCTCTGTGGATATTCCAGGGTCCGTCCTCCTTGGGAAGAGGGATCGGCTTCTTGGGGTTACCGGATCGGGGCTGGATTCGGCTGCGGGAAATAGGGTGGTGGGCGCGCTACTGGGCAGAACGCGTAGCTAGTATTTGCTAGGTATCTTTTTGAAGTAGAGGCAGGCCGCAGAAGATGAGGACGAGGACGGTGACGGTGAAAGGAAGCCAGAGATGGAATTGGGAGGTCCAAAATGAGAGACGAGCCTGATGACCTCGGATAGTTGAGCAGAGGTGTGGGAACCTTTTCGTACGGTATTCGCCCGTCGTGCCGCAACAAGCGTGAGTGTCTTGCCGTGTCGTGTTGTGTACCCTGGTGTAGGAGCGCGAGTCAACAAAGGGAAAAAGGGAAGGAAAAGGCGCCGGTGCAGATCCCCAGCCAAGTGCGAGCCTCAGCTTGTTGTTGTTGGGCGAAGGTTTCGAGGAATGTTGATGTCAATCTTGCAAGAGGCAGAGAAAGTCCCGGTCCTTCCTCTCCGGTAAGGTACGTGCGGTACGTACATGTTCGGGATGGTTTCTGGGTCCCAAGAACTTAGAACTGGAAGGTCGTGTACCTACAAAGGTACAAATAGGTACCTCAAACTTCCTCACCGCCGTGCACGTAAGGCCGAACTTGCAAGACAGCCGTGTTTAAGAGGCAGCGATGCCATCCTAAACGAAAAAGAAGTTTGATTTAAAAAATTGGCGGGCCGTTGTGTAGAACAACAATGGACGCAGAACCAAGATGTTGGCGCTGGCAGGTGGAGGAACGGTGCGAAGAAGAGACGGAAACCAGGGAGCGAACAAGTACCGGTAGGCACATCCAGGGACGAGAAAGGACGAAAGACGGGCTGGCCGACGGGCTTACTACAGCCAGGACACTAGAGTACACTAGAGTCGGCGACAGACAGTTGGACGTGCGCCACGCTTGTTGCAGATTGCACGGGGTGGCCCGGGAAACCGAGTCGTCTTCGTGTGGTCCAGATGGGTGTTGTAGCTTGTATGGGCTTCGAGCCATGGTCAGTCAGCCAGGTACCACAGCAGAAGAGTCTCGTGATATCCGTAGTCACTGATCATATGGAACTTCTCAGTTGGGGAGCAGAGGGATGACCGCAGTGCTTGACCAGATTACCCGCCTCACCATCATGCGCCGGCGTGATTGTTGATATTCATCAAACAGCGTCGCAATGTTTATATTTCGGGAAAGCGATTGTAGGAATCACCCTGGAACCGCAGCCTCAGTTTGCATGGTTGGGTGCAACGAAAATGAAATTGCAGCGTGGCAGACCTCGCCGGCGTCGTGGTAGCACGGTGGGTGCTAGCCTGCCAGGCCTGCCAGGGCCACCAAAACCATGGAGGTGCTAAAGGTATTTCTACCTGTTGTTTCGGATGCCCATGTCGAGGAACCCGGAAATCTGGCTGTGTTGCAGCGCTTGAAATGTATCCGATACATTGCACGCTCAACAGAAAGCCGTCACTCTACTATTGATTCTTACTGCTCTCCTTCTTCCATCTCACAATCCCATTTCCAAAGTCAATATACGATACCTAGTCCTGTTGGCAGCCAAGTGATTGAACTTTATTCGCAAGCTGCATGTCTCTCGATTCTATCCAACTTCCCAGGGTCTCGGTCCCTGAATGCAGACACCCTGGAAATCCCACCCTTCCCGCATCGCATCCTTCAGGCTAGGCTGACTGCAACCCTGTAAGCGGAGATCCAAAGTCAATTCCCGTTGTTTCCCCTCTCAGATCTGGTCACTGGTTTCTTGGTAGACTCGGTTCTTTGTGCCAAGCCTGGTGTCAGAAATGGCGGCCTCGACGTGTATTCATCTTTTGGGCTTCGCAGAGATTATTTCCGTCAGTCGCGGAGAGGGGATATGAGGCACTAGCTTTAGCAAGTGTTATGGTGCATTCTCCAGTCCAGAGACGAGTCAACTTTTGATCAAGCATGTCGTTGGCAACTAGGCTTTGAGACCTTTGCGACGGGAAATTGTCTGTCACACTCTCATGCAGTCGACAAATGAAGGGCGACATTCCGTCCACTCACAACGGCATCTCACCAGCGCCGTACCGCCTGCTCTTATTGCCAGACCGCCAGGTAGTGGCCAAGGAAAGTACAACTTGGTCTCGCATCTACCATGGCGGTGGGCTCCCTGGCCGAGTACTGCATTGTCATGTGCCTTTATAACATACAAAAGGTGACGCGAGCAAGCGAGCGCCTGGAGATCGATTCCATGGCACAAACAGAGGTTCGCAAATGACGGTGAATCACATTCATACTCTCCCTGCCAGGGATGGCTTTGGGTGACTTTCCGCTTCCCCAGATTATCTATCTCTGACATTAGCCTAAGATACCTTACCTTGGCTAATGAGCGCTCAATGGAAAGCGGAAAAAAAAACCCCGAGGTCAGATTGATACCTAGTTCCCAGGCTGAAATCAAGTACGGAAGATGATATCTGTACTATTTCCAGACGGCAGCCACGGTGATTGGCGATGTAATTGTGGCCTCACTGTAAAACGCACGGCACTCGGAAATTCCGAATTGTGTTTAAAGGCACGGGCCATGGCAACACTTCGGCTCCGGCGCAACCTACCCGAACCCCCGACGTAAGGTGCGGCAGGGGGCCGGGATTTCGGAGCTCAAGTTTTTCCTTGCTCCTGCCACGATGAGAGGTCCAGTCCATCAGGGTGCTCGTCACGCCAGAATCCCCAGTGATGAGACGAAATCGCCTTGACGTACCCCTCAACTCCTTTAGCTCTCCGCTCTGCTATTTCTGAAGAGAATCAGATCCTGCCTCCTTCCCATCGACGACACCTCGTGCTCCGAGAATTGCGAAAATGCCTCCCAAACCAGCCCAGTTCGGTAGAATCGGCCTCGTTATTCCACTCTTCTACCGCGTATTCTTCCTAGGCATCGAGCCCGTGTCTGCTCTTGTGGGCGCCTACTATGCGCACGTTCGACCCGATGACTACCTACAACTCACACACGCCGTCTCCAAACCCGAAATCATCCCTCAAGGGACGTCCATCGTCCTTTCCCAGCTCGCAAACCTCTACCTACTCTTCGCTCTCAATGAGGCACTCGTTCTTCGCTCGACCTCGGACCTGCGCGTTTGGAAGACTGTCTTGTTTGTGCTCCTTGTCGCCGACATTGGACACTTGTACACAGTTCGGAGCTTGGGACCGGGAGTTTACTACAACTTTGCCAAGTGGAACGCCATCGACTGGGGAAACGTCCCGTTCGTCTACTTCGGTGCCTCGATGCGAATCGCGTTCCTCGCAGGCGTCGGATTGAGCGGTCGACCAGCACCTGCAAGAAAGGAACAGTAGAGCATCCGGGATTCCGCTAATCTTGAATACCCTGTCCGATTGGGATGATTCGTTCGTAGCGGAGGACCGCCCGATCATTGCGCCGAGCCCGAGCCGCCCACCGTCGGTCTGCACAATGCCGCTGCCGAGATTGAAGGTTCCCGGGGACCAACTAAAGGAAAGGCGCCGTTGGCAAAGAAAAAAAAGAGAAACACAAGCAGCCTCAGAAAGAACGCCACAATAGAGGCTGGAGCAACCCCGAGCTATTACCGAAATGCTGGCCTGGTCAGTCGCCCGAACGGCGTCACAAATACCTCGATGGGCTGCAGCGCAGTGGAAGGATCGAACCAGCACGCACGTCGGGACAATATGGTTGGCCAGGGATATTTGCACTGCACAAACTCTCGGAGACATTTGCCGAGATACAGCGAAGAAGGGAGTCCATGCAGCGAGCTTGGCCCCTTGACAAAGACTTTTTGGCCCAGGCCAAGCCCGATGTTATCTGTAATCGTGGATTGGGTTTTCCATCCGCCGCTCGACGTCTAAAGTCGGATCCCTCCTCTCTGTATGGTGGGAATTTCGGCAGCCGTCTCGGAAAATCTTCCGGACAATTTCCCTCCCCCAACCCCCGGAAGAGCCACATCAAATCGGGTGGATTACGGGGTGCAATTGGCGGGCAATGGTGGGGTACCATCGCGGGGCAGCGTGACAAGACGGATGGAGCTCGGATGGACGTGAGAAAGTAAGTCATGGAAAAAGATGCAAGCTCAACAAGTCTCACGGCGTAGCCAATACGACAAGATTCGATTCGATCTCGAGGAAAACCCTCTTACTTATACAGTTCCGTTCCATATTCCTCGACCAGCGACGGACGTACGGATGAGGAGAGCCAATGGCATAAACTCGTGGGAGAATCAAATGAGCAAACCATCGTTTCCTTCCAACAGGCGCCTAGCCTTGAGCAAGGGTCCCACCCCCATCTAGCTCGCATGGGATGACATTGAGGCGCGACATGAGCCCCTCCTCGTCCGAGGTGGGAGGTGCCCCTCACTCAAGGATAGATGTACTACTCCCCACGCGCAGCGCCGCGACAAATGAGATGGTGGGGGTGTTCGGGAGCAGGTCTGAGGTGGTCAGGGTATTTCATCCGGCGCGGTTCCCTCTGCCCGTCGTGAGCAGTCCCCGACCCTTTCTCCTCGCCCTCTCCCTCTTCTCTCGTGCCATTATACTGCTTCCTGATATAAGACCAAGCCGTCTCGCGAGCATAATCAAACGAGTCTACAAGACCACTCATCACTCGGACACACCCATCCACCATGTCGATCCCCGAGAAGTTCACCGGCTTCCAGGTCAATAGTGCCGAGACCTGGCAAGACTTCAAGAAGCAGGAGTTTGACCCCAAGCCTTTTGGCGACTACGACGTCGACATCAAGATTGAGTGCTGCGGTGTATGCGCCAGTGATGTGCACACGATCAAGGGTGACTGGGGTGCTCAGCCCTATCCTCTGGCCGTCGGTCACGGTAAGCTCCTTGTTTCTGCCGCACCAGGTCTGACATGCAGACTGATTTTCCTGTGACCAGAAATTGTCGGAAAGGCCTTGAGAGTCGGTTCCAAGGTCACCAAGATCAAGGAGGGCTCGCGTGTTGGTGTGGGAGCTCAGTCCTATGCCTGTCTCGAGTGCCGCCAGTGCAAGAATGACAATGAGACATACTGCAAGCACCAGCTCGACACCTACGGCTCTACGTTCCCCGACTCAGGCGCAATTTCCCAGGGCGGCTACTCCTCCCACGTTCGCACGCACGAACATTGGTACGCGTCTCGATATCTACTAGCTAAGATGCATGCTAATGAAGCAACAGGGTCTTCCCCATTCCCGACGCCCTTCCTAGCACTATTGCTGCGCCAATGCTTTGCGCCGGTTTGACAGCTTATAGTCCTCTGATCAGAAACGGCTGCGGTCCTGGCAAGAAGGTCGGCATTGTTGGTATTGGCGGTATTGGTCACTTTGGCGTCATGTTCGCCAAGGCTCTGGGTGCTGAGGTGTGGGCCATCTCTCGCTCGCGTTCCAAGGAGGCGGATTCCCTAAAGATGGGTGCAGATGGCTACCTGGCGAGCGGCGAGAAGGGTTGGAACGAGCCTCATAAAATGACGTTTGACCTCATCCTCAACACGGCCAACTCATTCGAGGGTTTCGACCTGTCTGCCTACCTCAGCCTTCTCGACGTCCATGGAAAGTGGGTATCTGTCGGTCTCCCTGGTGGCGGCGGCATCACCGTCCGGAACCAAGACTTCCTCCCCAACGGCTGCTTCATTGGCAGCTCTCACCTGGGCAGCAGACGCGAGACCTTGGAAATGCTGCAGCTCGCTGCCGACAAGGGCATCAAGACATGGGTGCAGGAGGTCCCCATCAGCGCCGATGGTCTGAGATCGGCGATGAACGGTATTGAGGACTCCAGTGTCCGTTACAGATACTGCTTGACCAACTACGAAGAGGCGTTTGGCCAGTAGGCATGAGTTGGAAAGCATGGGTGTAATGTGTATAGCAAACCAAAAGAATACCACTTAATGATACTAAATGAGTCTTCGTCTCATAATGTTTCAAAGTAGGGGTGGATGAAGTTCTTCCCGCTTCATCAGATTCCCGCCTCGTTACAAGAGCTGCAAGAACTACAGCGAGATGTGGTCGAATGGAGAAATTCCGCCGCCCTGGGCAGTCATTTTCCGGGCGCAATCCCTATCGCCGTCTGCTGCTGGTTCACTGGCCCGGTGCGCCCGGTGCGCCGGTCATCGGCGACGCAAACAAGGTTCCGCGGGGACACAGCAGCGACAGGGGTCTGGGGAGCCCAGCCATGTTGCGGCTGTGTGCGGTGACATCCCAAGCCGCCCGGGGAGACCGGGGTTCCGGCAAGGTGACTGATCTGATTGATTGATCTGGGGAAACATGCAGCATCTTAAATCCGACTCATCCATCTGCCACATCCTTCGTATACTAAACCTTGCAAACATTACACAGGGGGGGAAACGTCGGACTGCAGACAATGTTGTGTTTTGGCTGAAAGGGACAGAGACACAAGAGATATCATGAGCACTTATTTGGATGCCAGCAATGGCCCGCCGGCGGATGATTCGATGCCGAGCTACGAGGAGGCGGTCGCGGAGGGGTGAGTCTCTTGGCTTTGCATCAGCACACGCGACACGCGACATTGATCGTCATTTTCATGGTTTTACTCACGACGTACTAACCATGCCTTTTTACCTTGATCCAGTGCGCAGCGGCAGCGGAACACGGCGAGGACACACTCCGTCTCGGGGTCAATACAGTCGCTCAACCTCCACGACGGCACGCTGCCGCCCTCGATCCTGCGGCTCAAGCACCTCGGTCGCACAATGTGCCAGAATGGCCCCGTCACGGCCATCACCGTCAGCCCAAAGGGCTACGTCGCCACATCCCAGGACAACACGGGCACGGCGCTGCCCTCCAGCACCAAGATCTGGGACTTTTCGCAGAAACCTGGCGGCGCCGGAGGCGCGAGGCCGGTGCCGTCGGACATTGGCAACGATGCGCCCGTCGTCGTCTTTAGCCCCGACGGGAAACTCACGGCCGTGGTCGAAAAGGACGCGGGCTGGAAGCGGGAGTGGCGGGTGAAGCTCCGCGCGGGGGAGGAAGGGCGAGGGGTGCGGTGCGCGCTCAACGGCGTGGGGAGGCCGGCGGCGTTCAGTCCGGACGGGAAGAAGTTTGCGGCGGCGGACCCGATGGGTGTGGTGGTGGTGTTTGAGGCGGCGACGAGCCCGCCGGGGATGCCGCCGACGAAAAAGGTGGCGGGCGTTGTGAACCACGCTGCGCCGACGCACGTTCTATTCATGCCCAACGGCGCTGACCTCGTGACGATGTCGAGGGACGGCACGGTAAGGATCTCGGAGGCCAAGACGGGGAAGACGCTGCGGCGGATGGAGGTGGACGGAGTGGTGACGGGGACGGGGACGGGGGCGCGGGCGTTGGGCGTTTCGCCGGATGGGAGGGTCGTGGTGTCTGTCTGGGCGAGGGCTGTGTATGTTTGGGAGCACGAGGCCGGGCGGGTGTCGAGCTGGGAGATGAATAAGGTGCGGAACAATGAGGGTTGGCCGCTGGCGGTGTCACCGGATTGTCGGTTCCTGGCGTGTCGGACAGAGGAGGGGATGGATATCTCGGATGTATACTCCGGACAGGTTCTGGCCGAGGTGACTACGGCGGCGGGGATCGACGGGTTGGTTACGGCGGCGGCATTCTCGATGGACGGCAAGATGATGGCTGTTGGAAGGCATAGCGGTGTGGTTGACGTGTGGAATTTGGCACCCTACGGAGATTGATGGAGGCGGTGATGGTATTTTGTCTTGATCTGCTCATGAATATGAAGGAGGGGGTTTGTTTATCTGCTGCTCTGCTGGACCAAAACGGCGATGAACAAGACGCCTCATGATTGGTGTTAAAAGTTACAATGAAGTCGAGGAAAAAAATCACTGCGGTGCTTAAGTGGCTATTCCCTGACGAAGACTAGTTTGAATCTCGCCTTATCAGATGGGACAGCGTGGGACTTTGGCCTTTGCATCACGTTGAGGATGAGTAGATCATGTCCACAGACATATGGCCATCGCGATATTCCCTTGGCATATGATTCGATTCTAACCAGCAAAAAAGCCTGTCACGAGACTGTTCACATGAACTTGACATCTCGAATCTACCTTGGTCTGAATTATGTCATCCCTTGTTGGAGAAGTCAATCGAAGCGGAATCTGCTTGTTCAGACGAAAGTAGCTCGGTTGTCTATGATACTTCTGGCAACCGTGTCATGGAAGGGGCAGACAATAGATTCACGTACTAACCATACCAATACGCCGATTCTTCTACTGGAAGAGAATATTGGAATTAGGTATGCCTATGTGCCGTTTGATTGCGTTCAAGTAAGGGGTCCGAATTTCATTTCGAGGGCGAGACGAGAGCGAACGGGCAGGTAGAAACGCACTTCCTACTTTCGAATAAACTAATGTGTGTTTGCGTTGCTAGCAACAAACAAGTCCAGCGGCGCCTGAGCGAACAAAGGCTGCCAACGAAGACGAGTCGGAGGGGACGCAGCTTGGCTGGCCGAGTCAACTTGTCAGGGTCAACAAGAGGCCAGGCCAATAAGATAATACCTCAACCGAAAGAAGTCATTGGATTGGAAGAAGTCGAATGGCGGGGGTTCCGTCAATTGGCCCCAGAGTCTGTTCAGTGCGCCCGACGCTCCCTTTTGTAATTGTAATCACGTCTTTGCAGGTACGTATAATGACATCTACAGCTTACTTTACCATAGGTAGTAGATGTTGTTGGATATGAGTGCGGTAAGGGTAAGTCCGAAGCAAGCGATACGGAGGTTTGAGATCAACAGCTAATTCAGAGAAAAATGTTTGATTCATTGATTTGATTTAAACAAATGAGACATGATACTCTAAAAGTGCTCCCTCATCGAAAAACTCATCTCATGACCATTTCACGATCCAAATCATGAGTGAGTGAGAGTATGAGAGTGAGAGGGACTCGGCGATGGCACTGGATCCACCTCGAATTGGCCCAAGCTTTTGCGCTGTGCCCCTCGTCCGAAAAGGGGATAGTGCGGGGTTCAAGGCTCGCGCACTCACAGCACGGCAATCAGAGTCAGTCACAGTTGCCCTGGGCACCCCAGTGGAAGGTTAGGTAGGTACTGTGGGCGCGCGCATTGAGGCACTCTGACTCCTCTCCCCGAGGAAGTCGGCATCTCAGCTTTCTTTCTCTTCCTCCCCTTCCTCCTCCCCTTCTCTCGACACACAGCACACAACACATCATGGCGCCGAATCCCATTTTGCCCGTCAAGGGCAAGAACAACGTTCTGATCACCTCTGCCCTTCCGTACGTCAACAATGTCCCCCATCTCGGCAACATCATTGGCAGTGTCTTGTCTGCCGATGTCTTTGCGCGATACTCGCGTGCTCGCGGAAACCCCACCATCTACAGTATGTTGCGACTGCCTCTACCTTGAGTGTTCCCAATCCCGGCTGAATCCGTCTGCACAGTCTGTGGGTCCGACGAGTACGGCACTGCCACTGAGACCAAGGCCCTCGAGGAGGGTGTAACCCCGTCCGAGCTGTGCGCAAAGTACCACGCCATCCACAAGGGCATCTACGACTACTTCGATATCTCTTTTGATATTTTCGGCCGAACCCCGACTGCCCAACAGACCGAGATCGTCCAAGACATCTTCACCAAGCTGTGGAAGAACGGATACATTGAGGAGCGCGAGACCGTCCAGCCTTTCTGTCCTGTCGAGGCCCACCAGTCTTTCCTCGCTGACCGATTCGTCGAGGGCATCTGCTCCATCTGCGCCTACGATGGCGCAAGAGGCGACCAGTGTGACAAGTGCGGCAACCTGCTCGACCCCCTCGAGCCCGAACCCGAAGCCAACGCTTCCGCTGACGACGACGTCGCCGCGAAACCCACCGGCTTCCTGATCAAGCCTCGCTGCAAGCTCGACGGAGCTACCCCGGAAAAGCGCAAGACGAAGCACCTGTTCCTCAGACTCGATGCACTCAAGGACGACCTAATCAAGTGGTTCAAGGAGTCTAGCAAGAAGGGCGCGTGGAGTAACAATGCCGAGCAGATTACCCAAGCCTGGATCGACAAGGGCCTCAAGCCCCGTGGTATCACTAGAGACCTGAAGTGGGGTGTCCCGATCCCGACTCAGGAGGTCGGAGAGGATTACGCCAGGAAGGTCTTCTACGTTTGGTTCGACGCCTGCATCGGATACGTTTCCATCACTAAGAACTACACCGACGGTGACAACCTCGAGGGCAAGAACTGGGAGCAGTGGTGGAAGAACCCTGATGATGTGAAGCTGTACCAATTCATGGGCAAGGACAACGTCCAGTTCCACACCATCATCTTCCCCGGATCTCAACTCGGTACCGGCGAGAACTGGACCAAGCTGCACAAGATTTCCACCACGGAGTACCTCAACTATGAGGGTGGCAAGTTCAGCAAGTCCAGAGGTGTCGGTGTTTTCGGCAACCAGGTTCAGCAGACCGGCTTGCCCGTCGACGTCTGGAGGTACTATCTGCTGTCTCGCCGACCCGAGACCTCGGATTCCGAGTTCATGTGGCAGGAGATGGTTGACGGCAACAACAACGAGCTCCTCAAGAACCTCGGCAACTTCTGCCAGAGAGTCAACAAGTTCTGCCAGGCCAAGACCGAAGGCGCAGTTCCCGATTACACAAAATACACTGACGTCTACCTGAAGCAGCACGTCAAGGAGGTCAACACCCTGCTCAAGGAGTACATTAACAACATGGAGGCCACCAAGATGAGGGCTGGTCTTCAGACTATCATGTCCATCTCCACGTATGTTTGATCCGGCCCATTTCCCCTCCTTCTCAAAGCTAACAACGTCCACAGACTCGGCAACAAGCTGCTCCAGGACAACAAGCTCGACAACAGACTTCTCACCGAGGAGCCCGACCGATGCGCCGCCGTTGTCGGTCTCGCCCTCAACCAGATCGACCTGTTGGCCTCTCTCGTCGCCCCTTACCTGCCCAATACCTCGACCGCTATCCTCAAGCAGCTCGGTGTTGAACCCAAGGCCATCATCCCCGACGCCTGGGTCACTGATGCCATCAAGCCCGGTCACAAGCTTGGTATCCCCGAGCATCTCTTCACCCAGATTGCGGCGTCCAAGATTGAAGAGTGGAAGGACGCATTTGGCGGCGAGGAAGTCAGGAAGCAAAAGGAGGAGGCGGCGGCCAAGGCCGCTGCCAAGAAGGCCGCAAAGGAAGCCGAGAAGGCCCGTAAGAAGGCGAAGAAGGAGGCGGAAAAGGCCAAGGCTACCGATGCGGGGCCGTCGGTGGAGTCTACCGAGAAGAAGGCAGAGGCCGACCCGGCCATCGAGGCGGTAACAGAAGCGATCTCCAAGACGGATGTTCACACATCGTAGAGTAGAGCAAGAGGAGTGGGGTTTTTATGATCATCGGCGTTGCAGAGAGGACATGGTCATAGCGGATGATTGATGGGCTGATTACTACCTTGGGCATGAGAGATAGATGTGAATCATCGGGTGTCCTTCTTTTGAAACTACCTGCCTTATGTGATTATGCGTCTTCATTTATCTCTTGCGATTATCATGAAGGATCCAAGATCCAATGTCATTCATGTAGCTCCTTGCCCTGATGATAGAGTACAGAGCGGGATGTTCACTGGACTTTCACTACCCCCTTAAGCCCAAAGATTCAAGCGCAATGATTTATCGCGCTGTCTACATATCTGGACCTAAGGCGCTGAAGCCTGTCATCTCGGAGCATGGAGAATAGTTTGTTTCATCACAAACATGAGGCAGTGCTCATTCTGGAACAGACGGGAGGAGGGACATATGAGGAGCTTCCGATCATTCCAGTTTTGGAAGCAAACTCTTCTACGTAATTCTCATCCTGTCCCTTGCTTACCTTGCGGACGACTCAAGTATGGCATCGTTGAGGGGTTACAGGAAGATGGGCCCTTCGGTATTTATAGTCTACTGTAATTACCTAACTAAGGTAGTCACCGAAGATGACGGTCTCGGAAGGTAACAGGAGAAAACCCTCCCGCAGCAAGGTCATGGACATGGCAGCCACGTGATTCCCATCTTCTCGTGGGTACAGCCACAGAATTACACTCGAAGACGAGGAAGGTACACACCTATCCCGCCACCTTCCTCCACACCAGCCGGGTCCCATCAGCGCCTGCCTTTCCTTCCTACCGTCCTTCCACCTTCCTCGCCCCTTCTTTGCTCCTTCCTCCAAAGAGTTCATCCATGTACCTACCATGGTACTTAGGCCCCTTCAACGTCGCTCCTGTCACCAGCACCCACTCGTAAGTATAACCAGGGCCCCCTCTACCGAAGGTGTTTGGCGGAGTGGTACCAACTCTAAAACAAATACTCCAAGGAAGTAGAAGTGCTGGCTACTGAGGGGCGCGCTGTTCGATTCCGGACAGGGGCGTGATGAATAAGGTCAGTTTACCCCCTCCATTCCTTTCCTTTTTTCCCCCTTACCTTCACTGACGGCTGATGAGGGATCGGACTAGTGAAGAGATCTGTTGTGGCGAGTACATGGGCCATCTCTTTAATGCATGAATCTTGCACAAGACTAGCTGCGAGAGGGATGATGGACGGGAAGGGCGCTGCCAAGGAGGGCGACATTATCCCATTCAAAAGAGGTCGCAGATGAAGACGATGTTGAGCATTTTCCGACGGAACCACAGGAGACTAGGTAGCCATGCAGCTTGCTTCTTACGGACAATATCAATGGACGAGGTGAGGGGGAGGTCCATTGGAAAGCAATCTTTGACCGACAAACAATAGAAGATGGAACTTGTTGCACATGATACACCAATTTTTCTATACATGGTGGAGAGGACATTACATACAATGTCTTATAGTAAGAGGTTTGTTCAATTCTACAAGAACTCTAACTAACTTACTATCCGGTCGTTTAGATTCTCTTCTAACCCTTGACAGAGCCGCCCTCGGGAGGGTACACCACGATGCGGTCAATATCAGCACCCTTAAAGTCAAAGCCGTTCCACAACCCGCCAATGGTGATGGTGTTGTTTGAGCTCTTCTCCAGGGGCAGCTGCAGGGGTGTGGACAGGATAATGCCCTTGTGGCTATCGCGCTGGAACAGCGTCTCAACCTGCTCCACGTTGCCGTTGACGACGACGGAGGCGACGCGGCGCAGCTGCCACTTCCCACCGATGCGGTCCGGGCTGCCGCCGGGCTGGTCGCCGAAACCCATGTCGTCCGTGTTTTGGTAGTAGAACGAGACCCACTGCGACTCGCCGGCGCCTTGGATGCCCGTGAAGGTGACGGTACTGTCGTTGCCGTAGATGCCCGTGACGATGGAGCCGCCGCTGGCAAAGGTGGCCTCCTGCTTGAAGGCGGCGCCCGCGGTGGTGGCTGCAACGTCGTGGGCGTAGTAAGGCGTGCCTTCGATTGGGGTGACGACGCCAGTCTTGACGTTGAGGTCGTAGATGTCGTGCCACTCCACGTGGACGGACTTTTTCTCGTCATCAATGACTAGAGGGAGCCAGATGTAGCGGCTCTCCCAGAGGGAGTTGGAGTCCCACTGGTCGCCGAGGTACAGATAGGTGGTGACCTCGGAGCCTTCGATCTTGAGGGAGAAGCCAGATTGGGAGTTATACGTGCGGGTATAGGCGTCGGACACGAAGAAGGGCTGGGACCAGGGGCCAGCGAGGGAGTCGGCGCGGAAGGCGACGACGTTATTGGGGCGGTAACCCGTCTTATGGGACATGAGCGCGTAGTAGCTCTTGTCGGTTTGGATGATGGTCGGTGCCTCGAGGTCGTACTTGTCGAAGCGGTGGACGACCTCGGTGACGTTTGTGATGTCATCATTGAAGGCGGAGATGTAGACGTCGCGGCCCTCGCGGCGGTCGCCGTTGGAGTACAGCGAGTAGGAGCGGCCGTCCTTGTAGTCGGTGAAGATGCCAAAGTCCTGGGACCAGTTACCGAGGGGCGCGGTGGCGTCGACAAACGTATACGGGCCAGAGATATTGGGCGAGGTCGCCAGGCCTTGGAGGAGGAGGCCGTAGGTTGAGTTGTCGGCGTGCCACCACATCTGGAATGAGTTAGTCGCGTTGAAAGCAGTGGACCAAAATCCGGAGAAAACCTACGTGATACTCCTTGGCGGGCTCGCTGTAGACGACCTTGGGGCGCTGGATGATCATATTGGTAGAGATGTACGGGTGTCCTTCGATGGGTTCCAGCGCCTTGCCGTGGAACTCCCACGTTGCGAGATCATCGGAGCTGTAGACGGAGACACCGCCGCCTTCCTCCTGGCCCTCGATCTTGTACTCGCCGAACCAGAAAAACTTGCCCGTTTCCTTGTCGATCGTGACACCGCCGGCGTGAGCATTGACGAGACTACCCTCGTTGTCACGCCATCTGCTGCCGGGGACAATCCACTTGGAGGCGGCGAGAGAGGCGAACAGGAGGCCGGATGAGAAGAGCTTTGCGAGCGCCATGCTGGAGAGGACTAAGCTGAGTCGAGAGCGATCTCAAGGTCTCAATCTCTCGGGGCTCTCTAGGCGAAAGAATCGTAATGCGACTTTGGGTCTTTATACTCTCTTCATGACTACATGAAGGGACCGGTCGAGATGGGCCGGCTGGTACTGGCCCGAAAGCCGAAGCATCTAAGCCGGGCCATTGAAGAGCGTTGGAAGTCGCGCAGGGCCAAGACCCTTTCCAGACCACAAGAGAGACCTTGGGGGAGAAGCAGATGATCGGCCAAGGCGTGATTTCAATGGCACGAGATGGGTGCAGACTGCAGAGAGAAAGAGAGAGAGAGAGAGAGGGGGGGGGGGGGGGGGGGGGGGGGAGCGCGGGGGGGCGGGGGGCGGGGGGGGAGGAGTACCCAGGGAAGAGAGGAAGGTGCGGGGGGGGGGGGGGGGGGGGGGGGGGGGGGGGGGGGGGGGGGGGGGGGGGGGGGGGCGGGGTGGGCTAAGCCGAGTGCCAAGCTGCAGGGCCAGGGGACGAACAAATACCTGGAGAAATATCCGCCGTTGAGAAAGACGCAGAGTTGCGTAGGTGCGGGGGAAGCATCACAAACAAGTCTTGGGAGGGTTCATAACTTCATATAACAACCCCAGCAACCCCAGCCCAGACTAACCAAGCTCGATGGGCATGCGGGGTTTGAGCTCATGTGCCGTCGCATCCTTCTGTCCCGCGGCCTGGAGATTGCACCTTTTCGGGGACATTTGTCCGCTGTGAGTTGATGTCATCTGGGTGCGGTGAAGGGGCGGAGATCAAATCTAAATGAGCTATCGCTGAGTGAGCTTCGTCCGTTGGACTGTCGACTATTGGGCGTTGGCTTCGCTCGTGGTTTTGTGTGTTTGTTCCCAGCAGCTTGGCGAAGGTTGCGTCCGGCTCATCCTGACCGGCCGGGTATGCCATGATACGCGAGGAAAGCTACGTAGACACGAGATGTGAGATGAACCGCGACATTACTCCGTAGAACATTAGGATTTGACCAATGCGACTCTGATCCACTCAAGCTCACAACCTGGGCGTTTTGATGGGTCAATTGGGAGCGAGATCCCGAAAGGCAAAGAGAAGTTTATTGGGGTTACTGGGACTGATCTCGAGGGAAACATGAAATGATCCGCACTCACCAGCATAGTGCTCTGGTCTCCGACTCATGGCAAAATGCCGGGGTGGTCTGGCCGGCCTCATCCTCACGGGGATTTCCCGCACAGAAGTACCCAACATGGGGGTTGAGTCTGCCCTACACAGACACAAAGCTGATGATGTCTTCTGCTGAAGTGCTCACTGGATGAATCGTTGATTTATCTAGCAGAAGAATCCGGCAATCCCTCGGGAACTGCTCCGGCGGCCGGGTGAAGTCCAGCGGTGCCGGAGTCAAGTGCTGCAACGCCTAAGCGAATTTTTTCCGTCACAAGATGGACAACTCCGGAGACTTCCCCCACAAGGAGCCGTAAGAGCATCACTCATCACGACCGGGAGATTCGTCCTGCGGTCGAGTAAAATCCAACAATTGACCCATCGGCAGACTCATGTTCGGGCCTCAAGCAACGATGGAGTGATGGGTTAGGAGACCCCTTGGTCATTAGAATCGACGTCTCAACAGCCCAAGAGACGCTACCTTCTAGCCGCTTGCGACCAGTTTAATGAGCACAAAATCAAGGTCTAGGACTGAAATCGACTCTCAGAGGATTTTTTCCCGGAAGGGCAGACTTAGGACTCTCTATATGCTGCTTGTCAGATCTAGGGCGAGGCGAACGGCATGTTGATGTGGTCTCTCTCGCTAGACAACGTCCACAGACACAAGTGTCGCAACTGTCCAGCTTTTATGACCGTCAAAAGTCCTCGAAGCAGTTCGATTAAACACACAGTCGCCATGCGTCACTAGTCTTCAAGTAGAAATGAGGAGATCGCATTTTGACATGGTGAAAGACCAAGCCTCGGCGGTAGGGCTCATGAAGCTTCTTGAACCATGAAATGAGGTAAATTCGCTGTCAGCAAAGTCATTGTAAAACACCCGTCGACTGAGCCAGACAGCAACCCTTAATAATCTATTGAAGACTTAAGACCCGGGCCGAGCGGGAGATCACCATCCTTCACCGACGAGGCGGTTGGACATGTTTCTCCGTAAAATTCTCCGGAACTTTGCCCTTACCGGCCCATTGCCGATGACGACTGATGGCGCCATTTCCTCAACCCCAGATTTCATTTGACGGACTGCTATTGGGTTAGCACAAAGTATGGAAAGCAATATAATCTTGGACAACACACTTTCCCTACGTGGACTTGCTCCGTTGCCTCGGAGTTTACCGCAATATCGATCGGCGAATTGAGGCTCTAATCTCAAATGGCCTATACGGGGGACTGGACAGAGTTTAGCTGATTGTTTAGCTACTTATAATGTCTCAATGTCCTGAGTTTAATATATAGTACCGGGAGCATTCCAATTATTCATCACAACATCTGCTCTTCTTTCGCTCACAATCATGTTGCATCAGTTCTCGTTTATCATGGCCTTGTGCCCACTCATGGCTCTGGCGGCTCCATCAATCCTTGAACTTGACAAGAGAGCAATTACATGTTTGAACGTCGGCGCGACGGCAACGGCAAGATGGACAAACAGTGCCGGGAAATCGTGTACATTCACGGGTGTAGTAGGAAGCAACTACGGCGCCAACGGTGCCGGATCTGGAGAGTCTGTCTTCCCTGGAAACCCGTCGTATATTAACTCTGCTAACATGAACCGCAGCTACTCCTGTAATGGCCGCTGTGGTGCCGGATGTACTGGAACGGCTCTCGGCGACGTCTACACACAAGATTGTTTCTCTCATGACATTTGCTCATACTTCAACAACGCCAGTGGCGGTACTAGGTGAGAAAATCCCGGAGTGTTCATAATCGAAGACTTTTGGAGTGAAGTAGAGAACCATGCTGACCTCATTGAAGTGATCCCAATTGTGGCGCCGCGTACAATGCTGCTGTCGATGACACTGTCTTGGGTGCACTCAACGGTTGTGGGCAAACGAACCCATCAAATGCGGTATCGAAGCCCTCGACACAACCTGTTTGCAGCTGAAAAAAGAGAAGCGGATTGAATCAAGGATAGTTTATCACTTACGACCGAACAAGCTTTGCTTGTTGAAGTACGGGTTCACATATAATCACTCCATGTACTATCATCAATTGGTTGAATTCTTAAGATGGTTTGTAATTATGAAAAAGTCTGTGAAAGAGAGTATGAGAAGAGAAAGAGCGAGTAAATACAATATCAAAACCAGAAAAGATGAAGCTTTTGTCTACGCCATCTCTCCATACCCCTCTTCTATTCTAGTTCAGGTAAATCCTCAAGTAGGAACGAATGTCTAAGACTTCGAGTCCACGATCCCACAAGTGCCACGCCACGCATCAAATCAAATTCCTTAGTTGATGTAGATGGCGCGGAACTGAGTGTTGACGTGCCATCCGGTGTTGGCCAGGGACGGGTTGCCCTTGTTGTAGCAGGTCTTTGTGACAAAGTTGTACACAATCTTGGTGCATCCTGCCCTCAAGCGGCAGAGGGCAACGCAGGCGAGGTCGTTGGGGATGAGGTACCAAATGTCCGTGGCAGGGTTGTTGGTGAAGTCACTGCTGGGGCAGACTTGGTAGGTGGTGCCCAGGTAGTTGACGGTGTAAGTGGGCGCCAAGCACTTGGTGAGAGCAGTACCGTCAGTGACCTTCACGAGGGTCTGAAAAGGCGCGTTGACGTTCCAATTCGAGGCGGCGACACTCGGGCTACCCTTCAGATAGCAGATCTGAGTGGAAGGGTTGTAGACGGCCTTGGTGCAGCCTGATTGCGCCTCGCATGCAGTGGCACAGTCTTGATTAGACTTGTAGCCGTAATAGATCTGGGGGCTGGGGATCATGAAGTCGGTGTTGGCGCAGACAGCATACAAGCCACCCTGAGAGCCGACAATATAACTCAATGGGCTGGGGCAAGCAGTAAGAGGTCCATTGGAGACCGCCGTGCTGCTGGTTGTTGAGACCGCGGAGGACGAGGTGGTAGTTTTGATGGTGGTGGAGGTTGAAGTACCGATAAGGGAAGTGGATGAGCTGCTTAATGTAGTCAGGGTGGCAGCGGACGAGGTGGTGGATGTGGAAAGAGTGGAAGGTGTCACGATCACAGAGGTGGACGACGTGGATGAAGTGGACGAAGTGGCCGAAGTGGCCGAAGTGGCAGAGGTGGCGGAGGTGGCCGCGTTGCCTTGAGGGCAGTTGAAGTTGCCCATATCAGATGTGTAGGTGTAAGAGTAAGCGTACTGGATCGTGTAGACGTCCGAGCCGGATGTGTATCCCGTGTTGACAGCGTAGCTCTTGTCCCAGGTACGCGAGTACAAAGCACAGATTTGAGCCTGGACGACGCCGTTCTTGACAAGCGAGTAGCTGGTGAAGAAGCGGCAAGTCAAACCGTTGAACGGATTGGTTTCCTGTCTCTGAGCAGCGCAATCGGCAGCGCAGAGAGAAGGGTCGTATGCTCCGTTGGTGTGAGCCTTGTACGTGATGTAGCTGTTGCAGTCGTTCGGGGCGTTGATGGTGGCCGTGTCAGTGAAAGTCGAGTTGTAGCCAGAGACGGCATAGTCGGGCGCTGTAAGTTGGTATCCGTTCGAGCCTGCAATTACGACGTGGAAGTCGTTCCTGTATTCGCCATTGTTCGTGGCAGTGGACGGACCGATTCCGACACCCCAGAAGCTGCACTTGATTACAGTCGTGCTCGGGGGGTTGGGGCATGCGGTGCCGGGATCTTGGCTCGGATCTCTCTCAAAGAAGAGGTTGAAAGCCGCGCAGCCCGACATTTGAGTGCAGTCAGCTGCGCACTGGGCAGGGCTATAGGTTGCGTAGGTCTTGTATCCCATGTAGGCTGAGGCAGAGGTCGCAGACTGGAGGTTCTGGAAGGTCTGGTACCATCCGGATGGGGTGGCGGCCGCCAAAGCGGCGTTGGATAAGTCCGTGTCGGCGAGGAATGCCGAGTCCGTATCGTTAGAGGGCACCGGGCCACTGCCTGCGGGAAGGGCGCTGCAGTCGCCGCGAGCTGCCAACTTGTTGACATTCCGTTTTGAGGCTGCAACAGTCTGGTTGCCAACACCGATGGGGACAGTCTGAACGGTTGAAACAGGGATGCTGGCAAGGTCGGATAGAGACATCAACTGAGCTGCGCCGGTTGCCGTTAGGGCGGCGAGAACGATGAAAGAGCGCATTCTGGATGGTGAAGAAGATGAAAATGGTGTTAGTATGTGGACCCAATGGTTCTGAAGAAAGAAGAATGAATGACAGTGAGGAATGACTGTGGAGGGAATGGATGAGAAAAGCTGAATCGGGCGAATTTCACTACAAGTTATATAACAACTTTCCGTCACGATCGCCTCTAGCCAAAGAACCTCATCCTGGGTTATCCGACACACAGTTCTTTGAGCTTAGAAAAGGCCTCAATAATCGTCTGATTCTCTCTCTAGTGGCTGTAGGCTAAGAGGGTCGTTGCAGGAGAGGCGCTACTCGGTCTTAATACTCGGGAAGAAATCTCGAAGATTTGGCGCCCGATGCTGCGAACCTGACTACTAGTAGTCTCAGCAGCATACCAAAGCAAAACAGCAACCATGCGTCAAACTGTAGCGCGTTATTCCTACAAAGATTCTTTGTTTGATCCGAAAAACGGGTACTGGCTGAAGATTATCCATGACAAAGGAGGATTCTAATGTGGCTTGACCGTTCGCTTGTCGAATATCGTTGATGCTAACGACTGGAGCCTCTAATCCCAATTCCGCTAGTTGACGGCAGCCCTCCTCCTATTACACTCACGGTCACTATCCACCAGAATCGATAGTGTTATTAGGGCAAAGTTTGCAATTTAAGGATGGGATGGTTTACCTTGTTTGTTGCTTCCGTGACACTGGCATTGCCTCCCAAATGCTTGATGGCTTAGGGTGCATACTGTGGTGACCGAAGAGAAAGCAAGCCATGTAAGTGTACAACCGAGAATGGCTACTTGATGATGGCGTCTACTCCTCAAATTTACATACAACTTACATACACGGGTCAGTATGATTATTTTAGTTAGAATAGAGCTCCCCGATCTGGTGCAGTAATCACAGCGCGGTACCCGGATTCTTGGGTTCCCGTCCTGTACGGCGACTCAGAATAGATGGCGTTTGCTGCTTAAACTTAGTCGGAAACGCCTCTAAGCTCGAGAACCACCCTCACCTCGTGCTAAACCATACGACTCCGTTGACTATCGATATGTGACCCGGGCTACTGCAGGGCAGGCTTTGAAGAATAGGGATTTATACCGTTATCGCAAAGTTAATGCTCTTCCGCCTGTTCTGGCTATAGCACTCGAGAAGATCCAAAGAGGGCAGTCGAACGATTTATCTTCGTGCTATTGTGACCCCGTGGCTTAGGTGCGTGGTATTGGCCGGCCTCGGCAAGTGGAACATAGTTTGGCAGCCTGCTGGTTACCAAGAGCAAAGAAAATAGAGTTGTCTATCTTAGCGCAGCACGAGGTCCAACTCGTGATCAGTGGGTACGAGCTCCAGACCTCAGATGGCAAACTTTCAGGCTGAGGGAGTGCATTTTAGCAGAAGGTTGACTGGGTCGTCATCATCTCACATATAACTTCGGGGCCATTGATGGGATCATTGGGATGTACACAAGCACAATTAAGCATCAATTCTGAATCACTCGGAAGATGACTTCTGAAATATCCCGCTATTTGGATCTGAGGCTGCTGTCCAATTGATGATATGAGGTTGTAATTCGTCTTGATTCTGAGCTCTCTAACAAGTATCTACTCCAGTGCGGAAACAAAAGACGTGGAGGGTTCCGTCCGGCTGCTGGCAGCAATTTGCACCCAAGTCTGGCACATTTCCTCCAAAGCACCCTTTCTTGCAGCCTGGACAAATGTCTGGACACTAAACAGAAAGTCCAAAGTTAGTATACAGCTTACAGAAGTAACGAAAAATTAATACGTGAGATCGGAAACATTAAACTTACGCTCGTCTTGGTTCCGAAACCATCAGGACAACCGCCACCTATAAGTGCGCCCTCGCAGTAGTAGAATGTGGCAGAGGCAGGAAGAGCAAATTGCAGCAGCGCTACAATGGCGAGGGAAGGATGGAATAACATGTTGACTGACTTGTATGTATAAGGTAGGGTATCTTTGGAACTAGAAATTGAAGAGAATCAGGTGACCGACTGCTGGTTCGAAGAAGTTTTGCTACTCGATGAATATGCAAGAGAAGATCAATACTGTCCAGAAGAGCCAGCTGCTATGTACTTATAGCTCTAGTTTGCTACTTGCCAATCCTCTTCGATCTTGTCTGCTATTTGCCAAGCTTCTTCACTCTTGTTTGATATTTGCCAAGCCTCTTCGCTCGAGATATATTGTCTAGAAATCTAAATTTATGGAAACCAGAGTTGCAAACCTGATCAAAACCCTCCGGTTCGTCCGCACTGTCCGACAAAGGAAAACTCGCCAGAATGGAACTTGTCCGATACATTCGTCTATCTCGGGTATCAGAGAGCTCTGTCGGATGAGGATCATTGAATCCGAACCTTGATTGGTCTCTGTGTGGGCCGTGCGTCGGGACGTGATTCAAGCTTGAAAGTTGATTCACCCAAGGTAGGAAAGATGTGGAGGCTGCGGGTAATTCTCTCCATCCAACGTGAAAAGGTGCTTGGATTAATATATTTTTAACTTCTATATCCCGGGCAACGACTGGGTTGTGCCATCCTGCTATACTTAGTCTGCCGCACGTTTGGATACTCGCCGCAGTCAAGACGGACAAATTTGAGGGCGCCGCCGTTAACTTGTATCCATTCCAATCTTCGTTTGCTGCAACCCCAGGACTTGCCGGCCGCTTACACATCACAGCTGATAGCCCAAGACACGATGCGCCCGTATCGATTGCAGCGGCCAAAGTGTTGATGCGAATTGAGCATGAAGCTTGACCTGTCATCGCCCGGTCAGATTGGACTCTCAGGCTTCAGAGTCGCCTCGGAGGCCGATGCTTACCTGCCGCACTCCACGAAAAAGAGTTGGGACAGGGACGAGAGATTCTATAACCTTAGATGGGTCCACCATATGCACCGTTTTGATGCAGGGATAGAGTGCCTAACGTCTGTGAAGGGGCGAGTTGCTTGTGTTTTAAAGTTTTTCGTAGGTCTTCATACTTTCTACATGTCTACCTAAGTAGCGGAAGCCTGCACTTGCTTTCCAGGCGAGCACGCCAGATATCCACCAACGCCAATGTCTGAACCTCCTCCGAGCCTCTTGTTTGCATTATCAATTCACAGAATCCTTTGTATCAACTTCCTCGGTGTCCTCGCCCTCAATATGCTCGGCGAAAGCGCTAGTATCATCTGCGGTCTTATCAGAGTCCCCGTCGTGAGGAGCAGCGAAGTTGAGGGGCTCCGAGGCAGGCATCGTGATCGGAGGATATCCCACGGGGACCACGTTTCCCTCATGAAGTTGGACACGAGAAGAGGTGCCGAGGGTCTCGAGAGCAGTGGCGATGTCGTTACTGGCGTTCAACAAGGGGTTAACGCGAGTATTAACAGCATCTGAGACATTTCCGGAGGCAATCGCTCGTCTCTGTCTTCGAAGTCGACCCAACATTGGGTAGTTAATCGGAGGTCTTTGTTGAATGTTCTGCGCCAGCATCTGGGGCTGAGTGGTCTGCTCAGGAACTCGGCGTGGGTTGGCTGACTGATGGCTGGCTCTCAGTGGTGTGGGGCGATGGACGGTTCTGAGCGGCTGGTTGATGACATGTCCAAGATTCGCCATGTTTCCTTGAAAGGTTTCGTTGACCATGTTGCTGTGAATTTGTGGTTGTTCACAGGCAAAGCCATATGCATTGGCAAGGTAATTATTATGGTTGGGATGGCCGCTCAGAGGATTGAGATTCATGAAGGCTGACTGAAATGCATCTGGACCGTGGGGTGGAAAGAATGCGTTCTGCTGAGACATTCGGTTCATAAGAGCGACAGAGTGAGGATTGTAGCCAGGGTCGTTCGAGACCTGGGGAGCAAATTGTGAATTGGGCAGCTATTTCAGATATTAGTCAAGTTCCCAAAGGGCTTTGGAAGTGCTAACCTGGTAGGAATTGTCCATTTGATAGCCACCGGACTGAATAGGAGAGGAACCCGGTCTGCGGATGGGTTGAGCGGCAGCTGATGGGACACGAAGAGGATAGGATCTCTGTTGTCTTGTCATGTCATGAATCTCGGCCTCTTCCTGTGCTTCATCGTCTTCTTCGTCGCGGGCTGAGTGGTTGGTTGTCGCAGGTCTCTTGCGTTTCTTGTTGGAGGAACCTTTGCCTGTGTTGTTAGGGCCATCGCCCCCATCGTTTGTAGACTCTTTGGAAGCCTTCGCAGCGCGATCCCGAAGGCGTGGTTTCTCCTGTGACTCGTTATATACCGCTTTGAACCTTTCCATGCGACGGTAGATGTGGTCAATGGTGTCCCATCCTGGAGGGGAAACCAGATTTCTGCGTATCAGAGCAGAATAGTAGAGATGGTTGTGACTGCGGTCCCTTCCGCTAGCAATCTGTTCATCGCTTGGCATTGGGCCAGGCCGGTTCGTCAGGTCATTCAACATGCTCGCCTGAGTGTCGAGCTTGATGTCTGCACCCTTGGGACACAATTGGTTGACCCGTTGGAGGATCAGCAGACTTCGTCGCTCGTCTGAGTCAGTAGGGCATGCTGCGATGGCATTCTCAATGGCGGCGGGTAAATTTGCCTCATCGACAAGCTCCTTGCAGCTTTCGCATTTTCCAGCTCCCTTCCTGGCTCTCTTCTTGCTTCCTTTTCCTCCATCCTCTCCGCGCTTCTCGTCGCCTCCTTTGTCGCCATCCATCTTTGTTGCAATTCGTTCTCGAGTCTTGATAATGTCTGAAAACAAAAGCCAGGAAGAAGTGCCTGAAAACAAAGAAAGTAGCTGTGAAGTGGTGATGCTTGGCTGATGAAGGTTTATGGTAGGATGTCTGGTGAAGGAAAAGCTTTTCTTGGGCTGAGTTTGTGAGAATGATGGAAGGAAGGTAATAAAAGTCAGCAGCAAATCACATCAGATAGCCGGGCATCTCTTTCACATTGACGACTAATCGATGCAGAACATGTGACTTGAGCAGGCGGGCAGGCATGTCATACGGAATCACCGTAGCAACATCAGCACCGTCAAGCCCACAGCAAACTTCTCGGGAAATTTATAGAGCTGTAGATCCTTTCTTCAGCAGACCTCCTGGCCCCTATTGGTACCTGCTTGAATCTGCCTGAAGAATCATCTTGAACAACTCGATGTCGTTCCTCGAGTCCTGAACACTTGTCTTCGGAGCCTTGCCATAGACAACGCAATCATACAGCTCGAGGAACTCATTGGTATATGGATCCTGGTATGTCTTCCTGACCTTGCGCTCTTGAAATCCATCCTTTCCGATCAGCTCTCTAATTGTCATCGTAACTGGCAGGCCCTTGACGTAGGGTGTGTCGAAATCAACGCGGACAATCTTCTCAGGAGAGTACACTTCGATATGTGCATCAAACTGCGGAACTTTGCTGAAGCCGGATTCGTAAGTGACGGGGAAGTCGTCGTACTTGAAGAGGACACTGAAAATGCCCGGGAAGGTGAGACAAGCTCCAGCAACGCTATTCGGCATACCGATGATCTCTCTCATGGCGGAAAGGTCGTGTGTTCCGAGTCTGACACTTTGTGAGCAATAAGTCTCTTCTAGTCGATGAAATGGCAACATACCCTCCGAGAAGCTGCAGCATCAGTTGTGAACCAGGGGTCACGGGAACTCCGAACTCCTTAGCCAGAGCCTGCTCGAAAATATCCGTCTCCCGCTTCAGTCTGTCCTTGGTGTCTGCATCACTATGGTCGCTGAACTTCAATGGGAATGTACCAGACTGACCGACGAAAGTCGAGTTGGGTCCAATGATGTCTCTGACCCTGGCGTACTGGATCTTCTCCATGCCGCCAACTTCCTTGACCGCATCGGTGAACGCAGTTGCAAAACGCCGCATGGTACCGACCATGACCTTCCCCTTGGACTTTTTCTCAGCTTCAACCAAGAGGTCTAGGTCCCGGAAACAGACTGAGGCCGGCTTCTCAATGAGAGTATACTTGTCGTTCTTGAGCGCCAAGAGACCATGCTCTACATGGTACGCATCAGCGTTGGCGATGACCACAACATCGACGTCTGGGGAAGAGCAGAGTTCTGCTGCATCAGTCGTCGTCTTGGGCGGCCCTCCCTGCACTTTTCGCGCGCAGTGCTCAAGAGCCTGTTGTGAGATGTCGCACAGATACGTGGTCTGGTAGCGTTGAGAGAGAAAATTGAGATTTGGGATATGTGCTACCTGGGTAATCTCGCCGCAGCCGATGATGCCCACCTTGAGGATGGGCGTTTGCTGATTCGAGGCCATTCTGGAAACGTCTTTATTGATGCAGATGGAAATTGAGGGTGGCTCTCTGTGCGGTAATGTAGGATGCACGCGAATCTGGGTTTGATTCCCTGATGATTCTTGCCCACCGTATTAACTTACCTATGCCTGTTCGTGCGATATGAAGAGGCGTCGGTGATGGCTTTTGTATTTTCTCCATGGCCTCATGTGGGTACGACTCCAACAATGTCGTCAGCTCGGTCTGAATTGTTGAGCCCCAAAGATCATTGGCCACGTGAAGATGGATTTGAGACCACTTTACCTTTGCTACATGTACGTTCATCCAATGATGTTTCGAAAGAATTGGAGAAGTTGCTCAAGGCGTACGAGCCCCGATACTCCCCGAGACCAGTGTTGCCCAAGTAGTCTCCGCAGATTATCGGAGCCACGCCAAAATTGCTAGTGTAGAGTCAAATCTCAGGGCACCTAGTTCGGTCGAGTACGCGTCCCAAAATTGCTCCCTGCCGTGATGATACATTCTTACCCGTACATCCCTGATCGTCCGACTCCCGAAGATTATGCATTCCGAGTTCCGGTATTGTGTTTACCGTTTACCCCACGCGGTATGGGGATTTATCAGCATCATGAAGCTGTGAAGAGCTACCTCGAGTCTGATCCCTAGCCTCTAGCCGGTGCTGGAAAAGCTGGAGTTGGTTGTATCGGTAGTGACCCCTACAAGATGGATTAATAGCATGGCATGTTCTCGTGTTCGTGTAGTTGATTTATTTTTGTTGCTTCAATCGAAGCCTGACATGCCCCTGCCCCACTCCATTTGGCGACGACTCAGCAGATACCGCACAAACTTTTGCCGAACTCGATCCTTGCTCCCACATCAGCCGTAAGAACAATGGGCATTATATCGAAGAGGAAGGGAGAAGAGCTGGTCTTTGAGTCTGCTCTGGCAGTTGTACGTGGAATATGAAAGGCTTCGATGAGTCTACTTGAGAGTGATTGAGACACGCGTAACTTCTAGGTCCTGCGAACGAATCCAAAGCCTTGGTCTTTGATGCATCGTCTGCTCGAGCTAAATCTAATTTTTCTGGTGCCTTCATTCTGTTCTGCATCTGTAGGTTACGATGCTATGGGTTCTTGATCCTTCTGAAGCACTTCCACTAATGGAGCAAAGGCTCAATGATGAACGGCCTGCAAACTCTTCCTCAATGACGCCAAATGTTTAGCACCCTCAAGGTTGCAATTCTCAGTCTTATGAGTGCTGTTTACCGTGTTGGTATATTTGCAACGCTCTTCATCGTAACGTACGTCTCGGACAGATATGGACATAACCTTCCTCTGGCCGTGGGCTTGGCAGCATGCATCGGGTGTGCCGTCTTGCAGGGCATGTCCAAGCACCTTCCCAGCAACAAAAGCCTTACCAAGCTTCTTCATGACCTTCACCAGCCAGCTGAGTCCTGTTCTGATCACCGGGTTGGCGTGCGCTACTCACGGCGGCCGAATCACAGCTTGATACAGCACGTTCTTTGTAAGTAATGGTCATCACTGGTATTACCGGGGAGACTCCTGCAGCCTCATCGGCCCACTGACAGTTAGCTCACAAGGTACTTTGGTTCCATTTTTGTTGCATGGTGCACCTTTGGAACTTTCGTGCTTGCTTCCACTTGGAGTTGGTGAAATCCATCTCCACTTCAAGGGGCAGTTCCTGTTGTCCAACTCCTCAGTGCATATTTTTCACTCGAGTCTCGTCGGTATGATTTTCCGGTTGCCTTTTCAGCCTACTCATCTTATGTAAAATATGTTGGACTCACTTAGCTGCCCTATCATCGCAGATGGCTAATGCGCCGTCATCGAAAGGACGAGGCCAGAAAGGTCTTCGCCGACTGTCACGCTGGCGGCAGTCTCAACGGCCCTTTAATCGACTTTGAGATTGCGCAAAGTCGAACTAACTCAAAGCGAAGAGGCTGAAGACATCTCCCAATCGTCTAGGCTAGAACTTGCGTGAACGCCTGTCAACCGAATGCGAACGCTGATTGCATCGTGGGCTTCAGCAGTCAGTGGTGTGGCGTCGCGTCCTACCTCAGTCTCGTGCTCAACACTATTGGCATTGCTGAAGTAAAGGACCAGACCTTGATCAACGGGATGCTGAAAATTTTCAACTCGATTATCTCGACCTTCCTCGAAGCGCTCATGGTAGACCGACTCGGTCGATGACCTACCCACGAGTCAAATATGACTTTGAATCAGTATTTTATTGCAGTCAGGATGTCTTCCTCCGCAGCCTGTAAGAATGATATTCGATAGATGGCAGACCACATCAAAAAGTTGCCTCAGGTCAATCGCTCTAATGGCGTCACAGTACGTGGTCAGAAAGGAACCATAACCGCGAGTAAAATAAAACGCCGGATGAACAATGGCTGGAACAGTTGCGTCAAATTCCACAGCATCCCAAAAGAATTGTTGTCAGATCAGGTGAACAGCAAAAGCTGGAGGTAATGCCGAATAAGGCAAATGTGTCAGCCGATGTAAATCTAGCACCAACTTAGTCTGTGCATCAACTCCGCCAACTCCGCTCTTGGCTCTTAGAAGACCTCTTCGGCGTGGTAAAGGAGCCGGCAATCGTCATCTATGGCAAACATGGGCTCTTTTCACTGAGTCAATCATTAAACTCTTTGGTTCAGTGAGTAACTGAAATCTTCCTTACTTCTCCAAGAGCCATGTCGTCCCCAATGCAACAAGTTGAACTTCCCACTGCCAAGTGGGGAACTTTGGGGCAACCGCTGCAACATGAAGGCAGCCATATGACCCAACAACAGTCACACCAGCACCCTCTCGTGGACATCGAATCCCGGAACTCGGCGTGGATTTGTGTCCTCGGCTCATTCCTCTTTCTCATGCCTTCGTTCGGTAAGCACACATCCGGTTCTCGGGACACCGTGCAAGTTTGGCGGGAAATAGGAAGAGACTAGTGTTAATACGTCATGCAATAGGGTTTATGCAATCCTCCGGGGCTATACAGTCATTTCTATTGGAGAACCAGTTAAGAGACTACTCCGCCCGAGATGTTGGTTGGATCACAGGAGTCTACAGCTTTCTCACGATGCTCCTCGGTATACAGGCAGGTCCACTGATGGATGTTTACGGGCCCAAGCTCCTTGGACCGCTCGCAGCGGGATTAATTGTCCTGATGTTCCTCCTACTCGCAGAGTGTGCAACACTTTGGCAGTTTATACTCTGCTTGGGTGTTTTAGGAGGTATTGGGAACGCTATCGCTACGACCGTGGGCATTGCTGTGATTGGAAAACTCTTCAATCGCCGTAAAGGTTTGGCGCTAGGCCTCGCCTTGTCCGGATCCTCAACCGGAGGGATCATATTTCCCTTGGCCCTTAGACAGATGTTCCCCATGTGGGGATGGGAGTGGTCGATGAGGGCCATCGGATTTCTTACTATACTGATCATGGTCCTGGGCATCATCTGTCTTCTTCCATTTACGAGCTTGCACACCGCGTTAGAGAGCGATGGCGTATCTGCAGGAAGAAACAGAAAGAAAGCCGTGATGGACTTTTCCGCCTTCAGCTCGGTACCCTTCTCGCTAATCTGCGGCGCCATTGCGCTTCTCGAGTTTGTCATTTTCGGTGCGACAGCAATTCTTCCCACCCTGGTGGCTTTGTCGGGTTTCCCAATGGAGCATGGCTTCAACATGCTAGCCATCCTCAACGGCTTGTCGTCGCTTGGCCGTATTCTCCCCGGGCTGGTAGGCGATCGCCTGGGTCATTACAACATTCTCCTTGTGATGATCGTTTTCACACTTATATGCACCGCCGCAACACTCACTGCGTTTGGATCGACCCGAATCGAAGCTTTGTATGCTTTTTCTGCACTTTGGGGCTTCGGAACAGGATCATTTCTCTCCCTTGCGCCTGGTAAGTCCAAATTTGTACTTTTGAATATGACCTGCATTGGCTCATAGTAGCTTACTACATAATTACACCAGCTTGTGTAGCCAAGACTTGCGAACCCAAAGATTATGGGAGATATTACGGTACCGTATTCACCTTGTTCATGACTGAAGTTGGCCACTTTTGACTGTCCCAGGAACGATGAATTTTGTCATAAGCTTCTCACTCCTCCTGACAATGCCGATTGGTGGTCAAATGCTGGAATCTCTTGGATCAAAGGCACTTTCGGGACTCTATCTTGCTGTTGTATTTGCTGGAGGTGTACTAGTCTATGCGGGACGTTCGGTTGTAGTTGGGTCTTGGATGAACTTCGAAGAAAGGATTTGAAAGTCGAACAAGGCCCTTCAGAAGTTCTGCCTCACTCGAGCGTAAAGGGGGTGGTAAAGTTCCGAAGCAGTATACCTTTGGGCACGTAGTACAATACCAGGTGATCACGGAGATGAATTGACGCCAATCGCTATATCCGTTGACTTCTCTTAGAGCTGCGCTCTTGAGATCCTGCTCAACGTAATTATGAGATATGAAGGTTGATGAATCACTCATGGCTCGGGCGAGTTGGTGAACGTGCGGTTCAAGCTACATTCAGCAGTTGGCAAACTACATGTACACGTACAGACCATGGAGACTGTTCGGCGTAGGCAAGCATATGGCAAAGAGCTTATACAACATCCAATCCAGGATATTTTAAGCTTTGCAATGACAGTTGATGGTCAATGAAGTTGCGATATCAGTGCGTGCTCGGGTAGTCAAAGGAACCTCGGAGCGGCCCTTGACCTGGTCGCAGCACAACCCGGCAACTCGTTCCCGTCATGCCAATCGGACCAGGTTCCAAAGACAATTCGGATTTTCAATTCTCCATCTTGCATATACTCTCAGATTGCCTGGGACTGACGTTCCCGACTCGAAACTGAGGATGTAAGACTCTCTGGCCACTTTCTGGTCACTCTCTGTCATGTTATCACAACCAAAACATTTCTGTTCTGTGGGGATCTACCTCAAGCGCCAATGGTACCATAACTTGGCTGGCAAAACCTCCTGCCCCTTTCGACTTCTCAATACTGGTCAAAGACGAGCTTGAGCCACTCGCTCAGGACATTTATGTCTCATCTATCCCGGCGATGCAAGCCAATAGTGGCTTCTAGACAAGGTAGGTTTGGAAGATTTGCAGAGATGCATAGTACCCGGCGCTTTGGGGTTTTGGCTGTTTAATATGGCAATACAAAGGTGACCACATGACAACATGCAGTGACATCCTGTTCAATTTCAATCATGTATGCAGCGGATGTGATTCTCAAAATGCTGTGGTGCAAGGTTCTCGCGCTCGCTTCATTGGCGGTCATCGCCAATCCCTATCCAAATGTTCGCGGTATCTGATACTCGAAGCGGGATTCGACACTCAAGGTGACTTTTATCTGCGCGGTATCCTTCAAGGGCGGAGACTTCGACAATGATCGAGGATATCGGCGGCGTTGACCTAAACCTGTTCAAATTCACATTCAGTAAGATGCCCTGAAGCCAAGCGGGAACTCTGGTGGCGGTCTTGATCAATCCAGCCAAAGCCTATCACTTTGCCCAGCCTGGTACCTACTCCATGACCGCCGAGGGCATGATTCCCTTTGCTTGACATCCGTCTCCAACCTGCCGTGGCCTTCAAGTCGAATATGAACAAAGTCAGCGTCGATGAAAATACCGCCGCAAAGTCCTCGATAACTGCGGCGCTCGAGGAGTGCAACAACTTGCAGCGAAGAGGCAACGAGACAACGTTGGAGGCCAGCAGCAAAGCCCTAGCCAACTGTCAAGTCCTCATTACTGCTGCTGCAGCAGACGTAACAGACGTAGCAGGCACGTCCAAGCGATTTGTCGAGTACTCCGGGAGCGACTCGTCAGAAAACCGCAACATCGTCGTCGCGCGGTCCCGCAATGTCGCGCAGGAATGTCACTCAACAGATTCAGGATTATCCCGGCACTTCTGCTCCATTGACTACGGCGTGTGCGGCCTTGATAGCCATCTCAATGCTTACATGGCCTTGATCATGTCCCCGCTTCTCTTTGGCCTGCCTACGCTACGTGTAGGATGCCATCGGCAGTGCTAAGCTTCGACTGCAATCTACGAGATCACCCACTGCGAGGCGATTTATAACCCCCTCACCGAAGAGTACGCCATTCCTGATAACGCCAGTGTTGCGTTGCCTCCCGTCCGCGCTCTTCAGAAACCATCATAATTACTCTATGTACGCCAACATGGGCCGCTGAAGGGGGACAGAACAAGACGTAGATATCGCCAACTCACCAAGCATCCTCCGATTTCCACATCCAAGCTCTACTACAGGTAACTTAGAACGCATCGTTTCCATAGCGAACACTGCGAGAAATTTTGTATTCTGAGAGGTAAAGCAACATAGATTAAGGCCCGAAGAAGATGACCGCTGAACCATGTCAAGTTCGACGACGCAGCAAATGGCCGACATCGGGCCGAGGTACCTCGGACTCACATTGAACTTTGCTACATCATCATACAAACGACCGAACTCTCCTCTATGATATCGGCGCTACCACGTGTTACCGTTGAGTTTGATGAATCAGGACTGGAACCAGATGTTGTCGGTTATCTCCGATGTTAATCACCGGCGACATCTTTCCAAGCCAATGACACGAAGCCAAACTTCCACGTCTTGATTCCTTCTATTTTCTTATCGCCCTCCACTGGTATTGCCCCGCTTTCATCAGCTGTTAAATGGCCTGAATTTTCCTTCTGGTCCGATACTAACATTTCCTAGGGACCGACTCGGTTTGGTCAAGCTCGACACTCCTCGGATTTGAGACCAATACGTACTCGTTTATTCATGTTAATTAGCCCACAATGAGTACCATGACTCTCTCATGTGAACCGGCGACGACCTTGCTACATTTGGCGTCCGGAAACGGGCCGGTGACCCGTCTCATCCTTCAGAATCCGCTCCGCGATGCTCTTCCCACCGAGATCCCAGTCATCGACGTCTCGCTAGCTTTCAGTTCCGAGCTCACAGACCGACGGTCCGTAGCACAGCAGATCCGGGAGGCTGCCATGACTTCCGGCTTCTTCTACGTGACCAACCACGGTATCGCCTCTTCAGTCACCGATTCTGCTCATGCTGCCTGCCTAGAATACTTCCGCCAGGATGAAGAGACCAAGATGCGCTCATGGGTCGGCAACAGTCGCTATTTCAACGGCTACAAGCCCCCTGGATCCCAGCGGATCAACAAGTCAGAAAGCGTCGATGTCCGTGAGTCTTTCAGCTGGACCTACGACCCTCGCCATGATCCCGCCGTGGCCGACGTTGAAGCCATTCCAGAAGAGGCGAGACGGCTTTTGCGGATTGAAGACTTTCACTGGGATGGCACCGCCAATAAGCCGCACTTCAAAGAAGCTATCATTCGGTACTGGCAATCCTGTTTGAAGCTCGCCCACGTGCTGGTTCGTTCCTTTGCGCTGTCTCTCGACCTGCCTGAGGATTACTTTGACGCAAAGTTCGCGTACCCCGATGCAGCGTTAGCACTGAATTACTACCCTCCTCTCCTCAGCTCCTCGGCCGCTGTCGATTCAGACACCAGCAAAATAGTTTCCATAGGCTCACACACAGACTTTCAGCTTTTCACCATCCTATGGCAAGACTCAGTAGGGGGTTTACAGGTGTTGAATCGCCAGGGGCAATGGATTAGGGCAACACCGATTCCGGGAACATTCGTCGTCAACATTGCCGACTACCTACAACGCATCACAAATGACCTCTACGTCAGCACAGTGCATCGGGCCCAAAACTTGAGTGGAGAGGAGCGCATCAGTATGCCCTTCTTTTTCGGTTTTGGACTGCACGAGAGCTGCGGTGTCATTGACACGTGCGTGGAGGAAGGGGAGAAGCCAAAATACGAAGAGATTGGTTGCGAAGCTTGGGTCCAACGGAGAGCTCGGGCGATGCACCAGATAGAGTCTGATGACGAAAATGACCGTGCTCAGTGAACAAAGGCTCAAGATGTCAACGGGGTTTCAAATTAGCGTTTGCTCTGACGATCGCTCTATCTGCTTCTCTCAACTCCTTTTTGATTAACAACAGGGGCTTATCATTTTGGGAGTTGGGAAACCCTTTTGTGGTTGAGATTGAGATACCTGAACTGGGACAAACAAAAGTTCAAATTCAAAGACACCGGAGACCCCTCACTTGAACAAACTGATTCTGCGATGCAATAATTTCATACGTGAACTTTTTCTGAATTTCTGAGAGGCATGAATCGAATCAAATTCTCAGTTCCTAGAGAGCATATTACTAAGCATCTGGCAGGAGATCTTTCGCCTGGTAGCAATCAAACAACGATGAAGCCGGATCTTGGCAGCTCACAATTACCACAAGCTGAGCCAACTAGGTCGGCTAGGGGAGGTCGTTGGAATTTCTATTTTGCGAAAAAGCACCAGGTCAGCACACAGACTACGGCTTGAAAGCCACCATTACTTTGAGAGCTTCTCTATCTGGGAGCGACACCGACCCTTGAATCCTCTGTGCTCATGTAGGCTCTTAGTGACACTTCATCATCTCTCTTTTCAAGTAAACTCATCCGTCTACAGCATTCTATTATTCATCTTCATATTTACCCTACAACCATAGGCTCTAAGTGTCGCAACCACTCAAAACTTCATTTACAACAACCCTACAATAAAAGATATGTGGCCAGCCAGCCGACGGTCTATCCAGATGGCTGGAGGACTTCTCTGGTTCAGTCATCCTAATCTTATATCATGCTCACAACGATTACTGGAGACCTTACCCCTTTTACTCAGCTCTCGCAGCAGGTTGTACTGGAGTAGCAGCCGATGTTTTGCTGAGCGACTACGGATCCGAACTGCTTGTTGGCCACGACAAACACTCACTGTCTCCCGAGAAAAGTTTGAGATCAATGTGCCTCGATCCCTTGTTGAGGATGCTTCACACGATGAATTCTTCGGGGCAGTGATCGAATTCCAGCCGAACAGACCGCCCGCAGGGACTGTTCAGGAGCCAACCCAACATTACGCTGGTTCTCCTCCTGAATGCCGAGAGCGACACAAACCAGAGGTGGAGAGTTCTGATGGAGCAGCTAGAATCCCTCAGACAGAAACTCTTTCTCACCCGCTTCGAAGTAGTCGATACCGAGCCTGGCTTCAGGCTCAAGCAAGATATGTGGCCGGGACCTGGAACCATTGTGGGCGCGGGCAACATCATGGAGGATCGCACAGTAAACTACTGGCCAACGAATGCGCTGTACTATCAGTAGCACAACGCATTCTTCGATGCGCCGTTGGAACAATTTCCGGAAGAAAACTGGAGGAAGTAAATGGCAATGGGTACTTTGCTTCTCAGATGTGGCATGAGCAAGATATGTACTTGTTATATATCCGTCTCTTTTTCAGCAGAGTATCGGATCGGTCTGCACAGGTTTCGGCAACGAACAACTTGCAAAGCTGAGGAAGCAGATCAGAACTGCAAAATAGTCAGGCCTCAAGTCGCGATATTAGGAGGTACCTAAATGGCCAATATCCCATCGCGATTACGTGAAGGAAGTATTGAAAAGAGAATGTGTTGATTTGTTGAACGTCGATGACTTGTAGAGCGTAGCGAGAAGGGGTTGGACCAAGGGCTACGTGGAAACATGGATGGCTTTGGCTTCGTCTGGCATCTTTTTAGCAGGTACCATGATGAAGTTGTACGGGCTGAGAGCTGTCAAAAGACACATGAAAGGGCTTGAATCTCAGATTGTCATGCTGGCATAGTCGAAGGTGCGAATGTTAATGAACAGAATTAGACTAATTAGCCCATACATGATTCATTATTCGCTTAATAGTGGTTCTACCGTAAGTTTCGGATAGCACGGATTACAATTCACTACTAGTCAAGGAGATCCGTCCTCCCTATCAAAAACGATGCTTGTGCCGTCACGAGGACTCCAGGAACCAGACAACATCGATGCTAACACTGGGGAACTCATGACCCATAGATGGCGCATACCTCTGTGGATGTGGTACATGGAATGCTCGTGCCATCGTCTTTGATATACGCTACAGAAAGTGTACGAGGGGCCCGAATCCCTGTCTTGAAGCGTGGTTGAGTGTTCTTCCGATTGGAGAATAATCCATCTCTGCATTTACGAGTCGTACTATGTGGCGGGAGATCAGGTTCTGTGAAACAGCATCTCAGGGATATGCCACGCGGCTTAGAGTTTGTACCACGGCGAGTTGGGTTGGCTCGCAAAGAACAGACTATGCCTATTGGCGTTTGTCGAACAGAGTTTCGGCTTTAACCCCCTCCATGAATGGCGAGGACCTCGATTTCGCCGTGCTTGGCCACGGGCCTTGGAGCGCCAATGTGATGCACGAGTCAAGTCTTCTTTTTGACTTTGAGGAAGATGTGAGGGGAAAGTCTGCCCGGTTTTTATGAGGGCCATATATGGTACTGTGTCCCACGTGGCGAATGCGGACGAATTCTGCCCAGAGGTATCTGTCTCGCCGACGCCGTTCTTCTTTGAACAAGTCAGGTTGCCATGTCAGCCGCGGCACAACGCGGGACGCTGGCACCACTTCCGGAATATCACCGCCGTGGACTGATTATACTCACTTCCTTCTCATTACTCTCCGCCATTGCCACAACCGTACTTTGGCTCTTCATTACATATAAGCTACTGGCACATCGCAAAACCCGCTCAGCTCCCAGGGAGCGAAGTACGCGAGCGCAAGATGCCGAAATCACCGATTTACCAGATCTCTCTCTGGGTTTGGATGCTCCTTGCGCTGAAACCAGTGGGTTCGCACGGCTTGAGGAACTCGACAGATTAGCTGCGGCACAAGAGCAAGCCGCAGAGGCCGCTACCGAGGATCGATACGAGCAGGAGGTTGAGGAGACTCGTAATCCATTTCCCATTCTCATCTACAACCTTTTACTGGCAGATATGATGGAGGCTATCGCCTACGCGCTCAGTATAGCCTGGGTCTCGGCTGACGGCATCTTTGCACCTTCGCCAGTCTGCTGGGCTCAAGGTTGGCTGGGCTCGACGAGTAACTTGGCAGCTAGTCTGTTCCTCGCGGTTATTTCGATCAACACTTTTTTGACTGTGGGCTTGGGTTATAAGCCACCACCGTGGACTGTTTATACCTCGATCGTCATTCTCTGGGTATTCGACTTTGGTATCAATGGAGCAGGCGCAATATATACTCAGCTCCATCCGGCAGTTCCTCAGGAATCTTTCTTCATGCGAGCCAATGTCTGGTAATGAGCTCTCACCTCCTTGTCGTCTGACAGCTGCTGCCTCTTTCGATACTTCTCACACTGACTATATCTATGTTCCGTAGGTGTTGGATCTCCTCATCCTATGATTCTTGGCGTTTTTGGGCTCACTACTTTTGGGTTATTGTCTCTATCGCCCTTACGCTCGGCCTCTATTCTTTCGTTTTCTTCACACTATGGCGTCAAAAACGAAGTTGTCGATACTTACCAGAAAAGAGAGTGTCACAAAGTGAAGCGTCCGAGGCCGGATTCGAGACCGGCCATGCACCGGGAGTTCGACGACCCTCTGGCTACCACCCAGCGTTTCTTGCCTACCCAATCGTATACTTCGCGTGCAGCACTCCTCTAATTATAGGCCGCATCACGTCTTTACTGGGAGTCGATCTCGGCATATCATATTTTGCCTTCGCAGGGTCGATCTTGGCCGCGAACGGGCTCTTCAACTCAATACTATGGACAACAACGATTATCTTCAGCAAGCCGCAAGACGCTTATAGTACGGGGCTGAATCAATTCGCGTTCGTCAGGACACCAATACGAGACTACGGACATACCGTCGTTATTAGTGGACCTGCCAGCAGAATAGTCCCCCCAGAAAGCATTGTCCCAAGCGGCGGCCGCAAGGAATGGTGGTGGTGGAAATATGGTGGTCAGAGAGGGTGGGGAAGATCTTATGCCAATGTGCACGAGACGCCCAGGGTGCGCGCATTTGAGGTGGATAATCATACATTACCAATGATTGTGGAAGGTCCCGGGATTCAGATGGACATTGTCACAGCCGTTACCGTCGAGCAAGCGGAGATTCAGCCGATATCCCCGGGCAGGCCTCAAGACAACTACCCATCCAAAAAGCATTGCTAAGTTTTAACAACAAATAATGAAAGATGAGAGTGTTATTCAGCAGCACAAACTAAACGAGACGGCGCCATGAGAATCTGATTTATCATTTGGTGTATGGAGTCCGTATTTAATAAGAAGAATAGGAAGCAGAATAAAGAATAGCGACTTAGCATTTGTTATCCCAATTCTGCAATACTCTTCGCGTTATTTGACACTTCGTTCTGGGAAAGACTCTCACTTGACTCCATAGAGAGCGGTAGTCGCTCGTCGAGTCTGCAAGATGCTTAGACGGAACATTGAAGCCTTCGGAAACCTGCCCCATCAACTGGAATGCGACTCAAAGAAGTGCCAGAGCTAGCAGAAAGCAACGAAAGGGTTGTTAATTTGGTCTGTTGGACGCTGGCATCGGTTTCGCTTTTCCTCACTTTCATACCTCGGGTACTCCCTGCGTTCCACGTCTAGGAATCGTCAGCCATTTTCGTCAAGCCGGCAAAAAAGTGGAATACGAATCAACATCGACACTAATATCAGAGTAGGAATAAATTTCTTACTCACCTCGGTGTCTCGCATTTCTGGAGACACTCTTATGGAACTTGTTGCCATAATGTCCGACGCAGGAAACTAAGCGCCTGAAACATCCAAACAAGAGGCGCCGGACCTCGGGTATATACCAGCGACGGCGTGCCGTTGCGGCATATGGGCCCTGCTGGGTCCGTAAAACGAAACGTGACAATACGCGGCCAGCGTGCGGCTTCTGCCAACGGAACGGCGGCCAATTTAGATATCCGACACCTCTAGTGATTTCTCGATGCAAGTTTTATTTCTCTCTTTCAATATCTCGCAAGCCAGCTTGACCTTACTTGAAGTATAGATTTAACCCTGCAAGCTTGGAGATATTACATCGCCTCGATTTTGTTGTCTCTGTTTTGGAGACTCCTTCAGAACGACCAAGCGACCCGATCGTCCCTTATCTTTATCGCCAACATCATTCCTCGGACCTCAAACGAGTGCAAGCGTCGCCGTAGACGAAAATCTCAGCCATTCTCCAGATGGACTGTCTGATGACGATGTCATGATCCGTCTCAACATTTCAGACTCTGCTGCTGCCAGCTCTAACTGCAAAGCCATCTTGAGACAGCCAATTTTCAGGGGCTACGTGCCCGAAGCTGAGTCTTTCATCCTAGAGTCTGAAGATGACGACGTGGAATCTTTGTATCGGCCTCAGCCTCTTAGAAGTTGGAATCTTGGGCGAGGGGTCCAGGAGAATGACTTTGCAGTGCTGTCTAAGACGTTCTTAGCATTTGTGAATATGAAGGACCAAGTCCTCAACGTAGCGGACTTCAAAGCGCACGTCAACAATACCGTAGAAAATTGCCATCGTTGGGACGAGCCGTCATGCCAAGTGGTAGGTTCGTTGCCTCTGTCGTACTCCCATTCCGTTCACGAGGTTGACGGTGCATCCAGATGGTTGCCTGCGCCCTCGCCTACCTTGCAAGCCCGTTTCAATCCGAAATCAACTTCAACAGCACGCCCGAGTCAAATTCGCTTGTCAGTATGGAACACGACAGACCCAGATATGGCCCAGGCGTCCTGTTTTGCAGCCAAAAAAACGACTGGGATTACTTGAGCCTTCCCCATTTCCAATCCAATGCCTGTTCTTTTCTGCAGTGTTTGAGATGTACTCACTTCGTCCACCCCAGGCCTGGTTCTACTTCAATCAAGCCTTTGCATGGTTCCAAAACCTATTCTGGTGAAGGACTCAAAGACGGAATCTGCAAAATGTTTCTCAGAAGACTCGGCGCCTCGAGCAGCGCCTTCACTGGCCATGCATGAAGTCAGAGTGGTAAGGCCGGAAGAAGTCCATTCCAGGGAAAGGAAGAAACTTGGCTGGCTTTAGGATTCCATCGAGCTGAGATGACATACATCCAGTGGAGGAGAATAGTTGGTTCTACTACTTGGCTGAGATATGGTCGAGAAAGGATCAATAGTGCTACATCTGTTTTTGGATACAATGGAGAGCAGGCATGAGATCTAGATGTAGCCAAGGTGCTCGGGAAATCCGAGAAATTCGACGAGCACATCAACGTTTGATAAGAGTCTCCTGCCTCCTGGCATGGGTTCGAGCTTGAACCGAAACGTTCGCTAATGCATGCTCAGGTGCTCGCACATACCCTCTCAAATCTGTTGGCTGAACGGAGAGCCACCGAAGAATGAGCTTGTGCATTTCGTCCAGAACCGAGCCGCGAGCTGCCGCGAATGGGTCCATCGGCCTTTCTCGTATCAGACGACCCTTGGATACCCCGCGTCAGGCCAACAGCAGAAAATTGCCTCGAGCTCTCACTTGAGCTGCTGTTGGACGCTAACCTTCACCCTCCCAATCACGGAACGTTGTTCATGGCCAGAGCGGCGTCGACCCGTGCTCTCTTACTTTTGGCGGCAGTCAAGAGCGGCAGGTTCTCATGGCTGCCCGAGCGATGGAAAACAGAGAGTCGACACGGCCACATGGGCTCTGCAGCGGTGGTATGGCGAAGCTCCGGATTTGCGTAAGGCTGTGTCTGTGCTTGAGGATCTGGTCGGTCAATTTGTCGGGCCCGGAGTCTGAAAGGGTCTGTGTGGGACTGCGAATGGCGCGGTCCGACGCCAGAACTTGTCAGGCGTCGTAATGGGTTGTCAGTCAATTAAGCGATCTTTGGGCTCTTTCAATACCAACTTCATTGCGGACACGTGCATGCAGAGTCCGCAGGTCTTTGGCGTTCTGGCTCGTGGCGCGAGGAGGAAGAAAAGGCGAAAAGGCGAGCAAAGGGCAGAGTAAGCCCTGAGCACTAGTGCTTGCTTTGTTACTTCGGAGAAACACTCAACTTGAGCGCTTTGACGTTAGCATCGGTCCGGGGAGTTTCTGACTTATGGGCAATGCGCCTCGAATTACTTTGCTGGGCAGTCGTTCGTAGAGCTGAGCCCATGATCTCCTACTGCTCTTTTACCTGTTTACAGATACCTGAAATGAATAACCATGCGGAAGGTGGCCAAATGATTTCGAAGCTATATAGATAAATTAGTCGGCTCTTTTGCCTGCGGCTTTTGTTGGCCGATCATGAACATGTCGGAGGGAGGTCAAGGCGTCTTTCATTGGACCGAAGTTGTAAAAGCGACTCAAAGCCGAACGATCAAGCAGCTGAGCTCCCAGCAAATTGCAGCTAGTTCTCAACTTCCTTTGGCCAAGTATACATATTGTCAAGGACCTCAGCGTGGAGGCTCTCTGTGGCTAACGAACACCCCAGAAGTAGTTATCCCTTTGACTGTTAGCTCCGGGACACTTACCGGAACAAAAGGGCAGATAAAGCCGCGAGCTCCGGGTCCCTTGACGCAATCATCCAGTCAAGGCCTGCATTTACGCTTCCTCTTGTGCTCTCCTAGTGTCTTAGTCTGCAGAGCGCATGCCACTCCCTCCCCCTCGCCATGTGATTATCTGAGACCCTTGAGCGAGCTCTCCCGCTCCATCAGCTAGCCCCAGGGGGCCACGTGTGGCTGGTGCTTACCAGCGTCATCCATGCAAGCCCTTTTTCGATTTGGATCTGGTTCCCCGGGCCTCCCTCGCACTGCTCCGGTTGCATCCCGCTATCGCGCATCGTTTAAACTACTTAACTTAGCCCAAGCCGAACAGCTGTCAGCTTAGCTTCGTTTCGTCTCTGTCTTGTACGGCATCTGTTCTCTTGAGCACACTGTAACAGCTTAACGTCATGCTCGCGCATCTTTCTCTAGGCTCTGCCGACCACATGAATCTCACCATTTGTCTCTTGGCCGTTGCATCTACTGTAGCATCTGCTGGTCTCTTTCACTATCCATATTCCTCCGAGAAGGGTAATAGCCTGACTTGACTACCTGCGTTGCAAGAGGATGGAAAAGCATGGTGAATTTCCCGCAGTCGCCGGTTGAATCCGGGCCGCCTCTCTCATATTAGTGATTGTCGGGGGTTACCTTAAGCTTCACCTGTTGTACTTTTCCACTTACACATTCGGAATTTGGAGCGCCACCAATAGCAATTCCAGTCTCATCTCCAGATGACATTTCCGTTGCCACAAGGAGTGGTGTCCCATTGGTGTCCTTGGCTTCACCCTCACCGAAAATTACAATTCCGATCAAGAGTATTAAATTGGCAAAAGCTAAACCAAAAAAACATAACAAAAAGGATGAGGGGGTAGGACAACGACAAATGCAGGTCGCGTGACCGAGCGTTTCTCATTACCTGGGAGTAACTGGATAAAGCTCAGCCACACCACCTCACAAAAGTTGGGATGAAGCTATTGTCACGCCTCACGGGGTCCTTGTTCCACTCGGCCTCCTTCACCCGGACATATTCTCTCACATTCACCTTGACCTCTTCCAAACCACCCTCTCTCAAAAGACCTCGTGCAGCCTTTCCCCTGCAGCTCTCCCTTTTCCTCTTCCCTCTCCCACACTTTTGCTTCATGCCTGCAGCTAGTAGACTTGCAACTTGCCTTGCAACCAACCCCAACAAGATCTAGGTGACTCGGGATCTCGCCTCAGGCACGCGGCTGATTGATCCAACGCCGCATCAACAGGCAAAGCTTGCCTTTTGTCTACCTGAAGCTGCATCGCAATGTCGTTCTCCTCGTCGACGTCGTCATCGAGGTCATCTAGATCTTCAAGGTGCAGTTGCGACAGTTGTGCGGAGTACAGGTACGAAAGGACATGCCATGTCGACGGCTGCTCCAGGAAACACGCCTTCCTTCGAACCGATCCACTCAGGCCAGACATCAGAATCTACTCTGATTTCTGCGTCGATCGTAAGTAGAGACAGAAGATCAGTCGAGTCCGAGGTCGCACTAGCTAACACTTCCTTGTCAGATACATGCAAATTCTGCGTGCTGGGTCTGGAAATGTGCAATCGTCCCAAGGATCCTCAGCATCGTTTTTGCAGTGACCGTGAGATTCTTCTTCATCCTCATACTGCGATAATTCCTAACCTTTAGAGCAGACCGGAGATGCGGAGTGGTGGGCTGCGTTCGTTCCGGAGACTGCCCATCAGGGGTGCCACTGCCGTGGATTTGTCCGGACCGTGAGTTCTACCCACTATGAGGTCCGAAGCCACGACGCTAACATGCAATCTGGACAGACAAATGCTTTGCCGAGGATTGCTACAAGACTAGAGACAAGCTGTACGGCTACTGTCTCGATCATCGATGCCGAGTGGGAAGCTGCTTCGAGAGACGAATACTCAACTCAGAGTTCTGTGTAGATCACCACTCGCGAATTTGCCGAGAAGTGAACTGTCGAGAGGTCATACACGCAGACCATCGTTGCTTCAATCACCAACGTTGTGTCGTCAAAAACTGCAAGCTCTACCGCTTCAAACGTCCAGACGGCGGTCTTTGGGACTTTTGCGAACAGCGTAAGTTGACCCCTAGCTATCTTCGCACGATACCGAGAATCTGACTCGCAGGCAGACTATAGCGACTTCCGCTGCACTTACAAAGGCTGCGATAAATTGACAATACCTGGCACCCGCTGCTGCGCCGTCCACAAGTGCACTTTCGAAGGATGCGTAAACTTCCGAGACAATGAGACCGACAAGGAGAGGGTTTTTTGTCGAGATCACGGCTGCGGCGCTTCTAGATGTTATGCTGTTGCTGTCGCCATCGATGGAGGTGGCTTTCGACCCTTTTGCCGAAGACATACTTGCACAGCAGCTGGTTGCATCGAGGTAGCCGAGTTTGGTGTTCATTGTCACAAACACCGTTGTCACTGGAAGAGCTGCGAAAAGCCATGCCTTGCTGGAGGGGAATACTGCGGTGATCACGAGTGCAAAAGAGCCGGTTGTCGCAAAATTGCCAAGCTGCAGTTCGGCTACTGCGCAGACCACTGTTGCAAGATTGACAATTGTATCAATTATTGCGATGTTACTGCCGACAGGATATGCTACGAGCATTCGAGAGGCGACCTATTCGACCGGATCAAGCATCTCGAAAAGAGGCTGAGAGAACGTCAACACGAGCACATTCACGAGCATCACGAACACCACCATCCACATTTTGACGACTTGCAAATCCGGCAGGACAAGTTGATCAGAGACTATGACGAGTGTCTTCTCAGGTTGAACGAGAGCAGAGAGGAGATTCGGGTTCTGCGTAGTACCTGGATATCAGCGGACGAGAACCGCATCTGGCGCAAAGACCTCGAAGATCGGAACGCTCGACTGCTATTGGATCTGGATAGAGAATTGAAAAGAAGCGAGCATTGGGAGCGCAAAGCGATTGAGTTTGGCCGGAGGATCGATGATCTCGAGGTTTTGTTGGCCGAGGAGCGACTCAGACATCCCAAGTCGGATGAATACGTTCGACAAATCGCCGATCTCGTGCGTAAAGTCGAGATTCTCGAGGATGAGCTCCGCATAGAGAGAAACAATCACCACATACATCAAGGACGACAGCACGAGATCGAGAAGCTGGTCCGCACTATTGAAGAGCTCGAGCGAAAGCTAAAGGGCGACCACATCAAGGTGGATGAGCTTATCAAAAAAGTTGATCTGCTACAGTCGATACTCGCTGGCGAGAGAGAGCAAAAGGACATTCTTCTTTCTGAGCTCGCCAAGCGAGATGAGTATGAGAGATTGCGGCGAGACGAGCGCCGTCGACCCAGGAGAGGGAGCTGGGAGAGGAGGTCTCGCGACTCACGGCCCTGGGGCAGTGTTTTTTGAGGAAGGGAGCCTGGACGTGGACTTTGCTCCCGTGGCCATAACCTCATGATGACAGTCGTGCAACTGAATACTCTCTGAATAGGAGTTGACCATTTAGAAGAGGATAACATGGAGAGCGGCAGGTGTCTTGTCATAAGGTTAAGAGGTATTCTGAGAGACGTTTGCTTGCATCTGGCGTTGGTACAAGGGACCATTCTAGGAAAAGGACACGATACCCAAAATTGCCGCCTTCATGGTACGGGCAATAATTAGTCATAAAAAAAACTTCCCGGAAACAAAATTTTCAGTGACTTATTGAGGAACGGCTGAAAAAACGACTTACCCTAGGCATCTAGGCATGTTGTAGCGCTGAATTGTCGCGCGAAAAACGTCTTGCAGCTTGATTTATCGCCCATCGATCCATGGAAAAGGAAGTCGAGGTACTGACTGAACGCCGTCTTTTGAGCACACATAGTGATTCCTCTATCCTTGATTCCATCTTGATCAGCCGTTTCTCCAACCCCCATAGGATCTAAGCTCATCTTTGATACTACACACGCCAATGCCACGTATGGTGAGTCCCTTCTAGGGAACCGGGTGTCAGAATAAGTCAGCGGAAATCCGACCTGACCATATCTATTCATGAATGCTTTGTTTTGTGCAGAAGAACGCTTTCAGCTCCGTTACTTTGAATACTTGATGGTCTGTTACATCCTTTGTGTCGAGGGAAATAAGTGAGTAACACAAATGAGCAATTCCTCCTCCAACATGGGACATTAAGGTTTTGGTGGATGCTTTTGTTGGTATCAATGGCACACTCAGAACAATGCCTTTCACGTTTTTAACAATCAGGATGATAACCCAACAATAAGGTGTCTAAATAACAGCAGCTTGACATTCAGTTAGCGGAAAGTCCAAAACATCGTCAGAAATCTTCCAAACATCAGTTTTCATTCGCAAAATTCTACACCACCAAAATTCTCAAACCATATTCCGTCAAATTCCACGCCCGCAAACATCATCATGTGTGTACGTTCAAGAGTTTTGTACATTTGCCCTTGCAACAATGCCACCTGCCCGCGTCAAGGTGAGCCTCGGTTGACGGCGCATCTGGCCCCAGGCGAAGGACATGTATTAAGATGCGAGGTCAAGGGCGGTTGGCTTCGCTGTCCGGCATGGGTTTGGCATCAACCATATGAAATCACGTTCAACCCCTCAATGAGCCCAGAAGACATGAGATGTCCCAATGTCGTCTCGCAAACCTTTAAACAAGTGGAGAAACTTTGCGACGCTTGTGTCCAAGAACCGGCCAACGTTGAAGCCATGGAAATTGGCCCGCTTTGTCGGCAATGGACCGATCTCCGAGTTGCCGTGCCTCTGGCATTCATGCCACCTCAACTCAAAAGTGCCCTCTCGAAAGGTATTGAATCTGACGCTGAAGTGGAAACAGGCGAATTTGTTCTCGGTGACACGCTCAAAAGCCCGGCTCGCAGCGGCAGCCACGTCCAACCACAGAGTTCCCAGACTCCAGATGGTGGGCCGGACGTGATGAGGCAGCTACGTGACAAGAGCAATGAAGTCAACAGGCTGCTAGGAAGCCTGCAACCTGTTCCTAATATCAGGCAATCAAAGTATCCCCAGATCATCGGTCTTGAACATGAAGAATTCATCACTAGTAACCCCTTTGACATTCCAGGATCCGGCGGTCGGATCCGAGATTCTAGTCACCTCTGGAATCAAGTCAGCCCATACGGCGCCATCAGGTCTGAGGTGGAAACATATCGCCAGATGGGAAACGGTCTGGCAGAGCCCGCTCCCGAAGTTCTCAAGAATATCGCGGCGGATGCTCGAAGGCAAGCTCGGGAGGACAGAGTGAAGCCTCCCAGCTACCCTCCTTCTCCGCTGGGACCGATCGGCCGAGAGCGACAAGAGCTGAGACAGCTCAGGGAAGAAAGGGGGGCCTATGCAAAGCGTCTGGTAGAAAGTTGGGTACAACAACGAAATGAGTAGTGGGTTCCGTGTGCCTGGCCACTGTTTTAGACTATGTTTATTTTCCGAATTCTGCATAAAGGGAAAAGATCTTGCAGTCAATCTTGAAAACAGTATGCTATTAATCTGAGCCGCAGGTTCTGCTTCAGTCGGAGAGTGTGGATAGTTTCTTTAAATTCAGAACTCCTGGAACGCATGGGAAGAAATCGATTCACTTCTTCTGAAGGTACCTGAGTTGCAATGATCAAGCCTCTAACTTTTATCTCTGCTATCGCACAATTGTGATCATACTAACCTCTCTGACCTAAACATCCTGTCAATCCCATATTCTGGGTCGATGACCTGATCGTTTCGCCGTATCAGATTGCTTGAGGAAGACAGTCTTGTGTCCTACCCTAGATGGACGGGAGCGAAGAGCAGGAGGATTCAGCAATAGCCGTCTTGGAACCAGTCATCGGGTGATTGGCGCAAAATGCCAGGCAGACGGCCCAGGTTATCTTTTGAGTCAAAATCAAATGGATCTTTTCAGAGTACCATCTCCAGAATGATGTCAAATGTAGTAAAACCCAACGTCATTGTCAAAAGCCCAAGAAGTTGCGTCACGAGCCAGCCAGAAACCCCAGTAATTGCAACCGAAACCGAGAAACAGACGAACCCGTAGACACCAGCAACTGAAATCGGGGTTAGGAAGATAACAACCAACAGCTCCCATCCCACTAGAAAAAGCCGGCGGCGGTAGACGAGTGCCGTGGCAAAGGAAAACGCCGATGGAGTCGGGAGCCATCCACCACCAAGGGAATTTGTTGATATGTATTCAGATGGAAGTTTGGGAATGGAAATTTATTGAGCCATAGGCAGTTCACAGTTATTCTTCAACGCCGACGTTTAAGCTAACATCTACGAACTGGTTCAAATCCATGGAATATGCGCTTAACTGGAGTCTGCTTTCCCAAACCACGGATAGAAGCTTTGCCAAATGTATTGCAGAACTGCGGCGAACTGCAGAGCTTGGCCATGCACGTGTGATCACTAGATACGGATACATACATTCGTATTTGTACCATGTTGGACCATTCTCCACCTGCAGATGAGGCCGGGGAAGCACTTACTTGAATGTGCTCCACTTGGTTCGGGCAGCTGATTAGAGCAGGCAACGGAGTATTGGCCACGCTGGGGTCAACCAACGACGTACATCTTGGCAGAGGGGCACATGAATCCTTTGAAATGAGCCTTTTAAAGCGATTACAGCCCGCCTTGTGCAGTCTGTTTCTTTCTCGGTGGCCACAACCCGTTTCCGTTGCACTTGGTCACAGCAGGCAACTTCAATCGCATGCTTTCTTCTGAAGTGCATGTCAACGAACCAGCATACAAACACAGACTCTCCCTCTCTCTGAGCCTCAGATCTATTCGCTATATCCTAATTCCCAGAAATGGCTTCGTTGCTTACTCTTCCACTAGAGATTTTGCAACAGATCTTGACCGGACTCACAAATAGCCTACCAGAACCAGCCAGTTTGGAATCTTTTGTCATTCCCTTCGATCCCGACTGCACCAGGCGAAACCTTTCAACATTGGCGAGACTCTGCCAGACATGTCGCTACCTCCGTGAGATTGCTGAGCCAGCCCTTCATCGACATGTCTACATTCGAGATGCAGATGTGACGTCTCTAGTATCGCTGCTCAAGTGTTGGAAAGCACGGCCTCACTGCGCTCGATACACCCGACGACTCACAATCAAGACAAAGTTGAAGCTACGATATGAGGGAACAACATCACGGCCCCAATCCATTTGCATTGAGGATGTGGATTTTGTATCTGGCATCATCCGCAATCTAGGTCTCAAGATGCGCAGTGATTGGTTCGAGCATCACTGGAATACCGACGTGCTCCTGGAACTAGCCATGATCCAAGCGCAGAACGCTCTTTGCGTAGAGTTGCTCTTTCAAAGGCGAACAGGCATCTATCGAACACCTTTTGATATGATTCCTGAGCCAAACCAGACCATCAAACCCATCCGCTTTGACAACCTTCGAAACCTTCACCTGGAGCCACCAGATCATAACAGTACGATGGATGAGTTCAAGCACATTTTGGACTGCGCACCAAATCTCCAAGGATTTCGGCTTGAGTCTTGGATCACCCCCCAGTCTCTGGTTCCCTTGCCGCCAAATCTCACCACTCTCATTTTACCGCGGATCAATCTCACTGCATTCCATTTAAATAGAATCACCTCAAATTCAGTCATGCTACGTCATCTAGAGCTTGGTCTAGATTGCTATCCTCGGGAGCTGAATCTTCTAACGGCAATTGCAAAGCACCGCAACACTCTAACGAGCCTCGCATTATTTTCCCACAGAGACATTCTCATCGAAAAACTGGAGACTTTCCATAAACTCGAGTCATTTACCACGAGCGTCGCAAGTGTCCGCCCTGGGGAATTTCTGGGCACACTTCCGTATTCTTTGCGCGAATTCCGCATACTGGAAGGAGATATCTATGGGTCGCTTCAAGCTCAGCCGTGGTTCGATGCATTCTGCACTACTCTGGAGGCACGGGCAAGGAAACCGCCCAAGGACTTAGTCATCTATAAGGGTTGCCTCAAGAAGGAAGTCAACTCTCTGTCTGATTTCCCTATAGGCACCAGAGAGAAAATAAGTTGGACAAAGATGGACAGGCAGTAACAAACAAATTTTAGTCCTGGCTGCCTTGATTTCTGCTGCTCGGTGCATTGCCTGGTGTTCTTCATGTAAAGGTACTCTTGAGATGACTTTTGATCGATTCAATTCTTAAAACCAAGGCTTCCTCTCTGTCTGGCCTGATCCAAAGGTAAATGCTTCTCTTTCACGGGTGCGCTGCGTCGGTGCTTAGTATTAGTAGTGCCGCTTAGTCATCACAGATGGGCATTAGTCCAAAAGCTGTCCCGCCGAATCTTGTTTGATCCCTCATCAATCCCCGAAACATCGACCACCGATATACGCGGGTTGAGTAGGCCATGCCGCCTACACCAGATTCCGTAGATGCTGACCATGTGTATGAGGATCCCGTCGGTCAAAGCATCTCGCGCAAGCCGCGCAGAGCTGGCATTTGGGCTCTCCTCGCGTTGGTGCTACTGGTGAATCTGGCCGCCAGTCTCTACCAGCTTCCCCTTAGCAGAGTCATTGAACGTCGCCTCTGCCGCGAATACTACGCAGTCACGGATCCTTCAGTGATCGATAGAGATGGAAGCGTCGCAGAGGGCCTCTGCAAGATTGATCATGTTCAGCAAGGTCTTGCCTGGATTCAAGGAACTATGGATACCGCCTGGATTGTTGGTGGTAAGCGCGCGGGGTTCTTTTGACAAGTACTCACTTCTCGACTGACACGGGTCTAGACTTCGTCATGACGATTCCGTTGGGGTTCCTCGCGGAAAGGTACGGTCGGCGCCTCATTCTCTGCCTCAATCTCGCGCCCCGCATCGTCATGTTAGCATGGGCCGTTATCGTGGGCTACTTCGAACAGAGCCTGCCAACCAAAGCCATGATTTTATCCCCCTTCTTCTCAGTACTTGGCGGCGATTGTGTTTTCAACTCAATCACATATGCCATTGCTTCCGATATGACAGACGACCACGTACTGAGGTAAGTGGGCCACTAACCTTGGACACCAGCCCATCACCTGGCTTACTGAGACTTTCAGGGCCACATACTTCGGGTGGATGAGCTCTGTGTCCTATGTCGTCAACCTACTCGGCCCGGCTCTCGCATCAGCATCTATGAGCCTTCTTCTCTGGCTCCCGTTCTGGATCGGAATCGGCCTACTTCTTCTAGGTATCCCCGCTGTATCCCTCTTGGAAGAATCACCCGACGGCCACCTTGACGCGGACGACCAAGCGAGACCTCTCCTTTCATCTCCAGTCCTGAAAGCCCAAGACGCCGACTCATCTCTCCTGAGATCCATCTTACAACGCTTCGGCGTCTTGAGGTCCATCGTCGCAAGTCATCCTCGCAACATGACCCTGCTACTCATCAGCTTCGTTCTCACCTCGCTCGCAAGCTCGGATACGAAGCTGCTCGTGCAATACATCTCGAAACGATATCATTGGACTTTTGCGTCAACAGGCTATCTTCTCTCAGCCAAGGCTGTCGTCAACTTCACGCTGCTGACGGTCATCATTCCTACCATCCTACGGTCAAGGCAGCATAGGTCGCGGCACATACCGCCCGAGCTGGTCAGTCACCGGATGAACATCCACTATGCGAATATCTGTTTGATCGTCTCCATCCTCGGCGCTCTCGCCATTGCCGTAGCCACCCGCATCTGGATGATGGTGTCATCATTGTTTCTTTACGCTCTCGGTTCGGCATTGCCAGTATTCACGCTGTCCCTACTAAAGTCTCCCTTCATCTCACCAAAGCGGCATGACCAGCTGGTCAACTCCGCAGACCCAGAATCGCACATCTTCTCCATCGTGATGATGGTGAAGACATTGGGATCGCTCTTGGGCGCACCACTGATGATGGTCTTATGGGTAAAGAGCATATCCCTCGGCGGGGCAGCCTTAGGAATTCCGTATCTTGTATCTGCCAGTTGTTATCTTGCTGCTTTGCTCGTGTTAGGTCGCATTACATCGGATTAACGCCGTCTTCTTTCCGGAATCAGCGTCAAAGTAGTCACCACAGCTCAATTCCACAAAGGGCTCTGATATAGATAGAATTGAAAATGTACTCATAGCGCTAACTCTTCAAGCCGAGTTCAGCGCATATGAGATTATTACCTTGCACAATCGTGATCCTGCGGGGGAGGCAACATATGACATTTGTACGCCTGAAACCATCGGCCCAAAAGATACGCAAGCGCTCTTCGCCCGGGTGCAACATGCTAGCGTGATCGCCAGCCAAAAACATCAAGTCATATCGATCAAGCTCTTCAGAATAAAATCACCCAGTCTATTCGCGAGACTTGTTACAGTCTCTTCCAGTTCCGCCCGCGGGTGCGAGTTGCTACCAGGCTGCCTTAAGACTTCAGAAAGAGTCTGGAACAACCCCTAAAGCAGCCACTCGGCTGTAATTGTGCTTGTATTCGTGCATTGCTCTCAAGGTTGTTTTCATGGTTGACACCGAAACTTGGCTGTGGTCCAGCCGCCCATCCAGGTATGCAACTGATTGTCCTCACATTGGTACACACCCGTAGGCGTTTGAAAATAAGTCTACCTTGTGTTACAATCGCTGTTGATGGCAACGTTCACCGCGTTTTGACATGCCCACGATTTGGATTATTTCTCGACGTCCGTCTAGGATTTTGCTGAGTATCCGTATAATCTTGAACCAGATTCAAGTCCGCACGAAGAGCTTGGGTCTGAGGCTCTATGCTCTGTGAAACCCATGTACCTCTACGGCGTTGGACCATGGGCTTTATAGTCAAGGGCGCTGACCTTCAGCATCGATGAAGTTTGATGTATTGTCGGTTGCCTCTAGATTGGCTTGTCAAAGACTCAAATGCTTTGTTGTTCGTTGAACAATTGGAGACATGGCCTTGTGTGTGGCATACGTATCTCAGCCCCGAACCAATGCATCTTGTCCCAGGGCGGACCACAGGAAACTCACGATACCAACTCTGCAAATCATAATTCACCATTCAGATATCGGAGATGGCCTCGCAAAGAAGCATAGATCAAACGCTCCTCCTTGTCTACAGAACATGAGTGCCCAAATTCCTCTGAGTTCTGTAACCCATTCTTGCCTGCCAACTAACCCTTCTTTCTATCGTCTAAACCATCAGAAACATCATGAGAATCGCAATGGAAACCGCAGCAAGTCACAGTTCCAAGGCATTCCGAAGTCTAGTAATAGCAACCATTCGAATCAGAACCGCGCAGAGACAGGCGCAGCTAGGCAACGCCTTTGGCATGCACTCCCCCAACCCTACCGCACAACCATATGAACATGGCAACGTGCAAAACAACACCGTTGCCAGCGATGCAGCTCAAGAAACAACGCAGGCCATGAATTTTCAGCCAGACGTCAAGCCGCCGGGTCCAAGTAGGCTCGACGGCAGCTATGTACCGAACGCTGAAAGCCTGGATGCCATGACTGAGAGTGCCCCTCCAACGGACGGCACTCACACGGATGACTTCCACGCTGCTGAATATCTGAACAGCAATCGTCCCAGTACCTCTCATTTCAATACGATCCGGCCAGAGACGCCGTATCATCCCACCTGTCATAGCAGAACCCATGAAGCCTGCATCTCGCCCTCAGTCAGCCTGTCGGTCAAAGTAGACTACCGCTCCGACAAAGCAAAGGGGAAGAATCCCGAGACCGGCATCCCCAAGATCGACGCCTCCGGCAGCTCAAAAAATAAAATGCAGGCCGGGCAAACCGATTTATGGAGAGCAATGTTTCGTGCACAGCGCGCTACGATACCAGAAATCATGGCTGCTGCAAATCGTCCAAAACCTCAGGTTATTTCCCCAATCCCTTTCCGGCCGAGCATCGTCCCTTCGATACCATTTTTGCAGAGACCTACTTCAGCAGAGACTCCAACAGAGCCTTCGTGGGAGACCTCGGGAGAACTCTCAGGGAAGCCCTCCAGTTCTGGCTACAACAACAGCATCGGCTCTCTCACTGGTAATGCCGGATATATCAGTAACAAAAACCCCTTCGCATCATTGGACCGCGGTCCGAGTCTTCGGCTCCAAAGAGCATTGGCAGAGGACCAGGAACGTCCCAAGACGCCTCTCCTCAAGCGCCTTGCGCCTACGCAGCCAATACCGTCTCGTCCCCAGAATGGCCTTCTCCAGGCGACGGAGCGAGCAGGTGTCTGGCGGAATCCCGCTAGCGTGTTCGGTGCGATAGGCACGCCACCTAGTACGGATGAAGCGAAAGCCAAGTTGAAGCAAGAGGGGTACGAGAGGGAGTGGGAGATGCAGCGTGTGAAGAGGCGTGAGGTTGAGAGGGAGCTGGCATGGAAGCTTTGGGGAGAGCGTGAAAGGAGAATTGAGAGACAGCGCAAGAGGGCGCGGGAGATAGAGCGGCTGGAGACTGAGCTTGAGATGGAGAGCAGGGAGCGAGGGTGCGAAAAGGAGCGAAAAGGAGCCAGAGGCGGCAGTGCGTAAGATGACGCTTCTGATCGAGCTGTGGAACAGGCCGAACAAATGACACTGAAAAAGTAGACGCCGTGTCGATGCCAGTGGGCTGGAATAGGTCTGAGAGAGACAACAGTATATCCACTGATCACGAGGGTTGGATACGTCTGCAGGGTAGGCAGGGCATGATTGAATTGGCCGTTGTCGAAATAAGCAGATGGGCGACGAAAAGTCGCCGATATGAGTGGATGTGCATAATAGTAATTCTCGTCGACAGTAGATCTCACGATCTTCGCTCTTGTTTCGTGACCCTAGCCATGCGTTTATCCATCTACAGTCTATCCCTTCACATCTGCCATGCACACCAACCCCAAAAGATTCCAATGTCTACGCCTGCACTTCGCTCTCCGTCGTCACAGCACCCTTTTTCACAACAGGCTCTCCGGGCTCAACAGCACCATAGCTCGGCCCTTCACCCGCTCCCAACCCCGTCTCTTCTTCCGGAACGAGAACAGCCCTCTCCTGATTCCTCTTGTCGATTCTCCTCCTCCAGGGTCGGTATACCAACACCGAGCCGAGCCCGACAACGACAAACAGCCCGCAAATGCTGCCGCCAATAATGTCAAAGTGCTCTCCGATCGCGTCGACGCCGTCCCAGAAGCTTCCTTCGGGCTCGGCGACATTGGCGATGAGAGACAGGACCTGGATGATTCCGATGAACGCCGAGACAAAGACCGTGATGCCGGTAAGGACGATGGAGTAGTAGAGGATCGCAACGCGGTCGCGCGAGAAGGCCTTTGAGGTGTAGAGGGCCATCATGAGGGCGCCGTCTGTAGTGTCGAGGAGACACATGCCAGCTGGTACGCGGTCAGTGAAACTTCCATCAAACCCTCAAAGTTACACATGTAGCCCACTCACCTGTGAAAAGAACGGGAAAGATGAGAATGAGCCAGATGCTCGTCCCCTGCGCACCATGCACACTCGACAATCCAAGAATGGCAATCTCGGAACTCGTATCAAAGCCCAAGCCAAACAGAATGCCCAAAGGAAACATCTTCCAAGGGCGGTCGACAACACGAAACACCTTTCTGAAGACGTTGGCCAGGAACCCCTCGCCCTCCAGCTTGAGGTTCGTCGCCGCCTCGCCTTCGTCCTCCTCGGTGGGTTCATAATCCCCCAACCCCCGCCGCCTCTCCTCCTCCAGCACGACCCTCAGCCTCCTGACAAGCTTATACAAGACCCAACCATTGCCGGCACAGAGGAGCAACAGGAACGCCGCGCTGACGCTCGTGCCGATTATGTTCCCCACGCGCGTGAAGCCGTCGAAGCGGTCCCTCAGCGCGCCGCTCGTGGCAGCGACGACGACGCAGGTCACGATGACGATTGTGCTGTGGCCCAGGGAGAAGAAGGTGCCCACGGTCACGGGGCGCTGGCCAGAGGCGATGAGGCGGCGGGTCATGAGGTCGATGGCGGAGATGTGGTCGGCGTCGAGGGCGTGGCGGAGGCCGAGGACGTAGGAGAGGGCCGCGGGGGAGATGAGGGAAGGGTGGAAGTGAAGGATGATGCCGACGACGATCCATATTACAATGTTGATCGTCACTAGGAGGGCTATGATGCGAATTGTCGGCGCAGGGAGTACCTGGAGGGCTTGCGGGATGGGGAGGGAGGCGAAGGGGACGCGGAAGCGCGCCATCTTGGAGGTGTTTGGTCGGGGTGAGAACAGCTCCTGTGGTGTATAGAAGGAGACGTTTTCAAATTTCCACACAATGGTATAGAATTTTGAAGATTTAAAAGTGAGAGGATTACGGGGTTGTGAATATGTTGATTTTGAGATGCCCAGCCGGCGGGAAATAGCTCGTCAACGGGCGGCCCTCCGGTCCCTCATGGCCCCTCACGGCGGGGGGAGCTTCCCCACCCTGCGTGCCCTCCCAACGCATCGAGCGTTGATTATCGAGCTTAAAAAGGTAAGTAGTGGGAGACGTAGAGATAGCGTGGAAATACTTGCGCACAGCGGCATGGAGACGGGGTGGCAGATTCGTCTCTTAACGGTGAGGGCGACCGGCGGGACCCCTCACGACCCCTCCATCTTCAGGCGTTATCTTATCGACGACTTTTTGGGGGGTTCAAGCGGGGGCACCTCAGTTTGTATGGGGCCGCACCGAGCCGACGGCGGCCGCCGGCCGTGCTCCCGGAAGAGGTACTACTAAAGATAGGTCCGGTACCCAAGGCAGCTCATTGCGAGCAACTGCTGTCCTTTTTGAAAATTTTGAAATATTCAAGTCCAGGCAGGTTTGGTCATGACAACAGGGCAGAGTCTTCGATGGGTTTTACTTTCTCGGCCAAGGAGAATCTCAAAGAGAAAATTGGAACCATGAAAGCTTGGCCTCCAACGTTACAATCCTGTGGATACTCTTCGGGAAAGGTTCACATGGCTACAATCTAAACTTTCCAGGTGGAAGATTATCTTTTGTGCATACTGCCAAGCCGGCCTGTTGGGATTGTGGTCGGAGTATTCGTTATTCACAGCAATCACCGGGGCTCGAGTGGTCACAACTCTACGTTATCCAGATGAAGACTTGAAGTCTTCTCAATGCGTTGGCCGTGTCCGCCCAGTGAGATTCAATCGAGGCAGGCCACGATAAAGGCGCGCAAAGCTCTACGGGCAATGCTGAATGCTCCTCTAGACCTCCCACAGCCAATCGCGGTAATAATCACTTGAATTGATGGCACAAGTCGAAGCATATCATCTAGCACAAAGCTAGAACAAGATTCTTGAACTTGGGTACCGCTGTGGAAAATCCAATCGCTCTTCACCTCTCGTTGGATACAGTAGGAAAAGTAGTTATCATTGATTCAAAAATGCCCTCTGCGTGGTGGATGGAGCAAGATGACAAGTGACGGGAGGTGTAGCGGGGAATGCGAGTTCCACTGCTCAGTCAGCCGCCGCCGCCAGCTTGGTAACGCGTGCGGACACAACCTCGAAACCCGAGTAAGGTAGGTACCTTACCTTACCTTAACTACACCCCTGCCCCCAGTATCTGGTCAGCCTCTCATCTCATCACCTCACCTCAATCAAATAGAGTCGAATATAAAACGAAATAGGTCGATAACCAATCTCTCTCTCCATTCCCTCCAAATCTCATGATCCTCAATCTCCCGCTCATAGTCATACTCACACTACTCATCACGACCGAAACCTGCCCCAACCCATCAGCTGTATTCACCCTCAAAATGCCCCAAACCTACAACAAAGCCTTCATCCCCCTCGAGTCCAACCCTCAAGTCTTCAACGAGCTCATCGCCCTCCTCGGCGCCTCGCCCCGCCTCCAATTCAAAGACGTCTTCACCCTCGATGACCCCACCGCCCTACCGCAAAAGATCCTCGCCCTAGTCCTCATCTTTCCCACCACGCCGACGTTTGAAGCGCGGCTGACGATTGAGGACGCCGGCGCCAAAGATTGGATGGTGGAGCACGACGAGGAGGACGAGGATGCAGTGTGGTTCAAGCAGACTATCAACAACGCCTGTGGGCTGTATGCCATACTGCATGCTCTGGCAAACGGCCGGGCCAAGGATTTTCTCAGTGAGTGCAATTTCGGCACAGCTCTTCTTCTCCCATCTTCTCTTCATGTGTGAATCCGTCAATGAAGCTCCTCATTTCAGGAATGACTGACGAGGAGGTTCAGGGCCGGGATCATTGCTGGACAACCTCCTCTCCATTACAGCTCCCATGGACCCTGCACAGGCCGCCATGGTGTTGGAAAGCTCAAAGGAGCTCGAGGACGCATACGCTACTATCGCGACAAAGGGTGATACAGCGGCACCGCAGAGTGCCGAGGACGAAGTCTACTTTCACTACATCTGCTTCGTCAAATCACCAGACACTGGCCACCTCTATGAGCTGGACGGAGACAGGAAGGGCCCGGTGGACAAAGGTATCCCAAATGAGGTGGAAAAGGTGGATCTCGGAGCAGAGTCAGTAGACATTGTAAGAAACTTTATTTTGCAAGGAGGAGACAACATTGGGTTCAGTCTCCTGGCCCTGACTGAGGGTGCATGAACAAGCACAGCTACGTCTAAACGGGAAAGCATCGTCCTGCGCAGCCACCAGCACATTTCAGCAGAGGCGTTACGGTGGACCACGGGACAGCGTCCCGGTCTTGTGCTTTCTACGCTCGGGTCGTCCATGGCGCCATTCAACTCGCCTGGATAATCTTCTCCAACTCATCGGGGTCCTTGATGGTGGGCGTCAAGTTTTCACTGCCGTCCTTGGTGATGAGGATGTTGTCCTCGATTCTGCACGAATTAGCATGCTCCCAAGTTGGAGTCATGAAATCAGGGATAGACTTACCTCACACCGCCCACATCCCAGTACTTGTCCAAGACAGCTTGGTCAATATACTTGGAGTGCACGGGGTCTTTGAGGTACGGCTCAATGATGAAGCTGCAGAAGTAGATACCCGGCTCGACAGTCACGATGCTGCCGGCAGGAATCTGGCCTCTGACACGCAAGTATCGAAACATGGGGTCCGTATCGGCATAGTTGGGGTTACCACCGACATCGTGGGTGTCCATGCCAAGGTAATGGCCAAGGCCATGAGGGAAGAATGCGACACTGGTCCGGCTCTTGAGGATCTCATCCTTGTCACCCTTCAAAATACCGATAGCGTGCAGGCCGTCAATGGCAATCTTGTGAGCCAGCAGATGAATGTCATCCCAAACGACGCCCTCTTTCAACGCAGCGGTTGTCTCCAGCTGCATTTTCAAGACCGTGTCGTAGATCTGGCGGGACTCCTTGCTGAACTTGCCGGTGATGGGGAACGTGCGAGTCTAGCCGATGTTAGTTGAGCGCATCCATGTGCCGACGTCAGACGTTTCACTCACAATGTCAGATGCATAGCAGTTCCATTCCGTGCCAGCATCCAGGAGGAGATTCAGTTTTCCCTCCAGGGGTGCATCGTTCGCGACGTAGTGCAGAGTGGCAGCAGCACGACCTCCAGCAAAAATACTGTGGTAAGCCTGGTTCTTGGCACCATTTGCGACGCTGTGCTGCAGGAACAAAGCCTCCAATTCTCTCTCGTTCTTGGCATTCTTGACAGCCTTGACAACGGCATGGTGAGCGATTGTCGAGACAGCATTGGCCTTCCTGGTGAGGGCAACCTCGTAGTCGTCCTTGACCACGCGGCACCGCTCAATGGCATCCTTCAAAACGCTAAAGTTCTTGTCGTCGAACTCGAGGAAAGTGATGTTGTCAAGCACCTGGTCCTGGATGGCAAAGACGGTGTTTTGGGAGCCCTTGCCCAATCGTGCGAGTTCGGCATTGACGTCTGTGGTGTACTTGACATCGTCGACATCGTACAGCTCCTTGGCCTCGGAGGCGCTGACTGGGAGACCGGACCAGATGACACTATCGGGATCGATTGGGGGGATGAAGAGCGTCGACTTGTTTGTCGCGAGATCGAAAACGTAGTGGCAGTCGGCGAGGGGGCAGCCGGTCAGGTAGTAAAAGTAGCGGCGCTGTCTTTGCCATGGGTGTCAGGGATAGTTGGATGAAGAGTGCCAAAGGCTGAGAGGCTAGAGATGATACCTGAAGGGCTCGGGCTCGTCGTTGTCCTCGAGCATCTTGGTCATGCGACCCTCGGCATAGAGAACGCCAGAGGCATTGGGAACCTTTGACTTGACGTAGTCGGCGACGCGGAGGGCATGTTCCTTGGCGGGGTACTTGCCCTTGAGTACCGTTTCGTAGTCTTGAGCCATGGTGGCGCTGGATGTGGCGGAGAAGAGCCGCGTCAGTGACGTCTCGAAGGGGATCGCTCTGCGATGCGGCGGGAGAGCACGCAGTGATTTGCCAAGGCGTCTAGATGCCGCGGCAGTGGATAGATGTTGGTTTCGGGGTTGGCCGATGAGACTCCTTGCTGCAGGTGGTGGTGGTGGTGGCGGTGATGGTGCAAACTTGGGGCAGAGCGCAATAATGCTGCGTGCTGGACGAGTAGATGTTCTGGTCAACATGAAGTGAGTCCGGCCGGCGGTCACACCCGACGATTCTGCCTTTTTGGAGGGGTTCTAGGTTGGGAATTCAGACGAAGGAGGGGCACTCAGCACTGTAAGCCGTGCTTAGGCGCATGTGCAGCGGGACGACGACAGCTGCGATGGCGAATCAGAGCTCTGAGACGCGTCAGATAAGGAAGCTGCTTGTGCTAACGGAGTCGAACCTTTGGCCGCCATTCCCAGCACGGCGGACGAGAGTAACAGTGCAATCGCCATATCATTTACGTAATCACACAGTGCCCCTCCTCCCCCGCTTCCTCCCGCCTCTTCCTCCACTTTTCTCGGCGCCTTACCTTATGTAAGGCGAGCCGATCATACGTGTGTCGATCCCGTCTGTCGTTGATGGACGGGCACTGGCAGGAGCTTCCCACAGCTGGCAGTTAATACCTCATAAACGAAGCTCGGGAGAAGGAAGAGCGAAGGAGAGTCGCGATACCCACCGCACCTGAATAATTAGCTCAAGCTCAAGCTCCAGCCTGAGGTGGTCCCGTCGTGGCTGTTTCTCCAACTCTGACTTCTGACGTACAAACTTCTCCAACCGCCCTCCACCTGTTCACATGCCATAATCGTGGATGTGTACCAACAAGTGTGCGCATCCACACTAATATGCCCGCGATTGTCCTCTTTAACCCATTTTTGGCTTCCCTCGTGTCACTGGAACCTCCTCCCCGAGGCGGCTCAATAACGACTCCAGAAGAGCAATGATGATGCAACTACGAATACGGAGTACAATATGCGCATTCGGTTCTGTTGGCAATAGCGGATGGCACACGCGCAGGGGCTGGTGAATGTCGTGGTCCGAAAGAACCTCCCAGATCTAGAGCATTGACGCCCCAAGCGAGACTCCCTCACCCGTTCAACGGTCGCCAACCACTACCGTCACCAAACGAAGGATCACCTCCCTTGAAGCTTACAGCCCACGCGCTTGAAATTTTCGATCCTGTCACCTTGGCCAGGGGTTACTGCATGACGTATAGACTACAGAGTACTGTCTGTCTAGTGTCTGGGCATACTAGGCTTTGGCGAGAGGGTTGTGTCGTAAATCCTCCCGAAGCCACCAAGCTTTGTCGATTTCCACGACCACCATCGAGCTGCCGTAGCACTGCCCCCTTCAACATCGACAAGTTACAACAGGCCAAGATTCGACGGTACCTTGCATCGTAACAACCTTCGCGAAATCAATGATGAGATGACGCCTTCGAAGCCTACAAGCGCTGAGCCTAAGGTTCTTTACCACATTAGCTGGTCGTAATGGAGGCCGCGGACAGTGTCTGACAATCAATCAAACGCCTTCACGGCCTCCGCTGTCTTTGCCAACATAGAGGGACGCCGATGGATGCCATCCTGCTTCAACCTGAATGGGCTCAATCCAACATCCCAGCATGCGACTACTTACTGATTTGCTCGAGCCTAAGACGACGTTGCAGCAACTCCACCAAAGGGCCTTTCTGCTTCTCCAACGTCAATGCTTTCTTCCCCGACCCCGGCCAGCAACCCACAAAATCCCCAGGGGGAATTATTGGACCTCGCTTTGTTCAGTAGCACTGGCACAATCATCAATTGGCCCAGAAATCCCCAGCCGAACCACTGAGCATTCACACCGAGTCAAGTCTGAATAGGTATCCGTCTTACAATGGACCCTAGCTTATCTAGTTTCTGCCACCGGCCTTTCTGATGCCACAAGGCACACACCTTGCTTCAACCTCGCAATATGGCCATATGAAGAAGCGAGAAATCGCTTCGCAGCGCAGTTGGCCTGCGATGCTGATCCGCTTTCCCGAAACATGCATAGCCATCACCGCAGGTGATTCAAACGGAGGCAAAGACAGGCAAGCGCCTTGGTACGTCCGTAGTACGGGAGCAGTACCAATAAGGATGGCAGGTGGCGGGCGACCAGCGAAATACCTGCGAATATGGGCATCAATCGTCGACACTCGAGCCGTCTCGTCCTACCAACGAAGATCTCGGGCCCAACACCGAGCATGCTCCCGCCATCAGCTGAGCTGCTTGCCATCCCGTCCTCTTTCGCCAACAGATTGTCCCCGTCGGAGCTCTCCCGTTGGTGTACGCTTTACAGGGCTACAAGCACATACGAGCCCTCCCCTCCGACGCCCAGCGTTCGATGCTGCCGCATGCCGACCAACATTCTTGGAGTCAAGGACGGCTCCGACGAACCAAGTCAGCGCCTCCGATCCCGTACTGCTCGAGATCCATCGCACAACCTACGAATACCGTGCCCGGCTTTCATTTGTTCACGGGGCTAGCAACGTTCCATGATGCGCCAGTTCAGTCTACCGTTTGATACAGTCTCACGATTAGCGCTTTTGCGGCCCACCTATTACCCCATTCACATCTCTGCTTCCGTCCAATGCCATACGGGCCTGAGGAGGGTACCGAATCCTTAATGTCACCATTGTGCTGTCTTTTGATCTTCCAACACTCTACCCCGCAAGGAACCCCGACCGCCACCCCCATTCCCCGGCCACCCTCCGCTCCCGTTGCTGGCTCGACCGCACATCTGCAGCTTATTTAGGCGTGTTGGGCTCGGCAGTCCGCCTGTTGTCGGTCCGATAAGGCCATTTCTCTTCACGGTTCTCAGTGAAGGAGAGGGAGGCGGTCTCGGAAACATAGTCAGCAACCAATCCCAGCATTCTACTGCCGTGGGTCTGTTCTTACACTGCTTGCAGGCTGCCCTCCCTCTTTTCTCTCGAAATGACGTAGGACAAGCCTTGGTGGGAAAAATACCACGGCAGCCAGGATACGGGGGTAAGGGTACGATGCCGGGCATGGATCAGAAGCAGCCCGTCTGTGTGCGCGAAAAAGGCCTGTTGTGGCTTCTCCAATACGGCTGCGTTCCTACTGCCTTCGCCTACCTCTCAAATTAACGTTGGCAACGAAGAGGCGTGTCGTCCCGACCCCAAGACATGTCAAGTTGCTTCAAGCTCACTCAAGCCTTTTGGCCTGTCGCCCGGACCGTTCTCGGCGGGGGACTATATGGACACAAGAAACGCAAAGCCTCGATAATCGAACTTGGGTCTTTTGTCTCAACCTCTTGTCTTTCCTTCCCCGCGCTTGACCGGCTGGGATGATTGCGTGGCGCTCCGCGGCGGCCAAAAGTCAATGAATGCGCCAAGCTCTTGGCTCTCACGATCACTTCTCAGTATTGCGGGACGGGTGTGACTGGATGAACGACTCAGATGCCTCTAATCTTTCTGCACGTTACATTGCGAGGCACCAATACGCGACACTGAAAAGGGACCTGCGCATGCGTCACCTGGACAGTAACTATTCCCTTCCTTCGTTTCCCTTGGAAGTGTTATCCCGGAACAAGCCCACATGTACTCCGTACATACCCTTTAATTCGTCGACGCCCCCTTGGCGAAAAAACAAACCGTCGCCGGCGCAAGCTGTAGGCAGAGCAAAAAGCAACATCTACTAACCGCCAAGCTCTCCCACTACAGGGTTTCAGCATCTGAATGCCCTTGCTCAGGCCAACAATGAGAGTCTCACGGCTAGACTCGAGCAGAATCTCCGTCCTCGCGTGGGGCAAGGCAGACTAGGAACTTGATTACCATGCCGATCTCGACCAGTCACTTCACGCCCTCACGGTCCTGTAGATTCAAACTACAGAGAATTCAAGCTTACGAAGTGTGAGCGGAGACGCCAAGAAGACAGCTGCTCGAATTTCTGGTACAGGATCATCGGCTGTTTTCGTCTGGTGCCATGGGGTTGGGCTGGCTTCTATAAAGATCCGTGGCCGCCCATGCGATGGTCCCATAATGAGTATCCTTTCTCGTCAACCCGCATGTGCACCGTGCTTCCATTGACTTGTGAAGCCATATCAGACATTGTCACACGTCAGAGCTAGCCGACGGATACAGTCAAGAATAGGAGCAAGACACTGGACAGCATACTCACCCATCGCCAGTATGGCTGATAAGATTCATCTAGACGGGTAAACTATCCTCTACAAGTAGTGCTGTAGCCTTCAAAGCCTTCTAATACGGATCCTCGTAGCGAAAAAGTCGCCGATGTCTCTGGACATCATGAAGAGCGTGGTACCCACCAGCCCGACCCAGTTGAGCTCAGCCGTAACATTGAAGCAAAGTAGGTCTACTACCAGTTATCCTCATTGCATTGTTCGAGTCTAACAATTTTTAACACAGGATCAAGAATCCTCTCGAAGGAATTCCATACAACCAGCTCATGCGCGATGTTGAGACCTTTTGCCAAGAGCATGGACTGCAGGAAGAAATTGCTGTTTTCCGCAAGGGTGCACTGGTTGCTCAGGACCCAGAAGGCTACGAGGCTTTTACTGGCACTGAAGCTCTCGATGACGCTGAGATTACGGCCTTGCGAGAAGAGGTCACCCACAAGTGGCGCTTGCCTAAGAAGCTTTACCTGACGATCATCACCTGCTCCATCGGCGCTGCCGTTCAGGGTTGGGATCAAACTGGTACCAACGGCGCCAACATCTTCTTCCCCGAGGAATATGGCATCGCGAGCAGCAGTACCAGGGACCGTCTCATTCTAGGCCTTGTCAACGCCGGCCCGTACATTGGAAGCGCGTAAGTATCGATTATGTGCCCACACTTGCACCGTACTAACATTCCCAGTCTCTGCGGTTGCTGGCTGTCCGACCCCCTCAATCATTACTTCGGCCGTCGTGGTGTCATCTTCTTTTCGGCTCATTTCTGCATCTGGCCTCTCATCGGTTCCGCCTTCAGTCACAATTGGCAGCAGCAACTCGCCAACCGTCTTCTCATGGGAATTGGAATGGGTGCTAAGGCCTCGACTGTGCCCATCTACGCTGCCGAAAACTCTCCGCCATCAATCCGTGGTGCACTGGTTATGTCATGGCAAATGTGGACAGCTTTCGGCATTGCTCTGGGAACAGCCTTCAACTTGGCTGTGTACTATGCCAAGTACAACTGGCGTCTGATGCTTGGTATGCACACATCACTCGAAGGCTCCACATGAAGACTATAAAAGCTGACTTCACAACTCATAGGTGCTCCCTTCCTACCCGCCGTTCCCCTGCTCTGCTTGATCTACCTCTGCCCCGAGTCTCCCCGCTGGCTTATGAAGAAGGGTCGCTACCACGATGCTTGGAAGTCCATGATTCAACTCAGGCACAACAACATCCAATGTGCTCGCGACATGTACGCTATTCACGCCCAGCTGCAGCTCGAGAGTCAGGTATTGGGCAAGAGCAACTATGCCAGCCGCTTCACGGAACTTTTCACCATCCCTCGCGTGCGCCGCGCCAACCTGGCTGCTTTCACCGTCATGATTGCTCAGCAGATGTGTGGTAAGTGAACTAGATGGGTGCCTAGACCTTCAGAGACCGAGACATATCTGACAATTCTCCCGATGCAGGTATCAACATCATTGCCTTCTACTCCACCACCATTTTCAAGGACGCCAACATGGGTGATTTCCAGGCTCTGCTCGGTTCATTCGGCTTCGGAATGGTCAACTGGCTCTTCGCCTTCCCCGCCTTCTGGACTATTGACACCTTCGGCCGACGATCCCTGCTCTTGTTCACCTTCCCCCAGATGACCTGGACTCTGTTGGCGGCCGGTCTTTGCACGTTGATTGCCCCCGGCGTAACCCGTACTGCTCTGGTGTCTCTCTTCGTTTACCTTTTCGGCGCCTTCTACTCCCCTGGTGAGGGTCCCGTGCCCTTCACTTACTCCGCCGAGGTCTATCCTCTGTCTCACCGTGAGATGGGTATGGGTTTTGCCGTCGCCACTTGTCTCTTCTGGGCCGCTATTTTGGGAATGACTTTCCCATTCATTCTCGACAGACTCCACGTCGTCGGCGCTTTTGGCCTTTACGCTGGTTTCAATGTCGTCGCCTTTTTCATGATTTTGTTCTGGGTCCCCGAGACCAAGCAGCGTACGCTCGAAGAGCTCGATTGGGTCTTTGCTCTGCCTACTGCCCGCTTTGCCCACTACCAGGTCACCAAGGCGATTCCCTACTTCCTCAAGCGCTGGGTTTTCTTCGACCGCAATGCCAAATTGGAGCCTCTCTACACCTTCCAGCAACACCAACGTGAGCAACGCGAGGAGCGTGCCCCTAGCTCCGATGAGGAGAAGAAGAGCTACTAGACTGGCCTGTAACAGGAACCAGGCGACATACATCACGTGCTGGCTTGTTTCACAATAATTCACATTGAAGGGAGGAGATTGCGTTTGAGATATACCCAGGCGGAGGATGAGTCAACAGCCTTCATTTTCTAGGATGTCGGTCAGATATATTCCATACCGTAATACTCGGTGCTCGGTTGTATGGCCTGCTATGAGTTTTGAAATGATACCAACATGACCACAACACCGTTGTTCAAATTTTTGCATGTGCCTAACACCTGACTGCCTGCCATAAGTTATTCATGATCCTTTCTAGATTTCTTCCAAGAACATGCTGCATCATGAGTCGAGACGTCTCGGGGGCGCGGTAGACAGTACCTACCGGGGTAATATGCGATATTCACGCCCTTCACCCTTCGTACGGACAGACCTCAATCACAAGGTCCGCATTCTTGACGTTGACGCGGAATGATGAATCGCGATATGCCAAGACACGGCGCTTACAATTGCCGCTCTTCTTTGTGCCAATTCAGAATCCCGCCCACGGATATTCTGGGGCATTTGTAAACGGTCGCTCAACTTGGATTTGCCATGATTCGGCCGGTCTCCATGGAGCCCCTTAGCGGCAGGTCGGGTCCATACTGTTTACGACTGGGAAAAGACGACCGATATCAGATGTTGACGAACAATATCTGCTGCGGCGCCATGCCGCTACAAGAGGTTGATTTGCCCGTAAAGGAACCATCTCTAGCTGGCCAGCAACTCCCCCTACCGCCCCCATCGCTCCAGAATCTCCCTCCTCCTCTCGCTCCTCAACCTCGCCTTCCCAGCATCGACCCTCTCAATCCTCTCCTTGACCTTCTCAACCTCCTGTCCCAACACGGCAATAGAAGCCTCAATCCCCTCATCCACAAGCCGCACATCTCCAAAGGGGCTCTCGGCTAGCAAACTATCCCGCAATAGCTGGATCGCGAGCTTCGAATCCGCAAGCTGCGTTGCGGCTGTACCCTCAAGCGTCCTTTGAGCGTCGCGCGCTACGTCGCGGGCCTTTGCCTGCCGCTCGGCCAGTGTCGCGGATAGTATGGCCGCCTGTCCGGCGCCGTCGGTGACGTCTTCGGGGAAGGCGATGGCGAGGGAGCGGAGGAGAGCTTCGAGAGGTGGCTCATCGAAGCCGGAGGACCGGCGGCGGCGATTGGCGTTGCGAGTTGGAGATCCGCTGGGGTTCGTGTTGCGGCGGCGGACGGGGGAGACGAATTCCTGGGTTGGCGTCTTCTTCTTTGGCGTCACGGCCGGGGCGGAGAGTTCTGAGCGGGCTGTGGTGAGGAAGCTTGCTGTTGCGGTTTGGTGGGATTGGTAGGCTTCGATGCGGGCAGAGAGACGTTCCATGTGGTCTAGGAGGTAATCCAGGCACTCGTCGATCTGGTCACGTCAGTCACTATAACTTGGTCCGCGGTGAGTCAGAACGTACGTAGATAACCGCAGCGGCAGAACGGCTCAGAGACTGTCCGTTCTTGCTCGATAAGGACTTGAGAGCGGGTTCGAGATGCTGCTGCTCGACCGACATCTGAGCCACGGGAAGGATCTCGGCGTAGAGAGACTCGAGCTCCTCCTGCGAGGTTTTGACGTCGTCGGAAGGGTGAGATGTCACGCCGTTTTGATGAGCGGAGCTAAGCGCTTCGAGATAGAGTCGGTCAAGCTTCGTGCGCACCGTTTCAACAGTGTACTTGATCAGCCTGCGACAAGAAGGTGAGTTGATGCGTCTCCGGAAACCGTGGGTGAGACTAGCACATACCTCATGCAAATCTCGCGAAGTTTCTCAACGTTTTCCCGGTCTTCGGGGTCCTCGGTCTCAAGTTCCAGCCCCAGCTTGCGGAGACTCAGCAGAAGCTTGTCGTCGGAGTGAAGCAGGCTATCCAAAGTCTGATGCAGGCCGTTGCCAGAGACCTTGGACTGCTGTTCGAGGTCTGACGCCTTGTACTCGAGACTTTGAGACAGCTCCTCGACCTGGAAACCCAATGTCAGTTCCCCATTCACAGAAATGACAACAGCACAACTCACAGTAGTCATCATCTTTCTGCGTTCAGCATCATGTTTCTGGTTTCTTTGGAAAACGAGATCGGAGCGGGCCTCCTCCACCCTGGTATGAGTCTTGACTAGCTTCGACAGGGCATCCTGCTGCTGCTTCAAGGACTCGGTCTGCTTCACGATAGCGGCCGTCGATCGGTTGAGTTCTTCAATGGCAGTCTGTATCTCACGTTCGCCTACAGCTTGAACAGCAGCCAGGTCATGCGATTCAACCAGCTTGTCGATCTGACCGGATCTGTCAAGGGCTGAATATCTATCGACCGCTGTTGGTAAGACATACGTACGCAACCGAGCGTGTGGCACTGATGACGGTACTTACAAGGCCAGCTCATCTCTGGACAGTAGGTTGTCGGGGCCGAGGTGAAGGCGGGCCCATTCGGTAAAGGCAGTTCCGTGCTCCGGATCGTCGAGGGCTACCTGCAGGCTGTGTCGGTCCATGGCGATACCGTAACTTCGTATAAGTCTCCCCAGGTTTGAGACATCCATAATAGCGAGCGGGTACCTTCGTAGGAAGGTGATGGAACTTGAGGGGTTTTTTTTGGGAATAGAAGGGTGCTTGAATAGGGCGGGCCAAAACGGGACGTCCCTCTTTGCATAGGACTTCGTGTTCGAAATCCACAGGCTGTCAACAGGTTTTAGATCCCAGGTGCCGCACGTGGACAAAGTTCCGAAGCAATGAAGGACGGGCCGTGCCTTGATGTCTGGCCTGTGATGGCTGTCGCCCTAAGCCTTGACACGGATTCGTAGGATGGGGAAGGTGTAAAAGTGTGGAGAGGTTGGTTAACAGTTCGTTCCCTGACAGGAGCCGGCCGTAGCAAGCACACGGGATGCGGTCGTCCAATGGCGGACGACGGCTGCGGTTTGTGGTTTGGTCCACGGATCCACGGTATCAGAGGCCCGCGGAGCAGACCCAGGTTTTTTTTTTTTTTGGCTTCCGTTGTTTGTAGCAAAGTCACGACGTCTTGAGGCAGCACACACCGCCGTCGTTGGTGCAACCGGGGGCGGTAAAGTCGGAGAGCTCGTGTTTTGTGGTGAACCCGTCTCGGCTCGGGATGCTGTTTTCTTTCCTTTTGGGAACGATCCAGGGGATGATCCGTTGGTCTGTTCCCAAAATCTTATATTAGTACCGAGAAACAATTAAATATGACGCAAACCGAACAGATGAGATGATTCAATCAAGGCCATGGACGGAACCAGAATGAGAGACTCATCAAAGTGATGAGTGAGTTGAATGAGTGTAGTGAATGAGGTGAGGTGCAAACAGAAACGTCGGTGGACAACAAGAGAAACCCCACCAAGAGACGGCTGACTAGGCCGAATCGGGGCAGGCCCTCCACTAGAAGCTGCAGCCAACCAACCGCATGTCGTCAATCAACGGTTTCCAGTCTGCACGGATCCTACAGCGCCCTCGTCACTCGTCCCGTCTGTCTGCAGCAGCCCCCATCCAATATCATGCGCGGTACGTGCCTTGACTTGCAGCATTGGTGATACGGCTGGCACCTAGGTACCTGCCTACCTTACCTGAGTACTTTCGACTTACACAACCTTTACAACCAACAACAACAGGGCATTCAATGATTATTTTGAAGAAGGCTGGAAGCAAGACTGGAGACACGCACCCCGCGCAACAACAAATGCAACCATAGTCCCGGCAGCTATCCGCCGCTGCTCAGTCCAGACAACCCACAAGGTCCCAAAGGCGTTGAGGAGGGGAGGGAGGACCCGCCCGATCTTTCTCATCGTCTACACGGCACCAAGCAGTGGGGGGTTTTCTGCGAGAAACCATCTACAAGGCACCTAAACAATCAACATCAACAAAGCATTGCTGGTCTATTCTAAGCATCGTTTGCAGCAGGTGCCGCTTTGCCGCTCTGCTGTCAATACGCCCCTCCCCGCCTGGCTGGGTACAGATTGCATCTCTAATAGGTACTTTTTCAAGGAGATACGAAAGGACGGTATTTGGCTTGAGCGTCCCGTTACAGCTTGTCACGTTTGACATCTGCCACACCCACATACTTAGATTCTTGGCATGGGCGCTATTGTCATCGGATGAGCAGCGAGCCTACTATCGGGCTGCCCAATATGGACGTCTAGACGTCCGGCACGGCCCGGACGGAGGGGCCGTTGGGCGGTCTTCGTCGCTCCAAGATATACAAAAGTCCTAGCTCAGACATCTCGAGCGATCAATTCAAACAGATGGCATGGCTTTCGGTTGTGCCTTGCCGCAAATGTGATGCGTCGTTCTGCATCTTCATCACCAACAGACGAGATCGATGTGCCAACCGCATATCTTGGTCTCGTTCCTCGGGCCCTGGATCCGTTCCGCCGAGCGGCGTCATCTTTGATACCATTCTTCTTTCTCTCATTTGTTCGCATCTCCTGTAATTGCCACGGGACCCGTCGATAAGGAAGCTCCCGTGCCTATCGTGTCTTCATTCAGCGTTTGTGAAGCCATCCACGGAATACACGGGCCCACACACTTCACCTATGGCCGGACCCCTATCATCTCCAATTTGACCTTCACCTTCAACTTTCCTCTCATTCATTCACTTGAATGGGGGCCGTCATTGTTGTCTACACGTGACGGGGTAAGAATAAGGACCATATTTCGTCGAGTCTCCCGTATTGTTTCCCATGGATATATACCGTACGTGTGCGACACTGCATGACGGGAAGCAAGAGCCTCTTTGCGTTTCCCTGTATCTTTATCACTAAGGCCTTGTTTTTCCACCTTGTTTCACTTGTGGATCTGATTGCCTCTACTCGGGACTTCATCCTGGGGTAAAGCCAGTATCACATCACTCTTGAACATATCGTCACACAAGACCCTCCTGTTAAACCTGAGACCCGTCACATCTCGTCCTCCCACTTCTACGGCATGTTTACAAGAAGCTCTGCTCGCTTCGAGTTTCTCCCTCCTCAAATCCTCCGATGTCTCAGACATTTGACAGACAATGTTCACATATTGTCACCCCGTTTGCCATTGCGAATGATTAGGAGAGGCAGCGACAGATGGCAACACTGTGCCCGTATCATCTTCCGGGGGATGGGTGACATCCTCTGGGTAGGTGTGATTTATCTCGCTAGCCAAATGCTTATATGGGGTCTCTCCCTGGCCCTGAAATCAGCCCGACTTCAGTTTCTGTCGTCCATCCTTGGAATGACTCTGGTGTTTGGTTCCATGGTCTTGATTTCACAGCTTTGTCCGCGATCAGATGGCTTCTATCACCGCCACATCAAGTGCAAGGTTTGTTCACCTTTGTCTCACGTCGCCACTGTTCGCAAGTCCTGACTTGGCCAGGTCGACTTCATCAATAGTAACTTGGGCATTGGCTTTCCAGTGCCCATCGTCACCATTAGCCAAGAGAACTTGCTTGGTGGTAAAGGGATCGGAAGAGTGATCGGGAACTTTTGTAAGTCACCTTATTCCTAGACGATCCAACACGCGTTAGACTGACGAACAAAGTGAACACAAACGTGATTTTCTGGATATTGGTGCTCTTGCTCTCTTGGGGCATCTTGACCGGAATCCTCAGACTTCCCAACTTCTCCATACGACAAAATGAGAAGAATAGCGACGCCGACACCGACACCGAAGTCGACCAGCCACGGCACTCCGGAAGGCAGACTACCCTCTTCCCACGCATCGAGGTGCCCCCTCCGACCCTCAGCCGCAGGCCATCCGAGGCGACCACCCTAAACGGAACCACGATCAATGGATACCATACCGATAAGGAAGCGGGATTGGTTCCAGACTCGAGAACCGTCTCGGCCTACTTCACAGACAGCGACTGCCCAACCCCTGTCCCACCTCCAAGCGCTCTGGGCCACTATCAAGACCGAGCATCGCTTTCAAGCTCGCAGCAGCCCGAACTTTCGAGCGGAGTAGGAACTCAAAGGTGCAGCTGGGTCAAGGAGTGCTACCCCATCATCCTAGCCCTCTTGCTTCTCCTAGTCATCGGCATCCCCGTCTCATACACTACAGGTGACGACCGCATCCTCGATGGTTGCACGCTGTGGTTCACCTGGATCAGCAGCACCAGACTCCAACGCACCTTTGAACGCAGCGACATTCTCGCTGGCTCACTGGGGCTCAAAACGACAGTCACAACACTCCTCAACCCAGTACTCCTGACGACCCTCGGCATGACGGCGTACACCCGCGCCAAAGCCGCCGCAACAGGGACACGGATCGAACAGACTTTGGCCATGTTCAGCAGCGGTAGTTCCCTATCCGGCATCTGGACTTCCAAAACGACAAGCTGGAGCATGCGGGGTCCTCAGAGCGACTGGTTCGGCGCCGGCGACGTGGCGCTCTCCATCCTTGAAGTCGGCATCATCGTCTGGGGATTGAAGCTCTACGAGTGTCGGCAGCAGATTTGGTCTCGCGCCGGCGCGGCCGTGGTAGTCATCTCGGTTGGCATCGCGGCAATAAGCGTCTTTGTGTCCGTCCTCCTCGGCCTCGCGGTTGGTCTTGAGAGTCCCGAGGCGCTCGCCTTTGCGGCGCGTAGCACAACGCTGGCGCTGGCGCGACCTGCGACGGAGGCGCTTGGCGGGAATCAGGTCGTCAATGCGACACTGGTAGTGAGCAACGGCATATTAGGACAGCTGATGTACCCGTTCCTGCTGCGGAAGCTGGGGGTCGACTCGAGTGAGGAGCCGGATGAGGACGTCGACGTGGACGTAAGGGAGGGTATGCTGAGAGATGATGCGCTTACGATCGGGGTGGGGATGGCGATTGGAATCAATGGCGCAGCCATGGGGGTCTCGTACCTCTATGAAAGGAAGAGCCGGGCTGCGCCTTATTCGGCCCTCTCGATGACTGTGTTTGGGGTGATGACGGTCGTCTTCACTGCTGTTGAGCCGTTTACAAACACCTTGCTTACGCTGGCGCATCGTTGATACTGAGTATAAAGTTTGGCGAATGATATTGATGACTCGGCTCATAGATGGCGGCGCTCTGGATACACAGCATAGCATAGCATGATCGATCAATGTACCAGGGGAGGCTGATTGTACTTGCGAGCTCATGGGCTCCTCAGAAGCGCGTTGGTATTTTTTGATATACAATTGTGCCTGTGGCAGCTCGTGGAAACTAATTTGCGAAAAGTCACAAACGTCTGGCTCAACTGAGCCATGCCATGTCCACCGGCACTGGTTGAACTTTTCTGCGACCCCCTGCCTGCTTGCACACATATGATGCTGTTCGTGTCTACTCTATCCGATCTACTCCAGTCTGCGATTGGCGGTTAGTGAAACTGTGCATGAAAAGAAGTTCATGAACAAGACGCCATCCTTACCTCTCAATCAAGTGCAGGCCGCTCGCCGTCTCCACGACGCTGCTGATCTCGCCAGGGTTCAGACCAAAGGCAGCATCCTCAAACTCCCTTTGCATGTCGCCCTTGCCGAAGTAGCCCAGGTCACCCCTCTTACGGGCACTGCTGCAGTCGGATTCGGTCAGAGCCAGCTCGCCGAGCGAGGTCGAGCCGGACTTGATCTTTTCCTCGTGGGCCTTGATGATTACGAGCGCGTCCTCCTTGGTGCGCGAAATTTCGGCCTATTTGATGTTTTTATTAGCTGTTCTGTTATGTCCGTGGGTGTTGCTGTAGCAAGGAAAAGGGGCTGCTACATACCTCTCTCCAGCTGGAAGGGCGCCGGCTGTCCTTGTGCTTGACTAGTAGGTGGGCGGCGCGGATTTTACCTTCTGGCACAGGAACAGCCTGGGGTCTTGCGCCGGCGCCAGCGCTGTGATGGGTGGCCATGTAATGCTTCAGCTTCTCCGTGTCGGTTCCTGCGGGTGGCTCCCAGCGCGAGACCTTTTCGGCGGCATTGAAGTAGTAGGGCAGGTTCTTGGAGTTGGAGTGTCGCACTTCCCATCCAGGGGGGAGACCGGTATCAGCCTGGAGTACATTGATGTGTTAGCCTTTTGCCTAAATAACACTCTGTTGTCTTGGTTCGAGAATCAACGAGAGGCCCGCCTAACGGTTAAAGCAGGCATGCGACGGCCCAGCGCGAGGCTGCGCGATTGCAAGACGACGTCGGCACAAAGGAAGCGGGGTTGGGAGTTGAGTAGGCAGAAATGAAAAGGCTCTGCTCGCTACTTGGAGAGCACTGTTGCTTACTCACCATTGTTGCGCGTGATGATGTTTACGGGAGAGAGTAGAAGAGGCCGTGGCAGTAGAGGGTGCGGGGAACAAAACTTCAAATGCGGGAATTGCTGAAATAAACGAAGCTGTCGCCGTATGCTGGACTGTAAAAGACGTGGAGCTGGCAGAATGAGGAAGAGGAAGACGGCACGACGATGGGCGCGAGGAGGGTGGGCGTCGAGGTACAGATGTACTCGGGAAGGTATACGAAGGACGGTAGGGCAGAATGGTGCATGCAGCTGGGGAAGAGCTGGGGTTTGGTGATGCAGCCAACAGAACGCAACGGAGGTTCTTCAGCTTGGCTCGAATGGATTGGACGAGAGAGGATGACGTGCGGCTGCTGGGGTAACGATTAACGAGGCGACAAGAAGGAGCAAGAGTCAAAGTACCGGGCATATTGGTGAATTACTTAAGCCACCAAGGGTTTGACATGCCCGCTTGCTGGTGTCGCTAGACAGGCACTCGACGAGCGTTAGTGGGGAGTGGGGAGGTCCACGGGGGACCTGGTGACCTCTGACAGGGAACCAGACCAGAAAGGGACCTAGAAGGAACCTAAAGCTAGACGCCCCCCCAGCGGTTTCCCCTCTCCTCCAAGAGACCCGTGGACGGGAGACATCAGAAAGTTGTGTCCCTGGAAGGCGGGGAAAGGGGCGCTGGAAAGAGGGGTTGGTCACTCCCCCCAGCGGAGCGAATTTTGTGCCTTCGTTGAGGTGGTCCAGTATCTGCTGGATTTTCTGTCGAATCACGTGTAGCAGTGGTCCCGTGCCTGTCTATGTCAGCTTATACAGTTTCATCAACCTGACTTTGGATTTGGAGCTAGGTACCACTCGGCCACTCTTATCCGATACTTTGGCAGTCACCAGGGCCATGTGGCCTCGTCTAACTGCCTTATTTGCCTTACAAATCGTTGTAGAATGCAGAAAGCCTCAGCAAAATCCAGTGAACGGTAAAAGAATGAATTGACGTCTGGAGCCATGCCAAATAGCGTTACTTGGGCACGGTAACTTGAAGCAAGGAAATTTAAAAGCTCGCCCATGTTGCAATTAAAGATGTACTGGTCTTCATAGAGGAATTGCGTCCAGCTCGGATGATGGTATGAATCACAGGAGGTGGCGGCAGGAATTTGGATGAGAAGAGAGTGACTCACCGACCAATGGCTCGGTGACCGGTGACCCAAGATAGAAATTCCATTTCCGCTCTGATTCACCGAGGTGGCCCCACCTTTCGCCTCCCTCAATCATCCCGTCAATCAACCTAAGTGCAAAAAGGAACGTGCGCGACCGCCTTTCTCCATTTCGATTATTTGCGCCGCACTTCGCTTTCCCTCCTTCTGCCTGAACCTCACCTCTACACATCACTGTTCAACTCTCCACAACGCGCTCAACAGCACAATTTTGGTCTACAGATTTATCCGACGACTTCGCGAAACGATATCACTGCCTTTTTTCTACCAAAATCTTCCCGACGAGCAAGAATCGCTTGGCGACCGACATCACGATGGCGACCCCCATGAGCACAAATTCCCAAGAAGAGGCCGCGAACAAGAAGCTTGAGCAGATTACCTTTCGCTTTTGCTCTGAATGCTCCAACATGCTCTACCCCAAGGAGGACGAAGAGACCCATCGCCTCCAATTCACCTGCCGAACCTGCCAGTTTACCGAGGAGGCCCAATCTACTTGCGTCTTCCGCAACGTCATGAACAACGCCGCCGGCGAGACCGCCGGTGTCACACAGGACGTCGGCTCGGATCCTACTGTAGGTGATTCCCAGTCTATTCTTGCCCCTGTTGTATGCATCGGCTGCGGCCACGCCATCCTTTGCAGCGGCTGCGGTAACCCGTCCGACGACTTCAATGTCTCGGCGGCCCCTACCCAGCACGACGGTTTCCAGAGCAAGAAGACGGAGATCACGTGGGACGACCTGATGGACATGGCTGAAGACGAGGCTCTCGACGAGTATGACGAAGAGAAGGAGTCAGTTAACTCGGACGAGATCAACCACGGATTCGCAGGCATCGCGCTCAACAAGGAGCCCGACTCCACCAACCGGAACGTCTCATGGCCTACCTTTCAACTGGCAGTCAGCCAGTGACTCTATATCTCGCCGCGTGTTGCCACATAACCTATTGTTGGATGGAGACCCCTGCCCCTGGCTCGTGCAATGGGATTCTGGCTTTCACCTTGGATTCGAGACCTCCCTTGTGATCAGCTGGCTGACGCTGCATCTTCCCTGGATCTAGCTTCCACGATCAAACAAGGAATGCCCCGTGTGCAAAGGTGGCGAAGCCGTCTTCTTCCAGTCTCAGCAGCGAAGCGCCGAGACGGGCATGGTATGTACATCCCGCATCTATCTTCCCGCCAGGAGATTCCGCCGACTAACGCGTTCGCGTGCAGAAACTGTTCTATGTCTGCTGCGATTGCGGTCACATCTTCCAGTAAAAGAGTCGACCTGATGAAGATACCCCAAAACTGTTCTAGAGGAGGTTACCATGCATTGTAAGGAGTATTCTGGCGTTCGAGCTCTGAAATGGGGAAAAAGGCAAAGGGGCCATGGGTTTTTTCGTCTTTAGCTTTACACTATCAAATTACGGATATCATCTCCCGCAAAGGGAATGGCTATTCTTCACCGCCCCGGTCTACTTTTCAACTGGCAATGATACTTGTGAACCATGACTTGTGACTTACAACTAGACCCAGCTTTATGAATTTTTTTGTATTTGAGTATTTGATGGAGATTGGTATCGTCTGCCAAACTTGGAAACGCCGGCTCATGCATTCATATAATACACTCCTCCACTTTGATGGTTTTTGTTCCTGTACTTGTACAAAGATCCTACATGTCCTCCCACCTCGTCTTTCGCACCGCGTCCGCGAGCCCATCGACGGCCGTTTTATGCGTGCATGGGCGCCATGGAAAGAATCTTGCTCCACTTCTTCCTCCTCAGCTCAGCACCAACGACGCCGTTGATGCGGGAGCCCACGGGGTCGCCGGCCTTGTTGATGAGAACGCAGGCGTTATCGTCGAATCGGATAACGCTACCGTCTGGACGGAGGGTCTTTTGCTTGGTGCGGACAACAACGGCATGGCGCATGTCACCGCGCTTGACCTTGTTGGCGGCAGAGGAACCGGCCATGCCACCCTCGCTGGCACCTCGGTGCTTCTGAACAACAACGACAATCCTGTCACCTGTGAGAACGTGTTAGTATCGGGATCGAGTCGCGTGAGGAGGTTCGTAAATAGGCGACAAGTTCGTACCGATGCGCGCGAGTTTCTTCTGGCCGACAACCATGGCGCACTCCACCATGGCAGCGCCTGAGTTATCGATGCATTGAAGCATCGTCTAAGGACACGTTAACTTGCTGTTGCAGTGGCCGGACAGTCATAGAGCGGCATACCTTTAATTGAATCATTTTGGCGGCAGGACCTCGTGGTGGGCTGTGGAATACCGGATCTCCCCTGGCTGGTCGATGGCTCTGAATGGAAGCTATCTCGAAAAGGTGGGACCCGCCCGCTGCAAAGTTGAATTCCACGTCGGGACTACGGTTGGACGTAGATCCGAAGGTTTCCCGTTTCTTTGTGGTTGCATGGGTGCTGTCCCGTTGCTGCGGACAGGCCTTTGACGGCCGAAAGAGGTTAGCTGCATTATGCAAAGCGTAGCTAATTGGCTGACGTAGCCGGTCCAAACTTGGTCTGTGCGACTATTTTGACGTCTCATCTGAGGCCACTCCAACGATAATTGCCTAGCCACTGACTTTTGCAACTTGTGATTGGCCTTCCTCCCCCCCGGTAAGGCGCAATCCAATGTTTCCCTTTCTTGCTTCCCTCCCTCTTTCCTGTCCTACGCCTCTGGTCTCTCGTGCCCTCCCCTGGAATCTGGAATCTGTCCCCATTGGGATTTGCCGTCAATAAGTCGGACCCGAATCGAATAGAGCCTGGGCTTGCGTGCGAGAGAAGGTGGGAAGGAACCACGCAGCCAACTTACCATACTGCGGGTAGGAGCGAATTAAACTGGGACAGACGGCGACTTCTTCTTCCCATTTCCTGCTCACCTTGACTTCTCAACATCCAGCCTCACACACACGACCACACACACCTCTCACCTCCCACCTCATCTCATCCACTTTTTTGTCTCATTTCCCTCCTATCCCCCTCCTCATTCTCATCTCTTTATCCGCTCCGCCGTCCGCCATCCGTCGTTCGTCGTCCGTCGTCCATTGTCCGTCATCTTTGTTCCTTCAGCATCCCTTCCGCTGCTGCGGGTGAAACTATTTTGCTTCCCATATTCATTCCTTGAGCATTCATCCCAGCGCAACGTGAGGGAGAGAGGGTCCTGTTTGTTCTTGCCTCACATCATACCGAGTATGATCCACGGCGGCCCTGCGCATTAATCTCCACCACCACCCGCCTACTCTGAGTCCCGGACCAGCCTGTCCTCGTCGGCTTGTTTATGCCCCCTTTGGACCTGGAGACATGACGACACCCAGCCTGAGCTGACCCTTTCCTCATATTTCTGCGCCTTTTGGAGACAACAACCTTCTTCCCGGTCTCACCCACATCTATTCCTGGTCTTATCCTCAGCGGCAACTTGCGACAATCGTGGCCCAGCTGTCACCCCCCCACATCATTTGCTGCGCTTTTCCTGGGCTATCGAAGGGAGCCCGAACCCGCCTCTGGTCCTTCGTCCACTCCTTGCTCTGTGCGCTGACGCTGGTCCCCCAACGTTCGTTTAGCCTTTCCCATCTTCGCCTCGGGTTCGCTCCTTCCAACTTGCGCCGAAGCCGAGATTTGCGACGGTGATAACGATCATCTGTTCTCTCACGATGCCGCCCTCTGCTTCTGCGACAAAGAAGCAGAAGAACAAACAGACGCTGACATTGGCGCAATTGGCGTCTTACGACGACTTCCTGACAGACTCTCTCGTCGATCATGTATGGGTCTCGGTCGGGCCGGGCAGCCGTGCCTCGGGCACTTGTGGGCTGAAGAAGCTGACACTTTGCAGGTTTTCTACTGGACTACAATTCCCAAGAACAGAAATTCGTACCACCCCTCGCGAGGCGTACGGGAGGAGGACATTACCCAGATTATCCGGGACGAGCTCGCTGTTAACAAAGACCTCGAATCCGCCGAGCGCAAATTGCTAGCCACCGATGGCTTCCGCAAGTTCTTCGCCGCCCTCAAGACGGACAAAGCCAAGGATGATTTCAAGCGTCACATGCGCCGCTACATCCAGATTTATCTTCCCGACTGCCCCTTTGAGGTGAACTCGACAAACCGCTACACCATTGTGTCGCACGAAGCCGCCATCACAGCCCGACGTTTCATACGGCGGAACGAGACGATCAAGTACTTGGCCGGAACGCAGGTCAATATATCGCCCGAAGAGGAGCGAGAAATGACGGCCCGCAAGAAGGATTTTAGCATCATCATTTCCGCCAGGAACAAATGCGCCAGTCTGTTCATGGGCCCTGCTCGATTTGCGAATCACGACTGCGGAGCCAATGCGAAGCTTATGACTACGTCTTCGGCCACCATTGAGATCATTGCGACGAGGAACATCGATGTTGGCGAAGAGATTACCGTTACATATGCAGAAAACTATTTCGGGGAAGACAATTGCGAATGTCTGTGCAGGACATGCGAAGATAGATGTGCAAACGGATGGGCACCGGCTGAAGGAGAAGTTGCGGTCAAGAAGAGTATCGAGGAGTCTGTTTTGGACGGATATTCTTTGCGCCGGCGGAGAAGGGACGACAGCGTCGGCCCTTCGTCCCGAACCCCTTCCATCACGCCCGACATCCGGCCACGGGTATCAAAATCACGGCTGAGGAGTGGGAAGTCCGGCCGAGAATCTCTAGCAGTGGGCTCGCCAATGTCAGATGCGCTTTCGACGGAGAAGAAGCACTCTTGCGACTCACTCGTGACACCGCCCATGACGCCATCCAAAAGACGAAAGATTTCGGCCACACAAGCAATCACAGTCCGTCAGGAAGCTCTCGTCACGTCAACAGAGAGCTCGGCCTCCGAGTCTGTGCGTAGCATGTCATTGACCAGCAGCGGAAACGAAGATGGGTCGGTGACGGACATCACCGAGCCGGAGAAAGACACCCCGGAACCGAGCCAAGGTCAGAAGCAGCCAGAGCTTGTCAAGAGGGAGGAGTATGAGGAGACCACGGAGCAAGCGTTGGCTAGCGCGGCGCCGTTCTCGTCGCATAGACAGATCCAGAGGGAAATGTCAGACATCAGTCGGGAAGCGGCTGTTGCCGTCTCTCGATCGATCCCCATCTCATCTTTGTGCAATCCTCCGTCACCGCCTTCGAAAATTTTCGGTCCAAAGCCGTCAGGATGGTCGTACCCAGCGAGCATCCCTCCGTACAACATACAGGACCGCATGAGTATCGCGGCTGCCATGTGCAGCAACGTCAGCGCAAAGCCAGTAGCAATGTCAACAGCGGGCGCATCGAAAAGCTCTAGCACAGACGGTTTGAAGCTGACACACAAAATCCTCTCAACAAAAGAGCCGCTCAGAGGTTCTCGTCGCGAGACCGTGATGCCAACGTCAAAGGTTGGGGCGCTGGCATCAATCGAGCAAGACGGGCTGGGCAAACGCAGCTCCGACACCGTGCTGACTGCAAAGGTCGAGGCATCGGTATCGACGGAAAATCCTACGCCGATCACTGATGATATCAAAGTCTGTGCAGAGGTTGCTGAGACGGTGGAGGGTGGTGGTGACCAGCCACCTGTGAAGAAGCGCAAGTATCAACGGCGGACCTTTATCAAGGAGACGACACCACCCGCAAAGACCCGAACACCCGGTGATTACACTCTAACGCCGCTGCTGCTCTCGGAGCCGCAGACGGCATGGGTTCGCTGCACCAATTGCGAGACGGCCTTTGTGCAGCAAAACGCATACTACACCAAGAGTTCGTGTCCGCGCTGCGAGCGCCACTCCAAGCTATACGGCTACATCTGGCCAAAGACCGAAAGGGCCGGGCCTCGCGATAAGGAGGAGCGCATCTTGGACCACCGCCTCATCCACCGGTTCCTGGGGCGCGACGCCGAGGCGCGTATCCGGGGACGAAAACGACCCGCAACAAGCACGTCGGAGGCACTTGAGGATTCCGCGGGGAACAAAATTGGAAACAAGCGCCTCAGAGCCGCGGATGATGAGTCCGGGGAAGGCCAAGATACGACCGGGTTGAGACGGAGTGGTCGAATGCGCAAGGCTAGCATCAAGGTGGCCTCTCCGTAGGAGAGACGAGGCGCGAAGTAGCCAACCGGAGTTGTCCGGGACCCAGCCGGAGGGAAACTCTCCCCAGTCCGGGGGTCCCACCGTGGCTTTTCCTATGAAGCAGAAACGAACGACGGCGATTTATAATTGGAACATGGGGAAACATGAGGTGGAAAGGCGTATGTCTCATGTTTTCATTGCGACAGCACATTTCTGGCCTGGGATTTTGATTTGGTCTTTTCCAGGTTTTATTTTCTGCTATGCATGCATAACTGCGTGTGCATGTACAGTACATAGATACCATAGCTCCCCGCCTTGCATATCGCTGTCCGTCTGCAGGGCGGCAGAGGATGGACAGGGGACTTTTCTTGATTTTAATTTTTGGCGTGGTGTTGAGAGACAAAATTCCAGCCGTCTGTCTTGGCTGGACGGCTACATAAGATAAGGAGGTATTGGATGCACACGCAGACAGAGCCCAAGGGAATGTCCATTGAGCGAGAGAGGCGAAGAAAGAATTGATGAGAGAGAGGGCAATCTACTTCTACAAGACGAGGCCATTTCTCTACGTGCCGCCGCTTGCTGTTTCTCAACTTTCCTTGTTCTCCAAGTAGCTGAGGGTGTATTGTTTGTTTTTCCCTTGCCTATTCCCAACCGTCGGATTCGGACACTCAGCTTATCAAGCAGCCTCAGCGTATGCATGTTTGCTTACTTGCGTGCTGCACCACCACCTTTGCTGATGGTTTCGGTCGGCGACCGAAAGCGACTGCTCTCACCACGAGCAAAGACGAAGAACTACCTAGCCCTCGCTCGCACTTTAGTGGCATAGACACTCACACACATATCTTTACCTTGAGCACACCACACCACCTTTTGCTCCTCCTCGACAGATGTACCACGACTGATAACACTTGTGCTACCACCTCAACATCTCCCACCCCGCCGGCTTCGAGCAACCTGCATAAAAACGGTGTCGTCGCGAACGGTGCGTCGCTAGCAACCTGCGCTAAGGCAAGCAAACGCTATCGGAGGAAGCTCTGCCTTTTCTTTTCCTTGCGCCTTCTCCCCTGCTTGTCATAAAGCTCGAGCACACCTCACCATCTTAGCTCGGGTCCTCTCGCTGGTTCATCACTCACCACCCATCACTCACCGACTTATATCTTGGGCCCTTCACCAACTATTAAGTTTCTTCGGACCGTTTCCCAAGAAACCGAACCAAGCTTCCCCCCTTTTTTTTAAATATACGTCTCCTCTCTTGGTACCCGTCCCAACCATCCCTCCTTCGCACCCATCACGAAGTGTGAAAAGGGGAGGGGCATCCGCTGTCCATCATGTCAACGGAGACCTTTACGCAGAAAGCCATGATGAGTGCCGGCCTCTCGGGGCCGCACAACTACCACTATCAACCCCAACACCAACATCACCTCTACAACCCGGCACCAAGGCTTTCCGCTCTCGCCTCTCCGCACTTTTCCGCCCGGGTCCAGACTAAGCAAGCCAAGAGGCGGTCGCTGACGACGGCGCGGCAACAACCACGACAACCACAACCGCAAGCCTTACATCCCCTGACGACATTGCTAGCCGTGGTATTCGATTTCTTTCTGCGGGGCATTCTGGATCTCACGAGACCGCCGAGGGACCTGGTCAGGTTTACTGTGATGGGCATCTTCGACACCCTGTGCTGGGCGTACCACGCGCTGCCCATGCCGCTCGCGCTCGGTCTTCTTTACTATGGGTTCCAGAGCGTACCGGACGCGCTGCATGGTGTCGAGCAACTGCGGGCGATTTACAGCACGAGGCTGAGCGGCGACGCATTTCCCGGGAGCGCATCCGGCATTGAGGGTCTCTATGGGCTCGGCGAGATGGCCCTGGTGCGATGGGGAGATTTGGGAGTCTGGTCGGTACGTTCATCTTCGTTCTTGTTTGACATCACATCATCTTGCTCTCCTGCGGTTGATTGCTTGGTCGTTCCTGGCCTTGGCATCATTCTTCAAGACAGAGTGTACAAAACATTTGGAGTGTTTAGACTGATGTATGTGGTCCAGGCGTTTTACTGTCTCGCTCTGATGACGGCGGCGTATGCGGTCATGGTCCTCTTGGAGATGCGCGACTACATCCGTGACACCTGGGCCCTCATTGTGGACGAGGCACTCGAGGTCCAGGCGCTGCGGGCGGACGAGTGCTAGTCGACGCCTCCAGAAGGGGGTTTAGTCCTCTTTCTGTCTCGCTTCTCTCCCCTTTGACGTTCTCGCCCCTTTTTGGTGGGATCGGAATCCATCCTACCCAACACAGTCGTGGGGTCGGCATTCGGCGTTGGTTGCTCGTTGTTTGTTCTATTCTTTTTTTTTTTCCGTTGGGGGCGAGAGATGATGGAGAGAGTCGGCGGTCGGACTTTGGGTCTGGCATTCACACTCATCCTCACTCTCACTCTCACTCTCACACTGCATTCTTATTCCATGGGATCAGCGGGCGTCGACTGGTTCAAAAGTATAAAAGGCCAAAATGGGTATATATGCACGGCGCTTTGGGCACAAGTTTCGTATCTCATTTTGTGGCATCTTTTTCAGGATCTTCGGACGAAGAAAAAGGAGGAGTTTTGGATGGGAGAAACGCAAAAGGAGGAGGACATGAGGATACAGCAAGGCTGCACTTAGAACACCCGATGCCAGACACATTCACAGTCGCACACGCGGTCAGCTGGCATCGGCGGACATGATTACGATGCTACAATACTTAATGAATGAGAATACTTGTCCCACATTCTCCTTCCATCCATTGTGATGGCTGGAAGAAGGTGTGGACAAGGACAATTTCGAGATGAATTCGACCTCAGCTTGTCCATCCTTTCCATCCTCTCAGTCGCTTCCTTGATCGATGTAAACCAACCAACTAACACCCGAATATCGTCATCATGATTCTAGGATCTCGACTCGGCAATATAGCTCGAGGTGCACTTCGCCTGGTTCTCTATTCACTCATTGGCACACTTGTTTGCCCTGCTGCATCCAACAGGCCACCCACACGCTCAACCACTGGACGCCACAGCCATTCCCTGCTTCCCCAGTGCATATCCTCTCGCTTCTCATCTTCGGTCTCGGTCGCACTTCAACTCAGTCCCTCGTCACCCTTGCTGACAAGTTGCTTTTTTCTTTCCCCGCATTCTTCGACTTCATACCTACCATCAGCAAAGGTACACGGACATGGGTTGGGCCTCGGCAGTCTTGCGGCAGAGACAAAATGGGGGGTTACATGTTCGTTTCCTCCCTCTCTCTCTCTCGCTCCGGCCAACTGACTGTTGGTCTTCGGACATCCACACGCCTTTCACGCACACGGTCTGGGTTCCGCCCTACCCCAAGCCACCCACCCTCCTTTCCAGCCGTCTCGAAACGGATAACCATCTTTGGACAAGTAAATCGACACCCAACTTTTATAGCACCCTCGCATCGAATCTTTGCCAATCAGAAGCCGCACCGGCACGGACGATCAGGCTGGCTGGATGCTGTTGGATGCCCGGCTGTCCTGTTACCACATGTCGTGCTGGGCAAGCGAGGCAGACGTAGAGCAAAATCAATGCCTTTTCCAGCCCTTCGGTGATTCAATAAGGCACTTGGAGAGTTCTTCTCGGCCGTAGCCAAATGTATCTACGTCCCATGGTACTCGCCACACGTTCGGAGTTGCTGGGATCACCGTAGGGCCGCCGCGACCGTTTGGCGGTTTTCTATAAGGCGCATGTCAGACCCAACTCTACTTAGGAGTCGCGTGTCCTTTTTGTGCCGACGTTTAGATTCCTTCTGGGACATGGCTGACCTTGCTTGACCCCGCGATTCATGTTGCATTCGGACTTTTAATTCCTTAAGCCGCCTTCCGGAGAATCTCTAAACATCTCCCTCTCTTGATCCTTTTCTTCTTTTTCTGTGTTCCAACAGTCTCACTTTGACATTCTTCATCCGTTGATTGCCGCCCGTGGGGTGATTGACCACAAGGGAGCGTGAAACAAAAACAACAACTGCGGTACGCCGCAATCCGATCGACGACCAACCCAGGGGTGAATCTTCTTATCAGGAACAGCAAACAGAAAAATTTGGCTTGGGCCTAGTCGAAATGTTGAGAACGTTTTCCGAAATGAATGGGCTTGGGGGTTCGCTTTTGGTTGTGATCGTACTCATGGCTCTGGTCTTCGCCGCATCCAGATTCGACTTCGTAAGTGTTTCATTTATGACGGTGCAGCACCATCAGCACCAGCACCAGCACCACCACTTCGGATAGCGACGGTACTAACCGGCTTATCCAGATCCTGACGTCAGGGAAGACCAAAGAGGGTGAATTCGAAGGGGAGGATGATTCGACGTATGCTTTCTACGCTTCCAAGAGGAGGAGGGCTTCCAGTAAGTCTCCCATTTGCGTTTTCAACTTTCTCAACGTGATGGTCTAATTCTTGCAGGCGTGAAGCGAGTTTCCTTTGACATATGACACGTCGACAGCGTGGAGGAAGCGACAAGTCAACATCTCCTTTTACCTTTACACGCGCACTTGCCAAATTGGAGCGATGAGAAGTAAGGCCACGGCTAAGGATGAATCCGACCAATGCATCGTTGGTCGGACGGGAGCTTCGGCTTCAGTGTAATGATGCACTCTCATATTCTTGTATGACGTATTGGTATATATGTGTTCAGTAACCATGTCAAAGCGCACTTTCATTGCGTCACAAATGGTTGGTTCATCGCACGTGGTACTTGGGTTAGGCGGCGACTGATTTCGCAGCACATTGTCTTCCGGCCTTTCTACAGAGTACGCAGCCCTGAGACCGGCCACAATTATTTGAATAATTTTGGCATTTTATGATATCGGCCTTTGGTATTTACTTCCTCGGATTCTGCTTGATGAAATGATCCAAAAACTTCTCCCATCGACCTTTATCATTGACCACCCCTGTACTCAAGTATCTCGACTTGGTCAGCAGTAATGAGAAGCTCTCCACTCATTACACTATAAGTACGAGAACACTTGCGGGATTGATGCCAATAATGATGTCATGAAGTGTAAAGCGTTGAGCTCATGCAGCTTTAGGACAAAAGTACACAGACCTATTTCTTTTTGCGTTTGTTTGAGAAGCGACTGGACCTGATAGATTTCAAGGCTCATTGTAAGCATTTCCAGAAGCCCGGGTTCAAGCTCGCTCATACGGGATTGTCATACAAAAGATCAGAACGGCACATGCTAGCAACATGATGAGGCTGAAAACGGAATCACCCAAAGCCACAGCTATCACAAAGACTATAGAGTCGACGTGGGGAGCATTATATCCGCATATTCCTACTCACAATAACAAAATTTTACGCCTTTCGGACTTATCACCATTCTCTCGACATTTTAGATCACTCCGTGCTCATTCCATGTATTCAGCTGCTTCACAATTTGAGGCATCTTGTGCTAAGTCGCGATGATCTTACAGCAAATTTTGGACCATGCGTCCGAAGTTCACCAGCTTCGTCGAGTTATGTAACGATAGGCGAGTATCGGTTTGGGTGACTTGGCTTATGGCTCATAGCAATATAGGCTCTTTCTGTTTCATTTTACAGCCTTGGTCCTTCTTTAATGATTCTACTAGAAAGGTTGCGTCAGAAAGCTGTGTTGCATTTTCGTGAAGATGAAGACCCTCCCCATGAAAAGGGACACGCTATTCGAGGGAGCTGTTTGCCCTAAAACTCATCTTAAATCCCTTCTTATTGCTATTCAAAACTTCTTCTGGTAGTCCCTCGTGATTCAGTGGGCACGCTGAGTGTCCAACTTGGAACTTTCAACACTCCTAAATCGATCGTTACATATAAGCTGTCATTGAGGGAGGAGGACAACAATACAACTCCGTAACATCTTGGTTATAGGATACAATGTGTCCGTCAGAAGATGCTGGAAGGGTCTGAAAAAGATTATCCATGTAGCCTCCTAACCGATACGCCACCCATCATGGGTTCTTCGATGCTGTAGCTTTTCATGAGCATGATGGCAGCGATAGCCATCCTCCATTGGAACCTGGTTCGGCCTAGGAATAATGACTGATCAAAATCCCTCGACTAATGCAAGCACAAGGTCGCCTGTGAGGCAAAAGTTTTCAATGGTTGCGCTTCATTGTTCGCAACCCCTCACATCTGCACTCATATAGAGGCTGTTTGAAACGACGGGTTCCAGCTCTGTTATTGTGACAATTTTCCGTGTACCTACATGTAGTCACTCAGCCACGAAGTGCATCCCAGCATTCTGTCACACAATATACAATATAAACAGTTCCAGCTTCATATTGAAACATTAGAACTATGTCAAATTGTTGTGCCACTCAATTCCGATGGTAGCTCAACAGTATGGTTGGGGGCCATAACATGCAGTTGCCCGTCTACAAGGCACAGTACACACACTCATTGACCATATCCGACCAAGTCTCACCTTCTGAGATCTCCGCTGGTATCGGGAGTTTGATAACTGCTTTCAATTTCCAGGTTTCACCGCAGATCTATTGGTGTGCGATTGCAGGACGGGCGGTCTCGGGATGCTGCACAACCACAAGCTCGGTTACCTGCATACCCGATTTCGTAGAACCAATGAGCTGTAACAAGCCTTAGCAAATAAGCGCCCAAGTGGTGATGAAGTTGGCGCTTCATTGTGGATGCGGAGCTTAAAATAGTACGGATATTGTCACGACAAAACATGAGTATATGTTATCCCGAGTTAGTGGTTGAAAACCAAGGTAATAACCAGGATCGGAGTTGCCGATGATAGTGGGTGATTTAGACCGTCAAGAGCCTCTGAGTCGCGCCGATGCAATGCCTATCCCTGCGGCTGTGGCTGTGGTGATGCCGATCATAGTCGCCGGGCAACGCTGTGCCACCGGACTCCTGTCACGCGTGTGGCTGTGGAATAGGATCACTAGGCAGACGTTATGTCCCCATAAAGTCTCTTGAAGAATCAGAGGCTTTAAACAGCTCGAACACCGTAACAGAACCATGGCGAGCGCAGAGATGTGAAAACGAAAAAAAACCCCAATATCAGCCGTGTATCACAAGACAATGCCGCCCGCATCCCAACACTTGAACATGAAGCCACTGTTCGATACCCCTGCAGACGAAGCTCCGCCGCCGTACGAAGAAAAACCCCGCACGAACCCGGCACCACCGCCCCGAGTGAGTCCAGGCCCAGGGCCGTCGTCGGGACCGCAGGTAGCTCGCCAGTTCCCGCCGGCCTTCAATGTCTACTCGCAGAGCTTCAGCAGGACGATGCTCCTCGGCGAGCACCAGCATCAGCCGTTCTATGGCTTGTCGATACACAGTGGGCTGAGCAGCTCGCCGCCCATTGTGCTGCACTCCGGGCCGTCAGACAATTTCCCGCCGCTCGCGTCAGTAGAGTACCACAGCTTCAGCAGCCGGATGAGCATAACGCTGCCGCCTGCGCCGACACGTACTCCAGGTGGTGCGCCCATCATCGAATTGGAATCGAAAACCGACTTTCCTTCGTCGAGCTACATTTTTGCCATAGGCGTTGGACCGAATTGTGAAAGACTGGAGCAGTTTGAATGGAGAACAAGCTCTGGCGAAGCGATCGCTGCGCTGGGTGGCCGAAGCAGGGGCTGGAAACTGGTCAGGTTGGCTCAGTCAGTACCTCAAAACGCCGGACCTGGAGCTTTCAGGGGAGGTGATGGAAACGAAATAGTCGCTGTCTGGACGGATGCTGGAATGAGCATGACCAAGGAGGCCAAGTTTGCATTCGTGGGCAGTGGGCTGACGGGTGAGCTGGGCGAACGGTGGGCAATCATGGCAGTCATCTCTGGCTTGGCTATCTTTGAGCGACAAAGACAGCGAAGGCGCAACAATAGCTGATCGCTGCAGCCGCCGAGGCTCAGAAGAAAAGGCTTGGGAGCCTCATAGATGTGCTCACGCTTGTTACCATGTTTGAGGAAAGGAAACTGTTTCGTTTGGTTTAGTTTTGATACCCGTCGGCCTTGACAGGCGATGAGACCTGTATAGCTCAGAAAAGATCGATTTAATTGGTTCACTGATTCGAAGCTTGGAGCGCCGCGGCCTGCCGAGCGGCGTGGGATGAAAGGATCAAAGGCCGCGTTTGAAGTGATGCCGCCTTGCTGAGCGCTTCTGTTGGCTGCGCCGTCAGGGGCTCGCTTTCACGCGCGTGCATCATGCTGAGTGAAGCGACAACCTTGACTTTCCTTTGAACCCAGACAAGCTGAGTCAGGTAAGGGCTACCAGGGGAAACCGTCGGCAAGAACATTTCAGTCGGCTCCGCCGGGAAATGATCATCTCGGCCGAAAAGAAGGTGGTGATGGACCATCATAGGTAGCCAAGCCTCGAGTTCGTAGACTCGATCGACTCTCCACGAAGGCATCCCGGCGTTGCATCGATTATGAGATTTCCTGCAGAGTGGAGTGGGTGACTGGCAAGGAGAGTGAACTTTGAAGAAAGGGATTTCCATAAGATCGGCGATGCTTGTGCGTGGTACACTGCTACGCGCTCGTCGATCGTCTGAAAAGGGGGTGGGAAACCCTTCACGTGCCCTTGTTGGGTAGTTGTGTGGAACATTGGAACTTGGGCTTTCAAGGACTCAAGATGCAACGGGGGGTCCCAGCGGCCGGGCTGGCTCCAGTGGAGCAAGACAGTAAAAAAGACGTGCGTAATGGATGATATTGATGTGCGGTGAAGCGCTGGCGCGCTGACCGGGGGGCGGGATAGATTGGAATGGGGAATGGGAATGATAGGGATGGATCATGGGACGACAAGGCCTTGGCCGTCAGACCCGGGTAGTTGGCAGACGGATCACGGCACGGGGCTCCGAGCAGATTTTCTTGCTCTCGCAGCGCCAGTCAGCAACTCAGACGTTAGGAGTGGTCGATGACGGAGTTCAACTTTCAAGGATTGCCGCTAATGCTCATGTTCTGCATTGATGGATACAGTGGCCTGCTCGTCAACGTCGTCATTAGCCTCGGGCCAAAGCATATTGAGGTGGGCAGCGGGCACGGGAAGTCTATTGGCGAAAGCATATCACGCATGCTGCTGACTGTGTAGGGGGGGCGGGGGCGCGGCAGGCATCTCCCTACATGAAATCAATTTCACATCGATAGATTCCTTCGTTGGACTTTCTGCAATGCCGCGGGACCCAAGAAGAGATCAAGCGTAATTTCGAAATGGCAATCGGCATGGCTTGGCATGCCCAGCATAGATGCTCACAACGGTGCTTGCTCACGAGTTCGGGCGCGCGCCGCCACATGGCCCCTCTGGCCCCTCGTTTGTTGGGTCTTCCTCCCGAGCTCATGTCCGAAAATTGACGGGAGAAAGAAGAAAAGAGAAGGGATGCAGGGTTGGGGCGAAACCAAGTCAGAGATGGCTCCCTGAGAGCCGCTGAGGCCCCGTTCAATCTTGATCAGGCCTGCCAGTGTCCGCAAGAAGAGCCCAGATCCAGAAAAGCAGAGCAACAAGCCTGGCTAGTTGAGTCTGTCGAAGGGCCCAGAGAGATGGCCTGGCCTGGAATAAGTATTGTTTGTCCAGGCTGCAAGCTGCAGGAAAAGAGATCCTGACCAGCCAGTCCAGTCCAAGACAACGGCTGGAAGCGCTCAGGCCAGCAGCTGGCGGCGGCAAAGTCGTTCACAGGGCAGAATCTCTTCTGGGATGAAGCAAAGAGGATTGGTGGAAAGGGGATAGGAACACCAGGGATACGTCTGTGCCATGCGTTGCGCAGGGGGCAAAGTGGCTCTTCTAAACGATTCGAGCCGAGGTGACCCCTGGGGCTCCGCGGCGGCGGCCAGGACGTTGAGCCTCTTTTGGGAAGTAGCGCGTAGAGTGTTAATTGAGGTCGCGGAGGCTGCAGGGCGAATCTGGCGATAATTAAGAAAAAGGGGATGGGTCTCAGGAGTTGGCTGTTTCAGGGTGGCCGCCGGGATCTGACGGGGATCTGACCGGGGGCTCCCGGGCGAAGACGCCGGCGTGACCAATCGGTTCGGCCAGCGAAGCTCGGGAGTGGGGCCTCTGACCCCGGCCGACCCAGGCCGAACCCTTGCTGGAGGTCCAGCCCTTGTCGACGGGGCTCACAGTGTCTCACCTTTTTCTGGCGCATGTCAACTGAACTGACAGTCTGACATTTGCTTCTCCCAACTGACAACAACATGGCAGTTGGCCGAGCCTGGCACGCTGGATATTGCTCACAGGTCAGAAATATCGGGAACATCACCATGCCCGCAGCCCATCATGGATGCATGGATAGACCTATCTACGCTTATACTAGCGCCCGGAGCATCCCACCAACTCAAGCCTGTCCAATATGTTTGCATCACGCTTAGCATCACGCACACCACCTCAGCGTATAAGCGCATTCGGCACTCGCCTGGTGCTCTCACAAAGTCGTAGACTTCTGCCCCTCGAACCCCTCCCCATCCCAGGCTTCCCAGCAGCGTGGAAGGCTGTTGCTCAGAGTCCATTGGCTTCTGCCCCTGAGCCACATCTTCTAGATTCCTATGCTAACCACTCACAGCCTACAGCACGCCAATATTCAAGACCCCCAAACCACCACCCACATCCCAGCGGTGCCTGTCTCCCGCATACGCGAGATCCCCCTCCCCATGTTTATCCCCACCGCCTGGCCGGATATGATTGTCCAGCGTATAATTGAAACTTTGGCGGAGCGGCGGAAGTGGTCCTTTCAATCTTGACCCGATGGAGTTGAGAAAGGACGCCAACGGCGCAAGTGCCCGCGTTGGGAATACAAGCTACGATGTCCTCCCGTATATAGCACCACCTCTGCCCGGCCGCCCGTCATTCTGAACTTTCTTTCTATGATCCATAGTGTTCAGCTTCACTTGACTTGTGTGCCTATCTCATTCCTTCGTTCAACTTTTGTCATTCTTTTCACTTGACCAGGTAGTCATTCATTCTTTTCGGTCCTAGACCAACAACACTCCTTCCTCACCGACCTCGATAGTCTCACAGTCAAGCCACTTTTTTGAACAATTCTCGATTCACCAAACAAAAAAACTACAATCGCAAAAATGAAGTCCGCTATCGCCTCCCTTCTTGGATCCGCAGCCCTGGTGGCTGCCCACGGTTACGTCACCGATGGTATTATCGGCGGCGAGAACTACACTTTCTACCAGCCCTACCAGGACCCGTACATGAACCCGATTCCCTCGCGTATCTCCCGTCCTATCCAGGGCAACGGCCCCGTCGAGGACCTGACCAGCATCGATCTCCAGTGCGGTGGCTACACCGCCGGTGGCATCAAGGGCTCCTCACCCGCCAAGCTCGTTGCCGAGGCCAAGGCTGGCGACGAGGTCACCCTCAACTGGACCCTGTGGCCCACTTCTCACGTTGGCCCTACCATGACCTACATGGCCAAGTGTGCCGGTGACGACTGCACCACCTTCACCCCCAACACCGACAAGGTCTGGTTCAAGGTCCAGGAGAGCGGCCGTGTCGGCACCACCGACACCTGGGGTGCCACCGCTGTCATGACCGCTGGCAACTCTGGTGTCAAGTACACCATTCCCGAGTGCCTTGCCCCCGGCCAGTACCTCGTCCGCCACGAGATCATCGCCCTCCACGCCTCCTACTCCTACCCCGGTGCCCAGTTCTACCCCGGCTGCCATCAGCTCAAGGTCACCGGCTCCGGCAGCACCAGCCCCTCTGATCTGGTTGCCTTCCCCGGTGCCTACGCCGCCGCTGACCCCGGTATCACGTACGATGCCTACAAGGCCCAGGAGTACACCATCCCCGGCCCTGCCGTCTTCTCCTGCTCCGGCTCCAGCTCCGGATCCGGATCCGGCTCTGCCCCCGCTCCCTCCGCCGCTCCCTCTGCCGCTCCCTCTGCCGCTCCCTCTGCTGCCCCCGTTGCCCCCTCCGCCCCTGCCACTCCTGTCACTTCTTCCGCTACCCCCAGCCAGACTCCCGCCGATGATGAGGAGGACTGCCCCGTTGAGTCTGCCTCCGCGACCGTCAGCGCCGCCGCTGCCGTCCCTACTCAACCTGCCGACGATGAGGACTGCCCCGCCGAGCCCGAGGCTCCTTCTGCCACTCCTACCGCCCCCGCCCCCGTCGCTACCCCTACTCAGGCTGCGGGCGATGAGGATGACTGCCCTGTTGAGTCTCCCTCTGCGACCGTCGGCGCCGCCGCTGTCGCCCCTACTGTCGCTGCCGAGGAGGAGGATGACTGCCCTGCCGAGCCCGAGGCTCCTTCTGCCACCCCTACCGCTCCCGCTCCGGTCGCTACCCCTACCCAGGCTGCCAGCGACGAGGATGACTGCCCCGCCGAGCCCGAGGCTCCTTCTGCCGCCCCTACCGTTCCCGCCCCCGTCGCCACCCCTACTCAGGCTGCGGACGATGAGGATGACTGCCCTGCCGAGCCCGAGGCTCCCAGCGCCACCCCCACCCAGGCTGCGGACGATGAGGATGACTGCCCTGCCGAGCCCGAGGCTCCCAGTGCCACTCCTACTCCCACCCAGGCAGCTGACGAGGAGGACTGCCCCGTTGAGACCCCCTCCGCGACCGCTGTCGCCAAGCGTATGAGCATCCACGACCGCCGCATGGCATGAGCGCTTTCCACGATGTCACTGTTTACCATGGTATCTGGTCCCGAGGTTGAGAGGCGACCTAGATGGCTCAGGGGATGATGTAGCTATCAGGCTCGTAGTGGGCGTTTACACTTGTGGCGCTCGCGAATCTGATTCGGTCCAAGACCCAATCTCTTTCATGTACAAAGTCTTTTCCTGTATACCGCTTTACACAAAGTATATATCAAAACGATATAGATCGTGCCATTTATCACGTTCATCATCTGTTCAAACTACTCACTCAGTATTCACCACGTGCATCGTGGTCATGAAGGTCTCACTTTCAAGTGTCAAAAGGTTGGCTCCGTAAAAAGATGCCGTAGTGTGTTTCGTCCAAAGATGAGATGAACTCGGGTTCCTGGAGGTTGCCGAAAATGACCCGTTTCAACTAGATTGAGTTAAGGCCCAATTTATGAACCCTGTCAATGTCGCCTTAGCGCCGTCGTTTTCAATAAAGACGACTATGATCGCCGTTATCAGAAAGCTTGCCAGGCACAAGCTTTTTCAATCCAATTCAATTCAATTCAAACGAGTCGCGAGGGCCTCGGCGCTCCCGGATGGCCAGATTCTTGCATACCCCTTGTTTGCTAACAATACATGGAAAAGGAGAACCGGCGTAACTCTCGCTGCATTCGGACTCATAGCCGCAATCCAACGTTTATTTGCTGCTTCAGAAATTCAGACACTACCACCACTGCGCAGACTGGATTTCTCAGCGGGAGATCCCTGAACTTGGGAGGTAGGAGCTGCGCGCCGCTTTCTCATCACAAAGAATGCAATGACACCGATGACAATCGCAACACCGAGGGTGACCATGGCACCAATAACACCGGCGACGGCATTTGACATGCCTCCGCCGCTCCCTGAGCTGGAGCTCGCCGCCTCCTCGTCTTGGTAAGCCGCGCAGAATGACACAAGACTAGTGCAGGCGGTGCACCATTCCTCGACAGTGCCAATCGCTCTTTTCTGCATCTCTTCAACGAAGCGTGGCCACGATAGCGTCTCCTCTCCGGTGCCGAAAAGAGGAAACGCCGTCAGCTCGCCGACAGTGCCGTTGCGGAAAAGGAAGCGCACGCGAAGGTCGGCATCGACGTCGGCGGGGAACACAGTCGCGTTGTCGCTGACGAGCTCAAACGCCATGGTCGAGGCATAGTCCGGGAGACCGTAAAAGTCATCCGAAATGGTGATGAGATCAGTCAGACCGAAAAACGACATGAAGGTGTCGTAGCTGCCCGCGAGGAGGGAGAACTTGAGTTTTCCCTTGGAAGAAACGGTCTGGTTGAGTTGGGCAAGGATGCCAGCCGCAAGAGTCTTTGCGTGAATAGTGCTTTCGGGCTTCGACGCATTGAAGTTGTACCCAAACTCGGCGCTGTCCGCCAACGTCCGCAGCTGGAAGAGCTCCTCGTCCGTCACGTTACGGGCCAATGAGGTGCTGTTGTGGATGCGTGCCACGTTGATCAGATCAAAAATATCGTACGCGTTCTTGTACGTCATATTCTCGGGCTTGTAGTCGTATACACTCTCGAGCACGTCGTATAAGCTGCTGTAGAAGTCCTTGGTCTCCGTGACGCGTGTTTGGAACTCTTCACTGGCCTCGAATGCCTTGTAGGCCTTGGCGTTTGTGGGGCATCCATCATCGCCCTTGATCCAGATGGTGTCTGGCGAATTGGAGTTCTCGCCGTGCAGGAGAACATACTGGTAGCCGTTCAGGGGGCTTGTACTTGTGCTGCCGTTGTTGAGGGTTGACGACGCAACCTGAGCGTTGAGGTCTACCAGCGGAGGGTAGAGACCTTGTAAAAATGCTGTTGCTGTGTTCAAAAGAATGCCTTGGTCGGGAGCACTGGCGTAGATTTGCGAGGAGACGTATTTGTCCTCGGAGATATTGAGAATCTGGCCAGGAGAATCTGCCTCCAGATAGCGGCGCCGATAGTCACTGCCGACCTCGAAACATTGCTGAGCACCAACGCTGGTCAATGACTGAGCTCCATAATGCTTAGTTGTTCCTTGACTCCGGTTTTAGCTTGCTTCTGAGGCTCAAATCAGCAGATGTCAAACTTACTATCTCCATGACGGCTGAAGACAACAACGCCATGAACGGTCTCGGCGGCTGCAGAGCCAACCAGCAAGGTCACAATGGCGGCAGCAGTAGAAAGCATTTTGATGAGGTGTTCAGATGCTCGATTACGTTACCAAGCCTTGGCAAAGTGCAAGAGAGACTGGATTGAGAGAGAGGGCAGGCTTCAGACGTGGGTGATTGCTACCTCCCGGCTTCTATTATATGCCCACTATTGTTTTCCAAGCGTTCCAAGTGGGAAAATCTTTCCGTTCCTGTCGTTTGATATCTCTGCTGAAGCGGGGAAATCTGCATTTCCTTCCAGACCCGAGGAGCGGAGATGTTCAAAAATCTCTTGGTCTCCCACCGCCAAGCACTTGGCACGCAGCGCGACAAATCAACCTTTGCGATAAGAACGGTTGTCGGCGGCAGTTATTCATTCAACCGGTCAGAGCCGATGAAGCGGGAAGGAATCGAGTGGCTCAGCCAGAAGCCAGGCTGATTCCTGGCGAGCTCGCACGTTTGAAAGCGCCAGGTTGCATTATCATTTGCGAAAGACGTGACAGTTAGTGATACATGTAGTATTTAGAGAACTCATCTGATCCTCTCCGCCATTGCCCTTAGATGAACCCTTCAAGTTCCCGATCTCGCTCCAATTCTTGTTTTGGTTGAATTCCGAGCTTTTGAGATATTCTCGTCACCAACGTCTTGAAACCTCAGTTGTTCGGTTAGCCTTCCGACGAAGCACTCGTGAAGTGCTTTCATCAAGCTGGCTGTAGCATCAATGATAGACTAAGACCTCTTCGTTCACCAGGAACAAAGAGAGGCGCCGTGATATATAAGGAAGGTATCCGGGCGAGCGAGTCTGCTTGAGCCGCGGCATCAGGGCAGGCCTCTCTGGACAACCCTCGACATTGATGATTTGGACTCCTGTTGGTGCAATATTTGTCACGACAATGACATCCGCACGAGCTACAGCTAACCAAAAAGGGCTCTTGAAATACCTAGACTTAACATTGAAGTGATTGTTTAATTTGTCTAACGACAGCCTGCAATGGCACAGCCGGAAGGCAAATTTCAGAATTGTGCCACTGACTTGTGAGCTATTTAGTATCTGTAAGGAAAAGTTGGTTTACGTATCACAGGGTGGTTTGTTCGATCGAACCGTGGTGACGAAGGGTCAATTAACTGGATATTGATCTCTGCGTGAAGTGGAAAAGAAAGCTTCTAACCGGAGGTTAGACTGTCAGTTGAAAGCTGATATAAAGGCCCTCAACTGGCCCCTGCGCTAGCGCTGACTTGAGGTCGATTTAGGCTTTCAATCGACAGGAAATCTTGGAAGACCAAGCAATAAGGCTGTCTTCAGGAATTTCCAACTCGCTGTTTAGCAGCGGAATCGTGAAGGATTGCTTGATAATACCCTGGTGAGAATTAGACGATCCGAATTATTGATCTAAGAAGAATTGATATTTCTTAACACTCGATGCAGAAACTGTCATGTTCCTATGAAGAGAATCTAGACTATGGATTAAAAAGTGAAAGATGTTCTGACCTTGCTGATCCATACCTTAGTCGAGTGAGCACACTGGCATTCAAAACTAGCAAAACGTTGAAAGTTCAAAATAGACGACACTGTAGATTACACTATGCCAGACGATTGGGATGAGCGTGGCTGCCTTGATACCGTTTCAAATTTGGTTATATCCAAATTTCAGTATGAAGTACCAGATAAAGGCCATGCCGATTTGGACTGGATAGTTGGGTGGCAGCAGGAAGTTGATGTCAAGGCATGGGCCTTAGGCTTTGAGGACTGCGTCGCTTCCCATGGACGTTGGACAACACTGAGGTTTGGGTTCTTTGAGGTAAGGTGCAAAGCTCTCAAGCCCAGGTAACTTACAAGACACAGATCTTGCTCTTGGTATTTTGATTGATTGCTGATCGATTTTTACAGTACGGATCCTTATGCTGCTGGAGTGCTCTCTGTGTTGGAGCAGACCATGGCCTGGCCTATAGTTTTCAGTGCTTTATTTGTTATTAGATTGATTTCATTAAGGATAATGTGTTGGCGTGATATAACAGAACTTGGAACATGGTTATATGGCTACGCTTCCTGGCAGGTATGACATAAGGATTTTTAAGCACTGTCACGTCTTTAGCCTGCGCGATTTCTACCTAGCCGCCGGCATACGCTGCTCCTTTGCATTGACCATCAACGCACTGTCGATGTGTAGTTTGTGATCGGGGTCATTCTCACTGACTGAAAATACCAAGCATGTTACTCATCCGTAATCGACCCGCAAGAGATAGCCCAGCGGAATTGAGGTACGGGAAAAATGGTAGCAAGCTCATGCATAAGAGAAGTACTTCTGCTAAGAAAGAACATGAGCAAGACACAACGTGCCTACCTACTTTGCAAATTTCTTTGAGATATGCACTTATTGGCACTGCCAATGATGTTTGCTGGGCGATGAGAGAAATTGGAAAAACTAGATCAATATCTACCTGTACGGCCGCCTGCCGAGGTTTTATTTTGGTAGCCCCTCGAGTTGTTGGCAAAACCACGTGGACTCTGGATGTTATGAGATCGAGTTACTGAAATGAATGGGTTAATTGTGTTACCCGCACACGTCGAAAGCAGGCCCCAACTCTTCCACAGTTGCAGCTAAGCGCCTGGTTTGACCACCGCGGTCGCAGATCAGTACGCCGACTGCTGGGCATGTCTCTGGCGAGTTTCCTTTGGATAGGCGGTTGGGTAGAGTACGAAGAGGATTGGCCTAGTGGAAGTTGTGCTCAGTGGCGTTTCTGCATTCGGCCAGAGAGAATCAGACGTGAAGCGGAGCAACTGGATGAACGTATGGCGTCTGCTTTACGAACGGTTGCACAAGTAAGGTAGGTTGTGTACGCTTGCACAGCTTGAGAGGCAGGGGTGCCTTGGAGTTTGTATTGGGTCGTCCCAGATCCCTGTTGGATTCATGTCTGACCTCTGTCATCCCAAGAATTGATTGTCAGACTTTGAGAGAGGTTCAAGGCCGAGATGGGTCGGTTTGCCGTCGTCTGATGGGAATTGGGGCAAATTGCGTGATTGCAGGTTCTTATCTTGGTCGTATCATGTCCGACGCGGTGCGGCCGCTCAACCGAAAAAATGGCATTGATACGGCGAACGAAGTCGTTGCTCGGTGAAGGATGGGGAGGATGATTGCAACTGGCGGCTCATAGCCGGGGGGTGACCAGCTCCCAGCTCCATTGCGGCTATCGGTAAGGTTTTTGATTGGCCAATGGTCCTACCAGACCTTGGTCGGAGAAGGCTGAGCCTTTGGGCCTGAGTGCCTGGGCGGCGGTCGAGAGAGGAACCGACAGGGAATATGGGAGCTGCCGCGTGAGCTGAGTCGCCGACAGTGCCTGATGAACTTTTGGTCGGCCCAGGCCCGGTTTGCTCCTCCGTTCAGTACGAATATCCACTCACGCGGCACGCCCATGTCCATGGCCATGTCCATGGATGCCGCCGGAAGTTGCAGAGGCTTACCTACATGATCCTTATTGGGAGGAGGTTTCGTCATGTCAGGGTCGGTCGGGCTGAGGCGAGTGCTATAATTACGGAGACGGACGAGGCGAGCGGCGTTAGGTTGGCAAAACATGGGGGAAGGCGTTAGGTTTTAATTCAAGTGCCGAAGGAGGGAGGATCCAAGATTCAGCAGGTCCCGACGTCCCGTATCCGTACGTAACGGATTGAAGCCGCAAAGCCGCAAATGGCACAAAGGGGCGTTCTCGAAGATGAGGTGCTTGAGAACCCCGTGGGCCGAGAAAATGACGCCATCGCATGCTCGCCTTAGCTCATCCCGATTGGGGAGATTGGCAGCCAGGATGGCGACATACCTGGCGGCCTTAACCTCATCGTCGGTACTCGGTGCGGCCCCGAAAGTCTGCCCATGTCCAGGAAGGCCCTTCTCTGGAAGTTCTCTCTCTTCTAATATTCATACTATGTACAAGATCACAGGACTCACAGGGACAGAGGGACAGAGGGACAGAGCTAGGCCCCACAGAAAAATGACGAGCTTGAATTTCAAAGTATCACAAGTTTTATTTAGGCCTGGCAAACAAGTGGAAGAATTTCAGGGGAGCGGATACGACGGAGATCACACAGTTTGTACATACCTAGTAGTGTAAAGCAGTCAAGACTCAAGACCCAGCCTGAACGTCCGTGTCTTTGCTAACAGAAATTGAAAATTCTTCTCTCGCGTCCAGGTTCACTGATTCAGTGAGACCCAGCAGATGACGAGAGAGAAACTGCAAAAGACGTGGCCGCGGCACCGCGATGAGCTCATCTGGGTCCAATGGAACTCGAGTGGACAGAAGTGGCATACAGAAAGTAGAGCCAAAAAAAAGAAAAAAAAAAAAAACACATAAAAAAAAAAAAACCAACGGAGGGCGCAAGAGGGGGGGGGGGGGGCCGCGGTTGAACTCTCGGGATAAAATAGAACAAGGGTGGAAAGAAGAGGGAAAAAGAAAAAAAAAAAAAAAAAAAAAAAAAAAAAAAAAAAAAAAAAAAAAAAGCAGACCAGGTGACTGTGTCGTGGACTGTATTAGTGTCTGGCTGTGCATGCTGTTAGGTAAGCCCAACTTTTAGCGAAGCCCGAGACTCTGGCACGTGTCTGGGTGAGTTGTGCACCTCAAGATTTTGTTCACCTACAACCCACAAAAGTACAGAGGTCGAACAGAGTCTTCAACGATGCAACCACCACGATGAGCCTCAATCGGTAACTATCACGATGAAACTGGGGAAATCATGACAGATGACAGACGGAAGAGTAGTGGTCGATTTGTGCATCACACCAAGATGCCCTTACTAGCAGTAGTGTAAATAGGTAGGTACGGAGTAGTTGCCGGTACTCAAGCTTCAAGCTGCAGGCCAACATCAACCTAGCACACTTGAGGGAGGTGCATCGCGGGGTGGCCAGGTACTTGTTCGTAGATGCCCTTTTTGGCGTCTCGCTTGTCGGCGTTGCCTCCCCGCAATCTAATTACCTTAGTCGGCTATCGGTGACGGTGCAGCGAGACCCGTCCGCTGCCGCCTTCCACCAAACTACGGTAGTGACGCTGCAGCGACAACCGTCTCCCAAAGAAGGCGGCCAATGAAAACTACCCATTGTGGATCTTCTAGATGAAGCGAGCACGTCTTAGTGGGCCTGGACCCCTGGGAACCGCTGTCGACAACCTAGTGGAACTTCTGGGGGGCCACACTCACAGAGTCACCACCCTCACCAGGCTCACCCAGTGCTGATAATCCCAGCGATAACGCCATTTTCGCCCCAAAGCACCCAAACCCGCCTCATTGGTGCTGGCACCGTCTCCGGCTTTGCGAACTGCTGCTCGGCCACACCCCTCAGCTTAGCAGCACAGCGACGAATCTCCAACCATACTCTTACTGCCACGGAGAGAGAAAGACACACACAGAGAGAGAAAAAGAGATTCAACTCTCCCCCGTCGCCGCTTTCAAATCAAACGGCAATGAGTACCTACCGATCCCTTCCCATCTCTACCTGGTGCTCTCTATAAGGTATCTCTACCTTTCCAGACTCGGACGAACCCAGACCGCACTCTACACTACTGCGTATTACCTTACACACTCCTTCAATCACGACACCGACACCCTCAAAGGCGAAGACGGCGCACTACGACCACGATACTTTCCTCCCTCGATCAAGCCTGCCTCGTCTGAACCTTGCCGTCCACCCTTACCAGCTATCGGGCGATACTTCGTCGCAATCAGCAGGCCAAGGACGAGAACAGAAGAAGAAAGCATCTAGACGACTCCCAAGCACCCCCGGCCGACGAATCACCAGGGGCTCAACCTCCTGCCAAACCGGCCTCGAGTCTCAACACAAACGCCCGCGCGCAACGTCGACAAACTGTACCGGAATTGCGTGCCCCCATCCAATTCCATCCACAATCAAGCTCCCAGAACCAGTCGGATTCCGTTCCTGTACATCGTCCGGGGCTCCCATCTTGGGCAGCTGCTCAGAAATATACCCAGACACCCATACACCCAAAAACAAACACGCCAAACCTCATCCAGTACCTGTTACGCCAGGTCTCTCTCCTATCCGAATCGACGTTCCCCTGGCTCGCACGCCATCGCCAGGTCCTCTCACCTCACCAACACCCAAAACGCCAACCGACCACGACTGTCACTCCCCGTGTCACTGTACACGGCTCCGTCCCTGGCCTCTGCCCTACCCTGCTTGTCGCCCGTTGTCTCTTCCCCGTTTGCTTTGTAGGCTGTGTATCTCGTACGCCTCCCCTACCAGCGACACCAACCCAAGCAGCAACTTCCGTCTCGCCCCGGATGATTTGACACCATTCACCCCAACTGTTCTGTGCTCTGCTTCCATTGCTTGCTGAAACATATTGCGGCCATGGACCTCGCAAGCACGTCAACCGTCCCGGATCCCCGGAGCCTGAACCCAAACTCGAACCTGGGCCTTGACCTGGACCTCGACACCAATAACTCGTCGCCCAGTCACCGCCATGACGAGCTCGCCTCGACCTCTCCTTCCTCTGATTACTTCAAGAACACACCGACTTTCACCGCTACCGCCGACGTACACTCCACATCAACTTCCCATCATACACCTGCTTCCAACGCCGCCTCCGCCGCCAACGATGTGACTACTGCGAACCATCCATCCAGAGACAACTGCGATAGACGGAGACCTGACGAAGGAGAAATCTCAAGGTTCCCCGCGAACATGCCCACCCAACTCGTCGGCCAGACAGTCACTCCCTTCCTCCGAGAACACATCCCCGGCATTTACGCTCCCATCGGAAAACCCGATGTCCAAAACGAAAACAACTCCCTTATCCAGAAGCGAGACCCTTCCAACAGCAAGTTCTGTTATCGTCACCGCCCCGACGCAAAGTGCCGTCGCGCGGCCGATGAGTCCAAGATGGTCTTGATCCAAAGCGTAAGCCCGTCTTGCGTCGATGCCCACAGGGCTTATCGACTCCGTGCTGACACGTCTGGTGCCCAGGAACTTGATAAGCTGCCTTCCGCTGACCAGCAAGCCATCACACATGTGTGGTCTCTCTTCTCCGCCGCCCCTGCCAAGCACCGCGATCTGATGCTCCAGGGCATCATCACCCAGTGTTGCTTCCCTCAACTATCGACAGTCTCCCGAGAAGTCCACGAACAGCTCAAAATTGATTTCATGGCTGCACTCCCGACCGAGATTTCGTACAAGGTTCTCGGATATCTCGACACCGTTTCTCTCTGCAAGGCTGCCCAAGTTAGCCGAAGGTGGCGGGATCTCGCCGACGACGACGTTGTCTGGCACCGCATGTGCGAGCAACATATCGACCGCAAGTGCACCAAGTGCGGCTTTGGCCTTCCTCTTCTGGAACGAAAGAGGCTACGAGACTGGAACAAACAAAAGGAGCTCGCCGAAGCTAGGAGCCTACAACGCGACGCCGTCGTAGAAGAAGTCGAACAGGTCGAAGATGCTCCGACAGCGTCGTCACCCAACGCCAACAAGAAGCGAGAACTGGTTGTCCATGACGACAGCCGAAAGCGCGCTTGCCTGAGCGATCCGGGTGAGCCCATGGCACCCAAGACTGGTGTTGAGAAGGAACGAGAACGTCTCATTCGGCCCTGGAAGAGTGTCTACCGTGACCGTTTCAGGGTTGGCTTTAACTGGAAGTATGGCCGATGCCACATCAAGACCTTCAAGGGACACGATAACGGCGTGACGTGCTTACAATTCGACGACGAGATCCTCGCCACGGGATCCTATGACGCCAAGATCAAGATTTGGAACATTGAGACAGGAGAGGAAATCCGCACTCTGAGCGGACACACCATGGGTATTCGTACCCTCAAGTTCGTCGGCAACAAGCTTTTCAGCGGGAGCTTAGATCACACGGTCAAGGTGTGGAACTGGCAGACGGGCGATTGCATTAGCACCCTCCGTGGCCATAGCGAAGGTGTCATCACGGTCGACTTTGACGGAAAGTACCTGGCATCGGGGTCCATTGACAAGTCGATCAAGATCTTCAACTTTGACAGCAAAGAAACCTTTTGCCTCCGTGGCCACGAGGACTGGGTAAACCACGTCCGACTGGACCCCACTTCGCAGACGCTCTTCTCAGCCTCGGATGACTGCACTGTTCGGCTGTGGGACCTGCGAAACAAGACATGCATAAAGACTTTTGAGGGCCACATGGGTCAGGTGCAGCAAATTCTGTTGATGCCAGAGGACTTTGAGCCTGACGAAGAGGCGCTCGCCGGCGACGGCGCCGACAACGTGTCTGTTCACAGCGGCAGTGGCCGGAGCACGACTCCGACGGCGTTTGCCAATGTGGCGTCGATTCTCGGCTCTTCCTTTGGCGGAGACTCGGGCTCTCCACCAGAGGACGATCGGACGTCGTTTGGGTGTGCCTTCAACTCGGACCCCACCCGGCAGCTGCCGCCCCGCTATATGCTCACCGCCGGTCTCGACAACACGGTCAAGGTATGGAACATCCACACCGGCAAATGTCTCCGCACCATGTTCGGTCACGTGGAAGGTATCTGGGGCCTCGTCGGCGATACTCTGCGAATTGTTACCGGTGCCAATGACTCGATGGTTAAGGTTTGGGAACCCAAGAGTGGCAAGTGCGAGCGCACATTCACCGGTCACTCTGGACCCGTCACCTGTGTGGGCTTGACCGATAGTCGCATGGCCAGCGGAAGCGAAGACGGCGAGGTGCGCCTTTACAGCTTCGAGGCAGAGGCGCCTCTCCTCGAGGAGTGCGGTACTCCGGCGTAGGACAGCGATCGAAGTTTTTCTTGTTTCCTCTTCTGGTTTTTACGTTCCTTGCAGAAGGACTACACTGTGTTATGGCGGGAGTTTGGCGAGACGATTCCCCAACGGCGATTTATAAGAGAAGGATACTGTTGCACAACGAAGAAGCCATTCTGTTGCAGCTCATCTCTTGTTCAGATTATTTAGATGTCCTCGTGGACCACAGGGACAGGGACCGGGATCGGGAGGAAGCCCGATCATATGGATGGCGTTTCAGGGGTTGGGCATGTTTTTTTCGACAAACCCTACAGGAAAACCAAAAAAGGGAATTGGGTTGGGATATGAGGGAAAATTTAGCGGCGCGTTATCCAAGTATGGGATATTTCATGAGCCCTGATTTAATTCACCACAGATTTTACGAGTCGCAACAATGGTTTTCACATGCTTTTGTCTCACAGGTCGTGTGGTGGCAGCAGTTGGTCAGCCTCACCCACTCGCGACTTTCATCTGATACTGGCGCCGCACATCAGCACCAGCACCAGCACCAACACCAGATTCAAGCTAGTTTCCCGTCCCTCCACCAGCCTCGCATCAGGTGACTTTGCCTTGGGGCGGTGCCTGGGCCCTGATTAAGCTATCCGAAGGGGGCTCACGTCCGTCTCTTGTCAATGCCTGCGTCCTTGGCGAATACTGAATGAAGTTCCTCGGGTGAAGTATAACAATGACAATGAGAGATTCAGTGAAGAATGATGCGTAGTCCTGACTACCTTACCTACATGCATGTGCCTTGCTTGCCTTGCTTGCCTTACAGTGGAGGGAGGCGTGAGGCCAGGACCAGCCTCCGAACCTCGGCAACTTCTGATGAGTCTAGCCAGTCGGAAGGGCGGAAGTAGCCGGCCCCCAGGCCCCCACATTCTGACTCCCAGCTCCGCTCTTGCAGCGGGCAGTTCCAGTTGGCAGTTGCCCACGAGTCGCCTCTCCCCCGCAAAATCACAAGCTCGGCTTGGGGTCGGTAAAGCTGCGAGTTGGCTGCCGCTGCCCCCCCCATTCCCCAGCATGGAACGGGGTCTCCTTATTGCTGCAACGTCACTCTTCTGGGGGTGGAGAGATGTGTCGCAGGCCGACGAGACGTGAAGAACCAAGAGAAGACATCATGGAGTGTTGAGAGAAGAGCAACACATCATCGGGATGACTTCAGCTTTGAGACATGCAGTACGACGCTCTACCATAGCCAATTGGAGACTGACATTTTACAGCAGCAAATACCAAGAAGATAAACAAGTAGAACCAGCAGAACTGGCCGGCATCTCTACGCTTGCGGTCTCCAATATGCCAGTCACACTCCCTCCCGTCTGGCCTCCGTTCCGCCGAATCGGGATGGTCTGTCGCAGCGCAACCCGCTACAGACGTCTGAAGATTCAATGGTTTGAGCCACTCAGACACCGGTCCCGTGCTTGCGGCGTCACTCTCTCTTGTTCTCCATCTTCTCTTGTCCCTTCTCACCTGTCTTCTTCCGCTGCGGCATGGAAGACATAGAAGTCAATCCGTACACGCCCCCTTCCCCCCTCATGCGCCCGGTTTACCGAAACCCCTGGCGCTTGGTGTGTCCCGTCCTACCTAGCTGACGTCTCTCTGGCTGGCCTCGTGCCGCGGGTGAAAGGGGGGATGGAGAATACAGACCTTTTACTCATTTGCTTATTCTCTCCTAGCTCCTCCTACTCTCAGTCGCCGTGGCCCCGTTGCTGGTCTAGGCACAACATGCCACACGCTCTTCCCAAGACTGCCTTACACGCCTGTGCTCGGGACGAAACCTTGAGTCATCTGCTGGTCCTGATTCTATTCTGGCTTGTGCCTTTGACATTGACCACCCCCCCTTCCCCTCCTCCCGTGCGCCCCCCCCATCCAGTCCAGTCCGTATGCGCCACCTTTATATGGATGATTGCCCGCTCTGCCGTGGCTTCTGTCATCGGCGCCGAGGATGTATGGCTTTGTAGGTCCCTGAGCGACTTGTTCCGAATCTTCTTCTTATTCTATTCCGACTTCTTCCCTTGTGATTTCATGATACCCTCCTCCTTCTCTTATTTACTGTGACGCATCTACATTCATCAACACTGTAGACCAACAAATACCAGTGCTCGATCTCTTCTTTGTTGTTTCCGGCGCACGACTTGCTTGCTCTCTCTTCGGTCCCCTCTCCTCTTCCCTATCAGGATTATATACCCTTTGCATCTTGCATCATGGCGTCCAAGGTAAAACAAGACGGCAAGGCGCCGACCTCGGCGGCCGTGAACCTCATTGGTATGTACAGTTCCTCTTCAAAGACCGACAAAGGCATCGCCTAGTACTAACAAGACCAACAGCTGGGGGTGGTGCAGGTATGATGGAGGCGTTGGCGTGTCATCCCCTCGGTAAGACTCCCCCTTCCTTTCGCCTGCAGACTCGACTCTGTTCCCGCTGCGCGCGCATGTGCATACCCGAACGTCGCACAGTTAAGAAAAAAGTCAATTGACATGGAACGAAACCCACAGACACGATCAAGGTCCGAATGCAGCTGTCGCGGCGCGCGAGACAGCCCGGCGCACCCAAGCGCGGCTTCATCAAAACTGGTGTCGAGATTGTCAAAAAGGAGACGCCGTTGGGTCTGTACAAGGGTCTCGGGGCCGTGTTGACGGGCATCGTGCCAAAGATGGCCATCCGCTTCACAAGTTTCGAGGGGTATAAGCAGGCGTTGGCGGATAAGAGCACAGGCGTGGTCAGTGGACAGGCTACGTTTATGGGTAGGTCATTCCTTGAACCGTCTCCTCTGCAATTGACGTCCTCGAGCCGATTTGACTGACCTTTGATTCTTGTTTTGGAAAAACAGCCGGTCTCGCTGCCGGTGTCACGGAAGCCGTCGCCGTCGTAACGCCAATGGAGGTGATCAAGATCCGTCTCCAGGCGCAGCACCACAGCATGGCCGACCCGCTCGATATCCCCAAGTACCGCAACGCCGCACACGCGCTCTACACGGTCGTCAAAGAGGAGGGCTTTGGCGCGCTGTACCGCGGCGTGTCGCTGACGGCCTTGCGACAGGGCAGCAACCAGGCTGTCAACTTCACGGCCTACTCGTACTTCAAGGATGCCCTCAAGAATTACCAACCCGAGTTTGAGAAGACGACGCTCCCGGGATACCAGACGACTCTGATTGGGCTTGTTAGCGGCGCCATGGGCCCGTTGAGTAATGCGCCGATTGACACCATCAAGACGAGGTTGCAAAAGACGCCAGCCGAGTATGGCACGAGCGCGTGGAGTCGCATTTCCAAGATCTCGGCTGACATGTTCAAGTATGTGGCTGTCTCTATCTCGTTTCTAATCGGGGTCCGCGTGAACTTAGAGCTGACATTGCCGTTAGACAAGAGGGATTCCATGCCTTCTACAAGGGCATAACACCGCGTATTATGCGAGTCGCGCCCGGCCAGGCTGTGACGTTCACCGTATACGAGTACCTCAAGGAGAAGCTAGAGAGAAGTAACCTTGCTTTTTCGGGAGCTGGTTACGAGGAGTAAACCGTGTTTTTCAAATGGTTGGCGATGCAGTCTGGTTGTTCAGTTTGTAGGAGCATGGAGATAGGTTGTCCTGTCGATGCAAGATACCAGTGTCTTGTCTGCGTACCATGGAGGGCGGCTGTATGGTTCTGAAAGGGCGAGGATGCGCAACGTAGTGGATTAGACAAAGCATGAGCAAGTTTGTAGATATTTGAAGGCGCACGTTGTTCATAGAAGGTATCAATCACACTGCGAATGATATCTTGTCTATCAATAGCCCGATCTACGGGCCTAGGATATTAGTTGCTTTGCATACGCTCAGTTCCACCATTTTTCTCTGACCGCCCAAACCGCACCCATTCTAGGAGCTTGTGTCCGTCTACCGACCAGGTCTCTTGGGTCTGCTAAAGTTTTGTCGAACCGTCACCTTGGGATGCAGCTCAGAGAGAACCGTCTCCTCGGTGATCTCGCTTGGGTCTTCGACTTCGAGCTTCTTGTCGAGCGTCAATCCCGCCTCGCTAGATGCGACGTCGAGGACGGCGCGCTTCATGAGGGGGTACAGCATGCGGTTCTTGATGGACCTGTTGCCGGCGTTTACGGGGCAGGTGTAGATGAAGAGCAATGGGCTCGACTCAGCGCCGTTGTGGGTGTGGGTGAATCGGTAAAAGGTGAAGCGCGGCTCGGTCGGGGAGATGATCTGCGTGAGCTCGGTGATGGAGGAGGGGCTTTCGCTAGAGGGGACGAGTTCAACGGACTCCTTTTCGGGGTTGATTTTCTGAGTACAGTCAGTCAGTCAGCCAGAAAGAAGCGGCCTATTAGTTCAAACGTACCAGCATCACCAATGTCTTGCCACTGCCAGGTGACAGCTCCTTGAGGGCGGCGAGAGCATCGTCGGCAATGGGCATAGCCAGGGTCTTGCTAAGGTGGATCTCCCTGGTTCCCGTACCGGCGCTGGCCTCCTGCTCGGCCTGCTTTACGGCGCCGAGGCTGCGCTCCTCCTCCGTCAGTGGAGCCTCGAGCTCGGTGTGGGCATCGTGTTTGGCGAAACCTTTGGCGGACAGCTCCTCTGCCATGGTGGCAAAGATGGACTCGCGGAAGTGCTCGGAACCAAGCTTACGGACGAGGGTCAGGCGGGTGGATGCGAAGAGCATCTTCTGGCGCACTTTGGCCGAGTCGGGAACGTAGGTCACGGCTGTAAGGTGTGGTGCTGTATCATAGCGGCGAAGGAGGGCATACAGCGCCTCGTTGGGCTTGAGGTGCGGTTGGAGGGAAGCGAGGTTGTCGTCGAACGAGGCCGAGGGGGAAGCCTTGTCGAGAAATTGAACGGGCTTGAGGGTCTCGGATTCAATGGTGATGAGGAGACCAAAGTGGTTGTCGGTGGACAGGAGTGTATTGAACTGGGAGACGAGCTCTTCGGAGGCTGCCGGAAGTTAGCTCTTGGAATCATGAGTACTCCGCAGAGGGTTGCGCAAGACGCACCTGAGATGCCTGACTGCATCTTGGCGGTTGAGGACCGAGGTGCGTCTGTAGGAGGACGTGTACAATTGGACTCGTAGGATGTATCGAAACAGCACGGGGTGTTTTGTAGTATATGGAGCACCTCTGTAGGTAAGGCGGAGGCGAGGGCGGATGCGGTGAGAAGAGTAGCAGCGTGTGATGGTGAGGTGGTGTTTGAAGCTCGAGATGCGGCGCTGCTACGTCAGCTGGCGGGTGGATCCCAAAGACGGGACGGCGGTGCTGGAGGGGTAAGTTGCTGGAACGGGCAGTGGAAGCTGCGCACTCGAGCCACTCTGGCGGGCCTCCGCCATGAATTGCATTATATAATCAAACCAAGGCGGATCCGTTTTTATCGTATCCGTATCTTATATGTACCTACCAACCTTGGGTAAGGTAAAGTTCGCCGCAGCACCTCACAGCAGTGCAGAAACCTACCCCATCACCAGACATCGGCATCAAATCGCCAACTTGGCAAGTTTCATATCGCACCTGGTTTCAACAACTTCAACAGTTTACGATAATGGTGTCGTCCATTCCATACTACGGTGAGATTTGTGTCTGTACATACTATCACTAGTTGTCTTCAGGCGAGGCAACTCCAATAAACACAGCCTACGTACGCCACCGTGTGATGGCAAAGGCAGATGGCGCGACCTCCTGACCAGCCTGCATCCAAGCTGCTCAACGCATGGCTCTGTCCGACTCAGCATGCGAAGCTTTGTCACTACATGTCGGAAATTCATTGCTTGTGCGCACTTTTCTGCCGAGAAACTCGCAGAGGGTCTCCCACTCTTAGTCGCCATCGCGATGCAGTAGGAGTCTCTTAGGCGCCACGTGAGCCTTCATGCGCTTTGAGTGCTGTCTGAAGTCATCTAGGGCTCGACGATGCAGTTCCTCGATTGTCCGCGTACCATTAAAGACATCGCGGCCAGTCTCTTGCATTACGAATCCAGCCCTGTCGCCAATCACCATACTCACCCCCTTAAGCAACACGTCAACCCATGGCCCGAACAGCGGCTGGATGGCTTGGCTATCGAAACGCGGAAACGGCTTGTCAAAGTCGCGCTCTGTGAGAAAGATCCTTGCCTCGGGATAGCCATCGATTAGCTGCAATGCCCAGAAATACGACAGGTTGGCCACCGCGTTGTACGGCCTGAAGAGCTCGTTCCAATCTTGGCGAGTGAGAGGCGTAGGAGGCGACTGGGCATTTGCGTTCACTTCGGGCCAAGTTGCACTAGCGGCTCTCCCGAAGAACATCCAGTGGATTGGCTTGGTCCGAGAATCTAGACCGTGGAGGACGGGCTTGAAGCCAAATTCATGGAAAGCCGTCCTCCTTCACCAGTACTAAGGACGCCGCCATTGGGCATTAGTATGGGGAGGATGGCTGATCCCCTCACCACTCTGTACCACTCGAGCATCCACAGCATGGTTTCCGCTGGTTCGGCACCCGTCGTGTGCTGACCTTGCACTTCTGTTCACGTTGACTCCCTTTGCCATCTTCGTGATGATGTCATGCTGCATCGCTTCACTGAGAGAGATTTGGCGACATCAAGTGAGCAATTGCTTTCTGTTGCGCATAAGCAATTCTCGGTACTTCTCCAAGCTCTTGCCCATGATGTTGATAAAAGGCCATTGGGTGTTGCTCTTGAAGAAATGTGCCCATATTCTTAGAACCGCCAGGCTAAGTGAGGCAGGATCTCGATCTGTTGATGCGTCGGGCTCATCGTCATCAAAATCAACAACGTCGTACGCCTCTTCGACAATACATCGGACCCAGTGTAAGATCCGGTCTTCGCTATCTGTTGCTCTTTTGTCAGAGAAGAAAACTCAAGAGACTAGCCCACACATGCGCGGAATAACCTACCACTCAGCGGTGTCGTGGCAACAGATTCGGTAAGTGACGAGAGCCATTTGCTAAGCAGAACGGCACACTCCAGCCCCGAAAGCGAGTGACGGACACTCCAGAAGAATGCCTGGCTACGCGCGACACGGTCGACGCCGAGTCGCACAGGGATGCTGAGCATATGGGCAGCGTACAGTAGCGCGGTGATGACGCCGCCACTCCTCTCCACGGCAGGAGAGCGGCTGATGGCCTTGGCGATACGCATTGGGTCTCGAGCTTCGAGAAGCCGGTATGGTCCGAGGTGAAGATAGATGCGCACATATGCGAGGCCAAGCAAAGAGCTGGATGTGAAGGGGATGGGTCCATTCTCGTTGTTGGGATCAAGGCTGGATTCGGGGGCTTGCTGCCATCCTGCAGTCCAGGAGCGGAGGCCTCGTCTTCATCAAAAAGTTAGCATCGTATTATGACTTGAAAGCAAAGATGGGTAAGTGATAGACTGACTCGAGCTTGTCAACCTCCTCACTGGGTAGAGACGCCGATTGATCCATGACTGGGAGGGACAGATCGCGAACAATGTAGATCCTCTGGAGTAGCCCGTGCAAGAGGATATAGTTACCCAGTGGTGTTGGAATGGGGTCGACAGGAGCGGTGCCGTCCGTATTCCTCAGAAGCAGGGATAGAGCATCTTGGAAATACAGCTGTTGCTTCTCAGTCTCCTGGCGAGCAGTCTGCCACTGGCACGCCGACTGCGCTTTCCACTCTCCAGTCGAGCAAGGGAGTCGCAGGCCTACTTCGTTGCTACGCAGCACAGGATACACATTGTACGCGATGCTGTGAGTATGCATGAAGGAGAAGGCGATGAGCTTAGCTCGGCGCGTCGACTCCTGTCGCACCCATGCTTGCCAGGCGGCTTGCGGCGTGGTCTGGTCGGCAGCAAGCTGAGAAACATCCTCTTCGTGGAGACCGATTTCGCGAAGAATCTGCGCCAATAGTGCCTGTAGAGCGAACGCTTCTTGCAGCAGAGACACCTTGGGTTCCCAGGTGGCGTAGCCCATGAGGGCAATCAGGGCCCGAACTGTCTCTAGTGGTTCCCATGGACCCCAGTCTCTCTCCTTGAAGCCCCTTGAGGCGCGGCGTTGTGGTGATAGATTGTGAGGATTGAGTGATGAACCAGTCTTGGCATCGAACGTCTCAGACTCGTGCATCAGTCTCTCCATGAGGATAGCCTTGCCTGCATGGAAGAGTCTCTCGGACATGCGATGCTCGAAGCAATACTGGGCACCGACTGCCGCAAGACCGAGGATGAGTTCAAGAGAATGCTCAGCGACTCGCCACGTTGGTGTGTGGATAAAAGGCATATGAGAGTGGAAGCCTTCAAAGAAGGAGGTCAGGTAGCGTGAGAGAGCGTGCCGTGATGGAAACTTAAAGTCTGGATCGAGAACGTCTCGAAAAGTTTCGATGGAGCTAGTAAGACGACACCGCTGTTCATCTGAAATACGGTACGGCTGCGACTCGATGTCGACAGACCGCGGATCTCGTTGTCACGTTAGCTACAGTGACTCACAGCATTGCACCAGTCTTGCCCCGAGACTTACTTGTATCTGGCAATGTTTCGGATATCCGGTTGCCAGTAGGCGCTGATGGCAGCCATGAACTGAAGGGGGTTCCCGGCCGAGTCCTACTATTCCGTGTCCCCGGTGTAGCAGTCCCTTCTCGTGACATTCTCACCGTCGTGTCGGCAACTTCGTGATCTCTGTCAGGGCCGTGGAAGTAAGGACTCCATTCTGCTGGCAGGCCAACACCATCGAGAAAGTTGGCAAACTCCCTGAAGTGGGCATCAAATCCCACGGCATCTTGATTACCTAACACTTTTGCATCAGTGTCTAAAGTTAGAGAAGCGAACTCGGACCATCGACCAACCATTTTCGTAGAACTGTTCTCCGAGTAGAGCCTGTTGGTATGAGGCATCTACGAGAGCGCCGTTTCTTGGGACTGCCATAGGATACAAGTCTGCCGGTGGTGCAGTTGGTTGTTGCTGTGCCCAGTGATTCACGCTCATTCCCGAGAGGGAGACAGCCGCAGCCAGATCAGCCTCGATAGGCCCTTGGTTTTCTCCAGAGTCCGGCTCCGATGGGACCCCCGGAGACTCGGATCCATCCTCGTGGAAAGCGATCCGCTGATGGCGGGTCAGCAAGTCACGCCGGGCAAAGGCAGCTCCACACCGACAGATGAAAGGCTTCTCCTTGGTGTCTGGAAGAACGTGCCGGTCAGCATCGTAGCACGCGACACTATCCCGAGCGTTTGGCCATGGAACGGGCTAGCAGCGCCGGGGAGAGGGCGCAGTTGGTCGTAGACTACAGACAGACATCACTCCAACACTTGGAGAAAGCTGAGGGAGGGGCCACACAAGAATAGATGGGACGACTGACGCGTTCGCACGTGGCGCTCCAAGTGCTCGGTGCGCTTGAACGTTCGCCCACAGTGTGGACAGGAACGCGCATCAGGGCCGTGACCGGTTCGCCTCCTGCGCTTGACTGGAGTCGAGTGCGGTCGCGGGAGATGCTGCTGCTGCTGAAGCGGCTGCGATTGCGGCTGCGGCTGCGGTTGTGGATGCGAGCTCGTGCCGTTGTGGGACATCATCCTTTCCACTTTCGCTTCGCGACACGTATTGTGTTGGAGTTGAGGAAGATCGGGTAAGTTGGAGAGCAGAAGCTTTGGGGCATCCCTCGGGCTTATGTTGGAGAAGACTTCAGCTTCTTGTGGGTCTTTCTCGACAGAGATAACTCCAACTGCCGTGAATTGGATCGCCCGCTATCTTCGGAGACTGACTCGTAATCAGACACCACCCTTGGCTCCTTACGACTCTGCAACCCTGCAACCCAACGCCCTTATCTTGCGGAGGAAGCTTTTGGAGTCTGTTATCGAGTGTATTATTGATAGTCGTGTGCGTCTGAGACAAACAGACAGGTCGAGCTTCCCTGCTTTTCTCCGAAGTCGTATCCGTATCTTGTCTGCTTTCCCCCGCAGTATCCACCGATTGTGTGTGGACACTAGGACCAAGAAAGAGGCTCTCGATCTATTCCGAACCACAGTTCATCCAGAGTACAGCGCACTTCATCTCAGGTTACTTTCAATTGAGACTGCGGCTCGGTGCTCAGCCATTACCAGAGTGCAGCTGGCTTTGGAGAAACACCAGACCGATTCTACCACACTCGAGAACAAGGCTGTTCGGCGATTACCCAGCATGTTCAAATTCCCAGGAGTTGCCTTCATTACTGGCGCTGGAGGGACTGGTGAGTTATGTCTCCCGAAAGTTCAAAGGCGTATCTTGAAGTTCTGACTTGACTAGGCATTGGCGCTGCAGTTGCAAAGGGGTTCGCACGGTCAGGATGCTCAAGAATTGCCATCACAGACCTCAATAAGCAATCACTGGCGGATACGAAAGATGCCATTTTGCAACTCAACTCCAAGGCACAGGTTTTAAGCCAAGAAGGCGACATTTCAGACGAAAGTTTTGTCAACTCATTCGTCGGCGACATTGCTAAAAGGTTTTCGCGCATTGACTACTCAGTAAGCTGCGCTGGTATACTTGGCAGCTCACTACGGTCACACGAAACGTCAACAGCCGCTTTTGATCTCATTACCAATGTGAACTACAAGGGGAGTTGGTTGACTTCTCGGGCAGTTTTGAGCCATATGCTTGACCAGCAGCCTCATGAAGAGCACCCAGAGCAACGAGGAGCAATCGTCAACATTGCGAGTCAGCTCGGTATTGTGGCACGGCCGGCGGCGGGTACGTTGAGATACCCCATCTGCCTCCTGCTGCAGTCTTTCTAACTTTATGCTCTCATATCAGCTCCGTACTGTGCATCGAAAGCCGCAATCATCAATATGACGCGGTCAGATGCCATCGATTATTCTCAGGACAAGATTAGGGTCAACTGCGTTTGCCCGGGCGTAATCGCCACGCCAATGACGACAGCGTCAGAAGAGTTGGTGCAACGGCTGAGACCCGCAATCGACATTGCGCCCATGAAGCGCATGGGGACACCCGAAGAAGTGGCCAACGCGGTGTTGTTTCTGTGCTCAAGCCAGGCTAGCTTCGTCCAGGGCCATGCTCTGGTAGTTGACGGAGGCTACACCATCAACTGAGAATTGAGAATGGCAACCTCCGTCCCATCAGACATGGGCTGTACTATCCCTACAGAGAGTGTCGCTCACGCCCGTCCTGCTTCGTGGTCAATGTTGGCCACGATCGCATTGATAAAACGCTGCGAGGACATTCCCCCACTTTGTGCTGTTGATACTACAACCTGGACATAGAGGACGCCACTTAGACGATGGAGTCGGCACCAATTGGGCTTGATGTCAAGGTAGTCTGCTTGTGATGGTAGAGATTTACTTGCACGCATGTTACCCAGCCATCCGACCATTTACGACAAGATGCTCAGATTGTAGATAGGTCTGGCCCCTTGAATCTCGTCTCACCACCTGTATCGTTCGATGGGAAATCCCCTGGTCGTCCATTTCCAGGCTGTCCTGCTTTGTGGGAGAGTCCGTCCACAAGTCTGTCACTCTCATTTCCCCTGGAGGCCGTGCGAACGATGGCGAAGATACAGGCCGGCCATGCACATCCAACTTGATGCCATGCTCGAGCTCAATTATCTTTCTTGCGGCTGCGGTAAGAACCTCTGCTTCCCAGAGATTTTCCCGCGGGAGACCCAATACTGGCATAAGCCGTAAGAATTCCAGTCGGGTTTCCAGTTCGCGGCAGGCCGATACGAGAAAGAAAAGCATGGCCCCAAACCCTGCTTCGAAGATGAAGTGCGGATAGTTCGAAGTGCTGAAACGCAAAGGCTCAGGGACTTCGGCTTCCAGCCAGAGGAGCCGCTTAAGGATCCTTCGGAAGTTGGTAATGTATCTATCATAACCAGCCTCGCTTGTATCGAATGCCATGTCTAGCCATATGCAACAGCACTCGTACCGAGTCAAAAGAAAGCAATGCAGCATCTTGAGTCGATCTGACTTGATGTTCTGGCTGTTTTGAGTCGTTTCCTCCTTAGGTTTGATGGCCGTGAAATTATTGTAAAGCTTGAGCCAGAGGCCCAGAAGACTGTTAATGGCGGCCTGCTCACTGTGCTCAGCAAGAAGACTGGGCGGTGTTGTTCCAGTTTCTTCGGACCTTGGCTGATGTAAAGCGGCTCGCTGCTCTCGTTGAGTATTGCGTTGTGAGCGCATGAATTCTGCTGTTCGATTGAAGAGGACGTCGAGCATCAGCTGCGCGTCGGAAAATGTGAGAAAGAATTGCGGCATAGGCCCCTCTAATGCCGTGATATCAGGGAAATCCGATTCTTCGTCACCGAAAAAGAGAGCAAACTCGCTGAGCCGCCGAAATATCGGTAAGAGGTGCTCCATTGTCCACGAAAACATGTAGTCGGGGCAGATGCTCTTCAATATCTCGACACCATGCCTGCTGTGCTGCAGCGCCGCTTTCCTGTTGGCGCGCATGATTTCAACACAGATGAAAAGAACGCAAACGAGTAAGATGATGGGCTGCTTTTCCTGAGAGTCCATGGCCCTCAACTCGTGGATAGCGGCATTGTAGTGGTGCAGGGCCAAATTTTGGTTGCTGTGCCGTACAGTGGCAGCAGCTTCAAAGATGCCCTGGGCCTCTTCATAGAGACTACTGATGGCAATGACGGCGTGTCTGACAGCCGGCTCGAAGTTACTGAACTGCATGACGACGTGTGTCCAAAAGTAGGGATCCACGGCTCCTGACATGACTGGTCCCGCTATCTCACAAAAGTACTGCAAAGCTCGACCCTCGCGGACCTTTGTGACTCCTGGGAAGACTTGATTTGGCTGGTGTAGGGATGCGGTTCCTGTTCCTTGACGAGCGGGTCTGTAGCCATCGCAGCGTCGGCCTGTACTGGCGCAGCGATTGCATAGTGGTTTAGACTCGTCACACTTGACTTTGCGGGCTCTAAAGACCGTTAGGAGGTGATCAGACGGACTTCTATGGACCCCTTTTGTGCGGCACAGCCTTGGTAAGATTGTGTCGACACGCCCATACTTACTTGCAGGTGATGCATCCGGTTCGGACTTTTGGGCTTCCTTTGCGAACCATGTCTTTGTCTCGGATGTGTGCGCAAGTTGACAGGCCTAGTCCCTCTATGTCGGCATGCGATAAGCTGCCAGGAACAGCTTTGGGAAGGGTATTGGGCGGTGCTTGTCCACTCGTCAGCTGGGACGATTTTGGCGACTGTTGGGCGGTGGAGATGGAACGAAGTGAATCAATTCGGGACGAGTCGAACGACGGTCGGGCAGAGAGCTACCCGTGCGACCAAACACATTCTGCTTCCCGGGGTTCTTGTGGGGAGGCAGGGATAGAAGCGAGCCGGCCAATGTGAGTCTTGTGTTTGGTTTGACCAGCCCGTGTATCTCCACCAGTAATGAGGCACAGCATGAGCCATCACGCCGCCATGACTGAGGACCTGTTTTGTGCGGGGAAATGGTGGCTAGCCGGGGGTGAGCTGAGAGCGGTGCGTCTGTCTTCAGAGCTTGGTGTATACTACATGTAGCCAAGTACGCGCAATCAGGTCAAGTAAGATGTGGTTCACTAAGGATGGTACTGATGGAATGGAAAGTAGGCCAAGAGTCAAATTGGGTGTGAAACTTCCATGCCGTGGTGTTCTATCCTCCTTTGATAATGCTATAAACATTATGACCCTTCAGCCGGAGGCTCCAAGCGCAAACAGTTTGATTCGAACAAGGCTGTTTCTTCTTCTATCCGTTCTCAAACGGATATCTTTACACGCTTCAGGTTTGGTGAAGTTGTGCCATTCACCTCGGGCATCGTTCTGCCATTGACTATGGCATTTGTGCCGGCCGTCAGAGTCTCAGGAACCGATTCAGATGCTTCAGTGTTGCTCATGTTGCTCTTCCAGTCGAAGTTGGCCTCCCATGCATGTGCGATGGTCAGAATCTTCTTCTCTTGCCATAGCCCTCCGACAATTTGCATGCCTACAGGAAGTAAGACCTGGGCGTTGTCTTTAGCGGCAAGAAACCCCACGGGTATTGACATGGCTGGATGCCCGGTAACGTTGAAAACGGCTGTATTTGTTGTCAATCCTATAGTGGGTTCAAATGAGCCTAACACAGACTCCCGAGACCCATGTCTTGGTGCCACGAAAGGTGTTGTTGGCATGATGATGGCATCGTAAGTTTCAAACTTGCTTTGAAAGGCGTCACTGATTTGCCGACCGATATTGACGGTTTTGCTGTAAAGACCCGGGAACCTGTCTGAAAGATACAAGCCGTTGATGAATGTATTCTTCGTCGAAGGGAAGAGCTTTTGGAAGCTCGAGTCGGCCCAAGGGAGCCGTGCCTTTTCGAACTCAGTCAGACCAAGACCCCTGTGTCCCGAAGCTCTCCCCAGGATGCCAGAGGAGCCCGCAATTCGTTGTTGGATCGTCCATATTGAAGGACCTTCCAGATGAAGAGGGATTGATACATCCTCTATAATTGCCCCCAAGGACTCCAATTTCCGAGCAGCCCCAAGGACGTGCTCCCTAACTCTAGGATCAACAATGTCCTGGTCAAAGCCTTCCTTCAGAAGACCAATCCTGATTCCGTCCAAACGGCCAGAGCTGGCTTCCAGAGAAACAGAAAAGTTGTAGGAGCCATGAGCCGCAGCGCCCAGAGATTTGTCGTCGATGCCGTCATAGCCGGAGATCACATCGAGGCATTGAGCCGCTTCTGTGACCGAACGACATATGGGTCCCGCATGGTCATCGATGGCGTCGCCGCTCGTGATACCCGTAAATGGTACCAGGCCATGGGTCGGCTTCACACCAACGCAGCCGCAAAATGAGGCGGGAACTCGAATGCTACCGCCTTGATCTGTGCCGAGCGCGATATCAATCTTTCCTGAACAGACAAGGGCGGCACCTCCAGAGGTGCTGCCACCAGTAGAGTAGCCTTGCTTGTAGGGGTTCTCAATGGTGCCTTGTGCACTGGTGAAGGATGCCGTCGAGTTGCAAAAATGCTCACAGGTAGCCGTGCCGAGAATATCGGCTCCAGCATCCAGCACTCGGGTCACCACTGTCGCATCTGTAGATGGGGTCCAAGGAGGGAAGGCGTCGGTGCCAAAGAATTGCGGAACACCTGCTACGGCGATGCAATCCTTCAAGCACACAGTCTTCCCTTTCAAGGAGACTGATGACGGGCTTGAAGCCAAGTCGTCGCCTCTGATCAAGAACCGATAGGCCCACGCATGCCCAAACTCTTGCTCTTCTGCCGTGGGAAGATGTACATTCTCTCGGGGGTATCGTTTCGTGTCGGGTGCCGGTTGGTAGTCTGGGAGGCTGTCGATACGAGTTGCGCAATCGTGCACCGCAGCCAGCAGTCTCTGATAATCGGCCGACTCTTCGGCTTTGATTGTCAGGCCGAGCGGCTCGAGCAGCCTTTCGACATCGCCTTGCTGCACGGGATTGCCCCTAAGGTATGACTGTCAGCAAACACGCCGTAGAAGTCGAGGTGATTACATGTATTTACGTGGAGATGTCTTTGAAGAAGACAGACATGGTCGGAGGTGGCAATTGGCGAAGATGTTCTGTGGGGATCACCGTTTTGTTACGACTGGGTGTTTGACGACCGGTTAGCCAACATGCTGTTCATAAAGGCTCGAGAGTGACATCCATGCCGAAGCCACGATAAATTGTCGGGGGCTCTTCCGCGGGCCATTGAGTCAATCTGTGGCCCAGGCGGATTTCCGATGACAAACAGAATGAAGTCGACATCAAGGAACGCGATGGCAATATCCGTCAGGTGTCCCCGCTGCTTTGCGCCTCCATGCTCCAGTAGTCGGCTCCTGGGGGAGTTGGAGAGGGGCAATGGGGTAATTTGAGGGGGGCCATGATGAGTTGGAGACTTTCATTAGCGACCCCAACTCCACCAACACTGAATGCGGATAATCAACGAGCATTGCCGCAACTCATTGTCATCGAAGTAGCCATGAGAGAGAAATTTGGAGAAGGTAGGAATATCTCACACATCCAGTCTCCATGACAATCTGTTGACTCAATTACCAGTTGTTAGAGTACATTGCGTCGTTGCGGCATTCCTGTTGCGCATGGGACACTGATATGGGAGTTCCTTGGCAACTAGTGATGTATCTGATAATTGAACCTATTGAAGATTTTAAAGACAAGACCTACACTTGCAAATAGACCATCATAATTGATGGGGAATCTTCAGTCTGCTATGCGCACCACTAGCCTGCCTTTGAACCCGCTGTCCTGATACGCTGCGACAATGCTTGGGATCTCGTCGAATGACATCAAAGTGATCTGGGATCTGATGTTGGCTCGCTCCACGGCCTCCATCATCCTTTCGGTAGATTCCGTACTGGCGACATAGCTTCCCCGAATCGTGAGTTCTCTGAAAACGATTACTCCAGAGTCGAACCTCCAACTCTCAGCAGGCAAGCCCAGGACTCCCATAACGCCTCCAATTCGTAAGAGTGTCAAAGCCCAATTGTTGGCCGACAGAGAGTCTGTGCAAACCACCACCGCGGCCACCCCCTCCCCATTGGTGAAGTCCATGATTTGAGTGGTCGCGCTCTCTGAGCCAGAATCTACTACCAGTTCAGGTCTCAGACTCTCGTTAGACATCTCGGTAGCGAGCTGCCTTCCTGCTGGTCGACTGTCAACCGCTATAGTCCGGTAGCCCATTGCACTGGCAAATTGTAAGCCGAGATGGCCGAGGCCTCCGATGCCGACAATGGCTACAGTCTCTCCTGAACTCAGCCCCGATGTTGCCTTTTCTAACGAGCCCCAGACTGTCGCGCCAGCACACATCAATGGCGCTGCTTGTTCGAATGGCAGAGATGGTGGCAGATTGACGGTGGTCTCGGGGTCTATGGCGAGATATTCCGCAAACGCCCCGTCATGATGGAAGCCGGCAGTCTGTCGCTTTTCGCAGAACCTGGGGTCTAGTCGATGGGTTTTACGCTTTGTCAGACCGCAGCCACTGCATTTGCCGCATGAGTTCTTGTAGTTGAGAGCACCAACTCGATCGCCGATCTTCCAGCTCTGACTGCAATCTTTACCAACTTGAACGATGATGCCGGCAGGTTCATGAGACGGAATCATGCCCAAGGGCGAATTGAACTGTCCCTGTAGAACTTGTAAATCTGAGTGGCAGAATCCAGCTGCATAAACTCTGATAAGTAGTTCGCTGTCGCCAATGGACGGCATTTGCCTCTCGACAAGCTCATATGGTTTATTGTACTGAGACTTAGATTAGCATTCTTCACACCGTTTGTCAGAGCACAAGATATGATGATGGTGACAAACTTCTGATATCTGTGCTGCTCGCATTTGCAGAGGAATCTTTGGGGCTGCCATGATATCTATTATCCAAGGGCGTCCAAATTTGTCAAGAGCCGATGATACACGTTAAGGGCATTCGCTTTCGGGAGTCTACTCTGTGCAAAGCGGGACGTCGCGTCTTGAAAATGAAGAACAAAACAAGAATTTGTGTAAGACTTTGTCCTGTTTCTAATCTAGCCTTGCCTATACTACGGGTGTATGTTGATGTGGGTGAAGGATTCAAGTTGAGAGATTATCGGTGAAAGTTGGACATTATCGTCCGACCCAAAGACGGGCTTAATCTTTCCGTTGGAGCAACTCGTGCGCCTCTCACCTTACCTCCAATTCTGTAAACCGCCCAACAAACCGTCTCCAACGTGAATGCGGGCCCAGAAACGCGCGATCAGATAGACCCCGCCTGGATAATACCCCTCCTTTTGATTTTCTGAAAATCATAGCAGCTTAACAGCCTTGACGGATTGCGAGGGATCAGGGAAATAATTTGAATGAAGTAGCCTAATCCACGAGGGTCCAGTCCATTCATAGGTCGATATCGGCGCGAATAGCTATAGTACCGAGAATAGTACCCCTGCTTCCAAGCTCACCGATCGTTGCAGAATTGTTAGCATGATGAATCCTGATAAGAAGATAGTTACCCCTCAGTTGCCGGCTGAGCCACTGCTGGGGTTGACTGCTTAAGAAGAATTGGGTTAACGCGAAGCAGCATAAACCTTCTTTTCTTTTGCATTTTCCTGAACCCCGCACGAATCGTCACTGCATCACAGTCTTAATTCACCTCTTAAAACAAGCATTCCTTCAAGCAACTGTGTATGAAATCAGTCGACTATCACAATGGGTAAGAAGCGTGTTCTCGTCAGTTATGGTGTCGACGTCGACGCGGTCGCCGGTTGGCTAGGATCTTACGGAGGAGAAGACTCCTCCAACGACATTAGCAGAGGTATGCGCTGCGTGAAAGTTGCGTGTCTTGGTCTTTCCGAGCTCACGAGTTCAATTTACAGGTTACTTCGCTGGAACTATTGGCGTTCAACGAGTGCTCAAGTTCCTCGCCAAGTATGACATCAAGGCCACATGGTTCATCCCCGGACACAGTCTCGAGACCTTTCCCGAAGACATGGCCGCTGTGAGAGACGCTGGTCACGAGATTGGACTCCATGGCTATTCCCACGAGAACCCGACAGACATGACCATCGATCAGCAAAGAGAAATTCTTGATAAGACATACCGAATGCTTACAGACTTCGCGGGTAAGCCCCCAAGAGGTAGTGTTGCGCCATGGTGGGAAACGAGCAAAGAGGGGGCCCAGCTTTTGCTCGATTATGGTATCGAATACGACCACAGCATGAGCCACCACGACTGCCAGCCGTACTACCTGCGAACTGGCGATGAATGGACCAAGATTGACTACAAGAAAAAGCCTAGCGAGTGGATGAAGCCACTTGTGAGGGGACAGGAAACAGGGCTCGTGGAGATCCCAGCCAACTGGTATCTCGACGATTTGCCGCCAATGATGTTCATCAAAGATGCGCCCAATAGCCATGGATTCGTCAATGCTAGGGACGTGGAGGACATTTGGCGAGATCACTTTGACTACTTCTACCGCGAGTACGACGAGTTCATTTTTCCGCTGACAATCCATCCGGATGTGTCTGGTCGTCCTCACGCATTACTGATGCACGAAAGGCTCATTGAACACATGAAGAAGCATGAAGGAGTGGAATTCGTTACTATGGAGCAAATTTGCGACGAGTTCAAGGCAAAAACAGCGCCCGCACAAGGAGCCGTGATGCCTGCAGAGCCGGGCACCATGCTTAAGAAGCCATAGTTTTACAGTCTACGTTGGCAATGGACCATTTAATCCTGATTTACAACTCGAGAAATTTTTGTGCACGCAATCTTCGCCTTTGAACTCCTACCGCTACTTGATTATTAACTTACACATTGAAAATTATCTTGGATATAATTAGCGTCAAACGCTGCCCGCAATTAGCGGCATCGTTTTTGCGACACTGATCCATTTACTGCTCAAGAACAAGAGAATGTAGATAATCACTTAATCGTATCATCGATAGGTCCATCTCTATGCAAGCGCCAGTCACAATATCTAGACGTGGTATCAAAGTTCCTGCGAGTATCGCTACAGAATTGGCGCTGTCTATTACTGCAAGACCCTCGGAGCAAGTATTACTTGACGGAATTCGGGAAGCTTCGTTGACAATTATGACTCCAACGCTCATACATTTACCCCGCGCTTATCATCCATGACATTCTCGTCATGTCAGTCAACGTGGACTTTTGGCTTTGGGGTAAATGTCTGGATCCAAGCCAAGAGATATCTATGCTCCAACTTCGGCATATGGTCTTGAAAACTGCCCCAAAGCGTCGCTAAGACCCCAACCTTATCGCATCAACCTTGTGATGACCCACTGACACTCCACAAACGCACATTCAACCCCTGAACGCGCTTTTGACTTTAGGTGCTGCTATGGGTGCTATGGGTCGGCAACCCACGATCTTGGAGCGGCATCCGAAGCTCATCGCGGGGTTGGGCAGTCTTCCATGTCGACAGCTATCTTGCGTCGGAACATCTTTGCCGCTAGGAGATAAGCCACACCAGGCTCTCTTCTTCATCTCTCTCGTCACAGTTGATATCGCCAGATGCTCCAACTTTGTCCAACTGGAACGATCTTATATTGAGGTGATGTCCTCGGCTCATCAACCATTTCGTGCTGTCAGCAAAAGTCAACCGCTCTAGTCGGCAACAGACTCAGCACATTCAATTAAAACCACCGCCGACATGTCTCAGACCAACTCAGAAAAAAGCGATGCCATTACAGCGGCGCCCGTTAGGAGTAGCGGTAGCATTGACGCAGGAAAGCTCGAGAATGCCGAAGATGCTTTTGAGGTTTTCAAACGGGGTGAAGGAACGGTCGATTTCCGTACAGTCGGCTGGATCCATGCCTCGGTCATTTTCTTGAAAGGTACGAAAGCTCGGTTTCTTCTGCATGCAGAGGCGAAGCTAATATATATTAAAGTCATTTTCGCCACTGGTGTTCTCACGATTCCTTCGGCGATGTACGTGTTGGGTGCGCTGCCAGGTGCCATCAATGTCCTGGGCTGGCAGTTTCTCAACACCTATTGCGCTATTATCCAGGGAAATTTCCGCAATGCCCATGCTGGATGCCATTCCATCGCGGACATGGCGAATGTAGTTGGCGGCGTCTGGCTGAAGGAAGTCGTTGGAGTCTTGTTCCTCGTCACCTACGCAATCGTTGGCGCGTCAGGCATTTTTGGCACATCAGTTGCCTTCAACGCGCTTTCCAACCACGCCATCTGCACCAACTATTTCATGTTGGTAGCCACCGCTGCTGTCTTCATTCTCGCAAGTGTTCGTAAGTTCGAGAAAATTGCATGGTTGACATGGGTTGGATTCTTGTCGGTATACACAGCCGTGTTTATTGTGGTGTAAGTCTCCCCTTCAGAACATCCCCGATAATACCGCACACTCCTGCACGAACCCCATCTCTGTATACCTGAATAGAGGCTTCTCTTCTGGTATAATATCTATCCGTCGGGTGCCCCGTACATTCGAATATGCCACTGATCGTTGTCTTAGCGTTGCCGTCACGCAAGTAGACAGACCCGCCGCCGCCCCGAAGACCGGCGACTTCGAACTCGGCTACCATGTCATCGGAAATCCTACATTTGTAACCGCAATCACGAGTGTTGCAACTATATTCTGCTCTGGTGCAGGAACTTCGGCGTTTCTCCCAGTCATCTCAGAAATGAAAAAGCCCAAGGATTACAACAAAGCCGTGTACCTTTGCATGGGTGTCGTCACGGCATCCTACTTGACTTTCTCGCTTGTCGTCTACCGCTGGTGCGGCCAGTGGGTCGCATCTCCCTCTCTGGGTAGTGCCGGAGAGGTCGTCAAGAAAGTCTCGTACGGTATTGGCTTGACCGGCTTGATGGTCAGCGCTTGCCTCTACATCCACGTTGCCGCCAAGTATTTGTTTGTCAGAATTCTGCGCGACTCTGTCCATTTGCAGAAGAACTCACTCGTTCACTGGTCTATCTGGATCGCCTGCACACTCGGCATGTCCGTCATATCGTTCCTCCTGGCGTCTGGCATCCCCATCTTCAACTACCTGCTAGCACTTGCCGGCAGTTTGACCTTCGCCCCCCTGGCACTTGGTCTTCCTGGTTACTTGTGGATATTTGACCACCCGCACTACAGACAGGGTAACTGGTGGCAGGCCATGGTCTATTGGCTGAACTGGCTCATGATTCTCCCGGCCGTTTTCCTGACCATCGGCGGTACATATGGTGTCGTTCAAAACATCATTGATGCTTATGCCGATGGCTTGATTGGAGGTGCCTTTTCGTGTGCAGACAACAGTGGCTCATCATGAGACGTTGATTGAATGAAGGGTAGCTGTGGACGATTGATAGAGATGGAAAGAGTCGTTTCAGTTTCGAGGGAGTTCTTGTTGCTTATTCGGCGGGTAGAGAATTAAAGAATACTGCTATCTGATGTAATACTGATTCAAATATCAAGAGTTTTGAGTGTAATACCTCCATACTAGTTCCCTCACAATGAGTCGAGTGTTCAGTGATATGCCAAGTGAGTAAAGGAGCTGCTGGGAAACACCTACTGGAGCTTTCCCTTTAACCAAAAGTTGCCAACTGGAGGGCAAAACAATAGAAACGCAAGCAAGCCTCATGCAGCATTTGATAATCTCTGGGTCATCAGGAATCTTGAAGTTGCCCATCTGCGAGCATTCGAATCAACATTGACTATGAATGCCCTTCGGTGATTTATTGATATCGTTATCTGAGAGGTCGGCTGCCAATCTCAAACTCCATGTTGCCTAGGTAATGTCTATAGGCTTTCATTTAAGCACGTAGCCAAGGTATGCAGGCAAATGAGGGAACAAGGCACAAATGTGGCTATGCTGTAGAGTGACATATAAATCAGTGGACGTTCTGTTGGACTTCTCCCATAAGTGAAAATATGAACTGTGAGATAGGACCAACGGTCAGTGATATCTTATCTCCTATTCACCCCTCATAGGATCAAGATCTGCCAAGACACCGGAAAGAGTAAGAGTGACTGGATTCACGAGTCTATTTACCACATCTAAGTATGCATCAATTTATCACCAGCAACACAGAAAACAACTGAAGTCACCCTACCAGCATCCGAGGCCTATCGGTTCTCCTCAAGCCATTCCTTGAATTGGCCGAGCGTCTCGCACTCGATGAACAGAGAGCTCTTGATCTCGACCTGCAACTGTGCTTTGAACTTCTCCACCAGCACTAGCGACATAAGCGAGTCGACGCCAATCTGTACGAAGGTCGTGTTGTCCGTCAACTCCAAGGCGTCGATGCCCGTTTCGCTGGACAAGAGGGCCACTGCACCGGCGACGAGGGGGTTAGCCTCGCGCCCATCACCACTGGGCACTTTGCTCGCTGTGACCTTCTCTGATGTCGTTGCAGACGCCACAACCGGAGCCGGCAGGGTTTCTTGCGCTGTCTTCACCACCGGAGCTGGAGTCGGGGCGGATTTATCCACTGGCGCATTTCTATGCGCGCCTACACTCGGAGCCTTCACATTGACGGGAGCGTGGTCAGTATTGGTGCTCTGGGTGGTGTTGCTGCCGCCTTGGGTTGCCGAGGCCGGAGAAAAGAAGCGATCCATGAGGATCCGATTGATCTGCCTAAACTTCATCTGGCCCATCATGCCTACCACGGCGTCGTCTTCAAGAATGTAGACGTCACCAGCCCACACCTTGGGGTCGTCCTCGGTAGGCACCATCCGGACGTAGCTGCGATACTTGCCGCCGGCCCTGGGAGCCCTCCGGAGGCGGAAGCTCTCCCAGCCCGGCGTGACGTAGAAGTACCCCGCAGTATCGGAAGCGTCGGACCCATTCATCACGAAGCCGCCGAGATGGCACAAGCTATCTGTCCAGTGCGGCGGCGTGTGCCAGACGCCGCGCTCTCCGGGGTCCAGGACCACGTCGGCAACAGCCTCGTAGCCTTGCAGTACGACAGACTGCATGCCGCGGTAGTGCTCGGCGTAGTCGACCACGTTCTTGAAGAGCTTGTACGCCATGCTCCTGCTGACGCGGCTCGCCGTGCCGTCCTCACCCGCGAGACGGTGGAGCGACTCGATGCGCTGGACGACGAGGTGCTCGACGCGCTTCCACTCTCGGTCCCAGACAACGGGGTTTTGGAACTGAATCTCGCAGCTGCCGTAAGGATCGGCCGCCCGAGTCCCGTTGTGCGACACGTTGTACAGGAAGAGATGTATGTGGCGCGTCGGGATGTCAAGCGTGGCCTCGAGCTGGATAAGCTGCGGGCCGTCCTGGGGCGAGCCGGCCACCTGCGCGTGAAGGATCTCCATGTTGAGCAGGTTCATGTGAAAGTCCTTTTCCTGAGGAAACGCGAGCTCGTGGAGATACTTGCCGACGGTGAAAGCCATGTCTGCCCAGATGGAGGAGGAGGCAACACCATGGTTGTTCATGCGGTGGCCCTCGACAGCCTCGACGAAGGCCGGGTCGAGCAGGTTGGAGAGCGTCACCAGATTTGCCGTCTCGTGATCCATGAACTCGGACACAATTCCGTGGACGGTGGACGTTTTCAGCCTGGACCCGTGGATGCTCACGCCGGGCAACAAGCTGCGCTGCTGGTTCTCCAAATTCTCCTTGATATGCGCCTTGTCGAGGGTCCAGGTACCCAGGTACGGGATCCAGTAGTTCTTGTTGTTCCAGCGGTACGCCGGTAAATGCAACACCCGGTGCGCCCGCTCGTGCTGCTGGAAGCACTCGTTCCAGCAGATCGGCACGCCCGCGAGATGCAGGGCAGTCAGGGAGGACGCAGTAACGGCTAAGTCGTCCTCGCCGCGCCGTAAAGAGGCCACGACGGCGGTAGTCGGGCCCATGATCCTGCGGACCATGGTGCCGGCAACCACATGGGGCCCAATATCGATCCACACCGTGTCTGCGTCCACCAGGCCGAGCTCCTGCGCCGCATCCAAGGCGCCGACGACGTCAACAGGCTCTCGCGTTGCCCGGCCCAGATACTTGTGGTTGAGCGTCTTGCTGTCGAAGATGCACTCGGCCAGCAGCGGCGAGATGACGGGGATCCGGGGTGCCTTGTACACGGCATGCTCAGCGAGTTCGAGAAAAGGGGCCACGACGGGGTCCATCTGCTCCGAGTGGAACGCGTACGGGACCTTGAGCATGGTCGACTTGACACCGGCGGCGGTCAGCACGCCGGATAGAAGGTCTAGCCGCTCCCTGCTCGCGCTGATGACAAGATCAGACTCGCCATTGAAGCAGGCCACCTCGTATTCAGCCTCGCGCCCCGCGAGATGCTCCCTCAGATGCTCGGGGGTGCATCGGACGGCCATCATGCCGTGCGTGTCCACTTTGCAGTGAATGCCCATCAGCTTGGCGCGCCCAGCGGCCAGATGGAGTGCGTCCAGATCAGAGAGCACACCGGCGGCTGCCAGGGCGGCGAACTCGCCGAGGCTGTGGCCCATGACCATGGACGGCCTGACGCCGAGAGCAGCCCAGTAGTGCGTCAAGGCCAGCTCGATGAGGACGATGGCCACCTGGGACGCGACTGGGGAGACCTCTTCACGGGAGACAGTGCCCTCGATGATGGGGACCACCGACCCGACGTCATCGAGGTGCAGCGACTGTGCCAGGAGGTCAAGGCGGTCTACGGCCTCGCGGAAGACTGCGCAGTGGGCATACAGCCGCGCGCCCATGCCCTCGTAGAAGGCGCCCTGCCCAGTGAAGGCAAAGGCGACGGTCGAGCTCTTCAGCGGCACCGAGGTGATCTGTTGCGGCTGCTCTCTCATCCTATCCAACTCAGTGGAGAGGAAGCGTCTCGCCCCGGCAATATCCTTGACCGAGTCCCCAATGCGAAACGGGTGATGGATGCGCCGCGCGGTCAGGGTGTATGAGAGATGGCCGAGTTCAGTATCGCTGCCGTCGCCGTCGAGGTACGCCAGCAGTGCCTCGGCATTCATCTTGAGAGAGGACTTGCTCCGGGCCGAGAGGACGAGAGGGAAGACAGAGCGGGGGTCTTTCCCAACGACGGAGCGGTCCGGCGGGTCAGCCAGGAGGACGGTGGTGTTACCGCCGTGCGCGCCGAAGCTGTTAACGACGGCGAGGCGGCCTGGAGCCCGGTCGGTGCGCGGCCACTCGGAGTATTCCCAGTTGAGCCCGACGTTGCGCTCCTCCAGGTCCGGCGGCAGGGTGGGGTTGAGTTTAGGGACGCCGATCTGCGGCGGGACAGCGCCCTTCTGGTACATGAGCAAGACCTTGATGAAGGAGGCGATGCCTGCGGCGGCCTCGCCGTGGCCAATGTTGCTCTTTACGGCGCCGAGGCGCAGGCGGTTTTTCTTCTTGCGCCGTGGACCGGGACCCGCCGGGGCGAAGACGTCCGATACGGAGCGGGCCTCCTCGCGGTCCCCGGCCTGGGTGCCGGTGCCGTGCAGCTCGACGTAGCTGACATCCAGCGGGGAGATGCCGGCCTTGGCCATAACTTTTCTGTAGTTGTCGGCCTGCGTGGGCGCGTGAGGGTGCGTGATGGAGACGGCCTCAGCTGAATGGTTTGTATTGGCGGCCAGGATGGTGGCGAGGATTGTATCGTTGTCGGCGAGTGCGTCGTCCAGCCGCTTGATGACGACGCTGCCCACGCCATCGGCTCTACAATAGCCGTCTGCCGCTTCATCCCAGACCTTGCACTGGCCTGTGAGCGAGAGGAAGTGGCCCTTACCGAGCTGGCAGAAGTTGTCCGGGTCAGTGATAACGTTCAGCCCGCCCGCCAGCGCTGTGTCAACCTCGCCGGCCCAGAGGGCGGAGCAGGCTGCGTTGACGGCGGCGAGGCCGCTTGAGCCTGGAGATTGTCAGCCAGATCACGAGGATGAGGATGACCACGGGGAGACAAACACGCCGTGTCCATGTTAAAGCTGGGACCGCTGAACTTGAAAAAGTAGTTGATCCGCCCGTTGGCGAAACCGCGCTCGCCGCTGGGAACGGCGTACGTGCCAATGTTCTGGCTGGCGTTGAGCTCGCGCCAGTCGTCACTCGCCTGGCCGTAGTACGTTCCTATACGAGGTCCCGCCGTGGATCTGGTTCTGTTGGGCGCGTACCCAGACATCTCGAGGGCTTCGTATGCGGTCACGAGCGCGAGCCGGTGCATCGGGTCCATCTGCTCTGCCTGATGTACCAAGTTAGCCTGGGGAGCATATTAAACCCGCAGGAGGAAAAGATTTCTATAGACGTATAGGAACAGGGGGAAAAGGGGGCGATGGGAGGAAATAGGATGGCAACCATACCTCCTTGGGTGATATGTTGAAGAAACCGGCATCGAAGTGGCCTGGATTCTCCATGTAGTTCATGAAAGGCGTCTGCGTGGCATTCTCCGTCCGCCCCGTCGGATCAAAGTGCGTGCTCAGATCGAACCGGTCCGGCGGCACCGTTGTATGAACGTCCCGCTTGTCCATCATAAGCTTCCAGAATAGTTCCGTGTCGTCGGCGCCCCCTGGAAGCCGGCAGGACATGCCCACGACCGCCAGCTTGGAGCGTTTCGGCGAGCGCGGGATCTGGGCTGCCTCACACTCGTTGCTCTTGGACCACTCGACCAGGTCGTGTTGCGTCAGGACGATCCGGCCCTCGCACCGGCCCTCGACGCTCCTGATGATGGCCTTGAGCACCATGGAGCTCCGGAAGGTCCACAGCGTCAGGTGTTGCTGTGCTTCACCCAGCGACGCCGGCGGCTCGAGCGTGGCGGCGATGCCCTCAGCAACGTTGTCAATATGCATCTTGTGCATCAAGATCTCAACGACAAGCTGGCCGAGCAGGTCATCTAAATCCTCCGCCTCGTACGGCCGTCCCGTATCGGAAGAGAGGAGCGGAATGCGTATCGACAGCTTCCCCGTCTCATCGGGCTCTCCCGAAATGATGGCCTGGACGTCGCCGGTATGGTAAATATGAGGGGCGTGGCACAGCCCGTGATGGACCGGGAGCGGGAAGAAGTTGGAGTACCGCAGCGCGCCGGAGCTCTTTAGGCAGTTCCGCAGACGGTTCGGCGGCCCGCTGATGGTAACGGATGTTTGGTCGGCGGCGCTGATGAAGATGCGGGCGAGCACCGGGGCGGCCGTCTTGGCGTTGTAGCCGTCCAGCTCGGCCTGGACGTCCTCGGCGCTCAGGCCGGGAACAACAAATGCCCACGGATCGCCGGCGTCTGTCTGCGGGGGCTCGAGCTGCTCCGAGGTGTCGTACACGTGGATGCCGAGCCGGAAGGCCACGCGTACGGCTTGGGCACCCGTAGAGCCGAGTTTGGCGAGGTCCGGAGCCGCGGAGACGGCGGCGGCTGAGAGGAGGCCGACGCCCAAGCCGGCTAGTGTCGGTGCCGAGCGTGGGCCGAACTCGTACGGCGTTGATTTGATTTCGTGGTGGCTGTCAGAGACGTGTTAGAATCAGACTATACTATCGTTATTGCAAAGATTTGCTGGGGATTGGAGGATCACTCACCCGATGAGCATGCCAATCTGGAATATGATGAGGAACACGCCTTCGACGGCGCCTCCGAGCGGGCCTTTGCGGAACTTTTCGTCGTCGATCAGGTCGAGGACGTTGTCGAAGCAGGGAACTTCGTCCTGCCACCGCTTGGGCAACTTCGAGATCTCGTCCTTGAGAACATGGTTGCACAGTTTGATGAAATGCGCCAGCTGGGCGCACTTGAGGTGCGCGCTAGACCGTGAGAGCGCGCGGAAGAGGTTCCCTGCGTGGTCACTTGGGAAATCGTTGCCGAAAAACAGCAGGCCGGCTGACCCGGCATCGGGAGTGTGATCCCACGAGCTGGAGGAGGGTGTCGTGGACATTTTGGTGTAGCACTTGCCTGGTCACAACGAAGCCTGACAATGAATCATTGTTGAGCTGAGCCGGATGCTGATCGACTCTATGAATAGTCAATGAGAGAGGGTTGGCAGGATGTATACTCAGGTGACAGATCCACTGCAATGAACCTTGAGAATTATCCTTGTCTCTCCACGTTGAAGCCCTCTCGAAGTTCCAGAGTGTGTCCTGCGTGGACCTGGGAGTTCGGCGTCTGTCTTCCGGGTCTCGGCATTGGGCCCGGGATCCGGGGATGAGCGTCGGCGATGTGTCGCTGACAACGGTCCCGAATCCCGGACTGACATTGTGCATCGACTGTCTGCCTAGAATCAAGATCCGGCAATGACCTGGAGACTGAAGCATACGGCAAACAAGGCGAAATGATATTTGGATAGACAGTGCTAGCTTGAAGGGTTGCCGGCATTCTCAACCTTCTCTTCGAAATGAAGCGATGTCAGCCTTTAACATCCTCGTCAATCTATCACTGAACATTGGAGGAATTGTTATACGCTCTTAGATTGGATACTGAGTTCCTGTACCATTGGCTTCTTTCACTTGGAGCAAAGACGTACTAGAAACCGTGATCTATGTAAATGAAAATAGCATAAACAAATCTCAAAAACCAGACCCACAATTCCACTCTATGAACTTGAAATAAAATAGCCGAGGTGCTTAAAGAAAGTCAGACAACATCAAAAGGCTCACGATATCGTCGCAGCTCGCGCCCCAACCAAAGGCCGTAGTCTCCCCTCCAAGCGTCGTGGTCTCTTCGCCTCCCGCGCGAACCACCGCTGCTCCCCGAGAATCATCTCAAAGCCGACCTTCCGCTCTTCCGCCAGCTTATCCAAGATGGCCAAAACAATAGGGCGAACGACTAGCTGCGACACATCCCCGGGAAGACCACCGTACATGCGCTCCACGAGCTCCGAGACGCTCAGACTCCCCTTCCCGCCATGGCCGGGTGGAGAAGTAGAAGGCAAAGACAATGCTCTGGCAGCTTCAAGCGTCACACAAACATGCCGCTCCCTCGCCTCCTTTTGGCGAATGCACTCGTCCATTTTGCGTGGCAGGTCGGCAATGACAGGCCCGTGGGCGGGGTACCCAACGCGGCACCCCAGAGCAGCCATATCAGCCAAACTCTGCGTAAATGTACCAAGGTCCTCGAAGACGCTCTGGCCCTGGCCGAGTACATTATCGCCAGTGAAAAGCGCGTCCTCTTCCTCCAGCATGAAGCACATGTGATCGTGGGCGTGGCCGGGCGTGAAGACGGCTTGCACGGTGGCGCCCTCGACGGAGAAGACCTGCCCGTGCGTGATGGCCCGCTGGCCGCGGTCCGGTTCGCACTTGTAGACGCAGTCGGCGTATTCGGGGCGGCGGGCGAGGAGATCCGGCACGCCGCCCGTGTGGTCGCTGTGCCAGTGCGTCAGCAGGACGTGGCTCAGCTCGACGTCGAGGTCGTCCAAGACGCGGAGCAGGCTGTCGATCCAGGCGTGAAAGCCCTGGCCCGTGTCAATGAGAAGGCGGCGCCGGCCGGTGCCCACGAGGTAGGTGTTGGTGCCCTGGAGACGCATCAGACCCGCGTTGCCACCCATGATACGGACGACGCGTTTGGTAAGGTGAGAGACGTCCGGGAGAGGGTCGAGGCGGCCATGCTGCGCCGAGAGGTAGTCGCCCCAGACGCACTCGTTCAGCGTTGCGAGCGCGGATGGCATGTTTGCTTTCGTTGAGGGGGGCTATGCTGTCCTCGAGTGAGAGAGTTCGCACATGGGTGTGAACAAGAGTACTTGACTATCTATCTACAGGTCGGGTGGCTCGTCGGGGCTCGGGCTCCGAAGTCTTCGGTGTTATCGACTCTTGGACAATGTGTTTGAATCCTTTGAGCCGTCTTGCTATCTGTGGCTATTTTGTTGCTTGACCGATGCTGAAATTCATCCGACTCATCCCCGATATTGCCGAGGGATAGAGGCGGGGGATCTGTTCATGGGCTTGCATCAGGGACTAATAAGGAGCTGGTTTGAAAGATTCACTGGCCAGGAGCGACTGAAAATCAGGAATAACACATAGAAAGCTTCCCGGAACACATTCAAGTATAATAATCAACCACTCATTGCATTTGTGAATTTGTAAAATTCTATGGACTCAATTCAAGCTGTATATAGCTTGGTTAGGAGGAACATCATGCTCAGGCCTCGTGCACCTGGGCCCTGAGATTGTCCACATCACTCTCGGTCTCAACGCGTACGCGGCATCCCTTGATGTCCGTCTTGGCTAGGATGTTGGCGTAAACACGGCCAAAGACGGACGACTTCATGGTGCCGTGCTGCTCGGCAACGACATCGACCTCGACGCGCTGCGCGAGGTAGATCTCATTGAAGCGAACGTTGGTGTCAGCGAGGCCCTTGATGGCCGAGTAGGCGAAGGAGAACATGGCACCCTGCGAGATGGCCGGCAGGGCGCGGTCCCCCTTGTCACCCTGGGAGCCAGTGCAGGTGGTCCAGGTGCTTGGCGTGTCCTTTTGGTCGAGGAGATATGGAACGGTGGCGCGGTAGGCGACTTGCGGTTGTCAGCATGACTTGCGTGGTGGAGGTAGACAGAGACAAGTAGGCGACTTACAAAAGTTGGATTCAAAGTTGTGCGTCATGAACTCCCGAAGCTCCTCGGTGGTGGCCTCAAGCAAGGTCCTTTCGGTGTAGCCGCCTCCCACTGCAGTCGGTGTTAGTCGAGCGGGGGCAAAATGGGGGGGAAGCTCATACCAGAGGAGAAGACGTGCTGGAAGGCTGGCAGGGCTCCCGCTCGCACCTTGTCAACGACCCGCTGGACGCCTTGGTCGGAGATGACATCGGCCTCGACAAAGGTGATCTTGTCCTGACCCTCGTTGACGTTCTCTTTGATCTTCTTGGCCGAATCCTGGTTGCGGACCACAGCGAGGACGTTGAGGCCTGAGCGCAGGGCACCCAGAATGGCGGCGATGCCAATGTTGCCGGTGGCGCCGATGACTAGCACGGTTTGGGCCATGTTTTCTACTTCTAGGTGCGGAGCGGTATCATCAGATGGCGAGGATGGAAAGTTGAGAAGGATCAAGAAGTGAGGAGATCAAGTGGTATGGTGTGGTATGATGCGCTGTCCCTTTTCAGAAGAGGAAGACGTCTGAGACTGCCGGGGCGTACTCCTTTAAACACCACCAACTCAAAGCTCGGCTTTCTTGCCAGTATGAGCAAACATTACGACCAACATAACCGACCTGAATTATTAAGCATGCGTGGGTCTCATTGTGTCTCGACATGATGCATACGACTTATTACCACCTGAACGGGACGCGAGGAGATGCCTAAAGCTGCAGACGGAGTGTGCGCCCAGATTTCTCCACGATGAGTAGAGGATGCTTGTTTCTGAAAGCGACCCCTTCAAGACCGTGACCCGTGATAGCGTGTGACTTCCTGACCGTGCCTTACCCGCGCCCGGGGCACCTTTGAGACCACATTCAAGTTCAACGGCTGTTATAGAGTTACATGTCTCCCACGCCTCGCTCCGACCTTCTCCCCTCTGATCAACAGGCTGAATACGGACCACGGATAGGGGCAGCCAATTGGGTCTATCCTGAGGCCCGCGGGCGGGAGCGTGCCGCATGCATGCAGCCTTGGCAGCTTACAGCCAAGCCTTTGCTCGGCGAGGCTGGGCGGCTGACCCCTCCCGGAGCAAGTCGTGGCATGCCCCGCCCTGTGCCGCAGCAGGTGGGAGGTGGAGTCGGGGCTATAAACTCCGGGGCCGGAGTGGCGCCGGTCCCGTGCCCCGAGCCCCGAGCCACAGTCCCGATGACCGGCCGCCGGGCGTGGTGACAAACCAAAACACCAAAAGCCCGGTAGACGATGACGAGAATCCCTGCGAGGGTGGAAGAAAGATGGGTAGGCAATCACATGATGGACGACTCTATACACCTGGCTCGTGTCTTGGGGATTCTTGATGGAAATTTCATATCACGTTGGATAGTCCCCTATGAAGTCTTCGTTTTCTCTCTAGCAATCACCCTGAAAAAGAAAAAGAAAAAGAAAAGAAGAATGGCATCATTTACTACTGAGACCGCCGCCGTGATCCTCCCTGGGTCGACCATCCTGGTGACCGGGGCCAATGGCTACCTGGGCTGCCGCTTCTCAAACACGTTGATCGAGCGAGGCTACCGAGTCCGTGGCGTAGTGAGAGACAAGGAAAGGTGCCAGCACATTCAGGACTTTTTTGACCAAAAGTACGGAGCCAAGGGCCAGTTTGAGCTGTTCGAAATTCCCGACCTGACCAAGCAGGGGGCCTTTGGCGATGCCGTGAAGGGTGAGTGTATTTTTCTCTTGTTCTACATATGTATCCGGCATGCTAATTCGCGTAGGATGCGCTGGCCTCGTCCACTTCGCCGTAGACAACGGCTTCTCCCCCGACCCCACCGTCGTCGTGGACGGCTCCGTCGCCCTTACTCTCCGCGCTCTCGAGGCAGCGGCCTCCGAGCCTGGCCTGCGTCGCTTTGTCCTCACATCGTCCTACATCACGGCGTGCCAGTACCGCATGAACGAGGCCTACGAGGTCACGCAAGCCAGCTGGAACGACGACTACGTCGAAAAGGCCTGGGCGCCGCCGCCCTATAACGGCGACCGCTCGCTCTATGTCTACGGCGCCGCCAAAGTGCAGTGCGAGCGGGCCATGTGGCGCTTCGTCAAGGAGCGGGCACCGTCTTTCGTCGCCAACGCCGTGTTGCCCGACTTCGTCACGGGCCCATCCATGCCACATGCCAAGCCCAACGTCGGCCCAATGTCCTTCGCCCTCGAGGCGCTATGGGACGGCGGCGAGGCCTGGAAGTTCCTGGGCCCACAGTGGATGGTCGATGCCGAGGACGCGAGCCTGCTGCACCTCGGCGCGCTGCTACACCCCGGTTACCAAGGGGAGCGCATCCTCGGTTGCGCGCACCGCAAGAGCTGGGGCGACTGGATCAGACGACTGAGGGAGATGTATCCACAGCACTCGTTCCCAGGTAGGTGCTTGTCTATGGTGGTCCCCAATTTACGGATTGGGAGACTTTGCAAAGAAAAAGCTGCTGACGTCGTATTGTAGATGCTCCAGAGAAGGAGGACGAGAACTTGGAGAGTATTGTGGACCGGCCCAGGGCCGAGGAGCTCTTGAAATGGCTAGGGAGGGATGGATTCCGGCCCATGCAGGATTCGATGAAGGACGCGTTCGACACCATGGCCAAACGGGGGCGGGGGGGAGATGATGCATAATCAGCTTGTTCTCAGTACATAATCAACGAGATCGAAAGCTAAGAAATGTTGTGTCAAAGTCTCGACGGAAAAGATATCGAATATGTGTAAAAATTCATGTTGATATATTTCTATCTACCTTCACACAGCATCCATAGTTCCATTTCGTGAAGGATGCATATAAATTTCTAGTAGGGCTGTAAACACAACGGAGAAGAGCCTACGCTCCCTGCTGGAGCTTCTTTAAAGTCTCTCTTGTGCGTGAGCCTCAATCATGCAATGCCCTCACGGTTCCCCGTGGCCATTCTACAGAGCGCTTCAAGCTCCTGGCAGATCTTGGGCATGGCCAGACGACACCACTGCGACGCGCTCGCGTCCCCGCTGCTCTCCGTGTCCTCGGCGGCCCAACACACGTCAAGCTCCCTAAACTTGTGGATCAAGCCCTTCATCTTCTGCAGCTCCCGCAGGAGAATGCCGCTTTGCAGGACAGCTTGGTCCTCGGCGTCGAGCTGTAGCTCCCCGAGCTGTATGCTCACGGGGCGCATGCTCGGGACGCCGCCTTTACCGACATCCCTGCCGCCATCGAAACTACCAGATTGAGACGCCGAGGATCCAGAGGTGACCGAGCCTGGTTGCTGCTGCTGCTCCAGCACTGCTGCCTCGTCTGCGCCGCCGGACTGGCTCGGTGTGTTCAGCGCACAGATGGCGACACGATACCAGAACAAGACCTTGGATAGGATGGCCACATCGAGGAGAGCCATGTGAGGGTACCGGGAACAGGGGCAGTCAAACAGGTCCGGCAACGTGGCCAGCGCCGCGCGGTTGGCCAGTATAATCTTGTCGACGCTCGGGATCGTCACGGGACCGTCGCCGTCCACGGGTGGCACATCGGCGGCCGATGCTTGCTTCACGTGGGCGAATAGACTTGGATCGTAATGAAGGGAGCGGAGGAGGTTAGATGCCCGGTTCTCGCAGTCGTGCTCAGGAAGCTGTTGCTCGGGCATGCCGGCAAACAGGATTGCCCCAGGGCTGTCCCCCTCCAACGGTGACATCCACGGCGAGTCGATGTGCCCGCGTTCATGGTCATGGTCATCTCCGCCACCAACAAACGGCTCTTGGCTAGACAAAGCAAAGTCCAGGTCATCCCACGCCCCGGCGGCAGCGTCGGGGCAGATGGAGAGCGAACCCATTGGATTGGGCCCTGATGACAGGCTTCTCGGCGCAGCAAGGAGGGCATCCGTCGGGACCGCGTCATGAGAATAGATGGAGAGCTGGCGGTCGATCTGGCTTTGTCTCTGCTGCACCCGCTTGTACCACGGCTTGGATCCGTTCCGTCGGGAGACGCTGTAGACGCAGTACAGCCCGCTGGCCACGCAGCGCTGGCAGGCGGGACGGGCCTTGTCGCATTTCACCTTTGTCGTAGAACAGGCGTCGCATGCCAGCCGGAGACGGACGGGCCCGGTTCTATGAGCCTGGGGAGGGTCGGCCATGGCTCGGCTCATGGACAGGAACCTATCTCTCTATTCGTCTTTCTCAGGGAACGAACGAGAAGTCGGCTGTGTGATGATATGATGTCCCCCTCCCCCGTGATGGGCCTATGAACAGGCAAGCATCGGGGTTCTTATTGTCCGCTTCTTCTCAGACTCTCCATCCCGTGACGCCGCATCGCTGCAGAAGTGACGGCCTTTCAAACCACAGCAAACACGGGTTGGCGGCAAATGCTCGGCGGCGTAGTTGCCCCAGGATGGTAAAAGGGATTCGGGTGGAGAGACGGTCTTCGACACCATACAGGAAGAGGTGCGTGGCCTGCTTCTTAACTCCTTGGCGCAGATTCTGCAGCCTGCATGTCTACGGCTCCTCTTCAGCAAGGTGGGATAGGGCATCTTCACCCAGCCTCAACGGCGATGTCAAAATGAAGTCTCGGTTTCGTCAATACGCGAGACAACTCGGGTCCCAACGAGTAAAAAGACTTCATCACAAAGTCCTTCCAATGTCAGCGTAGCATTCTTGGCGCCTGCATCCCTGTACAGCCGTCTAACTTACTTTGTTTGGAAGGCCAGTCAGCCTGCTTACCAGATAGGAAGGTCGATCTTTCTGCGTGCTCGTAAGGCTGTACCGTGGGGGCAGTACGTATTGTTGGCAAGAATGACTGTAGTCCGATTGAGTGAGGAGAAATCTGAAGAACCAGCCGTGAAACTCCGTCTTTCACTTTGTGGGCTATCTTATCATCCAGGGAAAGAAGATGTCTTTCCTGCCCGATCATAATTCGCACATATAGTCCATTGGCTTGAGATACAAAGACCCTAAATGCATACGATTTTGAAAGAAATTCCCTAAGCAATGCCAGCCTCCGACTTGGCCATGGTCAATGGTTAGAGAATCTTATTTATTTCTTAGTGGTTCTGGAGCTTGTCTTCGTCTGCTTATGGCCGGGTGCCATGCAATTACACAACCCCTCCAGTCAGCTGTTTATATAGTCTCTTAACCTAGTTGGCGCCTCTTCCTCCCAGTTTCCTCATAGCTGACCCGTCTCAGACCGTAACATCTATTCGGACACATCTCTTGTTCACCTCGTAGTCGCACAAACCCCGCAAGGCACCCCCATAAGCGACAGGATCCGTGGGATCGTGCATGTGGCTTAGCGGGCCGTATCGCCCGCCCTAGCCGACCGGGGAGAGGGGCAGGGAGAGGAGGAGATTGCCTGAGGATCTCCTATCACCCCCCCGACGCAAGGCAAAGGAGCTGTGACGGCCCCTCTTCCGATGTCTCCGGTGCTATCGGGTCCAAGGGTTCCTGAGAAACCCAAACCTGATCACCAACTGCGGTGTATTTTACGCAGAAAAGACATGCAGAAGCGACATCTTTGGATCGCCAGCCTCGTAACTCGCTTTGTCTATGACCGCCCACGCCACAAAGTCCCCTTCGAGGGTCGACCCGTTATCCATCTTGACCTTTGATCGCGTCTCAGTCGCTGCCATTCCTAGGAACCGGAAGGGTTCATCCGCACATACCTTGGCATTACCACGCAGCATGAGCTCAAGACCGGGGCTCTGGTCGGCAAACACGGCGTAAATGGTGTGTCTTTGCTCCGAGAAGCCGCTGCTGAACGCGGTGGTGATGGCGTTGGAAATGACTCAAGACAGGCCCGGTTGTTAGCAAACGAAAAAGGCCAAGTGTAGCTCCCTGCCCAGCTCAAGATGGTTGAAGGAGAAATAAGTCTGAAACACACCTTCGCGCCCTGTAAATGTCTTCCCCAGGTCGATGAATGACCCGTCCGGGGTGAATGCGGCAGCGACCTCGGGCCCCCCGTTGGGGTCGTCTGCCGCCTTGTACGCCCGCGCCAGGTTCTCCTTGATGAGAGGATCAATGTCAATCGCCGGCCAGGTCGCGTGGTCTATCCCGGCGGAGCTGATGGACGCCGGGAGGAGGCCCAGGACGGCCAACGCGGCGCTGAAGAGAGTGGTGCCGTTAGTCATGGCGCCTGTGTAACCACGGATCATTTGCTTGCTGAGTTTGTCATTTTTGCCTGTTCTTGCGCCTCCTCGCGATATATACACCTGGCCCGTCTTGGTGACCGGTGTTTCTCTCGGCGAAGGGATTGCGCTATCTTGGACTTTGGCTCTTACGCCCATCCTTGAGCAATACTCTTCGGTGATTCTATCTTCTCCTATTCGTCCTGTGCCGTGTCTCGCCGTATACAATCCCGATGGTTTCGGCTTTGGTGGCCTTTAAAGAGAAACACCCGCTACACTTAACCATGTGTTGATGCAGTCTAGACCCTTTCAGACACAGCCCGACCCCCCTTTCCCCTCCCCATCCTTCACGAAATCTTATACCGAACTTCGTACCGAACATGACGGCTTGGGCTAGACGCGCTGACGGCAGCGGTATTTACACCCGGACATGCGGCCCCATGGAACACGCATACGTTACCATGGTCCACACCACCCGCAGCCACGGCCGCGAAGACTTTGTCATCAGCTACATCCTCCAGTTCAGGGAGGATGCTGAACCTCTCGGCCATCAACTGCTCCTCAAGCAGCGGCTGCGCGAAGCCTGGAAGGTCCTCCGCTTCGAGCACCCCATGATCGCCGTCGAGCTGGGCCATGACGGGCAGTCTCTGCTGTACGCATCAACCGTAGACCAAAATTCCTCGCTGGAAGACTGGCTGGCCGAGACATTCATCGTTGAGACGGACGAGCAAAGACCGGCCGGGGCGGTGTTCTCCGAGCTCCGGCCGCCGCGTCTCATGGAGCTGCGGTTTCTCCCCAATACAGGCGAGCTGCTCCTGCGGTCGTCGCACTGGCGCATCGATGGGGCCGGATGCTCGCTGCTGATGGACCGTTTCTTCGACATCATGGCGACCGAAGAGATGGGTAGCCTGGCGTGGGGCGAGGAAATTTCCAGACTCCCTCCCGCCCTCGAGGACGCCCTGCAGTTGCCGAGTGAGTCATCGCCGGAGCATCAGAAATGGGGCTCGGAGTGGATTTCCGACTTTGGGTCGGCATCGCCGTCCGTCGGTCTTCCTTGCCGTCCGAATCCCGAGCGGAACCCGGGGAGCCCCGGTCGCGAGCTTCTCGTCCTGAGCGAAGAGGATACGGCCACGCTCGTTTCGGCGTGCAAGACTGCCGGCATTACCGTCACGGCAGCTCTCCACGCGGCCGTCATTCTTCAAACGCGGGAGATGGCCCCGGCGGAAACAAGGAGCAACAACTTCATGGACGTTCTCATGTGTGACTTGCGGTCCTACCTGCCTGAGCCGTGCGTGGAAGCCCTTACACCCTTGCGGACCTTTCCCAGCCGCCCGTGACTGATTCTTCGAGCTCAGGTATAACACGAGTGCCTACGCCGTGATAATCTGCTCCATGCCGCAGCTCGGCGTCTTTGGCTCGCTCGCCGAGCGGGACTTCCTAGGTACGGCCAGGATAGTGATGGAAAGCTCCAGGGTGTATGACATGCACATGATGCTACAGTCGCTGCGTCCTGCCTCGGTTGCGTTCAAGCAGATGCTGGAAATGGGCGCGGCTTCGACAGAGGTTAGTAAACGAATTCATGATTCATCATTGTGTTTTTTGAGAAATTCCCAATCTGACGTTCCAGTGGCAGACGCCTGTGGTCGTACCACCCGTGGTGAGTAGCCTGGGGGTTCTGGAGAAGTACATAGGTCCTCGACACGGAAACATCACGATTGAAAGGGTCCATAGCATCTCGGCCATCCAGAGCCCCCAGCCGACGCTGTGCTTAAACAGCTGGCAGGGACGTACCTCGCTTGATATGGTGTATAACGATGGCTATATAACGCCTGGATTAGCTCGTGAGTTTGTCAGGGGCGTTGTTTCTGTCGTGTCGAAGGGCCTCGACATCAAAGTTGGCGGAGTGGGAAATTAGTTAGAATGATGCCCGGGTCAGGAGAGAGCGGCGGCATGGGAAGTGATTCTACAACAGCATCAAACTTTTGGATTCTTAAGTGTTGGTCTCGGAAGGATATTTTTATCTGCCACCCAGGCATTGAAACATTCATAAAGTATGCATCAAGGGCGGCGGCCTACACGAACATTGAAAACCAATTAACATCAAAACGCGGCCTCAGTCGTCGAGCCCTCTTGCAACACCAAGCGCAGACGGGCGTCATTCCTCGGCATAAACTTCGCCTTGAACGGCTTGGCGTGGCGGAGGGGATACATGTCAAAAGCGTCTTCCGACACGTCCATAGCCGAGGCCTTTCCGCCCTTCTCGGCGCTCGTCGGCGGCCGGATCTCAAACGCCCACAGGACATTGGCCAGCATCAGAGCCAGGTTGCTCTCGGCGAGCCGCGTGCCGGGACATACCCTCCTCCCAGCGCCAAAAGTCCAGTGATCCCGCGCCTGAGCGTCGGCCATGGCAGCGTAATCGCCGGCGAACTTTGTATGGCCGAGGTACCTCTCAGGCCGGAACGCAAACGGGTCCGGGTACCGCTCTGCGTCGAAGTGCAGCGCTACCGTGTTACACACTATAGCGGTGCCTTTGGGAATAACGAAGTTCTTGTACGTTACGTCGGCGTCGGTGAAGTGGCGGATCGCCCACGGCGGCATCGTATTGCGGCGCAGGACCTCCTTGACGCAGGCCCAAACATAGGGGAGACGCGATACATCAGACATGGCCGGGGCGCGGTCGTCCCCGACAACGGCCGCGATCTCCTTCGCCGCGGTGGCCTGGACATCCGGGTAGGCTGCAAGGTAGAGGACGAGGTTATGAAAGGTGGCGGTGGACGTGGCCGAGCCTGCGTCGACGAGGCCGCCTGCGATCCAAGCGAGGTCCTCCTCCTCGAGACCCTGCTCTTTAAAGTCTGACTCGATCATCTGCTTCGCGTAACAAGAGGTCTCGGCGGCGGCATCGCCGGTGAATTGCGCCTTGAGGCGGTTCCACATGCGCATTTTGACCCAGAGGATCCATTCGGCGTCGCGCGCCGCGGCCTTGTACGACGGTTGCGCCCAGATCGGCAAGCTGGCCAAGGGGGGAATCAGGTCCTCGACAAAGTAGCCAGGCTGCTGGATCTTAGAGAGCAGTTTGGCGCTCTGCTCGGTGTAGCGAATGTCCTCGTCGTTGACGCTGGTCGCGGGACGGCCGTAGACGGCGCGCATGAGGGTCGAGAAGAGCATGCGGTGGATGTGCTTGTAGAAGGCGGCTTCTTCTGTGTTATCCGTTGCGAGGTCGTGTAGCAGGCGCGATATCTCTACAGTCTGGTATGGGATGAAGGACTCGACTGCCTTGGCTGTCAGGATGCGGTGGCAGAGCTGGCGGTATGCCCTCCATTTGGGACCGTACGACATGGTTGGCATGCGTCTACCGCCGACAACCACGTCGGACATAGGCATGGGTAGTTTGGATGAGGTTGAAACAGACTTGGTTCGGGGTTAGTCAATTGAGGCCCGAATCACTATAATGTGCCACATATCACGTACCTGCTTGTCGAACACTGCCTTGACGGCCTCTGGGCTGTTCAGGACCACCCAATGATGCCATCCGACCTGGACACGAAACACCTCCCCATACTGCATTGCCCAGTAGCGGAACTTCGTCAGGGTGTCTGGGGGCAGCTGAATTCCAAGCCCAACGTAGGGATTCAGGGCAGGACCGGGAATACTTCGCAGACGTCGGTCGACCAGCACCCAGGGGAGGACCGCAACAAACAGAATCAGCAACAAGAGAGCGCCCGAGAGGGGCATAGCTGCCAAGATGGAAGTAGAGGGTTGTGAAGCCAGCATTTTGGACGTGGTTGTGATATGGAATACAATGTTACAGAAGATGTGTCTTCAGTAATTTTGAATTGATTAATAAATTCTATGAAAAAGATATAAGAGCGATTCTTCTCAGTAGCTGAAGACGCAGGGTCTTTCGGGACTCACGCCATCTGCTCGGCGTTGGGTTCGGCATAGGCCGGGAAATAGAGGTCAGGAGGCTTCCACTTCGACATGCTGAACCCCTTCTTGCGCGACTGGAATGACCATTTGTCAAGTCTTCATCCCAATCCTTGAAATATTTTCTTCTGCAGGCTTGAGGACCAGATTCGAGCCATCCACACGCGCAATGGCGACCACAAACGGGGCCGGACCGAAAGACTCGCTTCACGACGCAAGCCTCTTCATGACTCAACTCTTAGTACAGCAGCAACAATACTACTGCTTGCAGTTCATCGACCACTTCCGAATTCTTGATGCCGTGCCCCTGCAACCTGGAAGCAACCCGTACGCAACAGTCGCCGCGCAGACCGGTGTGCCGGAGCCGAGGCTCAAGGCCGTCGCCAGGATGATCATGACGACCGGCTTTCTCGCCGAGACCCCCGACGGGAGCAGCCTGGAACACAGCGCTCTCTCTGCGGTTTTTGTAGAGAATGAACATATGCGCATCCAATTGCGGCATCTGGTCGAGAAGACGGTACCGCTGATGGGTGCCTTCACAAGGGCGACGGAGCTCTGGGGTGACACGAAGGCGCCCAACCAGACAGCATACAACCTCGCTTTCGAGACGAACCTGCCATTCTTCGAGCACCTCAAGTCTCGAAGAGACCTCAGCGATGAGTTTGACTCGTACATGAAGAGCCAGGCCGTAGCGCACTCAGGAGCCAGGGTCGACCACGTCCTGCGCGGGTTCGACTGGGCGGCGCTGAAAGCCGAGGCCTTAGTCGTTGATGTAAGTGAAAGTGCCCGTCCCAAGTATAACCATGTTCTACTCGCTGATAGGACAATCACCGCAGATTGGAGGCGGCGCCGGCGCCGCAGCCAAGATCCTAGCCACGGCACACCCGCACCTCCGCATCGTCGTGCAAGACCTCGCGGGGCCCATCCACAACGCCCGCGGGCAGCTCGCTCTTCTCCCGCAGGAAGTTGCTGCGCGCATCAGCCTTCAGAAGCATGACATGTTCGACGAGCAGCTGGTCCGTGGTGCGGACGTCTATTTTCTCCGTACCATCATCCACGACTGGCCTGATGCCGAATCGATAATGATCCTGCGGCGTCTCGTGGCAGCTATGAAGCCCGAAAGTCGCATCGTCATCATGGACATGGTCTTACCTGCTCCCGGGGTGGGCTCGTCTTTGTTAGAGGCGGCACTGCGGCAGAAGGACTTGGCCATGACGCAGACCTTCAACGCGAGAGAGAGGGAGGTGTCTGAGTGGGAGAGCCTCATTGCGGCTGTGGACGAACGTGTGGTTATTCGCGGAATCCTGCGGCCGGAGGGTTCTCAGCATTCTGTCATTGAGGTGGGATTCCGTAGGAGTAGTTAGTGAATAAGAGATTTATATTGTGAAATCAGTTTCCCACTACGTGCAAGTCAAGTTGAGGGGGGTTAAAAACCAACCAGAAAATCTATAGAGGTTGTCACATTATAGAAGCTGTCAATGAAGCTGGCCAGTTATCAGAGTCTTCGGCTAGCCGAGAATCGGTTGAAGCGACGGGTTCAAAGTCCCGGAATAGATGCAGACTGTTGGAATCATCTTGAATAACTTCATCTTGTTCATCAACTGCTCTCGGTTCAACTAAAAATACCATATACTAGTGTTGTTCCATCACACAGTGGAGGCCATCTCCGCCACTTTCTTCCACTTTCCAATCGACTGGTGAAATTGAGAGAAACGCTGCGTGCATCTCTTCACGGCGGCTTGGCCCCTTTGATGAGCGCAGTCATTGAACTCCCGTATAACAGCCTCGACATCGCCAGCAGTTAAGGATGCGCCACAAATTCTCCCAGCCACGAGTGTCGCCAGCCCCACACCATCCAGAATGGCATGGTTACCACCTTCGCCCCCAAAGATGGGCATGGCATGTACGGCATCACCAACAAACACGACGCCTGTCTCAGCCGCCTTGTCCAAGTCCCCCCGCGTTGCTTGCACCGCCCAAATGCGCCAGTTGTGCACCTTGTCCTTCTTAATAGCGTCTGCATCAATGAGGGCCGAAAAGGGTGGCGCCAGGTCCTTGGCGCGGATCTCCTTCAGGAGATGCTGTGGCACCTTGATCATGCCCGGCTGGTCGGGCATCCAGAGGGGGTCCTTTTCGCCCTGTTGCACACGAGAATACGTCCAGTCGAGGTCGATTGCTTCGGGTCCCGTGCTGTTAGCGACGGTTACGAAGGTGTTGAAGTTATGGCCCACGCCCGCGGCTATGGTGGATTCCCCGACGTGAGGGGCCCATATTTGGCGCCATGATGTGGTGTCCATCCGTCTCTTGCCGTGGAAGAGGACGACGGGAAGTAGCTGGGCCTTCAGATCCGGTAGGAGGCAGTTCCGAACTGTGTGATGTTAATGTCATGCATCCTGATCATAGGTAGACAGGAAGTTACCGGGTCGTACCACTTGAGTGCACACCATCTGCGGCCACAATCATGGATCCAGTCACCTCCTCGCCACTCTCAAAAACGGCCGTGACATTACCAGGCTGCCCTCTCACTGCAGTCAACTTGTGGCCATGACGAACCTCCACACCGAGAGCCAGCCAATTCAGCAACACGCTCCTGTTCGCCCTAAACAGGACGGCTTCGTCCCCAGTTCTGGGAGGTTCCGGGTTGAACAGAGACTTACCGGTCTCGTTAGCTCGGATTGTTAGGTCGACCCATCCAGAACCTCCAAGGAGACGGTCCACAGCCACTTGTTTCTGGAAAGTCTCGACAGGCACATCATCCAGCGCTGCCAGGAGAGGGTTGAAGGCCCAGTCGCGAACGGTAATTGCGTAGCCCTGAGTAGTGTACAGTGCAGACCGCTCAAAGACTATGCACGGTATCCCTCGCTGTTTCAAGACGCGAGCCACCGTCAGGCCGGCGATGCCGCCACCTATAATCAGGATTGTTTTATTAGTCATATTTTCAGCTATTTGCCCGGATGTCAGTATCAACGCAACGTCCAGACAAGACTGCAACAAAAGCAAAATGTGCAATGAGTGGATATTGGTCAAATTCTGGGTACGGACGGACTGTAAGAGACTCTGCTGGCTAGGCTCATGGGACTGGCAGACTCCGGCTCCCCACGGTGAAGTCGCTCAGCGAGCCACTGGGGAAACACGTCCGGAGCGCCGAAGCGGGTTTAGCGAACGCCGAGACCGGATTGGGGTGGCATCTTGTGTTCCCATTGGTCCGTCGTAGCCCGGTGCAAGGACAAAGTAAGCGAGCCGGCGCCTCCGTCTTGTCCGTGCCGACCGCATCACGAACCTGATTAAGATGGAAAGCCAAAGGCAAGGAAGGGCCAATCGCGCAGGTTTGGAACATGATCTTGAGATATTCCGAATGAATTCAAATGCCCGTCGATATGAAGCCCATCAAAATCTATGGGCATGTCGCTGTAGGTCATCTTTGCCGTTTTATTGACTCACCGGAAATTACTGATACAGTCTTCAGGGTCCACACCCGTGGAAGGTCGTCATCCTCCTAAAGGAACTCGGCGTACCCTACGAGATTGAGTTTCTCACTGCGGAGGAGATGAAGTTAGCTCCTTACATAGACGTCTGTCCCAATGGCAGAGTTCCTACCATAGTAGACCCAAACCACGACATCACCTTGTGGGAGGTATGTTCACCGATCGTTGCACTAGGGTATCGGACTGATTTACCCTCCCATCTCTGCTCGCGAAACAGTCCGGAACAATCATCGAGTACCTCGAAGACATATACGATCATGATGATAAATTGAAGTACAGCGCCTTCCCCGAAAAGTACCACCTGAAGAACTGGAAGGACTATCAAATCGCTGGGCATGATCTCTTCTTGGGGCAAAAAGCCTATTTCACAATGGTAGCCCCAAGTTCTCCCCGAGCTTCCCTAGAGTTGTACCTGATATGATATTAGTTTCACACCGACCAGGACATCTCGTCCGTTCATGAGCACTATGGCGGCATGGTGCGGTGGGTTCTCGGGGTCATAGAGCGTCAGCTCACCAAGACAGGACAACCGTACCTGGTGGGCGACAAGTGCACGTATGCCGACCTCATGTACATCCCTTTCCATTTAGTGCTTTCAGACAAACTCATGCGCAACGTCAGCAATGGCTTTGAGCAGGAGTGGAAGGAAAAGTTCCCGCGATGCTATGAGTGGAACATGCGGATCCTAAGGCGCGAGAGTGTCCAGCAGGCACTAGAGGAGAAATATCGAGCGATGGACGCGGCAGGGTGGCCGCGCTGAGGTATGAGCTCATTTGTATCTCGAAAAAACAAACGTTGCACAGAACTATCCAGTCCAGAATATCGGTAACTTTCACTCGGGTCACTGTGCAGCATCGGCAATCCATTGAGCTCATGGTCTGAGCCAAGCGTGTCACCCTGCATCAGACCACTCGCAGATCCAATTGTTGCCGTTCTTACTTTGCTCAGTTCGACAAACGACAACAATTCGAGCTATAGCCCTCGAAGATGTCTCAATACGCGAAGGATGTGACCGTCATCCTCATTGGCGGCGGCCTTGCTGGGATCGCAATGGGTTACCATCTGAAACAAGAGCTGCAGTTTCAAGATTTCACCATTTTGGGAATCTCAATAGAGTTGGTGGAACTTGGAGAACAAACATTTATTGAGGATGGCCAGTTATCACGCCAAATTCCATAATTAGACGACTGATGAACTAGAGACTTACACTCTGATTACACAGCGGATGCGATCTCAATCCCATCATTACACCTTTATATATATTATGAGTCCAAATTGATGTAAAGATCTCTATGAACAGCCATAAACCCTATAGTGTGAGCTCACGTATCTAGAACACATCCAGGCTCCCTGGGCATGCTGAAAGCTCTTCAGATATGGAGGACATATGCACAAAGTTCGACCTTCATAAGCATGCCCATACGTCTATCGAATGCTTAAGAGCATTTTGGCACCCAGAAATCTCAAAGTGGGAGCGGGAGGTCAATTTTAAAGACCTGAAGACCGGAACTTTTTGCTCCCAATAAGCTCCTATCCTGGTCTCGGCAGTAGGAGCAATTTCGTTTCCACACGCCGTCAAGTTTCCCAAGGATGGAGAAATTCCAGGGCGCCATGTTCCATACTACACAGTGGGACCATAAAGTTGACTTCAAGGGCAAGAAGATTGCATTCATTGGTAACGGGGAGCAGCGCACCCGAGGCGATACTCGCCGTTGCAAAGCATGCGGCATTCGTGAAGCGGTATGTCAGAAACGGACAATGATTCCACGCCAGGCTCAATCGACAATTCTTCAAAATTGATAAGACCAAGTTCAAACTGGTACCCCTGTTGATGCATTGGCTCCGTTTACAAAGTTTCCTTGAAGCAGACACCGAGACAAGAAGCTATTTTCCTAGGTCAAAGGGACTCAAGGCACGACGGAAAAAAGAAGGAGGAGTCTAAAAAGGTTATCGAGTCCAAGGCCCCAAAACAGTATTGGGAACACATATTCCCAGATTTCCGCGCGCTTGTAAACGTCAAGTTTTTGATCCAGACTACTTGGAAGGCTTGAATCTGATCAACGTTGAACTACTCAAGTAGAGAATTTTGAGATTATCGAGTCGGCTATTATCAGCGCTCCCGGAATCGGGGCTGATTATGATATTATTGTCTCGGCAACCGCTTCTAAGTCTCTCAGCCCTTGAAGCCAATTCATATCGATGGCTTCAAATGTGTGTCCTGACACAACCAACAGAAGGAATGCACAGGGGCACAGGCTTACCTCGGAACGTATGTTCGTGACACCCCGAATCTCGCCTATCTATTTGACCCGAATACGTTCCCAGCCAACGACTCCGACCTTTTTACCTGCAAGACACAGGGAGACTATGCAGTGAAGTCTCTTTTCAGACCACTGATGAATCCACGGGCATCTATGATCGAGATGAAGCAGAGCGCTGAAGACTGCGAGACTAACGCCGTCGCAAACAAGGTCTTTTCTGGAACTTGCTTAAATTGGTAAAATGGTGACTATAACAGAAATCCGTCATCATGGCCAGGTCTTGCCAAGTCGTTCTGGCTCGGGGCTTTCAGTTCAGAATGGTCAGCATTCAACTGCAGTGACATGGAAACTACAGCTTGTGATGGTTGGGTGTGGTTACAGGCGATTTCAGTTCCTGAAGCGCCTTTCGGAGCAGTCAAAGAAAGTGGGCATGGCCAAGAAAGCAGTGTATACAGGCTACAGAAAAACCAAAACATCAAAAGCACCACTATTTTGAATCAAGATTTGATCGCGGTTTGTTAGTGTTCTATGGCACACTCAACTATAGATGCAAAAGCGTAAACATGTACTCATCCAGCTGACAGGTCTCTCGAGAAAGCCAACGGCCAGTGATGTGTTTTCAGGGGGATATGAAGCTCTTTGAGAAGAGAGGAAAGAAACACCGTGAATCGCATCTTGTTCTATTTCAGTCAAAGCCGACATACTGGAAGCTCCATCTAGAAGCCAGATTTGTGAAGCAAGTTGATTGAGACAATCGGACGAGTGCGGCTGGGGTCATGACGACCCAATATTCGAGAGGGAAGTTGGATGATGGTTGATAAATACCTAATCATGTAGGAAGTCTCATCAACTCCAAGTCAACATCCTCTCTATCCGGCTTCCAAGCTCTAGATGGCTATTGACCTCGCACAAAATCCATCCGCTTCGGCAGAGAGCCACTATCATGCTTTCGATGACATAGTCGACAGCAGAAAGAAAACACATCACCACGGCTTGCGAGTCATTCCGCGAAATCAAAGTCAAAGTAGGTGCCTATCCCAAAGATGAAGATTTGCCAACGAGGTTTGCGGGTCTTGTTCGGACCCTGGCGTAATCTTTCACCACATTGCGATGGATAGACAACCTGTTGCTCGAACCGCAGACGTGAGGGCAAAGACTGGAAGCTCCAAGAAAACGAGAATAGAAAGAAGTATGATACTCTGTGGATAACCCTCAACATCGAGGAGGCCGAATTCAAGTGGCGGAATGGTGTGCGATGCAAACTATCCTCAAGTACTTCAGAGGCCCTGAGGAATGCTATCCATCCCTACCGCTAGTTGGCCGTGACGTATTTCAGAAGAGTTTTGCAGAAAAGATAACCTACAAAGGTCTCTGCTGTGTAAGATCATGGATTGTCTCGGAAACGCACTTCAAGAGCTCTATATCCCGAAAAGGTATATGCATTAGTTTCAATCTGATACCCAGGCACATCGCCCATGGATGTCGAATAATTACATTCAGGCACAACACATAGCCGTGCTCAAAAGATGTGCATCGACTCCGCAGTTTCTATCGCCAAGATTAGTCATATACACAAGGCTACACACAATCTCAGACGGATGGACTTTCAAGGTGTAACAATCAACTGCTCTGCGGCCTTGCTTTTGATATTTGCAACGATACTACAGATGAGAGAGCCTGGGAAGCATTAAACTTGGGATTTCATTGAATGCCTGCTTCAGGAGAGTAGACGAATTATCATTGTATCAGAAAAACGCTAAGAGAGCACATGGCGTTTTGGTCATGCTCTAACAACAGTGGGAGAGATAAGCGCTCGCTCAAAACACACATGGAGGCAGTCATTAGCAACAGCCTCTTTCCCGAGCAAACGGAAGCGAGGGAGACGAAACTCCGAAACTGGCTCGATTGCAAACAGCTATTCATCTAAATCGTCGACGCAACCATATAGATGAGTTCAACCTTAATGGATGTGCGGCAGTCAGCATGGGAACACGATCGGGGCCGAACTACGAATCGACTTTGAGTGGGTCCTTGCCGCAGACAACATTCCCGATCCAGGGGAGATCTTCAGTCGCTGGGCCGAATTCAAATGGGAGAAACTTTTCTTGCATTGAAGTTGGTAATTATGCTTTGCGTTGACAAAGTGAGTACATGTATCTGTAACGGAGGATGGCCTCTCTCAACACTAAAATGGTGAGATCCCCTGGTCATCCTCTGCGTCTGTCTGGAGAAAATCCCAAGTAGCCAAATCACGAAATACGCTGGGTATACCGTAGTCGAAAAAATCGTAAAAGGCCCTGTCAAGATGGGAGTAAGATAGCCCATCAATGGACCAAGTCTCCGCCTGGTGACTCCGGAGACCATGACCGCCAGCTGTGCCTTCCGGTTGAAGGCCCTCACAAGGTTGAACCAGGTTCGAAACAGTAAGAACGGAGGTTCCGGTTGGATCTTGAGTCGGACCCTGGAGAATTTTCGAATTATCAGCGGGTTTTCTCGAAAGTTTTGCGTCTTGATGTTGGCACTCGCACGTGCATGGGGCGCCATCGGTTGATTGAACAGGACGGGCGGCTGACCTAGTGAACTGCTGAAATCGCCTGACTAGCCTGGCAACGCCCTTTGCGCTGCTCCATTGTTGACTGAGGATACTGAGATTGTCGTAGCATGCCCCGAGATCTTTGTATGCTACTTCAGGTGCTCTTTCACCGTCCCTGAGAGCACGGTAAATTACCGTAGTAGACATTGACATGGCATAAGGCACAAGGGGAAGAGGCGGGAGACCATCGGGCCCTTCGCGACCAATGATGCCAAGTATGCTATCGGCGGAGGATAGACGTCGCGTGTACAGGACGCTCTTCGGTCCGCTATACCGGCAGGAAAGCATCGCGGTAACATGGTACCAAATATGCAAATATACTAAGGCGCTTTCATCAGAGAAAGTTTCAACCTATGTTAGGTGTCTAAGGACACTTACATCTATGGGACCTCTGGAAACCGCTCAGGGAGATATCCGACGTAAGCTCCGAGAACGTCGGAAATGCACTGCAATCATCATCTGTAGCAGTGGAACTCGCTTTATAGACCCTAGTTGCCGTTTTCATCAGGTCCCCGAGAGATAAAGATATCGCCATAAGCCGAGACCGGTAGTCACCGTTTCGTGAAGCAATGCGGTCTACCCCGATGTCTGTATCGTCAATCATGAACGGCGCTGCGCCCATGATTGGTTTATTTAGCCGATCAAAGTTTCGCAACGTCCACCATAACAAGTCGCAACGCTCTTGTTCAGGATTGACTGGAACCTTCACATGGAGTGATATTGACCAAGCTTCGCAAATAGCCTGAGAGAGATATGCCGAGGAGCGATCCAATCCACTCAAACCGTCATTATGCAGATGCATTAAAGCCAGGATTTGAACTTTAGTGATTCGGTCCGTCTCAAGGTCAGCCTTCATAGCCGCATCGAGTCCCTTCAGTAACTCTGCAGCGAAATCCATCTGGTCCATGACCTGGCAGTCTTCCCGGATTCGAAGGAAAGGTGCAGCCTGTTTGAATTTGCAGGCAACGAGGGAGATCGCCTTTAGGAGATAGACTGAGGCTTGTCCATTGCTGTAATCCCGGAATATTACAGCCCCGTCTACCACTGGGATGAGTTCATCTAACATCATGTTGTAAAGTGGCAAGAGAATGTCTGTCGTGGACTTCGGCAACTGTAGAAAAGCGCCCTCGTCTTCAAGATACCGTCGTTGGTTCTCAGAAATATCAAGTGGCATGGCTCTGAAGCGGTGCCGGTCGTACCAAGTGCGCTGACGGAGAGTCTTTTCCTCTAGCGAGGGGCCGTATTCGGCTGTATTTACGTGGTTTCCCTGGCGGTGTGGGTGCGCTAGACAAGTTCCAAATTTTTCTGCAATCCTTATCGCTGTCGAGTCCGTGGATAGATCTACCAAGACAGACTCTGGATTGTACAGACTGACACGGCTTAGACTCGGACTTGAATCACGAGTGTTCGGTGTCTGGCCTGGGTCTATGACAGAATTGATGCCGCGCTTGGTCGCGTAGGGTCTTTCCGTGGTAGCGACATGATAACACCTTTTCTTTCGTGTGCGACAGTTTTGGCAAGGTGAAAGCGTTTTAGTTAGCCCCGAGTGGTCTTACCATAACAACATACTTGGGAGGGAGGTGTAGACTTATCTTGAGAGGAACGTTTACCGCTTGGATTCGCTGAGGACTGCCAAACAATCTCCATAGTTGCCCCAGTCATCAAAAGGCTAGTCGCATGCTGCTGGAAGGACAAGTGTTGGGGTTCAAGGAGTACGAGATATATCCGGTTCACTCCCTCCGAGCGCGGTGCGAGTCCTCGTTCAGTAGATATCCCAGTTGGCAATAACTGATTGTACTGCAACAGTTTGGGAGATGTTGAGAGGGGCAACATGTTGTGGAGCATGCACACCCTGAAAAGCGGCATGTCTCCGCATCATCGCTATCTAAACCAATCAGCGTTAAGACGATACAACAATACCCTGTCGAGAGGGATCTGTGAGAACTTGCCGGTGATTCACTGCCTCACCATACGAAGGATGCCGCAATTCGTTAAATGCTTCCCCCGTCTACATTGAAGCTTTGAAGATTCTGGACACGAACGTCGCAGCAATGGCGGCTCAGCAACCTATCAGCCGCTCGATCCAGGAAACAGACGCTAGATACGCATGATCAGCGAAAGCCTCCGCCTTGCCCGCTCAACCAACCCAACCCCCAACCCTCTATGGAGCGACACCAGCGATTCCTTTTACAGCGTCTTCGAAGTGCGTAAACCAACGCTCGCAATTCAGCCTCTCTCAACCACGTCCTCAGGCCTACTACAGCAGCAAACCAGACGTTTCAATGCAGTAAAATCGACTTCATAAGATACGAAAACTGGATCTCAACAATTCCTTACATGTCTAAACGAATTTAAACCGGGATTCTCCTCAGCTGTGTTGTCTTCGGGCTGAGACGCCCTTGATGTGATAACTGGCATTGCCTGTTGGAAAAGCACCACTTAAGGTCGTCACACCAGTTCACCCCAAACCAACTTTCGCAGCCTGGCAGTATCGGTTGTTTTTGAGCAAGGATGGCATCAGTTATACAAGGTCCGTCATCACTTAGCCAAAAACCCAGCCACAGTTTACAAGCGTAATCAACGCTTAAAGCCTGTTGTAAGGAGTCGAGTCTGATCTGCCCGACACAAGCGGAAGCTCCGTTGGCATAACGAAATAAAAGTCCAACGATGATGACCTTGCCTCAACAATGTTTTTGACACGGAACAACTTCAACTACGTCATTAAGTCTGGCTATGTTCCAAGCATAGTACTCGTCGTGACGAAAGGCTGGATATAACGAGCTTGGCCATTGGAATTCCGGCTGTAGATTTCGACGCCAAGGTCGAGGTGTCTCGAAGCCTAATCTTCGCACACCGTACCTTGTTGTTTCAGTGTAGATGTAACTCTTATTCTTGCTGGGTAGCTCTAGGAGAGTCCACCGAGAACGGCTGCAGTTCGGCCGAGGTTGCGTGCCTAGAAAGAGTTAACGTCCCTGGCTTGTCACCAGCTACGCAACGTGAGCAGACTTCAGCATCGTTGCAAATGTAACAAGACGTACCAGTATTCCAGTCGCACTTCTAAATTCACCATTGAATCTCCAAATTTCCGTCGGTACTTCATCTGTCTGAAGTGACATGTATTGCCATAGTGCAGGTTCGTCCATTGTCCGTAATTCCTCGTAAAATTCGAGATTCTCTCCGAAGCGGTGTGCATGAAGCGTGAGGATTTCCCAGTTCCAGCAGAGTGAGTAGGCTTTGGTCCGAGGATCATTACAATATACTATAGACATGCGGTGGCTTGGTTCCTCATTGCATTTGCTTTCAAACCGACGAACGACGTGTGGAAGCTGTGGAATACCCCTGGAATCGTTTGTCAATCCCGTTCAATACCGGTAAGATCGCGCAGTTTTAAACCCTTCACGTTCCAAAGTAAGCATACTTGTTGAGACTCGATGTGGCTTGCGAATACTTACATCACTATGGAACCGGATGAGGCTGCCAAGGCTTTCCAGTTTCACTGCCTTCCACCAGAGGCCTACCTCTTGTTGAATTCCGCAACTTTCTGAAGAATTGGCAAAGAGTAGGTGCCGGAACCCAAGATGATTGCTTGCAACGTACAAGCTGTCGGTGGATGTTGACAAAGTCGGATCAAACAGAAGAACGTCCATGTTGTCACTAGGTGTGTTCGTCAAGTGGGCAATGTATTGTACGCCCTCGAATCCAATATGCCTGGCATAAATCCTTTCAAAGATCTTCACTGACAAAAGATTGCTGGTTGTCTCCCCACATTCGGCAAAATCGATGGCCAGGCGATGACGGGTCACTCGGTCTTCTAGGACACTGGCTGCAATGTTGTAACGGACTTCCTCTGGTAGATAGACAACATGACGAGAGGCTTCTTCGAGGAGTTCGGCCCAACAGGATTGAAGCCAGCGGATACGTCTTCTGTCCGCAATTACCGGAGGCTAAAATGTAGGTATGGTGGGTTCAAGGTTATTCGTAAACGTAGCGTCAGCCGTAATCTTAACGCAATGGGCGTGACAGCCAACCCGCTGCTCGTCATGATGGCATTGACCACGACACTGGACATATTCAACGTCTAGAGCGTTGTCGACAAAGCCCTCGACGATGTACTTATACGTTTGAGATATTTCATGGTCGCATGGCCGCACTTGTATGGTCAGCATACTGGTGGAAATTAAAAAGTGGAGGGACTTGTTTGCAATAATGTAATCTTTAAGTTTGAGTTTAAACCGGCAAAGCCCGCAAAGCCGTGGTACACAGATGGATTTCATTACGGTTTTGACAAGCGACCGATTTTGTGACACTCGTTTAACTAATTAAAGCATCAAGTACGAAACGAGGTATGCCTGTGATGGTCGAATCACCCGTGCATTTTTATTCACTTTAGCAAGTGTCTCGGAATTTCATTTCGCCATGGCGGTCCACCATGCCGTTCGACAGGAATCGCCGAACCAATCATTGTCATCTAGAGGAGCTTCCAATGAAGACGCAGGCCTCCGACCGAGACATTGTCGTCTCAGTGCCCCCCTACTTCCACCTCACAGTGTGCGTATCCTGTATAACAGCGAGTGAGGTCACGATGAGGAATGAGTGAAATGAAGGGTTCTGATTCACTGCAAGAAGACCTAACGAGGACATTTCCCGTCTTTAGAAGGCTTCGACGGCTCCCGAGGGACTCTTAGAGGAGTCTTTTAAAGGGCTCTTATCACCTGACCTCTGTGTGGCTTTGTCTTGTGTACCTGGCGGGTAGATAACAGGGTTTCCGAGCAGCACACGCTTCTCCGCGCTTTTTCGACGGTGGCGGATATACGTACTGTTCCGGATGGGGTACGGCAAACTACAATATGGGGCTTCAAGCAGGCTTTTTTATTTCTAATATTAAAAGAAAAAAATAAAGGCTGTTTGAAAGCAGGAAAGCAAGAAATCGAGAACGGCTGGTCAATACCATGTGTGCTATACGCGTCTTAGCGAAGTAAATGAAGTTTTTATCGTCAAATTTTCATCTTGATGAGAAAAACGTAATGGTGTTGGCTGGAACCCTGAAAAGCGAAAAGAAAAGGAAAAAAGAAGATTATCGGTCTCGAGCGATGCTAAATCAAAAGTCTTGCTAAAACTAAATCCTTCCCTCTGATTGAGGCCAGTTATAGGCTCTGAAGTCCTTTTTGAGGTTGTTACTGTGCCAGTGAAAGCAAATCATGTTGTTTTCGTCCAATGCCCTCGTCCATTTCGTTGGTTCAGTATTGAAGGTCTCGCCTTCATGTTCAAAGGCAAGAAGGAAAATACGCTTCTTGGTACGGTGCCAAGAAGATCCACCATTGGCGATGACGTAGCTAGACTGAACTTTCGAACAAAACAACACTGTATGCCTACTGTATCAAGGGTCATTTCCTGAGTTGCATTGCAAGAATGCATTCAAACCTAGCGGTGTCTCTGTGACATTGAGGCTTGTAACTAGACCAAGTATCTAGGATTACTTGTGCCGTTTTCTGCTAATCTATGGCTTAAGGCATACATATATGATGACCGTGTCCATTGCAGGTGTTGGAAAGTTGGGTTTGTTTACACTTTGCCGGCTGGGGTCGTAGCCGGTGGGTGACATCGCACATGATGCGACTAGACCAGACAGCTTAAATGGAGACCGTCAGCAACAAGTGACACATCGTTCTCCAGGGTCGTACTTGTCAAGTGATGAAAGTACTTGATTCTTCGAGAAGTAATCAAACTGACAAGGTATCGATCGGGTGCTATCCACATCTAGTTCCTCGCTGGCATGTAGCTTTGCTGACTCGGAGTATCCTATCCTTCCTGTAAGTAGTCGCTCAAGGTCTTGCAACGTCGAGTTTGTCAGAAGAGCGGAGGGGACAGCGTCATCAATGCCCACGCAAAGTAAGGTGCTTACGTTGTGCACCAGCTCCGCGCAAGGTCGGGCCCTACAGTAAGCAACAGGTGGCTCTGCGACCCAGCGGCTCAGATGACTCCATGGTCTACACAGGGTGAATGCGTATGGCACAGTCCGGCGCATCTGTTGAGCCGGAATAGGCCTTTAGTGATGATCCAGCCAAAATAAGTCCCCAATAAACACTTGTCTGGATTGCTCATAAGGAATTGTTCCAGCGAGTCTAATTCTACAGCAACAAGTTTAATTATTAAATATAATTAAATATTTTTATTATGTATTATTATTAGACTAAATAAAGAAATACGTATTATAATAATATAAGTTGTATTACTGCGGTTAAATAGTTTATTTACTTATTAAGCCTACTCGTTTATTATATATATTAACCTTATTTTATTATTATATAATAAATTTTATAAATTTTCTAATTTTAAAAGTATTACTAATATTCCTTTACTTTTTATAATATATCAGGTAGTATACGGTAGCTATTAGGTTTTTGTGGGGCGGTCCCTATTTCTTGTTAGGGCGTAATAAAAGTTCATAATAGCTATTACTTAAGACCGGTCTACTCTCATCAAAAATTTCATTTACAAGCCGCTGAATAATGAGTTTCCTCAGGATTGCCGATGAGTAATTTCATTTAAAAGTTATCTATCGGTATAGATTACAGCTCCACGCTTTAGCATTCGAACTAGTCCAGGCGTGCAATCTAACTGACTCGACATCAACTCTCATACGATCGAGCCATCGAGATACTATAAGTTGGTTCATATCGGCTGTGTCTTGTGATGTTCTCGCAGATCCACATCTTCAGAATGTTTAATATAGCTGAGTCGACAGGTCACGGCCCTTGGTGCCCTCGACGATGGAAGTTGCCGTACATGCGTCCCTAGTTGTGGGATTTCTACGGCGTTTCTTGTTAGTATGACCCGGTCCTTCCGGACGGCTCGACATATATAGAGGAGGTCAAGTGAGGAGCCCTACTATCATTTTTATTATCATCACCACCATCATCATTATTCTTGATAGGCGTCAAACCATAATGAAAGTCTCCACCATCCTCTCCATCGCCACGGCGCTTCTCCCGTCGTCGACTCTCGCCGCGACGAGTAATTCGTGGTGCAACGGCGGCACCGGCGAGATCTTAGACGGATGTCAGTCCGGAACATTTGAATACTGCGTAATTCCTCCCCGTATGCAATTCTTGCGGCCAAAGTGACTGATTGTGGCATTGGCAGTGCATCGACGAGTCGAGCCACCAGCAGGGGGATTACCAAATCTTTCGGAACTGTCGCTCGTCGTATGGGATTTCTTGTGGAGCGGGTGGAGCGGGTGATGTTCGATGCTGCTAAGTACAGGGTGAGAAGATGTTGGCAGGAAGGAGGGAGAAGCCAGAATGAGTAAGCTGTCTGCGTTTTTAGGGGTTTAATTTAATTGATGATGAATATCAGCTGGTGAATACCCGGCAGGGCTCTTTTCGATTTACCCGGTATGAAGTATTGCTGCCAGAATTCCCTGGTGGGCATTCGCGGCATCTCCGACAGCGTCTGTGCTGTTGACTCGGGCATCAAGCGGTAATCAGGAGTCACAAAGACCCACCCTCACGAGGTGGAGGCGTGTATGAGCCAGTATTGCAAAAATGCATAGCGGTCTCCAATGACCCACACATGTTGCAGGATCGTGATTTACGCCCAAGACGGTGAAGATTCATGCGGCGGAGTCGAGCAGGAATAGATAAACGCTCACAAGGAAACCGCCGGGGTAGTGCAGCAGGACGGTAGCGAGAGACCCGTCCGACTTCTCAGGATACACGACTTCGACATTAAGGATGGCGTGGGACGTGGCCTTGGAGGGCATCGTATATGACGTCTCCCTGGCAAATGTCTCCAGTGGGAAGGAGGATAGCATGTTGCTAAGGCGACCTTAGGCTGAAAGCAACGACTTCGGAGAAAAGACGTTCAGAAAGTGTGGCCACGTATGCTCCAACGGAAAGATGGATGCCCAATAAAATTGACTGCACAAAGCCCCGCCCCTTGCGTTCAGACGGGGCGCGGGCTTCAGAGTCGGCCTAATTTCCGTCCTACAGAATAGAAGCTTTGACCCCGCTGGTTCCGTTCCGGAAGTAATCTAGACCTTCGCGCAGTGTAGATCGGTCCCCGGCGGGATAAATCCAGTCGCTTAGTATATAATTATTAAAGACAGCTAGAAGGTTAAAGAACCTATTAAACTAGTCGAAAACTATCATACTTCCCCTACTATCGAGTGACGTGCCCATTATATCCTACTCGGCCATAATAAATATAATAAATAGAAACAAGTCAGCAAAGCAAATATAAAATTAGCTTTCTAAAAGCTTTACTAAGTCGCCTCCTACGCAACCCGCTGCTATTACTAAATAGCCTAATAACTATAACTAAAACTTCTATAAGCTTTAAAAACGCTCTCCTCCATAATATACATATATATCTAAACGCTATAAAAGCATTACCCCTCGTACAATATTCAGATTATTTATAATCTCCCCTTAATATTTAGTTTTATTTAAGTTACAACTTAATCCCATATTACTTAAAAATCTTAATTTATTTTATAAATTAGATTACCTTAATAACTATTTTATTAATTAAGACCGGAAGGGTTAGGTTTTTTAAAAAAAAAAACATTACTTTATAAAAGTTGAAAAAAATTAAAAATTAAAAAACAATTCAAATTTATAAATAGTTTAAAATAATATTAAATGAAATATTTAATTCTATATAAGAAAATAATATTAAAATATATTTATTTAAATTTTTAAAATTATAATTATTTAGAATTAATAATATAACGGGTAGGTTAATTAGGTATAAAAATAGGGCTTTTAAAAGGTAGATTTATGTTACGACCTAATATGTATAACAGACCAGGGACCTGCCCCGCTGCTCTGCGGCGGCTATTTCGTTATATATATAATCGAATAATAAGAATATATATATCACTTTGACGGATCGGAAGAACTATAGGGAAGTTATGTAATAATAAAAAAGACCGACGGACGATAAACGGTCTTTAAATATAGACCGATAAGATAAAAATCGGTTTATTTTTAAAAGACCGACTTTATAATATCGGTCCTAAATATAAAAGAACTATTTAATAATATATAGGACTTATATATAACATAGACTTAAGCTAGGCTTACGTCTATAACTTCTATAGCTTTTTTAATAATTAATTTTGTATTAAATCTTACGATTATTTTTAATTATTTTTATTAAAAACTTATTTAATAAAATTACGATTAATTACCGAAGCTTTACTTATTTTACGATTTATAAATAATAGTTTTATTAAAAGCTATTTTTATAACGATTATTATTTATAAATATCGTAGCCCCGACTTTTATTAATATAAACCTTATTACGATTAGCTAGCCCTAATATTTTAATTATTCTTATTTAATAAGTCGATTTTATAAAAACTTATTAAATAGTATAAACGATATTTATCGAATCCTTTTTTAATAAAAGTAAAAAACCCTAGGCTTTAGACGCTGAGCTAGTTTAAGCCGAAGGAGACGTAGAGATACCCGACGTTAAGTATAACTCTAATGGGGACGCAGTCCTTAATAAAATAATATATATTAAAATACGCTACGTCGTTAATTAAAATATTTAATATAATAAGAAATTAACGGACTTTTTTAATATTATTATTACCCGATTAACGGAAACTTAAATTAAGAACGACCGCGATATTACTAAGATATAAAGAATATTTAACGCTACGTTTAAAAAACTTAAGAACGAATATTAAAAAGCTTTAAACCTCGCCGATTAAGTAAATACGCTCTAAAGTGCTACTAATATCGTTATTACCCCTCTTAGCGGAGGACGATAGAAATTTAAATTTAACATACCTATTATTTTCGACAGGACCTTTAGAACCTTAAAAGGATTTTTAATTTAAATTAAGAACTTTTAGAACTTTTATTAAAGAGATTTTAATAACGAAATTAAGAAGGTCGTATACGCCGCTAACTTTTTTAAAAAACGAGTTTTTAAATAGTTCGAACCTTTTTAAAAAAAGTACCTTAAAAAAGAGACCCTTAACGAATACTTTATTAAAATACGAAATATCTATTATAACTTTAATAAGTTCGAAAAAGCCTTTAAATCGCTTTTTTAAAATCTAAATAAAAAACGATAAGCCGAGCGCGATATATCATAACTCCGGTAAACTAAATTAATAAAGGATTACTTAGCCGAGTTTAAACGCCTTAGTACTTAACTTAATCTCACTAACGACACTAAGATTTTCATGTTCTATTAAAGACTAAAGGATAAGGTCAAGGACGAACTCATTAAGATCGACGAACTAGACGATTTCCTTTAATATACTAAACTCATAATTAAAATCAATAACCGCTTTTATAAAAAAAAAAAAAAAAAGAAAGAATAATAATAAGAACTTAACTTAGGATATAAATATTAATAGCAATCTTAACGCAATTTTAATTAAAAATACCGCTATAATAGGAATAATAACCCTTAATAAACTACTATTTATAAATAATATAGCGGACCTATAGACTTTAATATAGCGAAACGAGACTAATCCCGTTAAAAAAAAGAATTTAAATATTATAATTATAATAAGCTAGGATATATAGCTAAAGACTATAAATAGCCTAAATAAATTTAATAACGACCTATCCCTAAGAAACAAATTAACATCACCTTTAAAAAAGTACCTCATAAATTACTCTTTTAGACCGTATATTATAACAATAACTGCCTTACCTATCGAGATAATAAGGAATAATTAAAATAATACTTTAAAAAACCCTCTAATAGAACCTTTATTATAACGAATAAATAAAAACGCCTTAAGACTATCAAAGAACATAATAAAGAGTATATCCAAATATTATCAAAAACATATAAAGTAGTTAAGGTATAACCTATTAATTTTCCTAAACGAGCGTAAACCCTCATAATAATAAGAAGTAAATTAAAAAAAAGGATAGCAACTAAAACCAAAGATAACCTATTTTAATTAAAAAACGAAATCCTAGCTTATAAAATACGAATTTTAGATAAATTTATTTATATAATACGACGAGTACTTAATTAAATAATCTAATATTATGAATATCGCCCTTTAACAATAAAGGATTATAACAAAGATTATATCCGTATCTTAACCAATTATTATAAAGCTAACCGATTATTAAGGAAAAAACGACTAAACGTAAAGGCAATACTCGCCCCACTCTAATAACGACTCTAGAAATAACTAAAGGTTAAGACGAAAAAAGACCTCCTCCGGCTAAAGGACAAGATCGATAAGGAAATAAATCTAATTTACGGACCCTAGACGTTAGAAAAACGTCACGAGCAACGCATTAAAAAACTAAGCGAGGCCTATTATACAATGGACGCCTATATTCCCCGACACCTAATTATAAAAATAATCCTTATTATCCTACGATAACAAATAAATAAATAGCTTAAAATAATAATAAAGGACGATATACTCCGCCTAAAACAAAACTTTCCTACGCTTAAAGAAAATACTAAATTAAATAATTTAAGTAAGGAAACTACCGATAATATATTAACGGAATTAAATACCGAGGGAATAAACTACGACCCCCTCTTAGATAATATTAATATATTAAACTACGAATAGCTTATAAATTAATAATCGCTTTATAATTTAGACAAACCTCGCGACGTCGCTTAATGACGTATTTAATTAGAAATCGATTATAAAATATTACCCAATATTAACGATTTTATTATTAAAAAAAAAGCCGATTCGGATAAGTAATTAAAACTATAAGAATCCGTAAGCTTTTAGGGAGAACTAAATTAGCTTACTAAAGATTTAAAAGACTATTTATATAACCGATATATTTTAAATATATAATTTAATATTAAAGTATTTAGAAATTATGAATTATTTCTTAAGGGGAGAGAACTTATTAATAAAAAAATAAACGATATCTACGACATTATTAACATACTATATTTATTTATTAAAGGATAAAGGCGCCCCGATTCAATAGCTAACTACGAACGGCTCGTAAAAGAAGGACAGGTACTAACCCTTAAGATATTAAAAAACTAAATATATTAATCGTAAAAGAACGACAAAAAGCGGCTAAAATAAATAAGTTCCTATATTTTATAACACTCCCCGATAAAAAATATTTATAAATTAAATTCTAAATAAACGGATATAATATAAACGTTATTATCGATAGTAGCGCTTAAGGAATCTTTATTTTATTAAAAATAGTAAATAAATATAACTTATTATAAATACGGAAATTAAACCCGTATACTTTATAAATAGTAAAAAGAAAATAAATTGATTATAACGACGGATATATTAATCGGGAGACCGTACACCTCACGATATATATTAATAATTAACTAAAATAATTAAAATACGATATTATGAAGATCGGAGATACCGATATTATCTTAAGAATCTCGTAGTTACGAAAACATAATCTACGGATAGATTAGAAAACCGGCTAACTCTATTAAATAAACTTAGTCACTAAACGACCTAAGGAAAAGGGTTTAAATAAGTCTTACGTAATACTTAATAAATAAAAATAAACTAAATATATCGCTTTTATTAAAATAATAGAACTTATTAGGATGTTCGTACCCGGCATAGACGATCGAGGATCGGACCTATTTTAGATTATACCTAAAGAGTACCGGATTTATATAAAACTATTTATTTTAAAAAAAGAAATAAGACTATTAAAACATAATAGTTAAGACATAAAGATCGAATTAAAAAAAAGAATATAACCTAAGTTCTATTTACTATACCTTATAAATTAACTTAAACGCGACGAACTTAATGAGTATATCGATAATAGACTTAAAAAGGGTTATATAAG